CCTTTGCCCTGGCCGTTATCGTAGTCCTGCATGCGCTCGCCGCCTTGGACGGCGAACCCAGAGCAGACCGTGATGCTCACCGTTCCGCGCGCTGGTAGCCGCGGCGGCTGCGCATTCTCGGCGGCGGAGGACGGTCCGGCTGCAAGGCCGCCGAAGACGTACGCGACGAGCAGCACACCGTCATCTCCAGCGCGCTCGAGGTCCTCATTGGATGAACTGCAGCTGGTGAGCGGAACGCGCCGAGCATGCGACGGCGTCGGCTCATAGGGAAGCTCAATGCCGAGCTGGTGGTACGCCCGCTGTTCAAACTGCGTCAGCAAGCTGGGGAGGTCTGCGGCGTGCTGAGTGGGGTTGCTGCGGCTGTGACTGCGAATGCGAATGCGGTGATGATACAGGGCCCGGGCAGCCTGCAGGATCCGCTCGTGCAGCTTGTTGCGACCCTGCATCTCGTCGATCGCGTGCGGGTGCTCCCGATCGACTGGCATGCCTTTGTCCCGGCCACCTGCTGCAGACTCCGGAGGTGGCGGCGGTGAGTAGTGAGACATATGAGGAGCGCCACGCCTCTTCTGATCGGATGAGATCGTGGTGCCTTTGAGCTCGGCGAGGATGGCACTTCGCCGGCTTTCGGACATGCCCTCGCGTGTGAATGGACGGCCGCTCAACAAGCGATGGGAGGACGCTGCCGACGGCTTGCCGCCCTCGAGGATATGCGCGAGCTCATCTTCTGGCGAAGGCGTATTTTCGATAGGCTTCCTTTGCCTGTCGGGGCTACCGGCACCGCTAGCACTGGCACTGCCGCGCCTTGAAGTCGAGGCAAGCACGTCCATCTCCACACTCCGCTCCGACCTCCGTTCGGCCGGACGCGGCGGCGGCGGGGTGGCGATGCCGAGAAAAACGTCGACGGACGAGGAGGGGTTGACGGGCGTGGCGTACAGACGCTTCTGCGGCTGCCTCACCCGCCATGGCGGTAGGCAGCTGAGGCAGCTGCTGGTTCCCGACGAGCGCATCAGCGCGGCGGGCGACAACGAGGGGTTGCTGATGAGTGCGCTAGCGGCCATGGTTGGTCGATCGAGACGCCGATACTCGAGCGCCAAGTGTGTGAGGGTGTGACTTGTAGGCCCAGTTATCTTGGGTGCAACAGGGGGGGCTCGGTTATATGGTGTGCACTGGACTGTACATACATAGCTTATCTCTCCAGATGGAGCTGGATCGCATCATGTGTATCCATCTGATAGATGGGTTTCCTGCTTGCGTGCTATCGCCGAGCCCCATCGGCACAATGGCACCAGCCCAGTCCCAAGGGGTTACGCCACCGCTGACGTCAGAAAATTACCGAGCACCCGGCAAAAGTCGCCGAGGCCTTACTTTCTTCTGACAGAGACCTCCCCCTTCCCTGCGGACGGCGCCCTTCCAAGGCGTGGAGACGCCATGGCGGAGGCATAGGGACATGGACGAGAGGGTAGACCCATGCACCATGCCCGCACCGCTGCGTGATCCGCTCGACTTTGCAGGCGATGACGGTGGACAAGATGCACAGCAGCACGGCGCAGTACCCCGCCCCCAGGGACAGGGAGATCGAGGCGCCAGCCGGGGGGCTGCAACTGGCCTTTCCTTGGGCCTGGCCTGTTCCAAAGGCGGCGCCGGCCGCATGCAACCAGGGTTGCTAGCATTGAACCTCGGGGCTTCTCGTAAGGCATCCCTTTCCGTCTCTCCCTCAGCCTCTGGCCCGAGCTCCATAGCCGGCACACCGACGCCGGACGACGCGGTGCGCTCCACAGACTCGGATGCGCTCCTCTCGCGCCTGTCCGCCATCGCGGCCGGCTACCTGCCTCCCAACGCGTTTTCAGCCGAGCTTCTGTCCGCGGCCAGTAGCGCACAGGCTGGGTGGAAGCTCGTGCCTGGATCGCACGCGGCCGTGCCCGTCGCGTCGCATGTCGCAGCACGCAGGCCGCCCTTGATCAACGTCGGGACGTACCTGCGCTGCACGTGTATGGACAAGCGCGTCCGGGCGTCCCTCGCATCATCCGGAAGCGTAAAAGGCAAGCGGAAAGGCAAGCAGGTCATCAGCTTGGGCGCAGGCAGCGATGATCGCTTCTGGAGGCTCGCAGCGTCGACGGATCCATCGGGTAACTCGCAGCATCTTGAGCGATACGTCGAGGTCGACTTCCCCCAACTGACCGCTAGCAAAATTCGAAGCATATCGCGCTCGGCTGCCCTTGCAACTCCTCTGACGAATGGTGCAACGCCACCCTTGCCTCTGACGCAGGAGACAGGTGTGCAGATCACCATGGACGGTACAGAGCTGCATGCCGCGCGCAGCGGGTATCACCTCCTTCCGATTGACCTCCGGCATCTAGCACATCCCCCTCCTCACTCATCCTCTTCTTCTTCTGACACCGCACCCTCAGAAGCACGCGCAGTTTTACGTGAAGCCATCGACCCGAGCTTGCCGACCGTCGTCCTGCTTGAGTGTGTCCTCTCCTATCTCGAGCCGTCGACATCGGACGCGCTGCTTGGCTGGCTGCTGCGCGACTTGCTGCGCACGTGCCCGCACGTCGCGGTGCTCAGCTACGACATCTGCCTCGGCGGCGACCTGCAACAGCGCTCTGCGTCGGACGGCGAGCAGCAGGCAATTGTCTCTGAGTTCGGCCAGGTCATGCTGCAGAACTTGCGAGCGCGGCGCCTGGACATACCCGGCGCGAAAGCGACGACGCTGCCGCATATGCATGCAGAGCGGCTCCGCAGGACGCTGTCGCCATTGCCGGAACGAGAGCTAGAAGGAAATAAGCGTGAGACACCGGCGGAGGTGAGCGTGCAGGCAACGAGCTTGCGCAGCATCTGGGAAGGACTCGACGCGGGCGAACGTGATCGGTGCGTAGACCCGCTTGGTGACTGAAACTGTGTTCACTTCCTAATCGCCTATTGTTCGCTGAACGACTGGACCTTTTCGCTCCGTCCGCAGACTGTCGAAAGTCGAGGGCCTCGACGAGGTGGAAGAGCTCAATCTCCTACTCTCGCACTACTGCATCTCCGAAGGGCGACGCATTTTATGCACATGAGATACAGAGACCCGCGACGGAAGCTAACATGATACCCGAGTCCTTTTTGCCATCCGACGCAAACAAAAATGCACTAGAATTACAAGTGGCACACGCCCGTGCGATGAAATTGTGTATGAATAGACCGATACCGTGTATGAGCTTGCAGACGGGACAACGGGTCACGGTCAATCCTCATCTGTATCTACGAGGCCATTGCCAGTGGAGGTGAAGCCTGGTCGGGGTAGACATCGAAAATAGTTAGCATTTATGCGGAACAAAGCAGACTGAAGCACATGGCAGGCTCACCACTCGTCGCCCAGCCGGCCATATTCGCTTCCTCCTCGCGTTTCCGTCGGCGCTCCTTCTCCGCCTCGCTAAGCTCCGCGTCGGCCATGCGTGTCTCGGACATGGCAATGGACGGCGCGCGGCTGTGGGAGCGCGAGGATGCAGCACCTCCTGCTACCTCATCCTCGCCGCCGTCTACCTCGAATGCTGCGCGCTCGGAGAACTCTCCGCCAGGCAATTGCCCATATGTCTCGCCCCCATGCCGAGCGCCACTCTGTAGTATCGTGCTGCTCTTGGTGAGTATCCTGAAGCGCAGCCAGTTGTACAGGCCGATGCCGATGAGGGTGATGCACAGGCCGGTGATGTTGATCGGTGTCAGCTCGTCGCCGAAGATGGTGCTCGCGACGATCACCGTCAGCACCTCCTTAAAGATACCCGCGACGGAGAGCGTGACGACCGAGGTACGGCGGATCAGCGCAAACTCGCTGAGATTCATGCAGAACGCAAGCAGGCCCGGCAGCGTGATCAGGCCCAACGTGCGCAAGGAGCGGACGACGCCGTGGAAGAAAGGCCCGCCGAGGATTTTGTGCCAGTTCTCAAACGCAAGGCTCGCGCCGACGAGGCCGCAAGCCATGATCGGCGACAGCCAATAGATCGTCGCAACGGGATGGTTGAGCCCCATGCCTTCACGGTCGATGAGCATCTGTGTCAGCGCCCAGCGCAAGCCGCCCATTGCGGAGGCCGTCAGGACCTCCACTGCTCCGACCAGCACCAACTTCGTCTCGGCTGCGACCATCATGATCACGCCGGCCGTGATCAGTGCGATAATTCCCACAAGACGCCATCGGATCACTTCCAATCTGAAGAGAAAGGCGAAGAGAAGGACAAAGGCAAGGTTCGAGGACTTGCACATGGCTGCGATGGAGGAAGCTGTCAGCTCAAGGTCTCGCATGGGCCGCCTCGCATTTCGCGTCGCTCACTATAGAACGTTAACGTGATCGTCTTAAGGCTCAGATTGGACAAGCCAATGTCGACAGCAGTCGCCAGCGCACAAGGCGCGATTTTTGAGCTGTGTCAAGGTGAAGGTAAACGTCGCTTTCAGCTTTCCATCCGTACAGTGCAGGTTGTTGCAAGGATGTGCACACCCACGCCCAATCCCGGAAGCTCGGCCTTGGTCGTTGCCCGTTTGGCTTGCGTGCAATGAAGCGATCGCCGCAAAAATAAAGGAGGAGTCCAGAGAAGATGAACTGGATGATCATGTGCGCCGACGTTACGAAGAGGGGATAAGAAAATTTATAGTGCGCTGTTGAAAACATCCACTTGTTGTAGACGGATATCATCGTCGAAAAGAAGTCTTGCGGAGGCAGAACGGAATGATATCAATCAGTATACGCAAGACGCATTGAGCGAAGCATCAGAAACGCCTACTCACACCAGCTCAAAATAAGGGAGGCATTCGCCAGAGCCGAACGCCAATACTCCCTCTTTCTCTGCTCAGCCGTGTGTATCCGCAGCTCTAGACTCGCCTGTGAGCTCTTATCGCCGCCATCCATCTCCACAGTGCTGTATTCCGAGTATCCTTGTCTTCGCGACTTGCCGCCAGGACGCGTGGCGATCCTCGGCAGGTGTTGTAGCAGGGTCCCATCTAGCATCTTGTGCGAGCCTCCCACTAACCATTTCAGTGTGGGGATCTGCTCGCTGCTGCGGTGTTCATGAGCGTCAAAGCCGGCACCATAGCTCAGGAAGCCCTCATCATTGTCCTCGGATCCATCTCCTCCGTCGCCATCGTCCGAGGCTCTGGCTTTTGACGCCCTCATGCACGCCTTGGGGACCCTGCTCCCGCTCGCGACAGGTACCACCATATCGCGCTGGCTGCTACTCCGGCTCATTGACGCAAGATTTGTGTTGCTCGAGGAGGCAGACTCGTAGCCGAGGTGATTGTTGGAGCGTTGCTTGCCTTTCCAATCTGGGCCACGCAGCGGCGAAGTCTCGCGTGCTGGTCCACTGGCGAAATGGCTGCTCGCTGCCGCCGCTACTGCTCCTGCTGAGGGTATGCCAGCCAGATAATCCTGCGCCTTTGATCCAGCCCTTAAGTGCTCAGAGCTCCCTTTCGGTAAAAAGTACAGTGCCGACGATTCTTCCTCCTGGTCGCTCTCTTCTTCAGAACGGCTCATCGCGTTAGGGAGCTTCTGATCGGATGTGAGCGCGGACACCGAGCAGTCGGCGTCGGGCTGACTCTGTGTCTAAGCGTCGTCGCGACACGATGCCGTGCGCAACGACAAGAGGGTGTTCGTTTGCGGTCGCAAATATGCGTTCCTGCACTCTGAGCGGCAGACAGAGGATGTACTTGAAAGCGGCGCGCTGCCATCAGCACGGCAGCATCGCGTCTCTGCTTGCCTGCTGAGCGCGTCTGTGTATCCTCGCCAACTGAGCAGACTACGGCATGTGCTGAGCTCGACCTAGCTCAGCCTGCGTGGGACCGTGAGGCGCATGCAATGAAAGGATGGACCGCGCTTGGTTATATGGACGACCCCAAAGCCAAGTCGAGTTGAGCGCGAGCTTTGGTTGCGCTGAAAGTAACAGAGCGCGGCGAAAAGCAAGTAATCATTCACACCAGCCAGCCACCAATTGCCATCAGCGATCGAGAGGGAGAGTCATTTTGGTCTTTCTTTCTGTATTACTTTCTCCGTTGACAGAGAAGAAAGACTATAGACTTCCAGGTGTGCGTATGCATATTCAGTAATTGACATGGTTGGACTTGTCCGTCCTGTGCGCAGATGACGAGCAGGCTTGCTCTTTCTCATGCACATATACATGGTCAAAGTGTATGCAGCTGATTAGCAATATATTAAAAACAATTGCATGCCAGTATTCAGACACGCCCTTCACCGCCCAGATTGACCGACTGAAGGATTAGACGAACGCGTAGCTTCGGCCCTGCTGCAGGTCATTCAGGGAAGCAGTAGACGAACGATGCCGAAGCTTTGCAGGCGACCTGGCAAGCTCGATCGATCCTGTATCCCTCGACTCCCGTCTCGCCTGCTGCTGATGTTGCCCTTGCCGCAGCTCAAATCCCTTTGTCAGCTGCGAGTTGTGTCGAAGGCGCAGCGGCCGTGTCTCAAGCTCGTGGTCGTCATCCTCGTCCGTGTCGACGGGGATCGTCTGGACAGTCACCGGGTCGTGGTCGTCGTCGATGAACTCGACATCGTCGAGGCCAGGGCTGGTCGGCGCATCATCTGGCCCGGGCCGGTCGGATGAGTCACGCACGGGTGAGAAGACGCCTATCGATGGTGAACGAGGTGAGCGAGCGAAACTGGCCGTCAGATCTGGCGAAGGGATCGAATCGAACGCCGCAGCCGCACTTGGAGCAACATTCAGCCCGAAAGCAGGGCGCTTGCGCCGCACCTGCGGATACCGCGCTTGTACGCCGTTGACGCCACTCTCGCTGCTGTTCGATTGCCTGCGTTGCATTGTTGCAGCAGGCAGGTCGGTCGGCGTCGAGAATCTGCTCGTGAGGTCATGCAGATCCGCATGCGTGGGATTGGAATTGCTCCGGTTGCGATTGGCATCTCCAGTAAGGTTGGCAGCGGGAAGCAGGGTATCCGGCGCAAAAAAGGTCGAGTCGGCCAGCCCAGACGTTGAGGTGGTGGATAGCGGCCGTACCCCAGATGAAGCCGGTCTCGAGTTGACCACGCCGAGGCCGATGGGACTGCACGGCATCTGCAGCGATGAGGGCTCTGGTGGCAGACCAGCGGATAGCAAAGGCGAGCTGTGCTGAGACAACCCCATCGATCTGGCCCCCACCTGCCATTGCAACTGCGAAGATGTGCTCACACGCTTGGGCTGTGCGGTGGAAGGGCGTCGTGGATTCGCCTCTTCCATTGGGGATGACAACGGACCAGTTCCGGAGGCAGAGCCGCCGAAGGACAGTCTTGCAGAGTAATGGGAGCTGCCCGAGGCACCAACACCGTCTGCCACCATCTGGAGGGATTGAACGCTGCCTGGGCGCATCCTCGCCTCGCGACTCGCGGCCTTCGGAGGACGCGGAGGGGGCTTGCCTGATGGCGATAGCAGTTCACTAGATTCGCTCAACAACGACGGCGCCGACGACTCCCGCGGCCGTGCGGCCATCGAATTGGCAGAGAGCGGAAACGAGTCGTGCGTACTGGAAGAAAGCATGCCAGGGCTGTACAGTGAGTCCATGTATGCGTCCACGATTGACGAGTGGCCCGAGATCCGTGTATGCGGCGTGTGGGGAGCTTGCGAAGATTGATTGGATAGAGCAGGCGAAGGAGGCAAGCGGACATCCAGCAACATGGTGGGTCGAGCAACAGAAGGCGCTTCATTGGGCGCTTGTGACTCATCCGTGGAGGTTGCTGTTGCTGTTGGTGGTAGTGGCAACAGCGGTGGCGGCAACGGCATCAGTGTTTCGGGTGCCTCAGCAGCAGGCTGCGAGGCAGCGACAGGACCGGTCGTCTGCTGAATGTTGAGCTTCTTCCCCATATCATCCAAGCTATCTCCCTTGCTCCGGAGGGAAGGGACGCTACCCTTACGATAGACATCCGATGGCGGCGTCGCTGCCTGCTGCGCCCCCCGCCCCGCCGGAACTGGAAAGGCCCTAACCCATGGCCCAAGCCGGCGGGAGCTCGGCGGATGGTGCGGGAGATAACTGCGTGCTGCTTGCGAGTCGCGATCATGAATATTGTCGCTGCTTAGCGCTCGTATTGGCTTGCGACCCCCCAAGCCATCTGTAGACGGTTGAGGCAGAGGTCTGCACGCCATGTCTGCCTCAAATGCATACAAAGGCACAGTCGCGAGTTCTGACCTCGGAGACTGCTCGTACCTGGGGTAATCGTCGTGTGAGGCCGAATATGGAGCCGGCGACGCCATGGGCATGAATGATCCCGCGCTTCCCAGGTGGCCAGCCGAATCATCATCTATGCTTCCGGCCGCCTGTGCGTCCTTCCGCCTTTTCCCCTGGTCTGCCTGCGAAGAAAGGTAAAGTCCTGCGAGCGACATGGCGTCCATACCAGACGCAGGCTTGAATTTGCCTACAATGTGTACATCGCTGTGCACTTTTCGTTGCGACGTTGGGGAGCTGGACGGCAGAGCCCTGTCCCTTGAGCTCGACTTGAGCAGAGAGGTCCCAGTTGAGGAGCCGCTTGCTCCAAAACGCCTTTTGAGCCCGCTGAGCAGGCCATTGTTGCCCAACTTGGCGGAAGGCATCTTTTCTTTGTCATTCACACTCAGATTTCCAATCGGCACGGACGAGCTCAGAGCGATGTTGGCGTATCGGGGTGCGCTCCCTAATGACCCACCAGCCCAGCCGTGCGGTAAGAGCCCACTCGCAATAAGCTTCTCGACCACCTGATCGGTCTCATACGGCTCATCGATCGATTTTTGCTGCGAATCGCGCCGCTCCCACTCTCGTTCCCTTTCCGACAGTGACTGGGAAACGAGATTACTAGATTCGGCTTCACTGTTCGCGCTGGTCAAGACGGATATGCTGTCCATAATGTCCATCGCCCCCGAAGGTACCGCATTCAATGGCCGTCCAGGCGTGCGCGTAAGTGAATAATTCTGCATCGGCATAGGCTGCGCAAAGGGCGAGATGACGGACCGGTTCATGTCCTTCTCCCTGTCCTCCGTGGAGCTGACGCTGCCGCCGTGACCAATGGCGATCGTAAGAGCCGATGGGACCGGCAAGCTGGTAGGAGTTCCGATTTTGTATGCATTGAAAGACGTCTTAAGGTCATCGATGCCCAGCCGCGCAAACCCCAGGTCGATGGGCGACGCCTCCCGGCTGCTATAGTCTCCATCACCAAAGCACGCATTGGAGCGCGAGCTGCTGCGATCGAAACTGCCAGCGCCGCTATTTATATGCAGCTGCTGGGGTGGCGGAGGCAGTGGACCTCGTCGTAAAGAGACAGGTGTAGTGTTAACAGAAATCGTATTCACCTTCCCACTTGCCGTGTTATTACTTGCAGCTCTGGTAGCTGTCCGTGAGCTGGGTCGCTCGCGATCGTCATAAAAGGGTCGGCTCGATGCAACGCTAGCGTTTTCACGATCACTCTCCGGCTCTTCATCAACATTGAGCGTCTCGAAGAGTTCATTGGGCCGGAATTCTAGGCTGCGATCGTGCTCGTTGAAGCGCACCGGCGACGCTAGGATCGGCAGTGCATTCGTTGCTAATGAAGGTGTCGAATGCGGAGATGAACGAGCTCCGCCGTTGGTGTGCGTTGACGACGCAGTGGAGGGTGTGGTCGCCTGCGTTGTGGCGGAGAGCGGCTGAGAGGAGGACGAAGTGTTGGAGTTGATAGAAGGAACTTTGATGTCTGCTGCTGAAAAGCGCAGAAAAGACATGTCCCTGGCGCCACTTGATGGCGCTTTGTCCTTCCCTGGCAGCGCAGGTGGCGCTTGTGGCTTGGCACCAGGCGGCAGTGGCGGGAGCGGCCCGGTAGGAGGGGCTTTTCGCTGAGGAGCAGGCGCCATGCCGCTGGTGAACGACCTGATGGATCTGATGCTGCCATTGTCCGAGTCAATACTCGATCTTCCCTTGTAGCCGCCCCCATGGTCGTTTTGTGACAGCGACGATGAGAATACCGAGGCTAGCTGCGGAGGCGCTCCTGTGCTGGCTGAGCCCTTCAGCGAGGAAATGGAAGATCGCCTGTTGAGAGATGACGATCTTTGTTTTGCAGATGAGCCAGCATTCCCACCACCGCCACTGGAGCTTGCACTGGGCCGATGGCCAGTCGCGGATGGAGGTCGTGAGGAGTGCAGACCGCGATGACCACCAGCTCTCGGGGGATAAGCATTGCGTCCAACACAACTAGGATTCGGGGCATGACCTCGCGGTGAGCGGCCGTACGAATCGTCTCCGCCCGCTGACAGCGCTGAGAGCGAAGCGGAAGACGAGCTGCGTTGCAGCTTCCCGTGACTGTGCCCATGAGAGGAGCTGTGTCCATCTGCACTGCCATTGGCGCTCGACCCAGGGCCACGCTCTCGAGCAATCTCTTCGAGGAAGTGCTCGTCATTCTTTTGAACCCGCAAGGAAAGGAAAGAGCGGTCATTCAGAGCGTGAGCAATGCTCTGCGGTCGCTGAACAGCTACCGAGGAAATGCAACACTCACATTGTCCCACATGCCGTCGTCGATACTGTCGATATGAACAGTCTTGTCTCCGAACAGCGCCTTCCATCTGGCCTTTGCATCTCCAGCGCCTTTCGACAAGCTGCTGCTTCGGCTGACACTATTGCTCCCACTGGTGCTGGCATTGGTGCCGCAGTCAGTCCCTCCAGCGAGAGAGGGTCGCTGAGGACCGGACATGGCCGCGAAATGAGACGAAGGCGCCGACAAACGTAGCCGGCGGCTACGGCTTCGAGCTGTTTGTGCCCAAGGCCCTCGACGTCGATCTCAGACGGAGCAGAGGTGGAGGAGACAGCAATTGAGGCAGAAGCGTTTTGGAGTCTGAGCCAACAGGCGGCGACTCGCAGATCCGAGCGAGCGCCTTAGTCCGTGACTCGCTTTCACGAGCAACTTCCGGCACAGGCGAAGAGCAATAGATGTTCCGCAGCTAAACGTGATACGGCATGTTGAAGATAGCGCTTGCAGATATCAGAGGTGACCAACGCCGTCAATGAGACGAAGAGCGCATCGGAAACGTCTTTGCCGATCAGAGCTCCAGAGCGGCGGAAGGCGCTACCATAGATGTAGCAATCCTCGCGCGGCTCGAGTCTTCGAAACACCCGCTTCAACCTCGCATTGAAGACACAGCAGGATGATTGCGACGCAAAAGTCGCGTCGTATCAATTACCCGTTTAAAGGGACAAGTCACGCGGCCAGTTGATACAGGCTGCTGCTGATCTCTGCGTGAACGAGGTTGGAGAACGTGCTCTAGACCTGCACTGGCAGTCGCTCAGGACTGCCAAGTTAGCCAGCCAAGGGACACGCGATGAGGGCACAGACCCTGGTGAGGCCTCGTTGCGGATGCGACAGAATGAATGGAATCGTCCTGGAATGTAGATGGAATGGAACGCATAGCAGAGTAGCGTATATTAGAAAGAGGAAGCAATGTAAGCGACCAGTGTAAAGAACATGTGCTTTGGGCTCTGGATCTGGATCTGGTTGGCAGACTGGAGCACCAGCAGCAGGGCCGCAGAAATCTCCGTCGGCCTGTGCAATGCGCAGTATGAATGCACTAGAGCAGCGTGTGGGCGTGCGCCGCATGTGGGACGCGTCAGCCGCCGGGGCAACACTTCATTCCATCCTGACCATCGTCGCATGATTACCTCGCTTTCATCGCCGCCGAAAGGGCCCCGAGAGACGCCTGCCGAAAGCAATCACAATGGAAGACAATCTTGTGGACGTTGTACCTCCTGATACATACTGGTCGGCATGGCACTTGCGGTAAATCTAGTTAATTGAGTGCGCCTGTCAGGAATCGGACGGTTCTGAGTAGCGAACTAGCCACTGTTCGAGAACCAAACCTGCTCTCCAAGGCTACAAGGTTGGACGTAGTTTATAACTAATACAGTGTCCAGGATAGGGACCAAGAGGCGAGCTCATGGGCAAAAAGCCTGAGGTCAAGGCAGGATTCAGTTTGTTAACAACATTAATAAGATGACACACAGAGGGAATGCAGAAATGAAGTGGAAGCCTCGAAGTCCAGGAAGGTCCCCTTCGAAAGCTAGGAAGCCCCCCCCCGAAGTGGAACCCTGTACTCTGTCAACATACATCTAGCTATACGTATGCAGGGCGCCAGCACTCCCAACAGCGGGCCGACCATTCTGCTGGCCGTCGGCGCATGCGCCTGGGGAGCTCGTCTAATGCATGGCACACATTCGATGCAGCCTATATTAACACAGGTGGCCGGTGGAAGCGCTGAACCTACACAGAAATTCTTTCCCATGTTTCGGACATTTTGGCAAGCCAGGCCGCAGAGGTGGACCCTCCGACGTGTTTGTTGGTTCCTTGGCTTGTGGCACCTGGTGCATACAAATAGACCACCAGAATTGTATGACTGCAACTGGCGACGCAGCAGTGTGCCACTCTTACCACTTTGTGCGCTTTCGGATCCACTTTGGTTTAGGTTGAATCCACACCAAAGCGATCTCAAGCCTCGAGAGCGCCACAAAGCTAAGTTGGATCAGCATGTACAGAACCCAGAATGATGACAAACCAAGGACGGGCTAGTCATGAGCCGACAAAAGTACACATGCATATGCCTCGAGAGAGTCATCTCAGAGCATTCCTACTTCCTGATTTCTGATTCATGGGTTAGTCGCAGTTCATTCCGATTTTGCAGCAGGCTTCACAGGGTTGGTCAATTTCCTCTTGGGGAAAGGAAACCGACTTCTTGGAATAGATTTCGCACGCGGTCGCCAGCATAGCAGGCATTTTTAACATACACTTGAGCGAGAAGCCGATGAGCCTTGCCAACGAGCTTCGCTGCACTTGCAAACCGGCTGCGGCCACGCCCAGCGACCTCTCAGCGACAGGCTGCCGGCTGCCCGAGGCTGCTCGTTGGACCCCGGGACGAATGCAGCGTATGACTGTAGACGAATGTATACTCTAATTTTAGAGATCGCTTTCATAGCGCAGCTCGCTTCGTTCTTTGCTCTACCATATACATCTTGCCGCGGGTATCTGGTCTCTCGGGTCTTGACTCTCGAGAATTTCGTGATTCGACAACTGCATTCAGTTTGTGCATCGTAACATAGTCCCATGATCGACGGTGCTCGGAATTTGGACCTTGCATCCTGTTGCTTCGAAAGCTGCTATGGGCCTCTGTATTCGAACGCTCGAAGCGTTACGTATGAACCCACAGGTACCAACCCACCTTGCAAGCGAGCTTTACATGTGGAGAATGCTCGAACGGCTGACCATCACACGTCCTGTTTTCAGTGCTGATCTGAAGAAAAAAAAGCACATGTACTCCATAAACAACCGTTTGAGATCGATGGAATCCATGGGTCCCCCACAAATGCGTTTTATGACAGACTTCTTCGGGAGACGTGCTTTTCAAAGAGGGTCCAAGAGCCTTCCATACACGAATTGTCGAGCTTCAGTTATTTGTTTCCATGATGATATAAACATCCCTTGCGTACAGGACAGAAAGTCCACATCGCTCTGATCCATTTCCAGATCCTTCAACCTTTTGCAGCTCTTTCTTCACTTGCCGGAGCTAGCCTTGGAGCTCTCATACTGAACGATCAGCTTCTCCACCACAGATGGGTCGCCGAGGGAGGAAACATCGCCAAGCTGGCCTCCCTCGCCGCTTGCGATCTTCCGCAGAATACGTCTCATGATCTTCCCGCTGCAGTACCGAACAAACAGCGAAGAGAGCATATCAGCCGGGATCAAGTACGCCGCACCTTCCAAGCACCTGCACTACGCACCTGCGAGTCTTGGGCAAGTCCTGCGTGATAACAATCTTCTTTGGCGCGGCGAAAGGACCAATGTTGCGCCTGACCTGGATGACGAGCTCCTTGATGAGCGCGTCCTCGTTGTCGTAGCTGAAGTCAGGCTTGAGCGTGACATAAGCACAGATCGCTTGACCCGTCAGCTCTTCCGCAATGCCGACGACAGCCGTCTCCGCGACACCGGGGTGGCCGATGAGAGCCGACTCGATCTCGGCTGTCGAGAGACGATGGCCGGAGACGTTGATGACGTCGTCTACACGACCCTTGATCCAGATGTAGCCATCCTTGTCGCGAGCGGCGCCATCCCCGGTAAAGTAGTAGCCCTTGTACGGGGCCATGTACGTTTCGAGGTATCGTGTATGATCGTTGAAAATGGTGCGCGCCATCGAAGGCCATGGACGCTTGATGGCGAGGACACCTTCAACATTGTTGCCCTCGAGCACCTGGCCGGTTGTCGGGTCCAAGAGCACAGGTTCGACGCCCCAGAAAGGGAAAGTTGCACTGCCGGGCTTGACTTTGGTCGCGCCAGGAAGCGGCGTGATGAGGATCGAGCCCGTCTCGGTCTGCCACCAGGTATCGACGATGGCGCACTCCTTTCTGCCAACGTTTTCGTTGTACCAGTGCCACGCTTCTGGGTTGATAGGCTCTCCGACGGACCCGATGACGCGCAGCGAAGAGAGATCGTGCTTCTTGACATGCTCCTCGCCCAGCCTCCTGAGCAGACGAATTGAGGTCGGCGCAGTGTAGAACTGCGTCACCTTGTGCTGGTCGACCATCTCCCAGTATCGTGATGGCGTCGGGTATACCGGCGTGCTTTCAAATATGAGCGTGGTGACGCCGTTCATCAACGGGCCATAGACGATATAAGTGTGACCAGTAATCCAACCAATGTCCGCCATGCAGGCGTATTTATCGTTTTCATGGACGTCAAAGACATGCTTGACAGTCAAGGCTGCGCCGAGAAGGTAGCCACCAGTGGTGTGCACGACACCCTTGGGCTTGCCAGTGGAGCCAGAAGTGTAGAGGATGAACAGCGGGTCCTCGGCCATGACGGGCGTCGGTGCAGAGTAAGCGCACTCCTTGGCGCACTCCTCGTGCCACCACAGGTCACGCTTCTTGTTCCAACCGACTTCGTTGCCGGTGCGCTTGACGACAAGGCAGTGCTCGACGGCAGGGCACTCCTTGAGGGCGGCATCGACAATCGACTTGGTAGCGATCGTCCTGCCGCCGCGACGGCCCTCATCCGTCGTAATGACTACACGCGCACCGCAGTCATTCGCGCGGTCACGGAGCGAGTCGGCAGAGAAACCAGCAAATACGACAGAGTGAACTGCACCGATGCGAGCGCAGGCAAGGAGCGTGATGGCAGCTTCTGGAACCATGGGCAGGTAGACGATGACAGTATCACCCTTCTTGACCCCAAGCTTTTTGAGCACATTAGCAGCCTGCGAGACCTCTCTCAGGAGCTGGCTGTAGCTGATTTCTTTGGAATTGCCAGGCTCATCAGCTTCAAAAATGATAGCGGTCTGTGAAATGGTCAGAATACTGCCATTTCGCGCATTCATGCTCTCCTCTCACCTTGTTGGGGTTCTTGAACGCCCAGCGATCGACGCAGTTGTAGGACGCATTGAGCTGTCCCTCTGGGAACCAAGCAACATCACCGGACTCGAAATTCCCATTCTGAACAGTGCGGAAAGGCACCTCCCAAGAGATAGTCTCATTTGCGAGCTGGAAAGAGCGCATCGTTTCAGCAAGTGCTTCCTATTCGCCTCATCTTCGGATGCATAAGCTTCTAGAAAGCGGGTCAATGACCTCCATCACTCTCTGTGCCCATCCAAGTCCGACTACCTTCACTACAGGGTCATGTCCTCACGATCCACATCCATCCTTGAGAGAGACGAACCAGCGCTGTCGCCTCGTACAAGCAGAGCAGAAGTACCGCATCTCTCGATCCGTGATTCCCGCTTCTTGATACAGGCCAGTGGATCACATTGAGGCGAGTCCGAAACAAAGCCCAAGGCTAGGGCAGACCTGAGGTTGGAAGTGTCGTATGCGAGCCCTAACACCTCGGCACACTCGAACTCTCCTTCTTCCAAAGGCTTCGGCGGGGAGCCACAAGCCCGCGGCGCCCCACATCGCGATCGAAAAGGACAGAAGAGCTTTAGCGAGCATCTCACCTTTGCCCAGAACGCTTCACTGTCGTTGAGGGACGCGGCGTGGTTCTTCTGATAGGTGGCCTGGTCGATGTGAGGCTTGATGTTAGCACCCGAGCCCTTGCCTCGCTGCCGAGCGGGGATGTCGAAAGTGGGCACTTCCGGAACCTCAGCCATTGTTCGTGCTCGCGTTGTTCGAGATCTCAGATGAATTCGTGATGTCGTGAATGAAAGAAGCAGAGGAAACCTCTGCTACACTGGCCCTGGACAAGCTGCAATCCGTGTTGATGTGTGCAGTGTATGTAGGTAGGGGTAGGATGCAACCCAAAAAGAGAGACGCGCAGAGGGATGGAGATAGCGGAGAAGATGCAGCCTTTATATGCTGAGAACGTTGATCACGCCCATGGAAGATGTTCGATAGACGACATACATCTGTTTGCCACTGGTGTCCCGCTCGAGCGCTCAAGCAATGTACAGTAGCCGAGCGCTGACTATCTACAAACAGACCACGTCTGACTCTCCTTGCTTGGCTGGCAAATATGGCCGCATGGAGCCTGGCTCTTGCGTGATACGACTGAACAGAAATGCGCAAGTCTTCTCCTCACCGCTGACCGCAATACCATCATTCGTCGTTTCTGGTCTACTCCTGTTCGATCACATCACCGCCTCGCCAGCACTGTAAGTAGATTTAGATGACTTGAGTGTGCGCTAATGCTGCATTGCTCTGGTGGTTTGAGGAGGTCCCGTCCGCACGCCTGCAATTCAATTCTCGCGCAAAATCCGACTTTTCCGGGGTGCGCACAAGCCATCTGTCCCGCACACAGCACACCAGCTCTTCGTCCGTTTTCCTTTTGAGCCTTTGATAAACAACTAGAGAGGACCTTGACCACTGTACAGTAGTTTACGCTGGTCGCTGTGGGCGAGCTCATAACACCCGGCCGAGTCGGAACGGCAAATCCATAGCAAGAAAGCCATGGCAAATGCACCGGGGAGGGGGTCCTTGATCGCCTGCCGTCGCAATCGAATTTTGGTCGAGGTCGATGACGCTGCGGCGAAAAGGTCGGGTATGTAGAGAGCACAATAGCTCACAAGGGCTGCTTCAACATCATATTCCCGCACCCCTTCTCGACTCTCCGAATGCCTTGCAGGCCTGTACAATCAGATTCTCGAGTAGTAGAGGCGGAGCTGCTGCCCAAGTTGGAGAAGTTGGAAGGTTCCTCTGACTCCCCCCGACAATGCCCCAGAGGCCAGAGCAGCCTAGATAATTTAAGGTCCACTTGGGCACGTTAAAAGTCTCTTAGCGCTTTAGCTTTAAGAGTGCGTGAGCAGCTAGTCGACAATTTTTATTGACATGCTGCTGCGGCCCGAAAAATTGTGTGAAAAGGCTCTGACGAGCACCAATAACTCATACATGCCTATTGTGCAACCGCATCAGCCACTGTGAATATCTTCGCTTCCGGCAAAGACTCTTATGGAGACATTTCGCTTCAAGCACCCTGCATAGAAAGGATGCAGATTGCTGCCAAACAGCGAGCTACAGAAGCTTTTCATAGTCGAATCAACAATAGAGAAAGGCGAGCGAAGTGGCGTTCTTTACCCCTCCTCAGAGTCTCGGACCTCGTTGCAACTCATCAAGTCTTCAGCAGCGTGGACCGACATAGTAAGTGGTGAATGAGCAATGTGCGTTGTAATGACGTTCGCAGCTCAATCGTTTCAGGCTCTCCTTTTCTGAGGAGAGACGTTGCAATATGTATATCCTCCTCCTTGAGATGTGCTGCAATGGCCAAGGCCCTGGATGAGCACGGCCGTGCTGAAACGTTTCTTGGTTGATTGAATGTGTGTATTTTGCGGCGGCCAGCATCCCCTCATCTCAGTGAGAACTCCTTGTCGTACCTCAATTCTCTATCATATATTTGATCTCACTCAAACTCATCCACTTTACACCTGCGTAGCGCAGGACGCACCTTCCGAACAGCAATAAACCACCTAGCAAACCTGAACCGAACCATGTCCTCGCATCCGCAAACCAAAGCGCTTCGCCTGGTACTCTGCAACCTCGGAACGAGCCGTGCCTTTCGCATAACCTGGCTACTCGAGAAGCTCGGGCTCAAGAAAGCCGCCAGCCATCGGCCGCGGTCGGCATGTCCTGAAGGGGTCTTCAATGACGGTCAGGGCTGACCATGTTCCTTTTCGTGTCGTTGTTGCGTTGAGTTAGGTCTCTCTTCCTCCTGGCCTTGTCGCCCATTACTTGATCGCACCAATATCTCTCCGCCTGCTCGGAGCCTAGCTAACTGACATGAGTACCAAAACAGGCGTCAAGCGAAACAAAAGCCGCGTATCATTCTCGACTATGGCCCCGTCAGTCAGCAACACAAGGAGCCCGTGACAGCCTAGGAGAGTGCATAAATTCTTCAGTGCCTCTCTTGTTCGTTTTCTGCTGATCCACTAGCTTGGCCGCCGCGATTCTGTTTCGTCCGCCCCGGAACGCCTTTGTATGCGAAGATATGTGATCTAGAAAGGAGCATCAAAGCGACTTGATCCGCCGTTCTTTTTCTGAGTCTGGTTAACACCATTTCCTTTAGAAGTCGCTACGGTCAGCCCACGACCTTCCTTCCTTCTCCGTTTATATGATCTGATGCGGTCTGCGGGCAACTCAGGCAGGACATCCCCTCGTGGACCAATTTGCCTATTATGTCATGTTGCACTCTCTCGCCATCGTCTATGCTCGCTTGTTTGCACGCAACATCTTAAAATGCGATGCTGATGCGAATGGCCACATGGGGGAACCAGTGAGTGGAAATGTGGTAAAAGACTTGGGCGCAATAGAGGAGCAGCTCAAAGCGAATGTCGAGAAACTTAGAGGATGATCTCGTTGGCCAAAATATGAGTGTTGCTGGCATCAGTTAGTCAAGGCAAAGACTAGCGAGAGGTAGTGCTGGCGCTCATGCCCCGCGCGTTGTAAGCGATGACTTTCCCTGCCGAATGACATTGCCAGCAAAAGCAGGTACGAGTATCAACCACGGGGCCGACAATTGAGAAATGACTCAAACTGCTCGAACCAAGTCCTGCGTATCAAAGTGAAATGAAGAACGGCGTTGCACACCGCTTCTGCCTTTTGAGCCAATGTTGAAGCAATGCATGTTGGTTTGCAACTCATTCTGTATTTATTCATGGGAGATGACAAAATGCAACAGTGTGCATGTCCTGATGCGTCCGAGCGCATGCAAGCCCAGGTTCGAGGATATCAGCAAGTATCTCGCGGCGGCACATCAGCTGGCCTAGATAGCACCAGCGACTTTCGCAGCTGCTTTGGCAGCGACGGCCTTGTGACTACCATTGAAGATGCCTACTACGAGAGCCCAGCAGAGCGGAAGCTGTGCAACAGCGATCGCAAAGAGGAACTGAATGCGCTTGGAACGTTGCGCATGGGTGATAGTCACGCTAGACGGTGACGATGGATCCGGAAGGACGACGTATCGCAAAGAGCGCAACTGTGGAAAGCGGTAATGAAGCAAGCCGCATGGTAGTGAAAGGGTCAGCGATACGACGATCCGTTGGAAAAAGCCATGGAGGACTACATACGATAAAGAAAGCGTTGGCCGAAAACGTGTATAGGAAGACGCCCCAATACACCATTCCCTCGAAGCCGAGCAATCCCACAAGAAGCGTGACAAGTGTGCCGACGAATTTGTAGCCGGCGTATGCGACCAGGTCGACAACCGTATGATCGCCTTGGATGTTGAGCAGGTAGCAGCCGAGCTTGACAAATGAAACTTCGAGGAGAATGATTGCGAGGGCTCGTGACGATGTCAGGCCCAATTGCTCAGGGTGGAAGCGCGATTCGAGCCCGTGAATGGTGGCAATGACCAGAATGTACGTGACGAATGCCATGGCTACGGAGAGTTACAGTTCTTCAGTATTGCACTCTGCAGCTCCGCATTCAGGCTAGCGGCTCACAAGGGATGTAAAGATCAGGACTATTGACGTCCTCTCGTGGGGGCAGATAGCCCTCGCCTCCGTTCTTACCCGCCGCCGGTCCGGGAGATTGTGCATGTCCGTCCATGCCGGCATACGCGCTGGCTGTGCTTGCAGATCCATTTCCGTGGCGGTGGGAGCGCGACCATGGCTTATGCCGCCAAGGGAACAGGACGAGACGAAGCTTGTGGAGCACATACGAATTCGACACGTTGAATGAATACTTGAGGGCTGGAAGCGAGAAGAACCGATTGATCTAATAGGAGCAGAAAATATCAGCGTATACACACGGCAATTAGGAAAGACGGCTAGCTCGCACATTCTTTTCCACGTAGTCACCACCTGCTGCTGCAATTTGTGCTCCAAATTGCATGCCCATTTGCGCGGTTGCATCATTCATAATGCCACCCATTGGACCTCCTGCACCAACCCAGCCTCCGTACGGCCCTGCGCCAGATACTCCACCGCCAACTTGCATGCTGCCTGAAGGCGCAGCGCCGCGCCCATCCCCGCCTTGATAGAACATGCCTTGCTGCATGGACCCCCCAAAGCTGCTGGCTGCCGCAGTGCCCGGGCCGCCGTAAGGATTTGCCTGATTGATGGGCGGTGAGCTGTATCGCACGTACCCGTCGCCCCCTAGCGCATTATCCGTGCTGCCATGCGCGCGAGGGCGAGCAGAGGAGGTGTGTGGATCAGTGGGAGACGTGGACAAGGGCGCCCCATTAGAGGGTGTCGGCGTGATTGGTGGGTCTGGCACTTTTAATGGTGGATGGGTGGGGACCGGATGACGAAGGGGTGGCTGTGTGCAGGTCGTGGACACAAACGTATCAGGTCAGCTTTTGTGCAGTATAATTCTGACGACAGAAAAACTGACAGGTGATCGTGACGAGTACTAAGCAGAGGAGCATGGAAGCGATAACGACAGCACGTAAGGTCGGTCATGAGCATATGGACACGCTTAGAAGTATCATCGGTTCTTATTTTTGCAGCTCGCATCCCCCTCACCTGGCTCATGACTGCCTGACTTGGTCCCCTTCTTTCTCCCTCTCTCTCGATTTTCGTGCAGCACCAACTTTAAAAGTATCTCAGCCCGTAGTGCTGATATTCTTGATGCGCATTTTCCTCGAGATGCTGCGACGCTGGCAACACGGATAGGTCATGGACCACATTCGCGTTTCGCACACGATATATTCAAACGCCGCGGCGCAACAACGGACACATTATACGCAGCTTGCAGTCTCGCTTGTTTAGTTCCATTATTTCAGACCCAGCTACAAAGTCGAGCCTTCCAGCTGGTTCGCAAATCACACTTATCGACTTGAAGAACTTCAAGCCGATCACAATTCCTTTCCTCCTCACCACCATCACCAGCAAGCTACTTGGCAAAGCTAGAAAAGATGCCGAAGGTAAGTGCTGGATACACTCGTACGCAGGATCAGTTCCAAGATGGGCGTGTACGAGCGTCTTCTAGCCTCTCTTAGAAGGGTCAGCTGTGTTGGAAGGTTGCGAAGCATTTTGATCAACATGGTCGTGCAATTAGCCACTCAGCGTAGCAGCTTTGCCTTGGCAGTCTGGTTAACAGGCGCCACGGCCAAGCATTGGGCAGCAATGAGCTACGGCAGGCATATTCGGTAGAGCCTGGATGATTTCGTCACTAGCATATTCGCTTCGAAATGCCCGCGTGACCAAGGGAACACTTTATAGTCGTCAACAGTCTCAGCTTACCGACATTTTCACTTTCCCCCGCACTTGTGCTGCTCAGAACAAGGGAAAGGGTGGCAAAAACCGCCGACGTGGTAAGAACGAGAACGAAAGCGAGAAGCGAGAACTCGTCTTCAAGGAAGATGGGCAAGGTGAGCATACGTGCAGCGTTCCCTGGTGCATTGCAAAGCCTCCGTTCTGATCTGTTCATATATCTTCAGAGTATGCGCAAGTACTGAAGATGCTTGGTAACGGACGTCTAGAAGCACAATGCTTCGACGGCGAAAAGCGGTTGGCACACATTCGAGGCAAGCTTCGCAAGAAGGTCTGGATCAACCAGGGAGACATCATTCTTTTGTCGCTGCGTGAATTCCAGGACGAGAAGGCGGACGTTATTCAAAAGTACTCGCCAGACGAAGCGCGTGAGCTGAAGAAGTATGGTCAACTTCCTGAGAACGCCAAGATCAACGAAACCGAGACGTACGGCGACCAAGACGAAGGAAGCGACGTCGAATTCGAGGACAGCGATGAGGATGCTTCGGATGACGAGGATCTCGACGACCTTTAGACGCCCGGCTAGTTGCGATCTTCACCTCGAGAATCGTAGCGGCTTTTCGCACACTCCGCAGATGTTATCCTTTGCCGTTTTCAGCGCCTGTAGTATTTGTCTATTCAAAAAAGCAGCGAGGTAAGACTCTCACTTCATGTATGAGACCGGAATGCTACACGTATCCTCCCTGCTGGCCGCTGGCGACATCCTCCTTCGCAGCTTCGTCAAGTGCGGTCAAGTCCCACTTGCCGCCACCCACGTAATCTTTGAAGAGCTCGGTACGGGGATGCATATTGCTTGTATCAAGTGCACGCAACAGCGCCAGCAACTGGCCTACTACTTCCTTCGCGGTGTCACCCTGTTGCAAAAGCGCGAGCAGAGGCTCCAACCAGACGCGGGCAAATATATTGAGCATGGGGTCGTCTCTTTGACCTGTCGCACCCTGCATGAGGCGCACATGAGTCGCCTGTAGTGCCTCAATCACTGCACCAGGACCGGCTTTCAGCAGCTCGTGTACGTCAGTATAGACCCTGAGCGACAAGGCCCAATGCCGATAGAGCGGGAAGCAAAGACTGCGCCGGAAACTAGCGATTACCGCAGCGAAGAGTGCACGCTGCGGGGCGGAAGGCATTGTGGGATCTGCAGAAGCGGCCAGGGCCATCGGCGAGACGGGCGATGCGAACCAGCAGAGAGGTCGTGAGAGTGCACTGATCGTCCAACCTGATTCAATGGTCGGATCTTCGAAGTTAGTCCGCTGGTCGTAAGCATATGCAAAGAGCAAGGTCCAGAGCAGGCATAGTGCTTCGAGATCTTCATCTGCCACTGTCGCTTTGCCGTCCTTCGCCGCAGCGTCGGTTGCTTGTGCCGAAGGGTTCGATAGCTGCACAGTGTAGTCCACGATGGCCGTGATCTCGCCTTCCATGTCGAGATAGTTTTCTCTGTGCAGTTGAGGGAGGTCAGGGGATGCTGGGGTTCCATACAGGCCAGCAAGTCGAAACTTACAAGTACCACCCTTCGTCCCACTTGTTCTCTTCGTCGTCCCACGCCCCTTTCTCCCGCAGCTCCAGCGGCACGCTCGACGGATCCGCATGTTTCAGCCCGTAAGCGCGACTGCACTCCACAGCTTGAGGATCGAGAGGTTCGTGATGAGCGCGACGAAAACCATATCCTATTCGCGGGCCTGTTGCGGTGACATGGGACGTGCTCGTCAAAGGATTAGCATCCTCAGCGCGATGGGAAGTTGTAATGCCATCATCGGCCCTGTCGTCGTCCGTCGACAGCATGAGACCAGGTTGCCCTTGCAAAAATCTGCTTTCGTTTTCCTTGCTTAACGCACGCTTGAGCATGTCACACGTCAAGCTGCGCAAGCCATCGCTATCTTTCGTTTTTAAGTTCGAGTGGCCGCTGTTACCATCGATATTCCCTGCTGCTGCTGATGCTGCAGCGGCATCACTGGCGCTGGCCAAAGCTTCGACTGCGGCCGGGGGTAAGATCTGAGGCTGCAAATCTTCAAGTCCTTCAAAATGCTCTCCCTTGTTTGCTTTGCGTAGTGTCACGCTCCAGCATAGAGAGCTGGAGGACCCCGATAGCGGTGGCTCAAGCTTGGGTTCGTTTTGCACGGGTGCAGGTAGGAAGAGTCTGTCAGGGAGAGTGCGCACCATGCAGTCTGGAGTCAGTCTTTGAGTCTTTGCTTCTGTTTGTGCCTAGTTGCAGCTCCAACAACAGCAAACAGAAGGGAAGCGGAGCTCACGCACGCACGGCAAGTAATAGTCACCCATAACGAAGCCAAACGCTCTGTCCTCGCTGACGACCCTTGGCACTGTGGCGGCGGCGATCGAACTGTCCGATGAAGATGGAACGCGCACTGAGAGGTAGACATGGTCGCTGTCTTGCGAGATTTCATATGGCGGCACCACGAAGCCTGCGGGTGAATCGTCTGCCATGGTCGATGTGAACGCAACAATGCTGATTACTTGGGAAGTCAAATGGCTGCTCGCGCAAGCTATATCTATGAGAATAGGCACGAATACCGTTCAGACCAGCAGGAACTCGGATGAATCAACTGGATGGTCCGGACTGGTAGAGACAGTATACACTCATATATGCCGGATTGCTGCTACAAGAGCGACGAATTTCGAAGAAGCGAGCCTTGTCGGATACACGGCGTACTGGATACATGTGTGTTGCGTGCCGCGTGAAGCAAATAGCGATCATTTCCAGGCTTGAGTGTCATTTTCCTATCTACTTCCTGTGACACGTGTGACCTAATTCCTCCTTCACAAGTCACAACACAGCTCATTGATTGTGAGCTGAACTTTATCTCACATTCATGATTGCCCCAGCCTATTTTGCGAGCGAGTATCGTGACTATTATTGCCCCTAGACTGCTTCTTTTTGCGCGGCATCAGACTACATGCTGGACTTGCAGAGCCTAACTCGGCGAGCTTAGAACTTGTACCTATGAAGATTCAATGAAGTCATTAGGAAAGTCCAAGCAGTCAGCAGCCGAAACTTCGAGCTCTGTACGCAGTCACGCGCCCATAAAGAGGGAGGAGGGGATAAGCTCACACTTGGGAAGGCTGGTAGCCAGCGTCAGCGAGCAAGCCCTTGAGCTCGCCCTGGCTGCCCTTAGGACCCTTGCCGCCTGAGATGGCCTCGACTTGTGGCGGTGGGCCGCAGACGAAGAGTTTGATGCGGTCTGCCTTGTCGGGTGCGGGTAGGTACTTGCTAAGTATCTCCGGTGTGATGTAGCCCGTGAACGCCGCGGTGCGGCTTCCCTTGGTAGCCAAGTCAAGTCCGTAGATGATCTTGTACTTGTCCGGGTTCGCCTTGGCCAGCTTGTCAAACTCCTCGCGGCAGAGTATGTCCTGCTCGGTCTTGTTCGTGTAGATCAGCGTGAAGCGTGTTTTATCCTCTGGGTTATCACGGATCGCTTGAACAAGTTGCAGCATGGGCGTGATGCCGGACCCGCCGGCGATGCATGCAATCTCCTCAAACTCATTTGCCTGGTACTGGAATTTGGGGATCGGACCTTTGATTGCAATCTTGTCGCCAGGCCTGAGATCGAGCGTGTACTTGGACATGTTACCGTTGCTCTGCAGAGACGAGTGAGCAAAGGTTGTGCTCGCGTGTCAGCCGCAGCGTCACACGCGGCCCCTCCCCCACAACCAGCGCGCGGACTCACGTATTTCTTGATCAAAAAGTCAATGTGGCCCTGTGTGTCGGGTGTGGTAACCGGGGTGTATGGGCGTATGATGTCCTTGCCGTTCTTGTCCTTAAGCGGCGCAGCTCCCTCGGCGGCCTTCAAGAGGACGGCAGAGGCAACGGAAAGTCCAGAAGTCTGGTTGTCTGGCAGTTCGAAAACCAGGCTGCAAGACAAAAGACGCACGGCAAGGGACTCGGGTATGTCAGCGACCATTTCAGGGCGCGCGATACCGGAGCGGGAAGTAAACGCACGTAGCACTGTCATGGTTGTACGGCTTAATCTCCTTGAGCGTGAACTCCTTGAAGGTGCTCTTGTCCAAGGCACCGCTGACGCTTGTGGCGCCGGCCTTGGCCTGGCTCTTGGCGCTCTCCGCAAGCTCCTTTGCGTTGTTTTTGGCCTTGTCCGTCGAGTTGAAGCCGCCGAGCGCGTACCAACCCCCGAGGCCGGCCAGCCCCCCGAGACCGAGGACTAGGGGCAAGTTCGAAGAGTTGCCAGCGCCGCCGGAAGATGAGGCGTAGGCGCGCACCTGGGCGCGGGCGCCTTGGCCGCTTGATCGGCAGGCACATGCGGCGAAAGTGATGGCTGGGCGAATCATGGTTCCTGCTGTGAGAGGCGTGTGTGCTGCGATCGGTTCGGAGCTGGAAGTTCAAGATGGAGGAACGGGAGGTTGCTCTGGTCTGGCTTGGGGAGCAGATGTATCTATCGCAACAGATAAATTTGAATGCCGGCGTCGTGAGAAAGAGAATGTCTTTCTTTTGATCAGGATGCGACGCTGACGAGATGCAGCACGCAACTCTCTCTTTAGTGGGGGGGTGGACTGCTGTTGGACCATATAACCCTGGTTGGCTCGGGAGTTTGAGAATTTGGAAGTGTGGTGTGTGCCACCTGACTTGCTCGTTCCCATCACACACGGCTGACGTCAACGGAGAGAAAGACTTGGTTTTGGAGAGGAGGCAGCCCTTGTAAACCCCGCCTGAGCCCCGCCCTGGGGCCTTGGCCGGTGCCGCTTGACCGTTGTCTCCTATGAGTACAGCGATAAAGAGTCGCGTGTCCATGCCGAAAAGCGCGCCAGTGCCCGATGCTCTCACGACCCACCGCCCAGCAGCGCCAGCGTGTTCCACATCTACCCCGTCCCATTCCACTTTCTCAGCCAAGGTCGATATGGCACAAAAGGTGTTACGGATGGTTCAGGTAGGGTGAGTAACATTCGAGCTGTCAGCGCGAGCCTCGGCGAGGCCCAATATCTGTAGCATGGAAATGCCTGCGTGCTGTGCAACGCTATTGTGACGCAAGCACCGCGACGGCTGCTCGCACCTCCACGCACGGCGACACTAGCTGAGACCACTACAAGGCCCCCTGGATTCGCCTTGATCCAGACCCACAGGTAGCTGGCCAGCGCTTCTTACACCGCTAGTGGAAGCACTGTGGGCCAAGCTTAACACCAACCGCTTACGTTTTCTTCTCAGGAGGAACGTCCAGAGCACGTCCCGGCGTGCCCTCGGCCCTAATAAGCTCGTGCGACCCAACAAATCCTCGCGCGAGCAGCAGCACCCAACAAGCAAGCAGGCTCATCAACTTGCATCGCGTCCGGAGGTGAGGGTGTGTCAGGAGCTCTCGCAGAGTCACCTTCAGAATCATCAGCAGCTATGCGCGACAGCAATGCGGGTGACGCCCTAGTTGCCGACAGCTGCCGTCGCGGCGGGCGTCTCTTCCGCGCGCCTTTGTCCAGCGATGCGTCGGTGGAGCATTTCAAGACAAAAGGCAGCGCTGGGTCCAGCTCCGACTCCAGGTCCGTCGCTTGTTCTTCCAGCCGACATCAATCAGGAGCAGCGGAGCTGCACTTGCGGCCACACACCAGCACATCCGGCCTGCGGATAGAGGCGAAAGAGCAGGCCTACTTCGACGCATTGCACCAGCAGCTGGTCGATGGGCACGAGAATCAAGGGCGCCAAGCTCTATTCGAGCAGTTTCAGCCTCAAAGAAAGCAGTCCGCTTCCGCGCTTACCTCGCGCGATGCCTGCACCAGCATCTTTCCCGAACAACTGGACGTGATCCGCGCCAGCGATGCCAATGCACCCGGCGTTCCACTTTCACAATGCGTCGGAGGGACAGGAAAACCATCGCGCATACGGTGGCGTTCAAAGGCCAGCGGCAAGACGATTGCCAGTGAGCGGGCAAGTGGCAACGGGCGGAAACAGCCGCGGCTGCAAGGTGACATCCCTGCTCTTGGTAACCTTGGTAGTGCTGAGACGCGGACGTCTCGGCTGCACCACAACGACGAGGGATCTTCAACGGATTGGATGTACGATCTGATCCTCACTTCGACATCTGACGAGGAAGGGGACGAGCGCGGGCGGGCCCAGCTTGCGCTGAGCCCCCAGCCACTACGGAAGCCGCCACGCTTCAGCGTCGCCAAGAACGGCTGGGCTTTCTTCATGAGTGATGATAACAATTCCGGAGGCCAGCAGCCGATTTTTCCACCTTCACCAGGTAGCGGCGGCGATGATAGTCCTGGCGGACCGCCGGACGACCCCACCATGAACCCGGGTTATCCAGTCGAAGACGGCGACGCACTCTCGCTGGTCTTGCCGCTCCTCATCCTGCTGTCAACCCTGATCTTCATTTTGCTCCTTTCCTCCATCCTCGTCCTCGTCTTGCGGCGGCAGTCGCGCATTTCTCTGAGTGAGCAGGACGGGCCCGTGGATATTACATGCGACGAAGAAGACGTCAGAGCGTCTGTCGCTGTGGAGCGGGAGGAAATGTTCCTGCAGGGTCTGATGGATGAGGCGGTGCGCCAAGGCTATCGGCGCGCCAGCGACTGGTTCCTGGCCAACCCGCCAGCGAGTGTCTCGACTGACATCACGCTGTCGCAGTTCCTCAGCATCCAGGAAAAGGGCGTCAGCGCATGGAGCTTCGATCCGGACTACGAGTCCAACCCGAGCGTCTTTGTCGAAGCCAGGACTGAGATCACCTTCCTCGCTGATGGCGCAGGCATGGCGCCCCAGGAGGGCGGTGGCGTCTGTGTGCAAAGTAACCTCCCGGTCCCGAAGCTAAACGAAGTATACTACTGGGAGGTCAAGATGTTCAACAAACCCGACACCACAAATGTGGCCATCGGCTTGACAACCAAGCCGTATCCGAGCTTCCGCTTTCCCGGTATGTTTGCGCTCTGGGGAAGGAGCATTGCAGTCACCATCGGGTGCTGAAGAATTTTGTTTCCCACCTTCCCCCTTACAGGCTTCCATAAATACTCAATCGGCTTCTACTCAGCTGACGGGTCAAAGTGCCACAATCATCCGTGGGCTGCGCAGTCATATGGCCCAGCGTATGTGCAAGGCGATGTAATCGGCGTCGGCTATCGCCCGCGCAGCGGGACTGTCTTTTTCACGCGCAACGGCAAGAAGCTTGAGGATGCATTTGTCGGGCTCAACAGGCACAACTTCTTCCCCACCGTCGGCGCGGACGGCCAAGCGGAGATCCACGTCAATTTTGGTCAGGCCGGCTTTGTCTTCATCGAGGCCAATGTCAAGAAATGGGGGCTTGCGCCCATGGCCGGCACACTCGCGCCGCCGCCGGCGTATGGCCACGAAGGAGGGAGCATCCTGATCGAGAGTGGTCAGCAGCAGCTGCTGCTGCAGAGCACCTCCGGCATTCAGCACCCCCAGCATCAGCATCAGCATCAGCATCAGCAGCACCTTGCGGCTCATCAGGCCTACAGGAGCGCAAGAAGCGGCGAGGAGACGCCGCCGCCCCCGCTGTCTGACACCGTCTCTCCTAACGAGAGTCCGCGTGCGCGTGCATCCAGACTTTCGGTTTCAGCCCGAAGGCGTGCTCAAGGACACCACCAGCAGGAGAGCCGCACGGGCTCCGAGGTGAATGCTCCATTCGTCGTCGGGGAGGATCTGTCTTCGTCTTCTTTGTCTGCCTCGGCTGCAGTACGACAGCGCGCCACATCTGGGGGTTCAGAGGACGATGCGCCTCCGAACCCACCTACACCTAACGGGCTTGATATCAGTATGCATTCCCTCTATCATGCGCCAACTGCTCCTTCCCGTGGACGCGGTGGACGAGCACATGCCCAACCTGGGTACTTGCAAGTCGCGCTCAATCGTCTCAGCAGCCCACCGCCGTACAGCCTCGATGATGAGCTACCACCCCCAGGCACATCAGTTGCTGGTTCACGGCGCACCAGCTGGCTCGCAATGCTCCCCGGCTTTGGGCGGGGCGATTCCTCGTCGCAGCCAGCGACGAGGCACGCGGGCGGACAGGGTCAAGGCCCAAGTCGACACGCGTCGATCGGCTCGATTCATTCTGTGCATTCAGCCTCTAGCAGCACGGAAGACGATGCGACGCATCCAAATACCAGTCATGTACCAGGCCGCACTCAGTTGTTCGCCAACTCGCTCGTCAATCTGCTTTCTGAGCGTGGTCTGCTCACACCCTTGTCGACCGACACGCCGGACTTGGCGTCGCCCGGCTCAGAAGTTCCTGGCGCTAACCGCGGTGGCGGTGGCGAGCAGCGCCGCGATTACTTCCACAACAGTCGCGGCCCTGCTCCAACAGCAGCAGCAGCAGCAAGTTCTGCAGAGGCCGACACGCCGGGACGGTACGAGAGCTTGACCAGCGCCAACGCCGGCATAGCTAACGCCAATGGCAACGGCCATGCGAACGACGTGGACTTGGAAGCGAGGACCCACGCCAACACGCAGTGCAACAGCCGCTCGTCATCGGCGGGCAGCGCAGCGCTTGCATGGGTATCCTCCATCCTTGGTGGAGCTGGTGCAAACCAGGGTAATTGAGAGGAATAGAGCGGGTAGTAGCGCAGCGAGCGGTACATTTTGAATATGAAGTGTTGTACTTCGGACAATTTCTGTCCATCATTGTAGTATTCCAGCATCAAATTGAGCAACTGTCCGTATTGGTATTACAGACGCACACGTTTCAAACGTGAGCAGGGGACTGCAGGGCGCTTTCATCGGTGATGATCGATAAGGCCGGGGGGTTGGGCCTTGCGACAATCGAGTGCGGTGAGGATATATGCAAAGTAACCAGCAGTGTATCTTGTATGTCGAATCAAAGCAAGGAAAAGATAACATAGTTCACATCCGAAACTAAATGAGGTATCATCACGGAGTTGTTCTGCGCAAAATCGAAACTCTATCTAACGTAACCGCCGCTGCACCATTTCTTCGCGATCCAACGCGTCTGGGTCAAAGCCTCTCGTCTCTTCGATGAGCAAGACAGTAGCAATGAGCCCTGCGATGGACACGCCAAGAAAGATCCAGAAGACGCCAGTGGGACCAATCGAGTTCGAAGACGCGAGTGTGCTGAAACCGAGCGCGGAAATGATGCTGCCAAGCTTACCGCAGGCTGCAGAGACGCCGAGCGCCGTAGCGCGAACTTTGGTTGGGAACTGCTCGGCAGGGATGATGAACGTGGTTGCATTCGCACCAAAGTTGAAGGAGAGTTGGAGGATGACGAAGCAGATGAAGAAAGCAACCGGCTGCGTTTCGAGCCTGGGGTAGATCAAGGCGAGGATGAGGAACATGACGGCATTCACAAAGAAACCGAGCATCTGGATCTTCTTGCGACCTAGTCGAGTTTCGATCAGAGCGATGGTGATAAAGTAGCCAGGAAGGAAGCCAGCTAGGACGACAATGAGATTTCCGGTGGCCGTCTTCATGAGTTGAGTCCAAATATCTCCCTTTGTGCGGATAACCGGGGATGAATGGTCAGCTCTACCGAATGGCAATTCACAGCTTGAAGGGCATGCTGCTGCGCCAGCAGGAGATGACAGCCGGCTCACCTGTGTGTAGTGGAGAGCCGCCAACAAACTTGTCTGGTTGAGGTTGATTCCGTAGAAGGTAATGTCCACCAAGAACCAACACAGGGTTGTGCCTAACAGACGACGGAAATGTGTCCACTCCTTGAAGTACTTCCAGAACTCATTGTGCGGCAAACCGACGCTCTTGAAATGCCATCCTTTGGCGTTGGCCATGGCGTTGCGAAGCGCCTCACGCACCTCTTGCGCAGATGGTCCGCGCTTCTGCTGGCCATGCATATCAAGTTTATGCAATGTGTGAGCTCTGTCGTGGCTGAGGGCGTCGAAGCCAGGTGAGGTGCTGGAAAAGATTTGGGCAGGCCCGTCGGCACGGCTGGAAGGCGAGAAAGATTGTTTGAAGCGCATGGGACTATCGGGGGGCATGTCCACCATGGCGATTTCCTCGTCCTTAACATCCTTCACAATGACTAGACCAGCTGCTGAAGCTTTACTGACGTAGTCTGGATGGTCCTGAAGGTACCGAGCCTGCACGAATCTCGACGATCTGCATGGAAGAGTGTGCGAGAGTGTCAGATACCAAGATAGGACGTGTTCAACGGCCCATTCGCTTTGACTCACTCGACCAGCGTCAGACGGAAGTAAAGAACGATAAAAGATGGGACGAGGACAGCGCCTTGCAAGATGCGCCACGCGCCTCCAAGATTCTGGACATCACCCGCAATCACGGATGGCTTGTAAGCGGAAATGACAATGATGGACATCAGCGAACCTGCCAATGTACCCCAGCCTTGGTTCGAGAAGATGATGGCGAGAAGAACGCCACGCGTCTTGAGGCTCGCTCTGTCTGCAACGATGCAGCCGCTGAGTGCATAGTCGCCACCAATGCCGATCCCCATCAGCGCACGGAAGACACAGATCCAGATGGTGACGCCAAGGCCACCGAGTTGGTCCGGTGCGGAAATCATCTGTGAGGGCCATGATTTTCAGCAGCAGTCGAAAGTATGGGCTGTAGGGTTAGAACAGACCCACCAAAATGATGGCAAAGATCACAAGAGCTAGCTCCTTGCCGTACAAGACGCTTCGTCCCCAAAAGTCACCCAAGAAACCAAAAAGCAGCTGGCCGATGACATTTCCCATGTTGGCGCTGGCCTTGAGCACACCCCCGGATAAGCCCCAGTCCAGCTGAGTCTGCTCCGCCGGATAATATACGCGCAGGAGGATTGGATAGATCAAGTTGATGATGAAGAGGTCGTAGGAGTCCATCATGAAGCCGGCACCCGCCAACGCAAGCAGCTTGATTTCACCAAAGGTGAGCCCAAGCCAAGTTGTCGCTCGTCGTCGCTCCACCAGTGCAAGCGGACTCTTCAAGTTACTCTTGGCTCTGCGCGGGTCCCGTTGTTGCCGTTCCGCTGCGACGGTCGATGTGGTCTCGAGGGGTAGGCTGTACGATGCATGCAATCCAGCCGCTGTTTCTAGGCCGCCATTGAGATATGAAGTCGCAGCTGCAGGGCCTGCCGACATTTTAGCGTCCTTTAAAGTTGTAGAAAAAGGCCTTTGCAATGCAGAATCCATGTCTTCCTGGCGTGGACCCAGCTCTGATGAGAACGGAATGAAGTCCTCTTTTTGCATATCGTAGTCGACGTCGTCCAATTCTGAGCGCCTGCTGCTGTGCCCGGATGAGCGTTCGAGAGCCGGCGCTATGGCACTTTGCAGCTCGCTGCTGCCTCGAACGGCACGAGACGAACCGATGAAGCCCCCAAAGAAGCTGGCTCGTGGATGAGCGTTGCCACCATGGTCGAGTTCCGAGGAAGGCCGAGCAGAACCCGTAGTTTGTGCGCCTGATTCTTCTGAGGCGGACATGTAGTAAATGCCATCCCAGGCGTCCATGTCTGAGCCGAACGGCATCTTGGGTGGTCAGCTCGTCCGCGTCCTTTCGAAGCGCAAGCGAATATGTGTGGCCGGTAGCAACAGGCAGCCTGAATTCTGAGAGCCGGATACCTTTGAGGAAAGTCGACGCAAGAAAGGGAGATGGCAAGGAGAAAGAGAAATAGAGAAGCTTATTGACAGCTTTGAGGCATGCCGGGCAACAATGGAGGAGGCATCGTCGGCCCGGGGGGCTTCAGCTGCTTTTCACACTCCAACAATGGATCCACTGGATCTAGCCGAAGTCATCTTGCAACAGAAGTGCAGGCAGGAGGAGCAGCGGGCTGATGGCTTTCCGGGGCTAAGATTTTGTTCTGCAAAACCGTACGTGACCCGAAATTTCTAAATTGAAGCGAGCCTTCGGCCTTTCAGTCGTTCACACTTCACAGCTTAAATGCGTCGACTACCGACAGACTAGAACCCAGGTTGCACCGATGTAGCTAGCTTATTTAAGTTTGAGAACATGAGCCATGCCCTGAATTTTGTAAGGCCACTCTGGCTATTTCTATTAAAAAAATCGCATACTACCCGAATACATACATTTCAAGTTTGGCTCATACGTACAACGTCAGACGTACAAGCTCCAACTAACCAGCACTGCTCCAGCTGCATATCGCCCAAGCCACTCACCTGGCCTTGTCCAAACGCAACCAGTACAAATTGCACCGCCGCTCTCAAAACTGCCACTAAGCTTTTATACATATTACGGACCGACTTGAGAGTAGGAATGGGATCTTGTTCCAGATTCCTAGCAGATCCAGTGCGTATATACCAGTCCAGGTCCAAACCCTAGCCCATTCGCCAGACCCAATCCTGCAGTGCACGGGCTCCCTTTGGTCTTCGTTCGGACTAGCCCTGACCGACCCCGCCTCCGTCACAAATTTTATGTATGCACTATGTCCCTTTACCCTTTGACCTGTTTTGGTACGATCTGCGCATTGCTCATTGCGGGTGTGGTGTTTTGTAAACTGTTGTTGGACTAGGTTAGACCTGGATAGAGGCAGGAGATGGGCTGGTGCATACAAACACACTGGATGCCGAGCTTTGGGCGTTCGCACTGCGCTGGGCGCTGGCAATAAAATATGCGGCTGGTTTTGGTCTATCCTGGTACTTGGCTGTTGGCTGGATGGCAGGTCTTGACATGATGACACTTCGACATTGACAGGTCTTCACGTGCTTGCCGCTTGGTGGGTCACGCGTTGACACGTTTGGCTTGTCTATGTACATATCGCGTCATGACCTGATCGTCTGCTCGCACTCAGTCACCCATTCATCTCTCTTTGATAATAGATCCCGAAAGCTTCTAGAGCTCGACAGTATTTCGACAGTTGAATCAACTCTGTGGGTGCTCGTAAGCGTGTCGGGCCGTCACTGTCACTGCCTCTCGTCTTTCTCATTCTCCAAAATGCAACAAGACGAGGAGCGACCACGATCATCTCTGATCAACATTAACCTGACAAATCAGAAGTCCAAAACAACATTTACACCAATTCTCTCTAAAAATATGCATGTACATGCATTTACGAAAATCTACGCAAATTGTAGCCTAAAATGCAGATAAAGAGAAAAAAGAGTAGGCAGAATCGCAAATCGGGTGCATATTGATTTTGTCATTTGTATGTGCGGACGCTGGACGCTAGGACACCAGGTAGCATCGAGCCTTGTATGCACATCCATAAAATATGAAATATGAAAATACCCTGAGTCTACCAAAGGGCTGGCTAGACCCCAATATCAGACCTAGTCAGACTGTTCGAGCCCAGGCCCCCACAGGCTAACCGGCTAGAGCACTGCCAGTGGCGATATTATTGCTACACTCAGTGTACCGAAGCAGACCGCAGCCTGACTCGAAAGATAGTATTGGGTCAACACACGTGCACAATCGAGCGATGTTCATTGGTTGCTGAGTTTCCGGAATAATGCTCATGAATTCTTGTCGCCGACGGCGCAATCTGGCACAGTACATATATACACGCAGGCGGACCGTGCCACAACACTGTTGCAACTGCATGCGGCGTGTTGCTTGGTGCCTGGTTAACCTCGCTTCTGGCGCCGCTAGCCGGGGAGTCCGGCTAAACTGAGACGTACCAACTTGTTTAAGACAAGGGCGTTACAATCGCCGACGTTCCGTCGACACGCAATATATTTCTCTCATCACAGTAGCTGTTACACACTTCTCATATGTTGGGAATCCGTGACTTCTAAAGGGCAGCGTGATCTTCAAACGGCATCTCGATTCATTACAAAAGTTGCGAGGCGCGACGGACAAAGGCTTCCATTCTTTTTCAGAAGGAAGGTGGAGAAGCGATTTCGAGTGGGTGCAGAATGCGAAGAGCCGTCGCAGCCTTTTTCAAAGTATCTGGCGAAAGCAATCATGCCATGAAGTGCAAACACCTACTGCATGAGACCTAGAGAGCTTGCAATGAAACGCAAGGAGCAACAACAACAAGCGTTTAAATCTGTTCATTTGACCTATCACATTGAGTTTTTGCATCTGATACCATTTTTTTGCATAAGCAAGTGCAGTGTTTGCAAAGGGCCTTTAGTTGGCTTTCTACGGAAATATCCCTGCAGTCCGTAAAGAATGAGCTGGAAGATGATCCATTACAGCGCGGATGGCATCGTGCACAGTCTGCAGAGCCCGATGGAATTTCCGTTACTAGCGAACAGGCAGCCCCTGTTTCCATCAAAGTGCGCGATTGCGCCTGTCTTGACCAACTTATGAAAACTCGAGCTGTGGAGGCCGGAAAGAATCTGCGATTGGAAACGGTGAAAGCTGTGGCATTCAGACTGATGGCTGAATATGACTGTGTCTGACTGTGCCGAGCAGATGGAAAAGGCAGACTTGATGTAGATGGAAAGTCAATGCTTTCGAATGTGGAACTGGGGCTGAAACATTGACGCAGAGATCCCTCTGATCTCTTCCACAGTCATAATGCCACGATACCGCAGTACTCTAAAGAGTGAACAGGATGCTCGGGTATCCATCACAAAGTCTACCGGTGACGTGAAAGCTCGTGCATTCTAGAATGGCTTTCACCAGTTTGAAAGAAACCGTGGAGTTTTGAAATGAGTGGACTGGATTTGCTGGCAGATACATCCTGGTGCGGGACTGGCGATTCCGTGTGAACATAAGATTGTATAGGCACTCCGCTGCTCCATGTGGGACAATAAAAAGAATATCATCCCCGGCGGTAGGAGGAGCTTCATCTGTGGCAACCGCAAAGCTCAACGCGGGCTCATGGAACCGTCACATCTTCGAGCGGGGGTACCAAATCGCCGGATCGGCGGATTATCGGCGGATATTAGTGAGAAGGGATCTGTAAAGTGATCGAAAATATACTTGAAAGCAATCAGCGGCGAGATGGCACTCACCAGAAGAAGTGGATGGGAGTATATTTGCGTGTGCAAAGTCAATGCTCGATCCGCTGCAACGGGGTGGCCCTTCGCCAATCTGTAAAGAGCATGGATGAGTTAATCTGGCTTTCCATGCTAGCTTTCGAGAAGGCAGGTCTTTCCATTCTTGCCTGTGAAACGAAACGAAGGACATCGCTCCATCAAAGCCGGCCCAAAGATGATGAAAGTACGGTTCAAAACAAGCGAACATAAAATACCGCTTGCCCACGTCGCCTCTGCAAGCACAACAACAGCCGTCTGATTTGCTTCCCAGCTCAAGTTTGCCCGTCAGCTTTCAAGAGGTATTCAGAGACATGTGCCGCAGTACTAGCATGCTGTGCGGCCCAGCGAAGCCCGATAAAGTCGGCCGGTGTGGCCAACAGCCAGTTACAGGTCCAACATCGCGTATGACGATGGAAATGAATCGTGATTGAAAGTGAAAATGTGTATGTACGAAGCCTTTGTTGGGCTCCATTCCGGATATGATGCATCAAAATCCCGCAGGGAGAGAGGGCCACGCCCAACACAATACCGTTTCACTGTAGGTTTATCAGGTTGCCAAGTACTTGCGACACACAGAGGGTGGCCCTACCGGCCAAAAATCTCAAACTTTGGGTCCGTTGCCAGACCCGCGAGAGATATACATCCTGCAGTCCGCAAAAATGATGGTTCATCCATACTCACGTCTTTCGTTTCTTTGATGACACAGTCGATCAACCAAGACGTCCGAGAAGGCGATGCGTTCAAGTTGCTGTTGATCGAGTCATATCAGTCTCCAGTTTCGAATAGGACCTTTCGAGTTGTTGAGTGTTGCACTTGCGACGAGAATATGATACAACATGAGAAAAATAGGTGCAAGGAAGCAAGAGACATAGGCTGCCCTATCTCGATTGCTTTTCCTGAGGGCGCAACAAATTTAGCGAATGATGCGCTTTCTAGGCTGCTTGCGCAGGGCCTTCCAAACTCACAGATCGGTCTACGTCACTTTCGAGCTTCTCAACGCTCTTGGACAACAGCTCTCTTTTCCTTCTGAGGCTGGCAACCTGCTTCTTGAGCGCCTGGAGCTCGCGTTCCGCTGCCTTGACAGCTGCAGCAGCTTCTGGCGTGCCCTCTGCTGGCACTGCGGTTGCAGGAGGAGCGGGGGGTTCGAGCTTGATGCCCATTTCTTCGAGCTGCGCCTGTTGTTGCAGCGTCTGTAGAGCGCCACAGAGAGCATGTGGATGGACAGCTTCAGCGACACGGATCGGCCGCTTCCGCAGGGCAAGTGACTTAGCAAGACACACCTTGTTTCGTAGCGCCTTCATCTGCCTCTCCTCCTTCTCTAAACTCTCCTTGGCTTTGTCCATAAGCTCGGTCAGCTGCGGTGCAATTTCACTGCTGAGGTGGTCTCGTGCTTTTGTAATCTCTGTCTCGCTGACGAGGTCAAAATGACGTTTGTTGGACAAAACCACTGAGAGGCGCTCGTATGGCGCGATCATATGCCCCATGAAGGCATTCATATCTTCCAGATGTGCACATGCTAGCGAGACCGCTTGGATGCAGTGCGAGATGTTTGACAGCTGTCCGGCATTCAGGTAATTATGGTATCCAGCCGACGTCGTGAATGATGAGGTGGGTCGCGGGCCATACGCCACATACGAGTCACGCGGTGCCATATTATAGCCTTCCGTGTGTAGCCAATGTAAGGATCTGCCCTTGAACTCGCAAGGAAAGCAAGATGGTGGGATGGGAAGCGTGAGATGGAAAGGAAGAAAGAACAACACCACCAAGCAGGATCGCGAAAGCTTGTAATTATTATTTATGCAACGCGTCGCGTCGCCGGTTGTGCCTCCTGAGTCCCATGTAGCGCATTGTTGAGACGTGCTTGAGAATATTACGTACATATAACTACGTGCATACCATACATAGCCTTTCTACAGATACCCTTCATTGAACCTTCGGCGCTGCGTGACTTGACCGACCTATGATCTTCCGTGGATACTGCTCGATTGCTAGCAGCAGCAGCAACGCGAATGCGGCTAGCTCAGCTGATCAATTTTACTGGCCAGCGGGTAGCCGTCATTGCATGACTCGACTGACGTATCCCCAGCTGACCTCATCCTCAGTAGCGGAATATCACAGCTCTTGCCTCGTTGGCATCGAGTGAAGGCAGATGGATCGAACCCTCGCGAAACTATCAGAATGCTTATTTTATTTATGCAGCTTCCTTCGCGGCTGAAATCAACCAGAATCCCCTTCGCAGAGAACATCCAATGATCAGAGCCAAGGCAGCCAAACGCAAGATGGTCAAGTGCATCCACACTCTGAATCAACGCGTCATTATCCCGAAGGAGAGGACAGCAATGGAAGGTGGTGCAACCCAAGTGGATCTTGGTCCGCTGCCTCCCAATTTCCGGCTCTCAAATCTGAAAGCCGATGTCAAGGGACACAACTACGTCCCCACATATGTGAGTACGATGAACGTGCATTTTGCTTTGGGGGAATCGCGAGCTGCCTCTAAGGGATGATACGCATGTCTCTGCTGTAGGCCCATGATGTGTACTTGCCTTGCAACCTCCCTCACATGCACCACCAAGTCCATGGCGCGAGCAAGCAATGGGCTCATGGTAAAGCAACTGACTACCTTGTACGCAAGGCACACCGGAAGACTCGTTGAATTGGTCTTGAAGTACCACGTGTGGCGCAAGGCACGCATAGCAATCAATATAGTCCAGCGCCGCACTCTTTAGTAACCTCCTCAAATGTTGTTTTCTTTGCATTCATACTTTCAATCAGAGCCCATTCATCCGAGGTATTGATGCGGCAGAATACTCGTCACCGTGGTTCATTTCGAGCAATGTAAACAGACGAGTGCAACGGAATTGGTAACTGACTATTCTAGGCAGGCATATTCATTCTGCGTAGTGTGCGGGCCATACATTTGCAAGCTTGCGCAAAATTAATCCCGCCTGAGCACGCAAATACCTTCGACGTGGCTGCAAGCGTTTTGAAGAGTCAGCGACAAAGAACAAAGCCAATACTTCGCATCCTGACGGTAAGCTCACTTGGTTTGAGGGAAAAGATCTGCACCTCGGATACTGAGAACATTGTAAGCTGGATCCTTCGTCAAGATCGACCCTACGTCTCTTGCTTGCGTGTGCACATTGCAGGAGACATATACAACGTTCCTCGGCGCGAGCTTTACAAGTTGCTCGATGAAGGCGTCGTCGCACCCTCGTCTAGGCGGATCGATGATCACCGTTGTCTGCTGGGGCTCGTAGTCGATTGTACCGAAGATATTCTCTGCGTTCCCTGCGAGAAATTTCGCATTCTTGATGCCGTTCAGCTCGGCATTGGTCTGGGCACATTTGATGGACTCCGAGCTGAGCTCGACACCAGCGACTTGGTCAAACAGGTGTGCGAGGCAGAGTGAGAACAGGCCAGAGCCACAATATGCATCGACAAGGTAGTGCTTGACAGCGCCGTTCGCATCGGTAGCATCATGCGCACGCGATGCGATAATCTCGTCTCGGACGTATCCAAGAAGATCTGGCAGTATAGAGCGATTGTTCTGGAAGAATGCGCCGGCGGGAGACTCGAATTTTATATTTTCAACCATCTCCTTCACCGTTGCTTTGTGATCGGTGATCGCCACACAGGGACTTTCGGGCGAGTCGAACGATGATAATGAGTCTCGAAGCAATAGCGTCGCACCATTCGGGAAATCGAAGATCGTGCTGTGAGTGGCAGAATTCGGTGAGCATTCAGATACGTTTTGCCTTATAACAGAGGCCGCAAAACGTACTCCTTGATCCGCTGACGATGTTCCGGAAGAGCCTTGTTAATAGTCTCTGTCCCGATGGGGCACTCTTCAATGTCCATCACTTTGCCGTCTTGCCCATCAAACCCGATAGCAACCTCAACCGAAGGCTTCACAGGCAGTGGGCCGCCCTCGTCCAAACTCTCGTCCCGCTTCCGGTTGCCACGACGGAATCCTAATGTCCGTCTGTACTGCCGCGCTTCTGGCGGCAGGTTGAAGTGAGGCGTGAGCTTGGTGCGGTATGCTCGCTGTTTCGGTGACGGCATGGTTGGTCCAATCGCAGGAAGCACAGAAGGATCCAAACCTGAATAATGCTTGAATGCGTTCTGGACAACCCGTTGTTTGAGCTCGAGTTGTACGGGATATGCCATATTCTGTGAAGGCACCGCTGTTTAGAAAATGAGAACATACTTGGGTGATGCACAAACGCACCTGGTACTGGCAGCCGCCGCATTGGTCGAAATAGCGACAGAATGGCTCCGCTGTCCGTAACTCTGAGGACTTGGAATCGAAGTGGACCACCCTTGCCTTTGAGAAGAGGCCTGATTGAAGAGCTCAAACAGTATGAGCAGACTTCCAAAGAAATAGGCTAGTGTGCATACTCACGGTCGTTAGATTGAATTGTGACCCTGACACGTTCTCCTGGCAGTGCCTTAGGCACTGAGATGATCCAATCGTTTGTTGGCGCGACCGCCAGGCCATGCCCACCTGCTCCGAGAGCCTTCACATCAACAACTAATTCTTCTCCGCGCTCAAATTTTCTTTCAAATTCTTTTCCTGCTTCCAGAATCGCTTGCACCGTGCTTTCACCCAAAAGGTCCTGGGCCTCGTAGAAGATGGGGTCCTCGCCGAACTTGGCGATTTTCTCCGCAGCATCCTTTCGTAAGCGCTTCAGCGCCTGTGCTTCCATCTTGCGTTTCTTTTTGTCTGGCTGTTGTGTATGTAGTTGCTGCTTGGAAGTTGAAGCCTCAGCGTAGGCACCACGAGGCGCGCAAGGGTGAGCAGCATGGGAGGCCTCCTCGACGGCACCGGCCGGAGACAGAGATCGTGAGGCCCGGCGCTTGCCATCGTTTGGCTTCACCAGGGGCTCGAAGCCGGTCATAGCTGAAAAAGGATTGCTGGGTGAGCTTGTGGAATGGAAGCCGCCCGTTGTGACGGGGAATAAGTGCGTTGGTGAGTAAGCAACCGCCCAGGCACCAGAAAACGAAGTAATTCCTGTGCGTCGAAGCAAAAAATTTGTGACAGAGGCGAGCAAACGACCTGGCATCGATTCTGCGCCGGTCAGCAGCAGAGCGTTCGTTGAGGATGCGAATCCTTACGTCAGGCTCGATGCTCTCCAGTTGCAACTTCCAAGTCGAGAGGGTGCAACAAAAGGGCTCTTATGTCCAAGGGGATGTCGTACTCTCTGGGTTGAACATTATTCTTCGCCGATGGTTTTCTAGACCTTTGCTTTGGATTCACCACACTTTTTGTTTTTTCTTTTGCCATGTCATCTTTTTATTTCTTTTTCACCCTCCGAATGCCTGGCCAGCAGGTAACATCCATCGCCGTCTTATCCTCGAGTTCGCCCTCATTCCTGTCGAAGTCTCACCAGGCCCACCCTGTCAAGAGAGTACAACGTAACTTGGACTTGTCGACCAAGCAAAAAATTATTCGCAGCCCGTATTTAGCTTACTATCGACAAGCCTTCACCTATATCTTCCCGGGACGCGTGAACGCGCATTAATTGTTCTTGGCTGCGCTCCCGCACGTTGCGACAATGTCCAACTTTTATACCTACTTACCTGGCGACATTGCGCCCGACTTTGCAGCCTTCCATCGGCGGCTGCATGACATTCGACACTATCAGCTAGACCGATTGTGCAGCGCAACATCGGTTCCCCTCCTGCAGGGCTACGAATCAGAGCTGAACGAGGCATTCGCAGATGTAGAGGCCAGACTCAAGGCGCTCAGGCTCGCGAGTGATGATTATGATCGCGTGGAGGAGGTTCACGCCGTTCTCGTCGAGGTTGAGAAGGCTTCTGAGGAGCTTTCCAAAGCGAGGCAGGAGTCTAGAGCCGCGTTACTAGGAGCCAGGAGAGGAATTTCTGCAAGGAACGAGGCTGCTTTACGAGCGGAGCTCTCGTTGGACCGAATGGACAAAAAGGCTAGCCGCCTCACAGATCGATCGTGAGCCACGCATCCTAAAATAGCTCTGACTGCTGGTTGTCAGCTCTGAACCTTTGAACATTTGCTACAGTGGAGATGATAGGCTCCAAACAGCTTCGGAAGACGTCTCAGATGCTCTGAGACGGACAGTCGCTCTCATGTCGCAAGAGCTCGAAAAATCGACCTTCAGCGCGCAAATGCTGGATGAATCATCTTCAGCACTCCGCACGATATCTCTTGAATACTCATCTTTCTCTTCACTGATTAAGTCATCCACGCGATTGATCAAGAGCATGGAGCGGCAAGACTTACACGACAGGCTGATGGTCATGGGCAGCATGCTCTTCTTCCTCTTTTGCGTGGTATACATCCTCAAGGTGCGCGTATGGGATCGAGGGGCGACGCTCTTTGGCTTCCTCTTCCGTGCCTTTGGTTTGCGAGGACGCTCGCGGGAAGAGGTTGCAGTGTCTTTGAAGCTAGCGAAGGAGGCGGCGCAAGAGAGCGCCAGGGCGATGTCGGCCGCAGCTTCAGCATCGTCGACGATGCTATCCCAAAGCATCGCCACTGCGGCAGCGGCAGCCGTGACTGCAGCCAGCAGCTCCATCGCATCCGTATCTTCGCAGATCTTCGCGACGCCGGCGGCAGACGAGCCGACCGAGGACAGCAGCACTCGACAGAACGCAGCAGAGCAGCAAGCCGGAGATCAAGAAGGACCAGAAGTACCGGCTTCATCCAGATCGCCTTTGAATATCAAGCACGCGGTCGCCAATAGAGCACAGAAGGGGAAGTTTCATCGGCCAACCGAAAAAACTGAGCTTTGAGGCAGAAATGCAATTATACACTGTATTCTATAGTGGACCGAAGGTCTCCATGTATGCTACAACATCTAACCACTACAGAATGAATCGCTGAATGGATCAAAGACGGGGTGCTGTTTTTGTAATCGTTTTCGTATCCGAAGAAGAACTCGCTCGCGGCACAGGAAGGACGGGCTTCTTGATGCCGGTCATGGGCTGGAGCCTGAATTGCACGTCTTTGAGAACCTTGGTGACTGGTTTCCACTGCTCATAGTCGTCGATAAGCTTGACAATGTGATCTCCAAACAGGTCCCTCACGCGCAGATCTTCCAACAACCCTCGCAATGCCCACGGGAGTTGGTACGGGTTCCAATGCTGTGCTTCGAACGGCTCGATCTCGACTGCGGGCAACTTCTCCTCGGTGGACCGTATCGTTGGCTCTGTGAGTGGGCTTGTGACCTCGAACAGGTAACGCACGGCCAGTGCGTACGTCGCCGGCTCTTCGTAGATGAGGGAGTGGCCAAGGCCGCCATACAGCGACCCAGCAACCGAGGAGCTTAAAAGAGTAAGCAAGCTGTGATCGGTGGAGCCAGCATTGCGCACGGCGACGCAAAATGTCAGGAGGTTGACGAGGAAGTCCGTCCGCGGGAACGCTTGTCCGTCAACATAGAGAGCACGCAAGATGTTGGGATGCGATACAGTGGTGTTCAGCGCGCTGTAGAGCGGCACGACTTGGTCGTCGACCGAGCCGACATAGAGAGTCTTAACACCAGCAGACAGACAGATTTGAAGTGAAGCGGCGTACTGCTGCGATGCGGCCGTCTTGGAGGACTGAAACTCGAACAGCTCCTTGGCAGCAGCAGTCTCGAAATAATGCAGGTACGAAGAGGTAAGGCTGCTTTGAAGATGCGTAAAGGGGCCATTGTGAATGCCGCACATAGCGAGTAAACAGGTACTCGTGCGTGCTGTTGAAACGTGCTTCTGTTCGATGAGGCGAGCCAAAAGGTGCGCAGAGACGACTGCACCTTGAGAATGAGCGGCAACAAAGAGTGCGTCGGCCGACTGGAGATCGTCTAACCAGGTCTTATTCGCCAAAAGACCTGAGAAGAGCTTATCCACGCGGTCTTTGACCTTGCCATCCCCCTGCAGCGGGATAACCGTGACGGCCTCGGGGTTGAGGTCCTTGCCTGCGTCTTTGAAATGTTTCCGCACAGCATCCGCCATCATCGAAGCAAACTTGATCGAAGTACCTGTAGGCTCGCCCATGACCGTCTTGAGTAGGCCCTGCGTGAACCAGCCATGTACGCCAATGACGCACACCTTGGCAATCTTCCCGTAAGCCTTGTTCGACGCTCGTCTCTTGTCGTCCATTGCTGCCCACGCTTTGGGCAAGCGGCTGGCCGCGTCCTCTTCTGACGAGAGCCCGCGCACGCCGACGGTGGGTCGACCCATGCGATCAAAGTCAGGGACTTTGGAGAACAAGTAGCTGTTAACAGTAGAGAGCGTGCGCTCCAGCACGCCAATGCGCGGCGGCAAAGAACGCGGCGGCCGACCAAACGTGTCCTCAAAAGAAGGCACAACAAGATTGGGGCCATTCGGGCGCTGCGTACTGGTTTTCTTGACATGTTGGAGGACTTTGGTAGAATTACTTTCCAAGGGTGCAGCAGGCCTTGAATTTGGCGGCTCTGAATCCGCTTTTGACACGTTGAGCGCAACAGGTGTGTCATGCGCTACCAGGAAAGCTGTACCCTGCAGCTGAGGGCTGTTTGACGCTGAGCTGGTGCCACGAATCTTTGTCAACGACGCGATGGTGCGCAGGGTGCTTCCACCGGCCGATTGCGAAGAAACAGCCTTGCTAGCGGCAGCTGCAGCGGTTGGTGCCGCTTGCGTCGTTAATGTTGCATCTCCCTGCAGGGAGCGCTGTGCGCTTGCTGAGACCTGAGGCACCGATGCTACATCATCGCGTCGATGGGCATTCTTGGACGTAGGCGCTGCATCATCCAGGTCCATTGCTTCTGGTTCCTGTTCGACAGCAGGCCCTTGTCCATGACGGGCAGGGTTTGCACTGACCAAAAGGAGAAAGAGGGAAAAGGAGGAACTGTCAGTGGATTAAGATTAAGTGCATTTTTCAAAACATTTGCTCACCTTCGACCGGAAAAGAAGGAAACCCAACTAGCCTTCGTCTGCCCGTTGATAACAGCAGCGCTGTCGCGAATGTCGCTCGCTGCGGATCGAACAGCTGCCGCAGTGCTGATCGCGTTCTCCACCTTTTTTGCGACCACATCCTTTTGCGCGGCCGACGAGGACTGAATCCCCACGCCCTGCATGCGCGCGAGTGCTTCGAATTTGACCTCCTCAGCCGGCGTCATCGAAGGAAGTGACGCTTTTGGCACGCGTTCGACCGTGGCTGCGTCAAACTGTTCTTGCCCTTGAACACGAGCTTGATTTCCAGTATCGTTCTCGGCTGATGAGCGACCTAGATACGGGATCCAGCTGATGATGTATAAGCCGACTTTTGCGCCTGTGACATCGCGCGCATGTCGCTGGCCTTGCCCATTTGCTTGCAGAGATGTATAATGAGCTGGACTGTCGCTGTGGCCCTGGGCATGGCCCGGCGTTGTGTGAGAGGCCTCTTGAGGCATTTCAACGTCCTCGCTGAGATCCATCATCTCCGGCTCCGCTGCGTACGCATCGCCTATGTGCCGAGTCTGAGCATTGGTCGCCTGCCCTCTCCATAAAGTCCACAGACGCGATGTGGTAGGTGCTGCTGGAACCTCAGACGGTGCAATATGCTCTTCTCCGGTGGCTGCGGAATTTGTTTGTGGTGTGTCCCCATTCGAGCCATTTTCGTTCCAAAGCAAGCGCAATCGCGAATTTACTGGGTGTACAGCGACAGAATGCAGCATGTCCACTGTTGACGCGCTTGTTGTCCCACTTGCTTCCGGCAGGCCGGGCGTACTGCAAGCCCGATCCGCAATCCAGGCTCCTTCATGAAATCCGGCTGAGGAGTCAGCTTTGACCCCTTCCGTGATTGCTTCCACTGCTGGCCCGCTCTCTTCGAGTACCACGCTGCCTAGCCCGAACCACGTCTTCCGCCTCGCCTTACTGGCAGCTGTAGAATCTTTGCATTCCCTTGGCCCCGCCACCAGACCTTTCTCCTTGGTATGAATCCCCTGCCTTTGCGTATCGGCTTGCTCCTTTTGAGGAGCCGAGTGAAAGGGTAGATCAGATGGAGAACCTAGGCGTCCATCCGCCTGCTCCGTTCGAGGAGTTTTTGCCGGTCGGGAGACTTCATAAACTGATGTGGGACGTGACCTAGCGAGGCCGCTGTCTGCCCTTGTCTCTCCCTTAAGCGTTGAATTGCTAGCCATCTTTCTCAGTCTGCTTTCGGCAGCACTGGAATGATCCGGCAAGCTCTCCGGGCTGAGGTGATACGCATGAGAAGCAAAAATTCCACACTCTTCTCGTGAAGGGCCCACAGCATTGTCCATCAGGAGCGCAGGGGCCACCTTCGAGGACGACGCGCCAGCCGTGCTGCTCACGGGTGAAGGGCGCGAGCCGGAAAAAGAGCGAATGGAAAGATGAGACGGCGACGAAGAGTAGGCGTAGGCTGAGGTGTTCGAAGTGCCAGAAAGTGCTGAGCTGCTGCGGTGTACGCTGCGAATGCTGCGCGGTCGATGGCTGGAGGGATTCAAACTGCTGCTCTGAAAGGGACTCAAAGTGTCTGCGCCCAGCCGAGAACTCTGTTCGGCCTGGGCGTCAGCGGCGGAGCTGCGGGCATGAAGACCATTAGCGTTAGTCATTATGTTGGCCGGTTTGCCGCAGCTTCGCAGTTCGCCAACGAACAGTGCGCCCTGCGCTTGGACCTTGAACTAGAGGCCTGCTGCTGCTCGATGTCAGGCGGTGCTTATGTTGCACCGGAGCCATGAGACACCCGATGATCCGTCAAGCGAGGATGCGCATGTTCTTCCAATGCGACATCAGTGTGGGCAGTCACCAGCGCCCGTACGCGGTTGCAATTAAAACAAAACGTATGCACGATGGTGGGCCGTGCCTCCTATGTAGTCTACCTCGACGCTTGCTGCTTGTTGATGGAGCCGCCTGCGGTCGGGGGCAGCAACGCACAGTGGTCAGCGTGTATGTGCATCACTGCACACGCGCTGGGATGACGCGGGCGGGAGAGCCAGTAAGCCTCATTACGTAATATGACAACCGAAAACGATGATGAGTTACACACCCGAATTTCTCTCACCTTGATGAAGCTAGGCTAGGCCAGAAGGCTTTTAGAGCGTCGCGCAGGGACTGACGAAGCTCTCAATGAGGCCTATCAGACTCTTCCCGCAAGAGAGGCCCGTTGGATAGTATCGTAAATCTAATCGCTGTCCGAACTCCTCAATGGTCTAGCAAAGACAAAAGATTTGAGAGATCAGCAGAACTAATTCCATGACATCATCCAGGTGGTTGTATAGGGAGATGCACCCTACGGCCACCAATAACGCATATCATCTCGTCGGTTGAGCATGCAGCGTTGCACCAACCGGGAACTCTAACGCTGGCTCCTTGTGCTTTGGATGAAGCATGGGGAACGGGGTGGATGGAGATTAGCGAGCAACTTAAACGTGATATGTAGTTACGGTATGGTGTGACGGTACATGAAAGTTGCATGCGTTAGTACGGCGACTAGTGGATCTCCCTGCGTGTGCCATCTAGGTATATGGATAAGTGAATGCCTGTCAGCTCCTGCTCCGCTCTGCCTCTCTCTATGCAGCATCGCCGAGCGGGATGGTGAGCAGGAAGAGGTTCAGACCGGTGCAGAAGATGCCAGAGATCCAGTACGGCTTGCCGTACGGCGCCGGCTGGAATCGGAAGATGAGCGAGCTGTGTGACGAGAAAGAAAGGGACAAGAAGAGATGGTTAGCTTCTATATTTTGAGATGGCGCACTCCTCTCTCAACGCACTAGAGGATGCCGCCTAGGTTGCCCATTCCACCGACGATACCGGCCATGAGACCATTGGAACGCGAAGAAATGTGCGGCACCAGCGCGTACTTCGCTCCGTTTGCTGAAAAGCCCGAAAACGAAAGCATGAAGACGAAGCCCATGAACTTGCCGACGGTGATGGAGCCATAGTCGATCAGCACACCTAAGCTGATGGCGAAGAGACCTTGCAGAGTTGACAAACTGAGCACCTAGTACTTCTTGGCGGTGATGCCGAATCGTGCGTAGAGAATGTTGGCGCCGAGGCCGCCCAGGAAGCGCATGCAGATGTTCAGCAGACCATAGATAGAGGCGAGGTATCTGGCGTCGAGCTGCTGGAATGTCTTACTCTTGAACAACCCGAACATGCAGGCAGGTCCGTTTACACGTTAGACTGTGGGGTCTCGATCGTCCATGCAATGCAGGAAACTCACAAGCTGTTTGCAAGGCTTGCATCCAGTGCCAGCTCAAAGCCGAAAGTCGAAGCGTAAGACAGACTAAGCATCCAGGTTCGCGGGTCGGTCACAACGGATATCAAGATGCTCTTGGTGAGCGGTTCATTGACAGCAACATCGTTGGGTTTCAATGAGCTTGGATTATTTGGCTCGATCATAGCCCTGACGGCCTTTTCGCTGTGGCTTTTTGCGGGGCCACGCTTCTCCGTCGCCCGCCTCTCGTCCGCATCGATGTTAATGTCCTCGCCCATCAGCACGGCACCCGCGGTGGCTGGCGTCTCATGACGGTTGGCCCAGCGACCCATGGGATGGCCACGGGCGATGAGGAGCATGAGCCCAGCTGTGAACAGCAATATCGGAACCGGGACAATGACGAAGCAGATGCGCCACCCGACGTGTTGCGAAAGACCATCATGAAGGAGGCGCTCGAAGAGTCCCGTCTGAGTCGCAAACTGTGCGTCGATGTATAGATAGTGACGCGAAAATCAACAAACTCGTTGTGCTGCATTCTTGATTGCGATTACTCACGGTCACGCCGCCTCCCATGTTCCCCCAGCCTCCAGCAAGTGCGTTCGCAGAGCCGACGACAGCTTTGTCGAACCAGGCTGTCGTCCACGCTTGACCTACAAGCAAAGAGTAATGGAAGGCAGTCAGGAAAGCGCGAGGCGGATTTTTCCAGTCCTAGATCACGTACAAGGAGCAAAGGTGCCACCGAGAATCGAAATGAAAACCCGCACAGCGTAAAGAGAGTCAGCATTGTGTGCTGTACCAGCCAGACCGGATGGGATGGCACCAAGCAAGAGGAGGGCAACCATCACTTTTCGGGGTCCGAAGCGGTCCGAAGCGGTCCGAAGCGGTCCGAAGCGGTCCACAAGCGGGCCAGCAACGAAACGGACGAGCAAGGTGGCACTTAAAGCTGCAATATTGGAGTTGGCCACCTGGGCCGAGGTCAACTTCAGGTCTGATTTGACCGTTTCGGGCATGAGCGGTGAGAAGGCAAACCACGAGAGGAAAGCAACGAAGAAGCCGAGCTGGGGAAGGGAAAGGATGGAAGGTATAAGACTTTGCAAATTTACCGCGGTCGCGAACGACAGACTTACGGTTGACATCCAAAACGCAATAAAGTAAGACGACGTCACACGCAAGGGCGGTAGGGTAAACGATTTCTGGTTGAGGGGGTTGATGACCTCCAGCTCCCAGAGGGGCGACCAGCGGAAGGGGTGCCTGTATTCGCCGCTCACCACCTGTCTTTCCTTTTCGCTGCGGTACGCATCCGTAGTTGCGATCGCGCCTTCCGTTAAGGCGACCGGCGGTGGTGGCGGAGCATCGCTCTCTGTTGACTCTATGACAGGGATGCTGTCCTGACTACTTGCCGCCTCGGCAGCCTTAGTGTGCTCTAACTCTTTGGTGTCCATGTTGCGCCGTTGGATGACGTTTTTGTTGACGGCTCTATATAGAGCAATATATCAAACCTTTTACCGCGCGACAGATGCCCTAATCCGCAAAAGATCTAATGGAGGGTGCAAATAGCGACCTTATATTCCACACGAGTCATCAAGAAGATCACAACGAGAGTAACAAGTGGAATGCAGCAATACATACCAGCAGTGGCACAAAACCAAAATCATTCTGGGACCCGTGTAAAGAGAATGGTTTGATAGTGCGTCTTGGAATGCAGGAAGTCCGTCTTTACGTCTTGCTATCCAGCGACAGTCACCCTGTGAAACCCGGTGGTCAAGGTCGCAGAGACTGGAGACAAGATTTAGGATCCAGATTTCCTGGTTATTCAGGATGGAACAGTTCATAGGGATGTACATAAGTACACAGGGAGGTTAATGGGAGATGCTGCGGGTAGGGACGTTTCCTCTGGCTTTCTCCGTTTCGCCGTTCTCACACGCTGAAGGCATTTTTAATGCGTTCACAAGCAAATCCTGCGCTCTACTACAGCCGAACCTTTTTGACCATGTAGTATGCACTTGGGGCGCAAAGTCATCCCGCATCTTGTATTCTAGTAACTGTAAGAGGGAAGTGCCGCAGTGGTAGGGCTTTGTTCCTCCAGGCCCGAAACGATGCGCCATGCACACCTGAGATTGGGGTGTAGAGAAACGTGGAGAAATGGTCAATGATGGGGCCCTGCACAGTGCCGAGTATACACCGAGTGTTCAGGATCTGTACATTGTAGAAGCCCGGCAGCCAAGTGTACGTAAATTCCAAGTCTCCGATCAATGTGAAGTGTAAAGAGCGACGACCTTGAGACAAGGAGCCTGCAATTTGCAACGAGGGCTTGCGGCTTTCAGAGCTACTCATCATAGCTCAAGTCCGCCCAGGCCCTTCATGCTCAATGCTTCTAGATCTCCACCAAACAGTCGCCATAATGGCTGCAATTTAGAGAGAGCATACATATTATACATACCCGCGAGCTTCGGGAGTTATCTAAGAGGCTGGCGATTGACGATGCCAAAGAAAGATAGGCCAAAAATCTAAACAGTTCGTCGCATTGCAGCTCTCTCTGACTCACACGCACGGAGTGACGTCACTGTACCTTTCCAACGCACGAATCAACCCGTGTGTTAGATGTCAGCGTTCAGTACTGTCCTCAGGTGCTCAATATCACACAAACAACATTGATGACAATCGCGACAGGATTGGAGTGGCGGCTCCAAGATTGAATATTTTTAAAGGAACGCCCTTGGCAGCAGCAAAAGCATAATGGAGGCATGATATGTAGATGATCGATGGACCATCATTAAAATTACACGAAATGGTGCTCCGATAAGCCAAACTTTTACCAAGCTCTGTTTTTCCACGAAGTCATTGATTTTAAATTTGCGACCCTTCAGCCGCGTCTTAACTGGTTTGCAGTGGTACACGCAATGAGGCTTGATGCGTTCTTGAAACCCATTCACATTGAGACTCGTTCGAGTACAGTGGGAACGGGAGAGTAGCGGATTACCAACGAAAGTCATTGGTCACAGTCATGTTCATCGTTTAACGTCCATACTCCATAGAGTTAGGGGCAGATAGCAAAAAGCGATCGAGCATTTCCCTTGAGCGACGCGGCGACTGGCGATGAGGATACGTGTGTACGGAAACGAGAATGGACTTCTTGTATACATTGGAAAATGAATGCGCTTATTGAGGGAGCTTGTTCTTTTTACCAATATAGTTTCTGCCGTCCGAGCAGCTGATTTTTCCGCTAGAGTCACCTACCTGAGACCCTTGTCTGCCCTCTTTTTGTATTGCTTCCGAGGGCCCAGCGATCTCCACGCCATGGCTGCCAACATGCGAAGACAGCAGATCCAATTCTTCCTGCGCCTTTCTGATCATCCACTTGGTGGTGCTGAGCACTGCATCGAGCGAATCTGTGTCTGGGAGGTTGTGCAGAACCGTCTCGCCGTCGTCTGAGAGTTTCGCCTCAAACGTCATGACCTGAAAGTCGGCATCATCACAGAATCCACTTTCTTCCTCGGGCTTGGCCGAGAGATTATAGCGACGCTTGTGCAAAGGGTACGAGACGTACGGACGGCCGCTGGCATCCTCGCCAACAAGTACATCTGCAAGGATAAAAGCTCGCTTCTGTGGGCACATTTTCTGCGCAGCACGTAGGCCTTTGCCAGGAAGGTTCCAGATCCCGATTTGCACATCACCATACTTGATGACAGCCGAGCTCGGAACGTTCTCCTGCGACTCGAGGTCCTCGTACCGACAGACCTTGCGCCATTCCCACTTTGCGGTCTGGACAATGTCTTTCCGCGAGAACTTGAGAGGGCCCGAATCTTCTGGCCAATCCGCGGGGCGCTCAGAGTGTCGCTCCTGCACTCGCTCGATGGTCATCTGGTTGTCCGACGTGTTGACGAATTGACGAAAGGCCCTGCGGCGCTCCGGATTCTTGAGGACTTCTGCCCACTCATCGTGAAATGGGCCTACGGGCTCGTCCATCTCCTTCTCTAGCTCTGCACAAATGCCGAGTTTGTCGTCGATGATGACATCCTTGAGCGTCTGGACGCGGTTTGGAAGCTGTGCAATCCATCGCGCCGTGCGCTGCAGCTTATCTGCATCACGGATGTAGTACACTGCAAGCAAAATATTGTAAGCCGTGAACATCCTGTCAGGGCATTGTGCTTAACTTACTAAGGACGCGGTCAACGATTTTGACAGCCATGTGCCTGGTGACGTTCTCCGCGATGAGATCTGCGTGACGTGGCTTTACTCCACCGTTTCCGCCAACGAAGACATTCCAGCCTTTTGGTGTTGCAATCACGCCAAAGTCTTTTCCTGCAAGTCCCAATTTCACGTTGTAAATCAGTTTGAAGGAATCTCAAGCATGGCATTCCATCACCTCTTGTGCCTCTGCACATTCCCTCACACAGCCGCTGCAGCCACCCTGCCAGCGGAGAAACGACGGTGAGTGCCATTACCTTTTGAAACAATGGCATGAGGGCTTGCAGAGATGCACCCACCTTAATCATGTGCGGCGTACGGATAGACTTGTAGCGTTCTTCGAATTCCACAGCTAGGCCGACACTGTCACGTACGCCATATCGACACCAAGTAGAGCCAACACAGGACTTCACCGTACACAGAGATCTACAAAATAGTAATGCAACACTCAGTGTGTGTTTATATCCGCGAATGAAAAGAATAACAAGAAGACACGCACTTTCCATAAGCGTGACCGGACTCGAAGCCGCAAGCGATGAGCTCCTCCCAAATGGCGGGCAAGTCTTGTTTCTTGGCCCCGAACATATCAATTCTTGTACCCCCAGTGATCTTAACGTAAAGATTGTACTTCTTAGAGACGTTGCCCAATGCTATGAGCTTCTCGGGGGTCACTTCACCGGCAGAGATATGTGGGACAACCGAGTAGGTGCCATCGCGCTGGATGTTGGCAAGGTACCTGTCGTTCGTATCGAGATTCGCCTTGAGCGCCGGCTTTTGGATGAACTCATTGAAAAGGGATGAGAGAATCGAAGAGATGGCAGGGCGGCAGACCTCGCATCCAAGACTGTCAGGCTTGTTGCCGACTTCGTGCATGATCTGTGTAAAACCCCTGAGTTTGCGGAACTTGATGATCGTGAACAGCTACTGACGCGTATACTTGAAGTGCGGGCATATCTGGTTGCTGATCTCGGCGCCTTCTGCTTTCATCGCTGCGTTGAAGATGGACGTTGCAAGTGGCATGCAACTACCATAGCCAGTGCCGCACTTGGTCTTGGACTTGAGGTCGCCAATGGCTCGGCATCCCGCCTTGACTTGCTTGATGACTGCACCTTTGGTGACGTTATGGCAGGAACAGATCTGCGCGTTATCATCCAAGTCAGCAGCCTCGTCCTCTTCTTCCTTCTTTGCGCCAACGATGAATTCTGAGGGTGGCTTCTCGATTGGCTTGCCCTTGGCCGCCAATGATACGAGCTTGGTGAAGTCGCTGACATCGCCCACCATCATTCCACCCACGACGTATTTACCGTCTGCCGTGAATATGTACTTTTTGTAGATCTCCGAAAAGGATCACAGTAGGTAAGTGCCTTGACAAGTGGAGCGTCACCCTCACCATTGCTGCGAGCGCCAGAACACTTCGAGCCCGGCAACGCTCCTGTGATGTTGCCTTGGTCCGCAAAGTACTGGCCGAAACTGGTGACATCGACACCCATGAGTTTCAACTTGGTGCTCACGTCCGGAGGTGACATTGTGCGCATTGAGTGAATCGGACCTTCCGTCAGGTTGAAGGCGAGGATGTAGGCCATAGTAATTCCCGGGCCGATGAGTCCCCATAGCTCGCCTTTCCAGCTTGGGCACTCGCCAATTGCATAGACATCGTCTGCCAAGGATTGAATGTGATCATGAACTGCGATTCCTCCACGAGAAGCGACTTCAAGATTCGATGCAACAGCCACTTCATCTCGTGGTTTGATGCCGACTGCAAAGACGATATTGTCCAGTTGGTACTCCCAATCCCCCGATTCCCCTTCCAGCAAGATGCCTCTGAGGCGCTCTCTTCCCTCATCTTCCTCCTCCGCGCTAGAGAAGAGCAGGTCTCGGACCCGTGCCTGCAAGAGCACTTCAACACCCATACTGCGGACCTTTTCGACGAGCATTCGACCTCCTTCGGCATCAAGCTGCCGACTGAGAACCCATTTGTTGTGCTCGACAAGGACAACCTGCTTGACACCCTCGAGGTCTAGTAGTGCCTTTGCGGCTTCGAGGCCGAGGAGACCTCCACCGACGACGGCTGCTCGCTTGATGGGTCTGCGTGTATTCGCATAATGGATCGTCGCATCGAGTTCTGCAATGTTGCGGTAGACAAAGGTTCCTGCTGTTTATTCGAATTTTTCCCGGCTGATGTAGGGCGGAAGAGCAGCATCGGACCCGGTGCAGAGGACGCAGGTGTCATAGTTGAGGACGTGGCCCTTCAAAGTATGGACGGCCTTGGCATCCGTATCAACGAATGTGACGAGATCTTCGGTGTGGTAAGTGAGCTTGCCTGGAGCATGAGACCTGTACCATTCCACCGGATTGAAATGGAGATCTTCGATAGAACGATTGGCAAAGTATCTACAATCGGGTCGTTGGACCATGAGCCGGCAATTCCCGTAGTATTGTCTAGGCCATGGCATTTATCTCACCATGTAAGACTGACACGGTTGTAGGCAATGTGCGGCTCATCTCCAACGACAACAACTTCCCATTCGTTGCGACCCCCGTCGAGGTCGTTCTGAAGGAGCTTTTCGATAAAGGCGACTCCCACCATGCCTAGTCCGACGACAGCAGCATGCTTGCGCTGCATACCATTAGCCGCAGCATCGCGTCTGTACATCACCTCGGAAGGAACGGGAACCATCTTGCGACCGTACGTGTTCGTCGATACGCCTAGAGGTCACCGCATCGGATGATAGCAGGTGGACCAGAGTACTTGTAGAAAGGCAAGGTAAGAAGATCAATGGTAAACAATGGCAATTGGAACACCTAGGGATGGTTTCACGGGTTAATTAACATGTGGCTCAGTTCTTTCTATGTATGCACTCATCAATCGCCAGTGTAGAGCCTGTAACATCCCTTCGAGACCCAACAGTCACGAAGTGGAGATCGGAGAGCCTTCGCTCTCAAACTTCGAAGCTAAATCCAAATACGAGTGGGAACTCAAAAGGACATTTACTGCTGTCCTGCCTTGGCTACTTCGAGTGGGGAAGAGCTCAGACCTGGCTGGACTCCAGACTTCCTTGTGAGAGAGGCACTTGCTGTCAGAAGATAGGGATAAGTACATTGTATAAGAGTGTGTCAAGCGCGAATGAGGTTGTGGGGAAGGTACCTCCATTTTGACGAGAGAGTGCCCGGAATCCGAAAAATGTGCAGAAAGGCGGCCTCTTAATAGTGAGGAAAATGTGAACATCATGGGACAGTTTTTTTTGGATTTATTGATACCTGAAACCCCGTCTGACGTTCCCTTTCACAAAAAGTGAAAGCACTCCACACTTAATCTCAATGCAGTTGCTAATCATGCTGTTCATTGCGCCGAACGGCATACTTGCCTGCTTACCGACAAGTGACATCTCGCATTCTTTATCTCACCGATGACCGGTTGATCTCTGGAGATATTCACTCTAGGCCTACCTAGGTTTTCGGGGTCAGGGGGCTGTCACCCAAGCACCGGGGTCTCATCGCACTCAACAACGCCTTAATGTGCCACCCTGGGATCTGGGCTGATTTACGTCGCCAGTGCCACAGTGGCAGCCCACCTGCAACTGCCGGATGTCACTTACAGACTTCCACGGAGATGTGCACAGCAGTGTGAGGGCCTACAATAAACAACCTGGGACCGCCAAGCACCTACTAGTACGTTCCAAGTCAAGTGGCCTGCGCACGATCGGTTGCCAAGTTCTCACATTCTTGCTGTCCTTTTCTGTCGTATCACTACTTTCGTAGGCAAGGGCAACCCAGGGCAATTGTGCAACCCAGGGCAATTGTGCAACCCAGGGCAACCGACAACCTGCTTATCTCTGCTAACATCTGGTGGCTGGTAGGTGATCAAACTACTCGTTTGAAGCCCTGAAGATGGCCCAGAATAGCCGCTGGGAGCAGCCTTGGAGTTGCTGAGTACCGGGGGTTTGGAGGGTGTTAAATCACGAAGGTATTGCGGGTGGCCAGTCTTAAGACGGTGCCCCGCCTTCCCTCGCTTTTTGCACATCTTCAGTGACGGAAAACCAGGCCCCTTGAATGCATTGGAGGTTAAGGGCACTCTGCACGCAGCATGCTATATCAATGTCAATCCTGCATACCGAATACTGGAATACCGAACACTGAATCCAGGACTGCAACGCCTGCGACTTTTGCCAATTGCCCAACGGCATTGTGAGCGCAACACCTTCTTTTTCATTCATGGCTGGATGCTAGGGTTCCATCGCCAGGCCATTGCCGTGACACAGTTAGCCCGCTAAAGGGAAGCAGCCACCGGTCCTGCAATTATGTCGCCTTCTCCCGAATTAGCCATCGCGACCTTCCTGGATAGCAGCAGCGAAGATAGCGCAGGTGTCTCAACGCCTATAACGTTTATGACTTCGTCAGCCGAGCCATCCATCTGGCAGGTAGGCCCCTCAAGCGGCAAAGAGGGATCCTCGTCTTCTTCGACTAGCGAGGTCATTAGCAGGGGCACAGACGACACCGACTACGAGGATGAATATCCGACCGAATACCACGAAAGACTTCCCCCCGTACCTGCTGGTGGTACACTTCAAAAACTTGATGTGGACAAGGGAACTCCAGATGCTTGGGTTCCATAAGATGAACGCATGTATGTCTCATGAGCGTAATTCATCTTTCCACCCCTCTAATGTAGATACGCTCTCACTTTTCACAGGATCCGACTTAGAGGTAAACACCCGCTCAATGTCGAAGCGCCTTTGTCAGAACTGTGGAAGAGCGGATTCATCACGCCGACAGCACTTTTCTTCGACCGAAATCACGGCTATGTTCCTCGTGTTGAGCCAGAGGAAGCATCTAACTGGCGCCTACGGATCCACGGCCTTGTACACAATGAGGTCTCTTTCAGCATCCAAGAGCTGAAAGATCGGTTCGAGACGATAACACTACCGATCACCCTCGTGTGCGCTGGAAACCGCCGAAAAGATCAAATGTTGTGGCGAAAGGCCTCGAATTTAACTGGGGCAGCGCTGGTACCAGTACAGATGCACTTTTCGAGTTGCACATCTCCCATCTCGAACCGAGCTGACAAATAATTCGATTTACCTTCGCATGACTTTTCACTGGTGTCTTACTTGCTGATGTATTGAATTACTGCAAGCCCAAGCGACCCGCCGCAGCCTACTCATGGGATCGCGACACGCCAGGCAGAAGTCGCCACGTGGTTTTCGAATGCATCGACGAGCTTCCGAACGGCAAATACGGCACCAGTCAGCGCCTGGTCCACTGTCTCGACCGCAGAAAGGGCATATTGATTGCATGGGGAAGGAACGGCAAAGCATTCACTCCTGACCATGGATTTCCTTTGCGTCTGGTCGTGCCGGGTCAAATTGGCGGTCGCATGGTGAAATGGCTCAACCGCGTCGAGGTATCAGACAAGGAGTGTCAGCATCATCTCCACTTCCAAGATAACAAAGTCTTACCAGCAGAAGTGACGACAGACCAAGCCCGCACGGAAGACCACTGGTGGTACAATCCCAAATACATTATTTACAATGTGAACGTCAACGCGGCTATCGCGTGCCCGGCACACAATGAGACCATCGAGGCGGACAGCAAAGGTTTTTACGACCTGCAGGGCTACGCATACACGGGCGGTGGCAAGCGCATTTCGCGCGCTGAGATCTCCCTTGACGATGGCGACTCGTGGCAGCTGGCAGAGCTCGACTTTCCAGAAGATTTGTACCGTCTCAACCCGATTAGACACCATCCTTACTTTGGCACGCTGGATCTTTCCACAAGCGAGATGTCATTCACGTGGTGTTTTTGGAGCTTCGGGTGCCGATCCAGCGACTCGCAGCCGCGAGCGTTATCACGATCCGAGCGACGGACGAAGGTTTGGCTCAGATGCCGCGAGATCTTGCATGGAACGCCACGGGCACGATGAACGGTTGCTGGCACAGAGTTGCGGTGCTGCGTAACCCTGACAATAACAAGATCGTCTTCGAGCACCCGACAGTCGCTGGCAACACCAATGGGGGCTGGATGCAGAGGCTCAAAGACAATGGCCAGAATATTCGCTATCCGATCTTCGGCGAGACAGCAATGTCCGGTCCACAGGAAGGCCCTGCAGGGCCAGGTGACGCAAAGCCTCACAGGAAGTGGATGAGGTGGAGATCATGACAGATGTAGAGAAGCGGACGGTGAGGATCACTGCAGCTCAGGTTGCGGACCACGCAAACGAGCGAAGTCCATGGTAAGTTCCTAAGAATTGGCAATTGGTGCGACGAATGATGTTTCTCATCTGCCATTCCCTGGCGCCAGGTTTGTCATCAAAGGCCATGTGTTTGACGGTACCAGCTTCTTGGCCGAGCATCCAGGTGGAGTTGAATCGATCGCTCTTGTCGCGGGCGAGGATGCGACGGATGACTTCATGGCCATTCATTCGATGGACGCTAAGAAGAAGATGCGTCCATTGCACCTGGGCATTCTCGACAGTGACGGTCTTGCCGCGCCGTCTATATCTGAAGAGAACGATGACGTTACGCAGTCGTTCCTCAATCCAAAGAAATGGAAGAAGTCTAAGCTCGTTTCCAAGGAGACAATTTCGGGCGATTCACGGGTCTTCCGCTTTGCTCTCGACCATCCAGATCAGGAGCCCGGTCTGCCGATCGGATAGCATCTCTACGTGCGTCTCAAAGCCAAAAGTGCTGGTGGCAAGGAAGAAGAGATCGTGCAGCACGCATACACACCCTTCTCCAACAACGAGCTGCGCGGATACATCGACATCCTTATCAAGGTCTACTTCCCCTCCACGGCACTCCCTCAGGGTGGGAAGATGAGCGTAGCAATCGATAATCTGAAAGCCGGAGAGGACTTTGTCGAGCTCAAAGGCCCTCTAGGGAGCTTCACATACCTTGGTAACGGTCAAATTAAGTGGAAGGGGAAAGAGCGCAAGGTTAAAACGTCGCCATGATCTGCGGTGGCTCTGGTTTCACTCCGTGCTGGTCAACCCTCAAAGGCATCTTCGACAATGGACCAGAGAGCGACGTCAACGTCTGGATCGTTGATGCGAACCGTACAGAGTCCAACATCCTCGCACGCACGCACATCGATGAAGTCGTCAAGCAATCCAACGGCAGGATCAAGCTTTGGCACATCCTTTCTGGCGAATGCGCACCAGAGTGGCCGATGGGCCGAGGGAGAGTCAACGAGCAAATCTTGCAGCAGCACATGCCTCCACCCCCAGCCAAATTGCAGACTTCCGACGAGCTTGAAGGTACCATCGCACTCGTTTGTGGACCGCCACCGATGGAGAGAATTGTCGCCGTTGGCCTCGCAGCACTCGGATGGGACCTCGAGCGCATAGTTGTCTTCTTCTGATCTATAGAGCACCTCGCCCAATCAACTTCTATATTATAAATAGACTTTGACTTGCATACAAGACAGCATGAGATGCCTTTCCACGTAATAGTTTTAGTTTTGGAGCGACGATGCTGACAAGGACAGTACAAACACTTTACGTTCCCGCGGTAGGTCATCGTCGTACTTTGCTGGTGAACCTCGCCGACGGTGATTATCCTCGTCTACGAGCGTGATGATTCGTCTTGCCTGGTCTTCGGAGTGGGTGATCCAAATGAGGGTCAAAGCAGTCCGTGAAAGGAGTAGCGTTTTCTCCACGGCGGCTGCCGTGCGACTGTCGAGTGCGGATGTTGGTTCTACAAATATCGACCGCGCTCGCTTTCAGAAACTTTTTGATTTCAGCTTCCACGCCTTTCCATCAGGAGACTCACCGTCGAGCAATAGTACGCCATCGCCTTTTCGCTTGCCACCGATGAGACAGAGCGGTACCGCAAGGCCCACCCGCTGCGCCTCGCCACCACTGATCTGGCTCCACTCGCGATCCCACACGCTTGTCGGCAAGCCCCACTCGGCACTAGACAGGAAGATTGGGTCGTTGGGTATTGTTGGCGCGCGCGAGAAGCTTTTGCTGGCGGCGCGACGCAGGGACCGCGTGTCAACTGTGGGCCTGTCTCTCGAGTTGTTGCGCGCTGATGAACCAGAACGAATGCTGCTTGCGTCGTCTGCCGTGCTCGTACTCTCGAGAGGGATTTCTGCTTCTTCGATCTTCCATCCATGTGCATTCAGCGATGCACCGTCGGCCGTCACAGCAGCCTCTGTATCTCGTTCGCTCAGGTCTTCCACTTCCGGAAGCGGTCCAAGGTCGCGATTCGCGGAAAAGTCGTACACCATATCGAGGAAGTCACGCGGTGACCCTGGTAGAATCGACGGTCGCTGAGGCACGTATAGGACACGGGAACGATATATATGCGGCGGCAAGGATGCATGTGGCCGCCCTTGGAGCACGATGCTGCCTCCGTCGCTTGGCAGAAGATCGGCGAGAGCCTTGAGCAATGTAGTTTTCCTGATGTGAAACTATTAGTCATCCTCGTTCGTTCACTCAGTGCGGAAGATTGCGAAATGCAAGTGCTCACCCTGAGCCACTCTCGCCGCGGAGCAACAGAATATCGCCTCGTGCGAGATCAAAGGTCATGCCGGACCAGGAAGCCCATTGGGGTCCCGACAGGCCCTCGACCCTAAAGAATGCTCGCTCAACGTCCGCCATCGCCCTTGTTCTTGCCACTTCAGCCACGGATTTCCGTCAATAAATAGCAAATGCACGGCTGTGGTCGGCTACGCCTTTGTTTCATTGGGCTGGAGGTAGTTTTGACACTTTGATGAACGCGTCACGCGATATAATAGACCCCGAACCGTCAGCTAAGCACGGAGGGCAAAGTTGCTATTTTTTGGTCCGTGTTCCTGCACACAAGCGCAAGCGACACGCCTCACCGCTGTGTTACTGAAAGAGCAAGCGACGCAACGAATTTTGAGCGCACCCTTGTCCACGACATGTGCAATGGCTGCGACTTGAAGGGTCACTGACATTTTAAAAGTTTGCATGCAGGATTCGCGATAAGTGTTGAGAGGGAATCCTCAAGATGAGCCAGGCAGGAGACCCTTTGACCCCATCGCCGGGCCAGCACCTCACCTGGGCCAACGTGCTGATCGCCTTCTGCTTCCTGCTGATCGATGCGCTGCTCTCGATCTACTTCAAGCTGGGCATCTCGCGCTCGCTTCTGATTGCAGCAGCAAGATGCGCCGTGCAGCTATATATCATGTCACTCGTGCTGGACAGGATCTTCGCTGCAAACTCGCTGTGGGCCGTGGCGTTGATGGCGCTCGTGCTCAACCTGCTCGCCGCATCCGAGGTCACGCTGAACAAGGCGAAGTACCGATACGAGGGAATGTTCACAGTGACATTGACTTCTATGATAATGGGTTGTGTGCCTTGCTTTGCGGTTGCTAGTCGCTTTGCCTTATCGCAGGATCCCTGGTGGGCTCCGAGCAAGTGAGCCTAAAGGTTTGTCTTGACCGCTGAGCGCCGCCTGCTGATGATCATGCTTAATTCATAGGTTCATCCCGGCGCTCGGTATGGCGCTGGGCAATGCGATAAGCGGGGTGACAATAGCTACCTCTTACACTCTTGAGCAACTCAAGTGAGTGTTCTGCATATAGCTTGTAGGAAGAAACTGATTGCCGCCCATCCCACTGACGTTCAACGATTTACTGCCTTCCGCCCTAACAGCTCGAACCGCGACAAGGTGGAGACCTACCTGGCACATGGAGCGACACGATTCGAAGCGTGTCGACCCGTTGCCACCGACGCCTTGCGATTAGCCTTGACGCCGATCATCAACCAAATGCCCGTCATTGGCTTGATTAGTCTTCCGGGCATGTTCACAGGAGCAGTCCTTGGTGGTGCAGACGGTACGTTCCGATTTCACTCTCAAGCACTGTGCATCGCCACATTTCCCTCCGTTCAAACTTTTGACAGACTCATGTCCCCGCTCTTCCCTAACTCTCTGCTCGGCACGACGCGAACAACCACCGCAGTCGACACGGCCGCTAAGCTGCAGATGATCATCATCTTCTGCCTGAGTGCCAGCACGGCGTTCGCAAGCTTGAGTGCGTGCATCGCAACGTGTGGCATCATGGTCGATGCGCGTGGCCGCATCCGACCCGAGCGCGCCTGGAGCGCAAAGGACGGACGACCAACACCCCGTGTTGTTCGTCAACCCGCATCTTCAGCAGCTGCGGCTGGGGACGATCCTGCCGCAGGCGCGCTGTTGGGAGTGCAGGCGCAGGCTATGTGGTACGGCATCCCAGAGGCGTGGCGACGATGGAGGAGGCAAGGGAATGTTCAGTTGCGATAAGCAGCTGTGTTGCATTCAGCAGAAGGCAAAAATTGCATTTATCATTCATTGATTAAGCTTGAAGAGCATCATTCACATCAACCACGAGAGGTACCCGACCGATAAGGGTTGCATGCTGCGTGCAGCGGTAGCGTGAAGACGTACGGGCGGTGATGGAATGAGTCATGGCGGACAGGCGCGACGAGGTATGCGTGGCGTGTGGAACTTGCAGATGGGCAAGAGCTGATGCGAATGGCGAGAGAAGAATCGGTCGAGAACGTGCAACTTATTAGCAATTGCAGCCGGCCTGCGTGTTGTCGCTGTCAATCCTGATCGGATCCGGGTAGTCGGCGTATAGCTCTGCCTCTGCCTCCTGTTGCAGCGCGTTCTTAGCAATGGTCTGGAAAGCTTGCTCGACATTAATGGCCTCCTTTGCTGACGTTTCAAAGTATGGGATGTTTCCTTTTGACTGGCACCACGTCATCGCTCGCTTTTGCGAGACCATCCTCTTGCTCTCCTCGCAGTCGATCTTATTCCCTAGCACGACGAACGGGAAGTTCTCCACGTCGTGCGGGCTGGCCTGGATGAGGAACTCGTCGCGCCACGAATCGAGGGTCTCGAATGATTTGCTCGAATTGACGTCGTACACCAGCACACAGCAGTCGGCGCCGCGGTAAAAGGCAACGCCTAAAGATTGGAAACGCTCTTGGCCGGCTGTGTCCCAGAGCTGCGGGGCATGAGAGCGACAACCGGTGTCGCGAGGTGTCAGCACTTTCGGTCGTCGGATGAGTACTCGAATGATCCCCAAAGGACAGTGAACGGGAACAGAGTACACACTTGCATTGTGACGAGCCTGTCATCGACCATGACCTCCCGAGTGAGGAAGTCGGCCCCGATGGTGGCTTTGTACGCTGATGAGAAACGCTTGTTGACATCTACATGGGGTAAAGCAAGCACAAACAGATCCGAGCTTTGTCAACACCATGTTGGTTATATGATGTCCTCACCCGATCGCTCGCTTCGCAACCTGCTTCTGGCTTCCTGACATCGAGATAGCGAGCTTGAGAGAAAGGTAAGCATGGAGAGGATATCACGCACATTGGTTCATAAGAGAGGTCTTGCCGACACTGCAAGGAAGCGGAGGCACGACCGCGATTGGGATGGTGTAGTTGAACATAGGCGAACGGCAAAGGGATCAACGAGCTATGTAAGAATGGGCATAATTAATAGCAGGAGCGGACTTGCCTATCCTCACCCAGAGTCGCCAAGGATCTGCGTGTCAGTAATGAGAGTCGGACGACGAGTCAGTGTGGTCAGCATAGCAGCTCGAGGGACAGCAGTGACACGCGTTTTGAAGGTACTCACGATGACCTGTTGGAGATGGCAGCGAGAGGAGCACGACGATTGCAGAGGGGCGAATCAGCGATCTTATCAGCATCACCTCCACAAAAATAAAATGGTGGGCCAACTGGATCAAATGGCTTGCAAGGCAAGGAGGCTGCTCCACGAGCTGAAGCCCACTCTGCGATCGCTACGCACCTTAAGAAGGACCTTCTTTCTGGAAGCCATCTTGCGCTTGCTTTCGATGCGGGGTCACCTGTGGAGAGTCAACTTGCACTGCTACGCTGGCCGATGTGGTTGCTTTAGGCAGGACCCAAGCAGTTGGAGATGTGTTGGAGCTAAGAGCGATTGATGTGGTGTTGAGTATGATCTTGAGGTCACTCACTCGCTGACTGACTAGGAGAGAGTGTGGGTGTGAGGCTGGCAGGCGTCACACCACAGCCAACCCTCACAAAAGGAGACAACCCCCGGCCTAGCTGATGAGCATGAAGATGCGTGCAGCCAGAGCGCTCTCCTCTCCAGGCTGGTGGGTTAATCACAAAACCATAGGGCCAAGCCTAGGGGACGACCAATCGCTCGGCAAAGACACAGAGAGTTGGGGACACAACCCTATGTGCATGCGCAACTGATTCATAGGGAGGACAAAGCAAGTCACGTGCTGCATTGTCGACCCGTTCCGCCCCCATAGTCAATTTTTTCGAGGTCACAACGAAGCCATCGCCATTGGAATTCATCTCACACTCGTTGACGGAGAGGGCGTCTTCTTGTGATGCTCCTGCTCGGATAGCCTGATAATTGACCCCTTAGCTGGTAGGGCACAAGGTATCTTCAGACGGCATGAAATCAGACGCACGGTGAATGCGTCCTGAAGCTGGTCTCTGCGGCGCGTTCGCTCCTTCTTCATTAGCCTGACTACTGCTCAGATCCACCTTGCGATCATCCTTCGAGCGTCGGGCGACACAAGCGCACCAAAATGGAGCGTGTGACGTATCAGCTGGAGCGCTCGCTCCCATCGCTGGACTTGCTCGCGACGTCCGGTGTCTTTACGCGGGAGGAACTGCGTGCTTTGACGTCTCAGAGGCAGCAGTATGAGTCCAACCTCGTTCGCAGAGTGGCGCTGTGGGAGGACTTTAAGGCCTACCTCGATTTCGAAGAGAGAACGGAGAAGCTGAGACTACTCAGATGCAGAACCCTGGGTGAGGATGCAGCTGTAGCCTTCGCTTTGTCACTTCTGTAGCAATTGCTGACCGATTCGGCCCTTCCTCACCCTGCAATAGACTTGCCAAAGGCGGTGCTCTCACAGTTCAAGTCAGCCAGCACGGCCCGGACGATTTCGATCTACGAGCGAGCCGTGCGAAAATTTAAATCGCAAGTGCACGTATGGATCGATTATATCCAATGGGCTAAATCGAACGGCATGCGCGTCGTCCTCGGGCGCGTCCTCGGGCGCGGTCTCGCCTTGCACCCACAGAACACGCGTCTGTGGATCCTCGCGGCGGACCACGAGCTCAATGCAAATGGCGCGCCGACGGCCGCGCGTGCGCTGCTGCAGCGTGCGCTGCGCATCAATCGTCCGGTCCAACATGATGCGGCGCGAGCAGGAGGCGATCGCAAGAAGCGCGAGCGCCACCTGCTCAGCTCGCAGGATGGAGACAGGCCGAGCAAAAAGAGCAAGTTGAATGGAGCGGTCGTCTCCTCGTCAAGGCAGGGTCGGAAGGATGACTCCGCGTCTCTCTTCGTTCCGCCAGGCTCTAAAGAACGCGACTATCTCGACTTGGCTCTCGAATACGTCAGGATGGAGCTCGTGTTCATGGAGCGTCTGCGGCGGCGCTGGGCCATCCTTGGCATCAGTGCAGAGGGCGCGTCTGATGAGCTGGCATCCAAGGCCGCAGCAGCAGACGCGATGGAGCGGAACGGCGAGGAGGAAGACGCGGATATGCAAGAACAGGCTTTTGAGGCCGCGCAAGCGCTCAATGACGCTGGCAAAGACGACGACGAGGGCGACGCCGAAGGAAGTGGCCAAGAGCTAAGCGCAACAGCGAAGGCGACGGCGGCATCAAAGCCGCAACCGGATAGCTCAGTGTCTGCTGCCCAGAAAGTGGTAGATGCCTCCAAAGCCAGTGCCGCGGCGCAGCTGCCCGTTCTGCAAGGGGCTATCATCCGTCTTGCCGTCCGCTCGGCTGTGGACAACCTGCCGCAACGATATCGCTTCATCTACCTCGTAGCAGTTCGAATGCTCCTTGCAAGCTTCCCCTTTGCGGACGGACACGCCAAGCAAGGAAGTGGCCAGAAGCTCCGAAATGAGTTGGTTGAGGACGTGCATGCGCATCTACGCACTCATTTCCCGCATGTGGCGCATGCATCGTTCGTGCTTGGCTCAGCCCCCATCAGCGCAAACGTCCAGCTCTGGCCTTCGTCCGAGGAATTGGCCAGCGAGATGGAGACGAACGAATCACTCAAAGCTGCAAGCACCTTGCAGATGGATGGTAGTGACATTGAACGCGCGGTTGCTGCAAGCACGCAGCAGTCCGAGACGCAGCGTCTTCTCGTCTTGAACCTCATGAATGATGTCCTTGCACGGCAAGACATGGAGGACGAGACACTGCCGAAGGACGTCATTTCCGCCTTCAAACACTATGCAGAGGCAGTGCAATCACTCACAGCTGCCGATGCAGTTTCCTCAGTCGCCGATGTTTCGACGGTCGCAGAAGCCTCAAAACTTGCAGAACTAGAGACGCACTTCTTGCAAGCTCTGCGAGCGACGTGGGCTGCGCAGGAGGGGCCCGAGTTGCGCGCTCTTGTCGACGCGCTTTCGGAACAGGTGTACATATCGGCCAAGAAGAGCAAGTATCTTAGCTTCCCTGTCGCCGAGATGCACTTCGCCCATGCGCAAGTGGATGAAAGAGATGACGCTGCTGAAGCTCAGCGGATCCGCAAAGCTATCAAGACCTGCTCGTACACCGCCGAGAAGCTTGGGAGCAACTCAGTCGCTACGTCCGACTCAGCCGCACGCTTATGGTGCCTTTCGCTCGACTGCGCCAAGCGCCGCTTGGTACAGCGCGCAGAGCCTGATGCCAAGGATGAGCTCTTGCGCGAACACCTTCTCGCCGTCGCTGCAGCGCCAGAGTCAACCGCGCTGTGGCAACGCACCATCGACTTGGTTTCGCGCGAGCTGGCGCTGCGCGACAAGAAGGCAGATCGCTGGGTGTGGGCTTCATTCGATACCTTGGTCGACAACTCGCGTCGGTCCGTACAGACATGCACCGACCCAGAGGCGCGCGAAGTGCGTCAGGCGATACACGACAGCGTGCTTTCGGCTGTCTTTGGCATTGCCGCCCGCTTGGAAGATGCGCGGTCGGCCAAGACCGCAGAGCGTGCAATGGATGCGGCCCGCGCGATCGTCATGAAGGATAGCGTCGCGAGCGCTGGCTTCTGGCTCAAGCTGTGCGAGCTTCACGCCGCGCGATATCGCTCGCTGGCTGGCCAGCACAAGCATCGCGGTCACAGCGAGCGAGCGCCGGCGTACTGGCAAGCGAAGCAGGGCGACGCAGACAGTTCTGCGCGCCTATCGAAGGAAGCAGCCAAGGCGGATCAGATCTTCGGCAAGCTGCTTTTCAGCAGTCATACAACCGACCCAGAAATTTTCGTGCAAGCACGCATCACGTGGCTGCAGCATCTATTGCGGGATAGGCAGGATGTACAGAAGGCTATGAACGCTCTCGACACGGCTGTCAGAGATGCCAAGGCTGTAGTTGGGCTGCGAGCCGCAGCTCGTATCGAAGACGCCTGGAAAGAGATGTCCGAGGCGTCCCCCGCAACTTTTGAGGCAGCGCACGATAAGGGGGATGAAGGGGGAGATAACGATGCAGAGCTCGATGAGGAGTGAGGACCGAGGGTCATCTATGTAGCATAATAGTCGTCTCGCAGCGATGCAAGAGGCAGTGAACGCCCATACTCTCGTCAAGCAGTCTCCCTGCCTGACCGCTTGCACTCCCCTTTGAGAGCTGGTTTTAGGCGCAACTCATCTGCACGAACGTCTGGCCGCAAGATGCCACTTATTGGAGATCTTGAACGTTATCGAGTATGCGGCCAATCTCCGGACGAAGCTGCAGCCACTTGACGAACGTAGGAAAGCCGGAAAGGACTTGTGAATCAGAAGGGGTTTGCGAATCAAGCACCTCGGATCCGACAGTTGACGCATCGATGTCAGCTCCATCGCTCGTGCTATCCGAGCTGAAATGCTGAGATTTTTCCAGGAGGTAGTCGGCAAAAGCGATCAGATAGCCGTAACGCTGCAGATAGTTCGCATAGACCCGATGAAGCGAGCGCCACTTGCTTGTCCCCGCCTCTGCGGTGTTGAGGCGCAGCTTCGCATCATAGACGGCCTTGCGCAGATTTTGGACAGCCTCCATGAGGTCTATTGCCTGTGAATCGCAAAGACATTTCAGTCAACCCGACCAAGGCATCTACCTTCGTCGTACATGTTCCTCACCCTGTCGGCCAGCTTTTTGGCCAGCTGTCCATGCGTTAGCACACCAACGAGCTGTAGAATACTACGGTATTCGCCCTTGATCAAATACTGCTCGTCCCACTCGTCGGCGATGTCGCCTCCATTGGCGTCGATTGTGATCGATGCGACCAGAGAGCCAGATAAGAGATCTTCGGCCCCAATGGAAATGGTCGTCACGAGCGACGCGATGATCATCGAAACAGAGGTCCTTCCTCGACCCATCTGGCAATTAAAGACGGGGATAGATCCGGTGCGGAGGGCCAGATGAATGCGGTTCTCTAGCATGGAGAAAACGGTCGCTCGCGGCGCTTGCTCATCTGTGACTGCTAGACGTGCGTAGTCCACCTTGTAGCCTTCGCGCACTACCGTCTCATAGACCTGGTGCACGATGAGGAAGGCGTCAGACACTTTTGAGATGAATGCCAGTCGGTTCCATTTACTGACCTCTCTCGGAGTTAGCACATCTTCATCCGCGACGTGCTCCCAGACCGGCACAAGCTCGTACCGTCCAGCAGCGAGGTCGATCTCGTCATGTAGTAGAACTCTGTTCTCTCGTGCACGGGCTTCATTGATCACATCTGCTTTCAAGGCGCGCTCCATTTGTTCAACAACCTCAGTTGTAATACCAGTAGCTTCGACGTTCGTCAGAGGTTGGTCCGCAAGGCGTAGGACGTGGGGTCGTCCCTTCACGTATAGGACCGGCTCCTCGCGCAAGGATGTCCAAACTACGCGGGAGGGTCCATCGGGCGCAGCGCCCATCTTCTGCAACCCAAGCCGCAGACCTGTAAGGGTGGGCATTCCGGTACCCCAGACTTCGCGCGCGCTAAACGACTCCAGATTGATCGATGAGGATAAGGATGCAGAAGCGAGCAGCTGCATGGGAACGCCGCGCATATTTGGCATGCCGTCGATGTGGACGGGCAAGCTCTTCTTGAGGATACCAGGGAAGAAGTCTGACTTGAGCATGGTAAAAGGACTGAGAATGGAGCCATTCCGATTGCTGATGACCTCCTGCTCTTCGCTTTCGGATGCCAACCCCTCCTTGACTCCGCTCTGAAGGGGCGTAATGGTCGTCAATGGCTCATTTTCAAAGTCTTTAGCGAGAGTCTTGAACACCGGTTGCCTGGTGACAAATCGCTCGAAAGTCGAAGAGACCGGAATGCTTGGTACGGTGGACATGAGGTAGGCTTGGAAGATCATGAGCTCGAAATATCGACGCAGGTTTTGCAGCCCGCCTGAGAGCTTGGCATCCCTGGCGTCCTTGTCGTCCAAGTCTTCTGCTGCCAGGCGAGCTTCTTCGATCGAGTCGCGCAAGTTCAGGATCTGGGAGCATGCATCGATTGCACGGTCCACTCGTCTCTTGACTTCCAAGCCTTTCGGCAAGACGCGCAAGACGGAATTGATGATGTGGTAATGCAAGGTTGCTCGGTCTTCCGCCTTGGCTGCTGCTCCTGTTCCTGATGGACTCGCATCGACTGTCGCATCAGAATCGTCAATCCACTGCGAAACCAAAAGAACAATGATTGCTGTGAGCGTGCTACGACCTCGGCCCAATTGGTCGTTAAGAATGATGGGTGAATTATCCGCTTTAGCCTGCAGCACAACGGACAAGAGGTCGGTCATATCGCTCGAGTCTGGCATCTTCTCTGCTGTGATGGGAATTCTCCGATAATCAAGTTTGATGCCACTGGAAGCAAGATCACGAGCTTTGCCGCCCATTACCTCCGAGACAGTCTGCACGTCTTGCGCCTCTACCTCCTCCCACACCGGAACGACAGCGCCATCTTCTGTCTCGGTGTGCAGCAAAACCCTGTTGTCACCATTTGTAAGCTCGGCCAGAATGTCTCCCTTCAGACGGTCCTCGAGAAGCTGAAGCCTGGTCCAAGAGATCCCACTGAAAGCTTTGGAATTGCGCAAGGACATGCCGCTCGGTCGCAGGCAGTAAGGTTTTCCGTTGATGTAGACTAAGGGTTCTTCACGGAGGTTGAGCCACGTCACTTGCGAGACCGATCTACCGCCGCGCTCCGTCACATTCATGATTACATTGTTGATCCCTTCGTCAGTTGGTTGGCCCGTCGCATAGATCTCTGTTCCCTCGATGCAGCGGAAGTTGACGGTGCCTCGGACCTCCAGGCCGGCATTGAGCTCAGCGAATCGTCGCCAGATATCGCACTTCAATAATGTCATGGGCCGAAGGACAATACCCGCCCTGTTGCGGATGATGTGCTCCGCAAATTCGTCTCCAATTTCGCCCTGAGCGGGCCGATCTTGCAGGCTCGAGATTGTTATAGACTGACCAGTCAGAGCTTTGCTCAGGGAAGAGAGATCAGAGATGGGATCGAAGAGGTACTAGAGATGTTGAAAAGTCAGTTACAGATGCACGGATGGCCACAACAAAATGGGCTGAACGTACGAGCTGCATGGTTTGTGAGCGGATTCGAAGAATGCTGTTCCAGATCTCTCCTCGAGCCTTCAGCCACACAACGAAGCGGTGATCAAACACTGCAGTCTTGCTAGCGTTTACGTAGGACGCAAAGGCGACGAGGAAATAATACCTGTTCATGGAAACAGAGCATGAGACAGCGGCGTAGCTGTAGCTCGTACAGCATGGTGCAACGTACCTTTCCAGTGCCCTCAAGGCTTTCTGAAGATGAGATCGGCTCGTCTTCCCTTCCGGGTCCAACCGGCCTGACTGAGCTGCATACTGTACACGCTCGATCAAGATAGCCTCGCGCAAGTTAGTCACCTGCGAACAGGCGTCAACAGCCGTGTCGACCAATGCTTTGCTTTCTAGACCTTCGTCAAGGAGCCCAGAAAGTTGGCGGATGATCCCAAAGTCTCCGGTGCCGGCTGCTCGTAGGCTGTCCGTCAAGACAGGATCCATTAGCAGGAGCTCGGTAACGGATTGGGACGCTTCGCGCGAGAAGGCTTCGCCTAGTGTTTTGATCAGGCGGAGCAGTGCGCGACTCTGAGCTTGTTGCTGGGTGACTGCTTCCATGGATTTAGCCACTGCGGTCGTTGGCACCGGATAATTTGCCGACGAAGCTCCTGTCAACAAGGTACTTCGAACGAAGGAGGCCTCTTGGAATGGATCTGGACGATCTAGAAGCAAGAGCTGCTTGCGTCTGATCAGGAGAGCTGCGACCATTGCAAAGGTTGTCCGGTTGAAGCCAGCGCCGCAATTGGCGACGATGGAAGTTGTCCGAGGGTCGACTCTCTTAATGATTTGCGCATAGGCGTCAAGCTATGGGTGAAGCCGCTCCAGTGAGTTGCCATACCACGCAGCAGCTCTGCTCGATCATTCCTCACGTAGTTGTTCTCGATGGCCTGGGTCTCCGAGATCGGTACTCTATGGTACTCTACTTTCCAGCCTGCTTTTATGATAGCTCTATATACCTCCTTGACCGTCATGACAGCATCAGAGCTGACGCAGATCCAGGTTGGGATCACATTGCCACCGCGATCTTCCTCGTGCACGAGTAGCAGGTTGTTGTGCTTTGAAGCCTCGTTCAAAATATCATCTTTGAGTCTTGATTCAATGCCTTCCAAATTAGAAGCACGATCCGACATGCCAAGCGTCATTGTCGGGGTGTCTGCATCGCGCAGAACAAAAGGCCGCCCGCAGATGTAGATGACTGGCTCCTCTCTGGTACATACCCACACGCACTTATCACGCACCGACAATCCAGAAGCAACTCCCCCATCATCTCCTGCAGACGATGTTGATAGACCCTTGAAAGGAGAATTCAATGGATTTGGAGAAGGGGCTGGAGAGGGAGAGAGCTGCACAAGATGGAGAGTATCCCCGGCTGACAGTTTTTCTCCATCTGTGCTACCCTCCGGTTGACAGCCCAATACTGAGAGGATGGTCTTGAGGCCAGTGATGCTTGGTTGGGCTACTCCATACACTCCTAGATCGACGTTCGCTTTTCGAAAATTCGGTGCTCCTTGCAAGTGGATCGAAAGATGCGCAGGCCGAGCTAAGAAACATATGAGGTTGCAATAGACCTTAGCTCCAACCAGAGACACCAAAACAGAGTGTCGCAACCTGCAATCGACTCACTTCCAGCAAAGTGATCGGTCTTGAGAATCAAGCCCCTTGTCAACACATTTCCTCTACGATTTCGCACAACGGCTTGGTCTTCTTTGCGCGTCCAAAAGCTAGATGGCTGGGTTGGCAAAGGATGAACCGCTGAGGTCGAGACGTTCCCAGGAGTCTGGCTGCTGCGACGCATATCGCTTGACAGGCTAACGCCAGGGAGACAGTTGGAACTGTCTGCTAGGCGCGAAGAGGGCAAGTCTAACCACACGCAGATGCTTGATATTGAGCGGAGAGCGTAGAGCTTATGACGCGTGAGCCGAGAGCACGAAGACCGGGGATATGAGGATTGACGCGTGTGTTCATCCTTTGAGTGGTCGCTCAACCCTCACGACAACATCACCCTCGACTGCAACAGCGAAGCCAACTTGGCTGCCGTGGTGCCACAATTCATACCCTCGGATGGTCCGAGCGTGGCATGACGCCGCATTGACGCCTGCCCTCGATCCCGACTTTCTAGTCCTTTGTCAGCTAGACGCCCAAGGTGCTCAAGAGTCAAGCAGCCATTTTGCTCCGTTGCTATGGCTTGCCACTGAGGCATCGATCTCTTTCCATTTTCCCACTCTGCATTTCAACTGGCCCTGCCCTTGTCGAAGTACGACACGAGGTGCGAGGAAATCCGTCGCCCAACATGGACCGCACTTCGGCCTTCGTGGCCACTCTTCTGGAGAAGGTGTGTGCAGCTTAGATCTGGGGCCGTAGTGCGCCCCAAGCACCATTCTGATCAATCTGCTTGTCTTCCGCTCGACTTTCTCTTCATAGATGCGATCCGCCGATCCGGACTACCGGTAAGCTCCATGCAGTGGGACCACCTAGACAACGAAGGGAGACTGATCCCCAACCACGCGCTACAGGTACATGGCTCTCAATGACTTGATCACGCGAGCCAAGTCCGATGACTTCATCGTGAAGGATGTGGGCACCGAGTCGCGGACAGTCAATCAGGTTCTTGAGATGATGAAGGACACGAACGGAGAGGTTAAGAACATGACTGTCAAGACGTATGTACTGCGAATAGATTTAGAAGCTCCGCTATCCAGAGTCCCAACAACATCATGTGCTGATCCGCGTCACTCTGACTCCACAGATTGGGCATCCTGGTGCGAAGAGTCCGCGAAGGAGAGCTGCAGAACATCACAAACAAGCTAGTCGAATACATTTCAGGAAAGGAAGAGGAACTGCGAGACATTGCTTCTCTAGGCGCGTTGGACGTTCAGCGATGGAGTGACCGGCTTTGGGATTGACATGCTCTGCCCCACGTCTGACAGGACTGAAGACGGTGGTAGTTGAGCTTCCGCCTACTTCGAAATTGGCTGCTTCCATCTCCATGAAGCTTGCTCCTAAGCTGATTCAAGTCATTGAAAGTGTGAGTTCAATACGGCCCTCGTTGCTTGTAGTTACGTTTCTATGGGCCACCTTGCTTATGCAAATTTTCGTTCTTGTATGCAGCCGACAGCGTCACAGGAATTGCTTATCGATTGCCTAGAGATTGTCACTGAGATCTTCAGCCGATTCGCCCCATCAGTCACCGCAGCAAAGAAGGACTTCCAGCAGCCAAGCATGAAAGCATTCTTCACCGCGCTCGAGCACAACAACGCTGGCGTGCGAAAACGTGCTATGACGGCTATGTCAATTCTCGGCGCATGCGCATCGACAGAGACATTCACTGAAATCTGCAAAAGGACTCACACGGACCTTTGGTCGTCAAACAAGGAAGCGAGGCGCACGATGACCCTCCTGACTGGATCATTGGCGCGCGCATCACCACGTCGGATTGGGAAGAGGCTTCCAGACTTTATGACAGCGATTCTTCCGCTGGTAAACTCAGAGGAAGAGGATGATGAGTTGCGCGAAGCATGCCTTCAGACTTTGGAAGTGCTGCTGCTCCGCTGCCCCGCTGAAATCACGCCATTTGTCACGCAATGCTTGGACGCTGCCAGCAAGTCGATCAGCTATGATCCGAATTACGCTGGCGATGGCGACTCAGATGAGGAGATGACAGCTGACAATGAGGATGATGAAGATGATGAGCTCGATATGGAAGAGTGAGTACGACCAACTTTCTCGCAGCAGCACAAGATGATTGATTCCTGTGTCTTGAGCAACGTAGCTATGAAGACGACGACGACTTATCCTGGAAAGTGAGGAGATCCGCAGCCAAGGTGCTGAATGCTGCCATCAACACACGATCCGAGATGCTCGTTGTCTATGCCGAGAAAACACTACCGATATTGATTGCGAGAACCTCGGAACGCGAAGAGACCGTGCGCCTAGAGGTGCTCAACACGCTTGTCGCACTGCTCAAACAGACTCGCCTCTACAGCGCCGGGCCACAAGCTACTGAAGTAGTCGGTATAAGTGCTACTGCTGGGCAACTTAAACGAAAGTTTACCGACATTGATGCGGAAGGCGCCGCTAGCCCGCGCGCAATCATCTCATCCAGGACGGAGGATATCACAAAAGCCGCCAGCAAGGAGCTCGGTTCAAAGTCAGGCGGGACACACGCAGCCTGTTTGTCGGTATTCCGTGAACTCGTTCTTCTCTTGCACGGCGGCCTCGAGGCTTCACTCGGCAACCTGCTCGCTCAGATCGAAAAGCTCGTCAAGGCGACTGACGCGTCGAGCGGCAACAGTGTCAACCTGAAAGTCGAGATGCTCGCCCTTCTGCGCCTCATATTCCGGTTGCATGCACCTCAAAGCTATGAAGAGCACCTCCCAAAAGTCCTTCCCATCATCATCTCCGGCATCGAGTCGCGCCAGCACCGCAACTCGACCGAAGCGTTGCAGACCGCGTCCGAGCTCATTGTCTCGCTTTTTCCGTCACTGCGAGCTGGCACACCAAGCAGTCGGAGCAGCCCACCGCGCACGGGAAACTATGTGTCTACAACGCAGCAGATCTACGACGCCGTTGTTGAGCGACTGAATCGCCCTGACTCAGATCAGGCCATCCGTGAGCAGGCACTCAAGACACTCGCCATTTTGCTTTCACACGCGGGCGATGGTATTAAGGACCAATCTGCTGATTGCTTCCCAATGCTGCTTGAGCGTCTCAAGAACGAAGTAACGCGCTTGCCGACTCTCCATCTCATCACTCGCGTCGCACCCTCGCCGCTGTGTGAGGGACCAGACTTTGAGAAGTTCTTTTTGCAAGCTGCAGGTGTTGTTGCCGAGCTGCTCAAACTTGGCAGTCGGCAGCTCAAGACCGCTGCCTTTGAGAGCCTTGTTGCCCTCTTGAGCAGGTAAGTGCTCGTTTCAACAGCTTCCGCTGCAAGGCTCGTGTGGATATTGAAGGGAAACAACATCGTATTTTGCCCGTCGCCAGAATCGGTGCAAGCATGCCTTCGCAACTTGTAGATGACGTGCTTTCCTCCGTCCGACCCATGCTTGGTCAGTCAGCAGACATAAGCCTCTTGCCACCCACGCTGCAAGCAGTAGTCGTCATTCTCATACAGCAGCCCACTTCTCAAGAGAAGGTGAAACAAGAGATTCTTTCCCTCGTTTACGACACTCTCCAATCGCCCCTTGCCCAAGGCCCAGCGTTGCAACCCTTGCTAGAATTCTTCACCGCCTACGTGCGCGCCAATCCAGCACTTAGCTCAAGCGTCCTCGACGATCTGCTCAAACAGGCAAATATTGTTCAGTTGACGCGCAGCAGCCATGCCACGCAGACCTACGCCGTGGTGGCGAAATGCATTGGTGCCGTTGTTCGTTATAACAAGAATGAGACGGGAGCTCAAGCGCTCGCTGCTGCCGAGTCTGGACTCAAGCAAGGCGAGGCTGCACAGCCTCACTCCTTCTTTAGCCTGCGCATCCTCGGAGAGGTGGGGCGCATCGAGGACTTGTCCGCCAAAACGTCATTGGTGGATGATGTGCTTAGCTTTTACGACGTTGGTACGGAGGAGCTCAAGAATGCTGCTGCTTTCGCGATGGGCGGGATGGCTGTGGGCAATTTGGCGACCTTCCTTCCGATCATTGAGGGACACATCACATCCGATGGCAGCAAGCGGTACTTGTCTTTGCACGCGATCAAAGAAGTCATCGTCAACTCAAAACCCATGGATCTGGTGCCTGTCGCTGAACGCATTTGGCAACCGCTGTTTGACATTTGCGAAAGCAAAGATGAGGCGACTCGCAGCATCAGTGCCGAGTGCCTGGGAAGGTTGACGCTCGCTGATCCGGAGCGATACCTCGTCCAATTGCAAGCTCGTCTACGCTCCGATTCTGCTTCTGCTCGTATTGCCGTCCTGGTGGCCGTTCGCTTCACGCTTACCGAAACAGGGGCGACGTACGACGAGCTTCTTGCACCCTTGCTTGTCGAATTCCTCTCGCTTCTCAAAGACAGCGACGTTGAGGTTCGGCGGAATGCCGTCTTGGCATTCAGTTCTGCAGCATACAACAAGCCTCATCTGGTTCGCGAATGGCTGTCGACACTGCTGCCGCTGCTCTACAATGAGACCAAGCCCGACTCGAAGCTTCTTCGGAAAGTGCCCATGGGACCCTTCACCATTACCCAGGACGATGGACTTGAGCTTCGAAAGGTGAATGCTCTTTGCGAGCAGCACCCGAAACCTCAAGAACATGTACTGACTACGTTTCGACTCTTTAGAATGCCTTCGAGACTATGATTACGCTGCTCGACACTTGCTTCCACAAGATCACTATTGAGGACTGTGAGTACGCGCCTTGGCTTGCCAATTAAAGCTTCCACTTGATTTGTGACGCATTCAATTGCAGTCGTCTCCGCCGTCACCAATGGTCTAAGTGATTCAGATTCGACGATAAAAGTGCTCTGCTGTATGATGCTAGCCCGCTTGGCGACGCTTTCGCCAGTCATTGTGTCCAATCGTAAGCGAAAGTTTGTCAACACTGTCCCGGGAAAAGTTTCGACTGACACGGGTCTGACACATTAGGTCTCGACGACATTGCTGGGCCACTTCTCACTACCCTGAGGGTAAAGCTGAAGGAGAGTGCAACACAGCAAGAGGTGGAGAAGGCTGCGGAGTTGCAACGCGCCATCTACCGGACGATTAGCGCCCTTGACAAGATCAGCGTCAACTCTTCCGCCCATGCATTTGCAGAGCTCGTTGCAGAGACCAAGGCCAATGATAAGTCTGGTCAGTATCGGGAGATGGAGCTTGCGTACGCGAGACCGACTGCCTCGAATGGTTTCGCTTCTGGCGAATGACACGAAAATGTATAACATGTGGCACTCAGCATGTAATGGTCTTCTTTTAACAAGGCATTCGATGTGATGATCCAATGCTACAGATTGAGGTGCCCGCAACACAAAGCTTATAATTAGTTTTACCAAGCCGGGACGCTGGATAATCCAGGGTGACTGTGAAGACGGTATCCTAGTTTGAGTCTGGAATGCTGAAAATATAAATGATGCTAAGGGGTATCCTTGATGGCCCTCGGCGATTCGCGAACGGCTGATAGGGCACGCGAATGCAGGCCAGTGTAGTTGCTGTAGTTCGGCTGGAAGGAGAGTCCCAGACCGCCGTCGTTTTTGAGGGATTCCCACCACGACTCAGAAAGCAGACGCGAGTGGTCGTCACCGCCGTTCCACTTGGAGGGATCCCAGCCGTCAAGTTCGGGGCCGATAGCGGTGTAAGGGGAAAGATCAATTTGCTCATCGCGCGGCGAAGGGATGAGTGTCGACGCGACGGTGGATGCGGAGGCGGGTGCAAGCTCGCGCTCACTGCTATCACCTGCAGCAGACCGCAGACGCCCCTGTGCACGAGCAGGTCCTAGATCCTGCTCAGCAGCCCTCTTCTTGCCGCGCGACTCTGGCTCGGAAGAAGGTGTGGCAGTGGTGGTCGCGGTAGCAGTCGAAGCGGTCGTCGTGCGCGTCAAGTTTGCGGAAAGAGATTGGGTGGCGCTGATGCTTGATGGCTGCGACTGGTGACTGAAAGCAGGAAGCAAAGCGCCTTTCTGTTCTTCGTCGACTCCACGCATCGCGAGCGCAGAATTGGCAATACCAGCCTCCATGCCATCACTTGAAGCAAGAGCTGTCGAGAGCAACTTGCTGCTCGCAGCAAATGATTCCCCGCGCATGTGTCCGCGCAGCATGACTTGCGGTGAGCTGCTAATACTGCTGCTGCTGCTGCCGCCGCTACCCCCGCCACTTGTACTGGCGCCGTGGAGCGTGTCCGGATCTAAAGGGGGCAGAGCGCGCACCGAACCAGTCTTAGCTTGGTAGCTGGAAATAGGGGAGATGCGCGAAGGCGTCGGCAGACTCGGGCGCGGCGTGTTGTGGATGTTGCCGCTGCTAGATCGGGAACGAAGGGCGCTTGTGAACGACACAGCTGCATGCCGGCGCGGAGTTGCTTGTACAGGTGACAGAAGGGAGCGCGAACGTGCGCGAGTGGCGATGGGAGAAGAAGTGACCATGGCAGATGACCGTTTGCTTGGGATGGAACCCAATTGTGGCGCCTGGACGGCAGGCGCAGGTGCAGAATCTGGTTGCGCAGGAGCGCCGCTGGTCTTGCCAGCCTCTAGTGCGCTTTGTTGCGACTGGGATATGTTGCTGCTGCTCGAAGAAGCTTCCACAGATGCAGGGGCGGATGCTGTAGGCGGCTGTGGTGGCGGAGCAGAGTTCTTCGAACCATGTGGGACATCACTGTTCTGAACGCCTGCAAAGCGACCACCCAGCGCACCTCCCAAGGTGGACAAGTCGCCAAGCTGAAACGCATAGGCCGGCCCGACCGTCGCTCCGTTCCCATTGCCGTTAACCGCACTGTTTCTGTTGCCACCGACGAGAATGGGGTGGCTACCAAATACATCCTCGACGGCACCAGCAGTAGCTCCGTAAGCAGGTGCAGACGAGGGGCGCATGCTGGTGATGTATGAGGCAGCAGCGTTATCGGTCCAATGGCCAGTGTTGACGCCACTCAGAGATTGCAAGTTGCTCTGCTGCTGCTGTTGCTGCTGTTGCCCCTGATGAAATTGGTGCTGAAGTTGAGCCTGCTGCGGTTGCTGCTGTTGCTGTTGAGCAGGAAGCAGGCCATTGTGGTTGGCACCCGAAGCACCGGCGGCGGCAAAGGCATTCGAGTCAGGCGAGTGCGGGTGTGCATGATGAGGACCCAGAAGCCCAGAATGCATGTCGACATCAAGATTGAGCGCAAGATTGAGATTTGCATGCGGACCCGGGACGCTAAGGCTCGCACTGCGCGCTAGCGCGTGACCTTGAGGGATGTGCGACAGGCCAGGTACAGGCGCAGGCGCAGGCGGTGGAGGATGCTGCAAGTGCTCTTGCCCATGCCCATGCGCGTGGCCTTGACTGCTGCTGCTGGCAGTCATGAACGCATATGGATCTGTTGCAGCGTGACTCTCGTCATGCATGTCAAAGTTAGCGTCAAGGAACCCAGCGGCGGCAGCGACGTGCGCCGCTTCAAGCTGTTGCTGTTGCTGCATCTGAATCTGCATATGCAGTTGCCGCTGGTGCTGCATTTGCTGCTGCTGCCGCTGCTGTTGTTGTTGTTGCTCTTGCTGGTGCTGCTGACCATGCGAGAGCTGGTGATACGCCTGCGCCTCGAGATTAGCATGGAACAACCGCGGGCCATGCCCGTGCCCATGCACGGCTTGCCCAAAGCTCGTGACGGTGGGCGGCGCGGAGGCAGGGGCGTTGGGAACAAAGACATGCGCGCCAGCCATCGGCATCGACATCGACATTGGCATCGACATCGGGACCTGCATGTTCGAGATCCCAAAGAAGAGTGCACTGTCATCGGCGGCGTTGTTAAAGTCTTCCGCTGACGATGGAGCCGAGCTGCAGCTGTCTACGACATGAATGGATGGCGGCTTGCTGCTGCTGTTGTTGTTACCGGTGCTTCCGCTGGAGATGTTCGCCTTGTTCGCTCTCTTCGGAGCATTGCCCGCCTGTTTGGCAGCAGGGCTCTTCTTGGTGATACCTTTAGTATTCGCCGCAACTGCACTCGAGCCCGTTAGAGCCGCGGAGGACGAGGACGATGCGGTTCCGGTGGTGCCTTCCGTAGGGACGAGGAGCGTCTTGGGCTGCTGCTGCCTCTGCTGAGCGCCCAGCTGATCCGCCTGCATCTGCAGCGCGACGGGCACGTCGAGGCCCTTGTCCTTGAGGTTCGTAACGGCGGCGATGAGCTTGGCGCGACGGACAAGCACAGTGTTGTAGTGATTCTTAATGGCATTGTCCGTCCTACCGGGCATGTACTTGGCAATGTACGCCCACTTGCTGCCAACGTCCGTGAACAGGCGCAGAATGAGCGAGTCCTCTTCGGGTGTGAATGGGCCCTTGCGAATGTCAGGGTTGATGTGGTTATGCCAGCGCTCACGGCACTGCTTTCCGCTGCGGGTGCCGAGGCGCTGAGCGATGGCTACCCACTTCTCCGGCCCAAGCTCGTCGACGAGGTGCTGCAGTGTCTCGTCCTCCGTCTGCGACCACGGGCCTTTGATCGACGGCGGCTTGGTCAGCGCGCGCCAGCGGTTAATGCACTCTTCCTTTGATCGGCAGCCGTCTGGGAACGCGATGCTCGCAATTTTGATCCAAGACTTGGAGTTGGACGCGGTAATGTTTGTGGATCCGCCCGTGCTAGCGTTGGCTTTGTTTAGTATGGCGATCGCCGTGCGGAGCCGCTCATCTTCCTCTTGGCTCCAATCGACGAGTGTGGGAGAGCCCGCGATGCTTTGCGAGCCATTCCTCGCATCTCCCCTACCGCTGCCTTCAGTGCCATTCTTGCCCTTTGAGCCTTTAAAAGCAGATGAAGTGGGAGCCGTGGCCGTCAACGGTGTGTTGGGCGTATAAGGGCTGCGCTGTGCCTGCTGTTGTTGGCTCTGTGGACCCTGCTGTTGCTGAGAGTGAAATTGATGGACTCCTGTAGACAGGAGCGATGCCGCAGAGGAGGAAGCCGCCGTGGACGACGCGGACAGACCTCCTGCATCTGCGCCGTGGCCGTAAGGGGCAGGAGAAGGCGGAGGGAGTGGGGCATGACCTCTTCTCTCAGCCAAGGTGGTGTGAAAAGGAATTCCTCTTGTCGCCAATGATGGTGCTGGGGGTGGCTGTGCTACCGTTGCTACTTGTCCGCTGGAGCCTTGCAAAGAGATTAGGACAGGAAGCGGAGCAGGAGCATGGATCTGGAGATGCGGCAACGCCTGCGAATAGCTTGGCGTGAGGTTCTGGAAGCTGTACGCGTACGGTGGCTGCTCGGCGGGTGCTTGGGATGCAGCGATGAAGAAGTCGAGGGAAGGTGGGGCCAACTGGCCACCGTGGTGGTGAAGCTGCTGTTGGTCGTGATCCTGCTGTTGTAGATGGTGCGACTGGACCTGCTGGTAAGGATGTGGTGCCATCATGAGGGGCGAAATGCGAACGGTGGCGGCCTCGGCGAAGGCTGTTGGAAAGGACACAAATGGTGACCATCAGCATGAACTGCATGCAGCAAGAGCGGGTAACGACCTGCATGCGCATACCGTATACGGTATCCGACTCACTCAATCAAGGCCCAACAACTCGACGCAACGCTCTTCTCCTTGAGATGCGTTGACTGACACCCAGATGGCGATGGCGGTTCTGACTTTCGTGTCGGTAGATAGAGCAGGAAAGGAACAGGCGCAGCTGTTGCGCTTGATGCGACCAGCTTTGCAAGGATGGAGCAGCGATTCAGCGGTTCAGCTGGTAGACGACCATGCTCCAGCCGCTGTCGTTAGTGCTACCGCTTTCGATGTTGCTGTTCAGATCAACTTGGTCGGTTGGGGTTGTTGCATCTGGAAGTGCTGAGGAAGATAGAGTGGACTGGACAAAGGGAGGGGAGGTGGCGGTGGCAGTGGCAGTGAAGATGAAGGAGCGTTGGTGATGATTGGCGGTGAAGAACGCAGAAACCTGTAACGCTCGAGACGTTACATTGATCTGCTCTCTGCGCATGAAGCTGATAAAAATCTTTGTTTTGTTGATGCGTCACCAACTTGCTGCGACGGCTGTTGGCCAGCTGACCTGCATTCGGCCTGGTTACAGCAGTTGTCACAGCGGTGGAAGCAGATGGACGAGGACGACACGCTCGTGCACCGTTGACCTACGCACCGACAGAAGCCGGCGTCAGGTGTTTGTTTTGTTCATGCCAATTGATATGCATACTTTGGGATGACGATCAGCTACACGGCCAAAGTGTGGCAACGGTTCCCCGCTTCCTCCGTCATCATCAGACTGCTTGGGTGCCGTTACTGTAGGCTCGTTCCATGCTACGATCACCCTCCCCCTCCAACGGGCGAGAAGCCGATAGCAGCGTGACAGCCTGCGACAGCTGCCTCGGGCAGTAGAGTCGTGATGAAAGTATGCAGCCATGATACAAACTACCCTACACTGCACTACATGGGCCGGGCTCTGCCGTCGTGCCAGACCAACTTACCTCTCCGACCTTGCACGCGGGAGCTCGAGCCGCATGAGGAATGAGGCTGTCATGAGTTAGATCAGCGCACGCATCCTCTGCGAATGCAGGTGTCGAGGTTAAGCTGGGTGGGGCAGTGGAATGACCTGGATTCTGTTGGCACTGCCCAAGCCAACTTTGAAGCGCCGTCCTTCGCCCCCCCCTTTTCCTTGTGACTGAGGACTGTCCTCTCCGGCCCATGTCTGTCCCCCCGCTTAGGGCTCAGCAACATTACTCCTCGCCTCAGTTCAAGCGAAGGGAGAGAGCTACAGTCAGCGGGGGCGCCACTGGCTTGCAGATGGTGCATTTTACACGGAGGTCAGGGCATTGAGACAGAATGCGTGCGTGGAATGTAGCTTGCAGAAGAGTCCAGGCGAGCGATGTGTCTTTGGAATCACACAAGGGTCGAAGGAGGCGAGGCATGCAAGGGGGCATCGCAGCGCCGCAGTAGAGAATGGCAGCAGCGGCCAGGACGCATGTCGCCTGTGAGTACACCGCGTGTTGCTCACTCTCCAGTATGCGCTAAGGCGCGCATTTCAGATCCCGCTTGCACGTGACGGCATCCGCGCGACGCGACGCCGGCAACCAAAGAACAACACATACACGACGGAGGACACTCGCGACTCGCGCACTCAGCGCCCGAGTCCACTAGGGTCACTTGGGTCCACCACAACGACCAAACCACAGCCTCGCGAAGATGGAGGAGGTATTCGGCATTTGGGGTGATGGCATTTGGCGCACTTTCGGTCGGAGGCTAGTCCGGCGGCCTTCATAACAGGACTGTTGGGAGGTTGAACAGGGTGCGCAGTCAACTTTTTGTTCCGGGCACTCAAAGCGCAAGTTACGCGGCTCGACCCTTGGAGTTCCGGGTAGCGGTTGGTGGTGAGCATTACCATCATCTGCCATGTAACACTTCACAGCGTATGTATGGATCCTGGAGCTCACCCAGCGCACACCACTGGGAAAGCGCGCAGACGGCAGAGAGCTTCCGGTGCATAATCTGATCACACACATTGTCCGCCGGGGGTCGTGTCATCATTGCGGGGTGGGAAGGGAGCAACGCGAACCCAGATGATACACCCGAAGTTCTCGTGGTGATATATGCCTACGAACACTGTCAAGCCGTGCGACTAAGAACGATCCGCTTTCAGATTTGTACTCTTCACTTGCATTTGCGAGTGCATGCGAAGTTCATCTACTGCAGCCCAGTTGAGACCAACAAAATGGAGACGGGATTGTATGTACTGCAATCACACATGTATTCTTCGCGTACTGGCTGCCCCGATGGAACCTCGCGAAGGAGCCACTCGCTTGCTCTCTTTACCATGCAGTTTACCGCTCGTCATCATCGTCATCGGACGTGGCGGCAGGCCTCTTGGAGAATTTTAGCTTGAGCGACTTCTTGCCTCCACCACCACCTGTTCCCATGGCCGCCCCACTTCCACTGGCAGGGGTAGCTGTGGCACCACTGTCCCGGTCATCATCGTCGTCATCCCCATCATCGTCCCCATCCTTGTCCCTACCATCCACCTGGTCTTCATCGTCGTCATCGTCCTGCTCGTCAACCTGCATGCCAGTAGGCGGCACAGCAGCCTTGGCCACAGAGGCGCCAGAGCCAGCACTCGCGCTCTGTCCATCATCGCCCGGTAAGCCGGAGCCAACGATGACTTCGTCGTACTTGTCATCGAACGCCTTCTGCAGGATGTTGGCATCGTTCCAGACCCACGACCCTTCCTGGTTGTAGATCCTAGCATTGTCAAACATCAGGTGGATATCGCTCTTGCACGATGCCACGTCGCGGTAAGTGCGGTTGTCGATGCGCCGTTTAATCTGCCGCATGCAGATTGGATGAGCAATAATCCTATCAAAGCAGAGAGACCATGGTCAGCTTCCTCATTCAACACAAATGAGCGTTCTGCCACGCACTGTCTATAATCCGGGTACAGCTTGGCATTGGGCAAATCAAGGAAGAGCGAGCAACGCTTCCGGGTTGTCTCCTCCTCGATGCAAGTCTCCAAAGCCCTATAGCAAGTTACCAGCGCCTGATTGACAGCCTCTCGCATATCGGTATTAGCGCTGCCCTTATGCCTCTTGCCGCCTGGGGCAGGGCCGCGACGGGAAAACGAGTGGCTCTCATCCGGCTCTGGCGTCTCCGTGTCAGCTGTGCGCTTCCGCTTCCGCCCCGGAGCCGGTGAGCCCTCTGGTGTCTCCTCGTCAAAGCCCTTCGACTTGCGTCCGCGCTTGCCCGGCTCAGGCGTCGAGCTCCCGCCTTCCTCACGCGCAAGCTTCTTGAGACGTCGCTTCTCCGCTGCCGCACGCTTCTTCTCGACCACCTCGGTGAGGTCCTGCTCGTTCTCGACAGCAGCAAGGAACTGGTCCTCGGTGAGGTCGTCGTTGTAGCGCACAACGGTGCGCTTGCGCACAGAAGGCTCTTCCTCGCGTTCTTCGTAGGCAGCAATAGCATCTTCGAAGCTCTGCTGGAAGTGTTCGGGTAGTTCGGCTTCGGTAATGAGACGCTCAGGCCGCTTTCCCTTGTTTCCTGCAGCCTTCCAATCAGCCTGCTCCTGGCGTTCTCGCTCTTGGTCCATTTCATTGAAGCGCTTCTCTTCTGCCTCGCCACGAGCAATGAGCTGGTTGAGCTCTTCGTTCGTAAGTTCGCTCTCCTCCTCGTCCTCCTCATCCTCAGCGCTTTCGAGCATGGCACGCAAGAGGACATCGCGCTCCTCGTTCGTCGCGTTGTTGTCGAAACGACCAGCTTGGATAACTTTGCCGTCCATATCTAGCTTGCGGTGTGCAATCTCCAGAATCTTCTCCTCGACCGACTTTTCCGTCACGAGACGCAAGATGCGCACCTCCTGCTTCTGGCCGATACGATGCGCACGATCTTGCGCCTGCAAGTCCTGGTGCGGGTTCCAGTCGGAGTCAAAGATGATGACCGTGTCAGCCGTCTGCAGGTTGAGACCGAGACCACCGGCGCGGGTGGAGAGGATGAACATGAAGTATTCCGAGTTGGGCGCGTTGAACGCTTCGAGTAGCTTGGAACGATCTTCGGGCTTGGTGCTACCATCGAGTCGCAAGTAGGTGAGCGCCTTCCATCGCAGGTAGTCTTCCATGATGTCCATGATGGCAGTCATTTGGAAGAACATCAGCACGCGGTGACCCGTCGCTTTGAGCTTGGGCAGGATGCGGTCGAGTAGCTCAAATTTACCAGCGACACGGTAGAGATCCGGGCCGTTGGTCTTTTCCGGGTTGATGGCCGCCTCAACTTCCTCGAAGACATACGGATGATTACATATCTTCCTCAATTGCATGATTGCGTTCTGCAGCCCACGGATGCCAGTCATCTTCTTACCGGTACTCTTGCCGAGCTCCTCGCCGGTGAAGAAAGTCTTGTGCTTCGTCATCTGGTGGTAGAGCTTGGCTTGCAATGCAGACTTCGGGCACTTGATCACCTTTTCGACCTTGTCTGGGAGTTCGGACTCAACGTCGCGCTTGAGACGACGGAGCAAGAACGGCCGCAAGACCTTGTGCAGACGCTTAATAATCAGCAGCTGCTCTTCTTCGTTCAGCTGCATGCTGCCGTCTGCGCCGCCTGCATTGGCGAATGGGGTATTGAACCATTCGTCGAAGCTCTTGACTGAGTTGAAGATCTTGGGCAAGACAAAGTTAAGTAGCGCCCACAGTTCTGGTAAGCTGTTCTGCAGTGGTGTACCCGTCAGAAGCAAACGGTACCGTGTGACGTAGAACTGGGTGAGGGTGAGCGAAAGCTTGGAGCCAGCATTCTTCATGCGATGACCCTCGTCGATGATCATGTGAATCCACTTGATCTTGCCGAGGAGCTGCTTGTCCTTGATAATGTACTCATACGTCGTCAACAGCACCTGCCAGCCACCCTGCCTGATGCGCGTCGCCAACGTCTTGCGCACAGGCGGCGAACCCTTGTAAACGATGACGCCAACGCTCGGCGCCCACTTGGCAAATTCGTTAACCCAGTTGGTCAGCGTCGAGAGGGGCACGATTACGAGATATGGCGCTGGCTGGCGCTTTGCCTCGATGAGGAAGGTGATTAGCGAAATCGTCTGAATGGTCTTGCCAAGACCCATCTCGTCGGCAAGAATACCGTTGAGGCGGTTGTTGAAGAGCGACACCATCCACTGCAGACCTTTGATCTGGTACACCTTGAGCTTTCCGCCAACCAAGATGGACGGTTGCTCCGTAACTGTCTCAGTGATGCGATGCGCCACAGAGTAGTAGTCTACCTTGCCCGAGTCCTCTGACGGGTCGTCTTGACGGGTCGCTCCAAACATGGATTCGTCCACCTGCACCCCGACCTGCTGATTGGCGTCTGTGCCAGCCTCGCCAGGAGGTGGCAAGCCGGCCTGAGCATTGGCGATCGCCTCAGCATGAACATCATCGTTTTGCTGCGCTTGAACAGCCTGGGCAAGGTTGTCGAGGTAAACGTCGGTCTGACGCAGCAGGTGCGCGATACGCGTGTCTTTGGCCGTGTCGATGAGCTTCAGGTAAGCCTCCTCGTCATCGGCTCGCAATGCGTTGAGACGCTCCTTGGCAATCCTCTCAATCCTCTTCTGCTCCTCTCTCTCCGTGTCCACATGCAGCTTGAGGACCATCTTACCCAGCCGCTGAGCCGCGCTCTGCGCTCCCCGATGCGCATTAATCAGATCGCGCCCATGGTTGCAGATCGTGTTCAGATAGTCGATGTGCTTCTGCCTGGCCCGCTTTTCGCGATCAAGTCGCTGCTTGCGCTCAAGCTGCTCCGTCATCCGTGCATCACGCAGGGTCTGCCGTTTGAAGCGCCGGAAAGCCGTGCGGTCGAGCGCAAGTGTCGATGCGTGCGACATGCTGCGCACGACTTGCTCGCGCAGCGCTTTCTGCTTTTCGAGGAGGTAGAGTGACTTCAGCTCGATAAGCGCCTTGACTTTGGCGTTCGCATGCTTCTCAGCACTGTCGAACAGCTTTCCCTTGATACCGCGCTCGGCGCTGGCCCCTGCTGGGCTCGCTTGCACATCTTTCAATGGCGGCTTCTGGCTCATGGTCGACGGCATGCTCTCCAGCTCCGAGATTCGCTGATGTATGCGCGCCTTGACGAATCGGTTGCGTTCGTCCATTAACTGCCCAATGTCGAGTCCAGCCGGCATGAGGCTCGGAACGAGTATTCGCTGTTGACTCGTGGCAATGTAGTGGCCAGGGCCCAAGCTGGCTTTGGACAGATAAGTGAAGGGGTGAACGAACGAGTTGTACGGATATACCTTGCTCTCCGGATTGTGCTGCGGCTCTGGTTTAGCTACCTTCGTCAACGCATTCGCATCGATCTCCTTCTTCCTGCCGTCCGGCCCGACCTCATTCACAACTGGGTCTCCGTTCTTGACCGCTTGCACCACACGTGCTGCGAGATGGCTCTCAGCGGCAGCTTGTGCTACCTTGCCTGCCGTACCAAGCGGGGACAGATCGGGAATCTGAAGCTTCAGGTCATCGATCGCCTTGTTCGGCGCCAAGATGGCTGTCTGAATGTTGGGTGGAAGAGGCACATTCCGTGAGAGAAGTCGGAAAGCCTGCATCTGCGAGCGCAGTACAGACATCTGCTCGGGTGTGAATGCCGCTGATGCTTGGAGAGAGGGTGCAGCAGAAGGCCCATTCATGGCGGGCGACGAAGCAGCAGGAGTATTAATGGCGCTGTGGATACCATTTGCGACGCTTATGCCATCGGCCTTTGGCGCGACGGACGCGCCATTCGGCGCAGAACTCGAAGCAGCGGCAACTGCAAAAGAGCTAGTTGTGATTGTTCGAGACGCCCCAGGCGCAGCAGAGCCCGACGGCTGTGATGCTGCTGAAGATCCATTCGCTGCGGACTGACCTTGCTGCTGGACATGCGCCTGTGCTTGTAGTCTCCGCGCGTGTTCCTGTTGCGATCGTAGCTGTTGAAACTGCTGCACAGCTCCGAGAATACCGAACAAGCGCTTGTACTCTTCAGTCGCGGTCTCCCCTTTTGCCCTTAACTCTTGTATTCGCTGGGGTCGTGGACGGGCAGCGAAAGCGCATCAGAATCAGCCTGATTGTGATATGATGGACAACACCAAAGAGCGTGAACGTACCTGGATCATCTGCTTGATTTGGGTAGGGTCAATGTTCTGCACGACCTGCAATAGCTGCGCTGGGATGGCCTGCAGAGATCCTTTTTGCGGTGGCTGCCCAGCAGCTGAGAGCCCGTTTGCTGACGCGCCCCAGGCACCAGGGCCATTGGCAGCTGACGGGACCGGGGCCCCATTGGTGCTATTGCTGCCGCTGCCATTAGCGGCCCCCGCGCTGGGCCCTGCGGGGGCTACCTGCGAGGCCATGGTAGCAGCGTGCAATGTAAGAGTGGTGGACAAGAAGCTAGCGATGGCGACACAAAGAAGCACGACAGCGGGCCTGACCTGAGGCGCAGCGTCGAGCCCAGGTCACGTTGCGCGTATGTGGCCCCACGCTGGATGGCACGCGTCGAGTTTGGTCACGTCGAGGCGAGTGACACGCGATGTATGACGAAAGGGTTTCGTGTTGCTTTGCTGAGCGGGAGGAACCAGTGGCTGGGCCTGGCTAGGCTGCTGTTGGAACGCGATCGTGTCTCTTCGCGACACGTGAACGGCCGCGCAGACTCTTCCAGGCACGAGGGACGATGGCCGTTGCTCTGTTTCAGGGTGCTCAGAAGAGCCTGCTTGCGGTCTTCGGGTCGGAGACTGGTCAGCGCACAAGTGCAAAGGCCTGAGCGGACGGGACGGATGGGGTGGGCCACTGGCCAGAGAGAAAGGGCGGCGATCCCGATCCTTTGTCGCCAATTGGTTCTCAAGTGTGGCACTGGAAGAGCCGCCATCGATTCGCGCTGATGCTCAAATGAATAGCAGGAATTCAAACTCGACCGGGTTTACGCGATAATTTGAGAAACAATCATGTGTGGGTTTACGTGGCGACTCGAGGCTGTTTAACACGAACCAATGTCGGTCGGTCGCCATGGTCAATCTTCACACGTCTGTGTCCAACAGAATGTCCAGTACATACTAGTAATGATGCGTAAATGACTAGAACGATTGTCCTGGGAGGTTTAATGGCTAGAGCAAGTCGAGTTCATATTATATCCTTTGCAGATGTTGGCCCTCCGGCGATGGTTGGTATTGCTGTACGACCTGTTCATAAGTCAAATACGCACTCGCCGCTGTCGCCTATTGATGAAGCAAGCACCTCGCCATCTTGTGGTGACCAAGAGCAACCATATATTCAGGCACTATGGGCTGTAATAGCTGTCAGTGTGGTTGACTGTTCAGGATGGCACAGTACCACACGGACCTGGGCGTCAAGGCAATTACTTCGGCGACCTTCGAGTTCGAAGACCGTATGAGTATACGACGCGTGGACGGGCTCGTTGTTCGCATGCTCGCGTCCTGTTGCTACTAGCGAGAACCCCTTTCTTGAGGTTGCTCCAATCATCACCTACTTCTCTCCTGTGCTTATGTCAATTTCGAATCAAATGGTTCCTGCAACCATCATGTCAGCAGGCTGCTCTCACACTCTCTCCGACACTTTGTAGTGCTTTAGTCCAATGTCCCACCACTTGATGTTTCTATCTCCGCTTGCAGTGACGAGCTGATTCTCGTGCACTTCTGACCACGCTGAATCATCCAGACCGGCTTATTGTTAAGTGGCCGAATAATCAGCCAGTATCAGCATCGTCGAAAGCCTGTCACATTGCTAAATGGGTTTACACTTTCTCTCTTGTCAGACTTGCACTAGAGCCGACACCAAGTTGTGCAGAAAGCACATGAATCCGAATGTTCCCTACTCCTACGAGACCACACTTGCGCCAGTGCAAGAGGTGCATGTCAGCAATCCATTGATGGCACGAGCCCTATGCCAAGCCATGCACAGAGCCCAACATTGTTTAACAGCACATCTGCTGCACCCGCAACCGCCAATATACAAGAACAAGGAGCCCCACGCGACATTATACCCAAGAAAAGTCTTATGCTCGCGCCCATGTAATGGCTGGTACCGAAGCTACTGGTGGCATGTCCATCTTGATTGTTGCTTGGGCTTAGACCGACTGGATTGTGAGAGAATCGACATGGCAGCGAAAAGTCTCGGTCGGTCCAAGGCTTGAAATCAGGCGATCGAATTCGATTGAACGGTCCAATCCCGGCAGTACCGCAATGACAGATTACTTCAGACGTTGCCTATCACCAGAACCTCTGAGCCTGCTTCAAGTTGCTCGACTTTGGATGTCCTGACGGCTGGTGCTAGCTTTTGATGATGAGCATGCTAGAGGAGCACGAAAACCTTTCACTGGCCACAGTTCGAGTTCATCATTCGTCGACCGAAAGGTCCCTGGTACAGGAAGAGGAGGTCGCGGGCGGGGGCGAGAGTTCCCCCTTACGTGTACGGGCCAAGGAACATAAACAGATTCATGTAGTACAGACCGTTGAACAGTTCGATGCCATCTCTCACTGGCCTCGCCTAGTCTCCCACCATCAAAAGAAGTCATCATCAAGGCATCATCCCAATGGCATCGTGGAGCTTTACAGAGGTATCGCAGGCCACAGGCAAGGGCTCGATTCACATGGCCCCTGTCGGTGACTCACTTGAGATCCAACCGTCACATCAAATCGTGTTTCCTGTTTGATCCTAACCTGCAGGAAATCTGGTTTTGCATGTCGAAAAGCCATTCATCATGAGAAAAATCGACTTTCGTGGACGACGAGCTTTCAGCACGTGTGTACTCGTATATACGTACCTATATGCGATGGTATCTGGACCCATGAACACTATAATCGTATACCGCATCCTCCAGTAGACACAGCACCTCGAATACCTTAAAATCACCTCTCCGCTTCCATGCAAGTGTGATGCAATGAGAGATGAATGAGGAGAGTCTGTGTGCACTGAAGATAGCGTTGCCGTGCTGTGTATTTTTCAACCCACGCAAGTGCATTGTAGGCATTTTTACCCGACTTGATGAATTGCAAGGCTCATGCAAATGTGCGCCATTCAGGTGACTTGTGTACCGTATCCCTGGATTTGGTTGCCACAGCCTCTTGAACCTAGTTAACCCAGAACTAATATACACTTGGGCAGTGCCAACAGAACCTCTCAACACCTTTATGGGCTTCAGCTGTGCTTCAAAATGGCCACAATTACGTGACGTTTGGGATTCACAAAAGCGCGGAGATCTCATTTGGTTTTTTAATATAATTTTGGCCGCCCCTCTATGGGCCGATCCATTGACGTACATAGTGGTACTGGTTGGTCGATGTACGTCCAGCGTGTCGGACGACGATGGCATGTAGGAGCGTATGGAATGACCGGGACCGCAACAAACCTTTGCTTGTGTCGGTGGCAGTCCATGCCTGATCCCGCCACTTGACCCTCCATCAACGCCTTTCGCGCGCTGCCCTGGCTCTGCTCGTCTGAGCTAGAGCACCGACGATGACCATCACGAACGTGTCCGTCGCTGCAGATGGACGTGCCGAGGACGACGAGAACAGCCCATTTCTCTCGATCATAGCAAGAGAGCAGGAGGAAACCAGCCGGGCACGCGCGCGGCAACCTCGCCCAGGGTCCTCGAGAAGTGGAGGGCGCAAAGAAGAGAACGAAGCGCAAAAACAACGGAAAGACGACTACCTCGTCGGCATCTTACTATTGCTACTCGTAGTTTTGCTCTGGACCGGGTCCAACTTTCTGACTAACACTGTTCTGTGCGTTTATGAAGTATCTCAGGCTATTGGTGACTTGCTTTCATTCGCATGGAAATGACGCTGACCTGCTTACATTGTCCCCGCTTCGCCCAATCAGGACACACGGCTACCATAAGCCGTTTGCTGTGACATACTTCAACACATCCTCATTTTTCCTCTACCTCATCCCCTTCTGTTTCCTTAAAGCAACTTCCAAGAACAACGCCAAAAGGCAAGAAAGGCGGGCAGACGACATCGAAGAGCAGAATGTCATGCGCTGGTGGGAGAAGCTGGGCTTCCGATTGCCAGAGGGATATCAGATCTCTCTCAACCCGACAGAACATGGCGGGCGAGTGTTTCGTTTCCCGATGATAGGTTTCAGCATTTTCTGACCCCATATTCTCCCCTGTGATCTCTTAGATATCTATCCATACCAAGCACCAACGGCAATGTAGAAGACGACGCGTGCGCGCCAGCAGTGACGCATTGCCACAGGACGGAAGGTGCAGCGGGGACGGGCTTCGGACCACACGCCGCGACGGAGACGCTCTTACGTGGTCGTCTTTTGTGCAACAGCTCTTCTGTCGACATCTTGCGCTCTGCGACTTTTGCTCCGCGGCCATCTTCCATCGATGGCCGAAGGCCCGCGTCCATCCTCTCTGTCTCTGGAGGCGCTGCCGCGGGTTCGCACACCTCTCGAAGGCCGTCCCAGGACAGGGCAGGCAGCAATGCTGGCTCCGACACCTTTCCGGATCAGCTTGCGCTCGCAGCATCATCCGGGGACGCGGCAGTTCCAGTTTCGCCACGTCTCCCTCCGCTTACTCTTCGGCAGACCTCATTCCTCTCCTTGCAATTCACCCTCGTCTGGTTCCTCGCGAACTACAGCTTGAACGCCGGCCTGGGCCTCACTTCCGTCGCTTCAGGCACAACGCTGTCATCCGCGAGTGGCTTTTTCACGCTTGCGCTCGGCACACTCTTTGCCGTCGAACGCTTCACGTGGACCAAGCTCGTTGCTGTCGCCATCAGTTTTACTGGTGTTGCAATGGTCACTTGGGCTGACGCTGGTTTGATTGATCGGATTGAGATCGGGAATGATGCGACTCTTCTTGGCACCCTGGCTGCACCGATCAATGTTATCGCCGGCGACTTGCTCTCGCTTGCGTCTGCATTTTGTAAATTCGCCGCACTCGCCATCGATTCCGCTTCATTATTCTGTTGTTTCTGACTTCAATTTGCGCATTTCGACTTAACAGTCTACGCCATTTACGTGACGCTCCTCAAGCTCAAAATCGGTTCTGAAGACAGGGTTTCTATGCCGCTCTTCTTTGGCTTCGTCGGCCTCTTCAACATCACACTTCTCTGGCCATTTGGTCTCCTCCTGCACCTGACGAAACTCGAGCCTTTCGCCTGGCCCTCAGACTGGCTTACCTGGGCAGGCGTAGCGACAAACATGGCGATTACGTTCACGAGCGACTTTGCTTATCTACTCGCTATGCTTAAAAGTAGTCCGCTCATCGCTACTGTCGGCCTAAGCTTGACGATCCCGCTCGCCGTTATCGGCGACGTGCTGCGCGGGAGCCATTCTGGAGGCACACAAGCCATCATTGGCAGCGCTATGGTCCTGGTACGCGCCTCATTTTGCAATGGTACATACAGTGATCTCCATCTGACTACTGGTACATGCACTTTCTTCCCACAGCTGAGCTTCGTTGCAATTGGCCTGGCAGACAATGCTCTGATAGATTCGCAAGATAACGATACCTTCAGCTCAGAGCTGTCTTTACAAGGGGAGGAAGACGATTGAAGTCATTCCCTTGATGAGCTATTGCATCGCATGTGGAGACCCGTTCACGCTAGAACTGTTTCATGGGTAAAACGCAAATCTGATTATTATTGAGGCTGTAGAGGTTGTTCCTTATGCTTAGGCGCGCTATCGAGGGTCATGCGGCTTGCGCCAATCTAGCTCCATCCTTTTTGCTTTCTGCGCCCATGCTGGCGCTTAGACTGCTCGCGCTGGAGGGCAGCTTGGAGTCCCCAGTGACGTCTTTTTCGTGCTTGTTCGGCTTGAGCTGTGCTGGGTCTGCTTTGGACCCATCAAGTGCTGATAGCGGCTTCCAGACACCACTGAAGAACTTTCCATGTGGTAAAAGCCCGGCCTTAGTTTATACAGAAAGTCCAGCCATTACAAGCGTCAGCGAATCCGCATTGGAAAGGATGATCCCACGACGAAGCACACTCACCTTGTCAAGCATCCTGGCTACCGGCTTGGACGGCTGCGCCCCTACGCTGAGCCAGTACTGAATCCTTTTCGTGTTCCACTCAAGGCGTTTTTCCAGCCGAAAATCATCCTCTTGCGCGATGCCAGAGCCGATGACCTGGCCAGCGGTATCGTACGGATCCCCTTTTGCTTTTCCCTTGCCCTTCCCACCGATGATCGCATCGATCGGCAACCGGTTGCTGGTGGCCAGGGTGCCCATGTGCGGTGCCCATGCTGGAGCAGGGCGAGCGAGAACCCGGCGCGGAATGGGATCATATTCGCCTAGCTTTTCGATAGGTCGAGCGTCCCGCGGTTTGTGGTCCGCGATGGCGACGACATGGTAGAAGGGATTGTTGCGAGTGCCGTGGCGGGCAAGACGCAGGCGGACGGGCATGATGTCGGAAAACCGAGGAATTGGGGTTCAAGTAATGGCAACGAGTGCGTTGACTTCAGCTTCTGCCAAGAGCGATTGCGTTGGGAGCAACGTAAGTCGTCAGTCACATTGACGGACGACCAGCAGTGAAGGCCATTAAGAGCATTAAGAGAAAGGGAGCTGAGCTTCCACGAAGATGAGAACTGAGATGGGTTGATTGATGGAAAAGGCCACCGGAACTGTGCGTTTCGGCCGAGAACGAGGCTTCCACATTTTTTCCGTTCCCGCCTGTCTGACGCTCTCAGCAGCTTTCCAATAACTTTCTGCCACTTTTCTTGGTACTGTACTGTCTCGACCTTCATGGACAAGCGTTATGCTCTCAAAGGAGAGCTGATCATTCAACAGGGCATTTCTCAGTGCGCAACTTCCGTTGGACTCGTCGCAAGCAAGTAAGACGCTCACGAGGCTACCGAGCATGTCGTCGGAACGAGCTGCGAAACGGCAAAAGAAGGCGGCGACATCCTCGTCGAACGATGTCGAGCCTGCGATTCCACTTGCAAAGACATTGGCCTCCAGTGGTGAGTCTTGCCGGCACAACATCGACACATGAAGGAGAAACATTGTCGGGCGAAAATTAAGAAGCTGATTATATCGACTCCTTCCCTGCGCTATCACCATGTTGTGCTGCTTCGGTCCATCGCAGACAAACGCGAACGAGATCGAGCCATCAAGGCACTCGCCGGTTTCCTTATTCGCTCTGGACAGAATGTCATCCCGCCCAAGGAGATGGCCAAGCTCTGGAGAGGCATTTTCCAGTGTGAGTATCTGTCGGCCAGGCTTGCTCTTAGCTTGCTGTAGTCTCTTACTTTTTGAAAAATATACAATTTAGGTTTCTACCATTCAGACAAGCCGCTAGTGCAGCAAGCGCTTGCGGACGAGCTTTCCAACCTGATGCTCCTGATCCCACAGTCCGCGTCGGATGCCAGCAATGCGAACAATGACAAGGGCAAAGGAAAGGCGACTGAAATGTCCGATCGTGCTCGCGCAGCGCTGGCTTTCCTTGAAGGATTCTGGGACTCGATGGTTCGAGAGTGGGCTCTCCTCGACAAGCACAGGTGCGCGCTGTAGTGTCCATAAAGCTGTGTTCTTGGAGCTAGGCTGAGCTTTTCTTTCCTCACAGGGTCCCAAAATTCTACCTCCTGATGAGACGATTCGTAAATGCATCGCTACGCCTCTTATCCAGCGAAGACTGGAACGCAGCAGCGGTAGATCGCTTCACACAGATATGGACCAAAGAGGGTGGTGCGCTCTGCTCGACCGACCCAAAAGTTCCCACGTCCATCAAGAACCACATCTGCGACGTCTTCGTCGATGAATTGGACAAGATACTACTTGGGTTGCGCAAAGATTCACTCGCACGGCTGGCAGGTAGCAAGAATGAGTCAAAGGAGGAAGAGCAGTTGCTACCTCTCCTGGACCTACTCTCACCCTTCATCGCAGCAGCTGCTCGAACTCCCGCTCAAGCGCTGTACAAACGTGTGATGGAGGAGGTACTCGGCCCCATATTGAACGACGCGATAGTGCTCAGTACGCCGGTGCCTAGAGACGCTGCGAGCGATGCAGATGACATTGCTGTGGTCGAGAAGGCTGAGACGCGATGCAGACGCATAATCCTGGCTTCCACCAACGCAGATTACCTAGCTGGTCGGCAAAACGTGACAGCAGACTTGGCGGATACCGACGCAGAAGGAGAGGAAGCGAACGACACCCTTGCGCAAGGCGAAATCGAACAGCTTCTCAAGCCTAATCGCGCCGGAAAGCTAAGACAGAGGCTCGTTAATGCGCTTTTCGTGCAGGCGAGTCAGCCGACTGCAGTGGACAGTAGCAGGTTCAAGATCTACAAGTTGCAAATGGAAGAACGCAACAGGCGCGAAGAGATGGAGGAAGAGTCTGGTACCATGAGCGAGGATGAGGATCCAACGTGGAACTGAGCATCGCAAGGATGAGCATGAGTGGTTTAAACCTTCCTTGGGGCATTGTGTAGATAGAAGTTGCAAACCAGGTATAAACGAGCGAATGCGGGATCTCGCCGGGCGAGTCGATTGCCAAACGGGATCAAATATTATTGTCCATGCTGATAAAAATAGGGTAGAGAAGCGTGCTAAATAGATAAGACTAGGCCTTGTTGCTGAAAACCCAGCCTGCGGCACCGCAAGCTGCGAGAAAGACGAGCGAAGCAATGATGCCGATCGCGAGCTGGCCGGCAAGGGTGACTCCTCCGCCGCTCCTCGATTGGGCATCGCGCGTCGGATTGACACGTGTGCCAGGCGCAAGCGCGACGTACACAGGATCGCCGTAGGGCCCCCCATTCTTTGGGTCAACATTCTTGCTTGGCGCAGCGGTGAACGCCTGCTGCTGTACGCGCGCGGCAATGAGCGAGAGCATCGGCGCGTTGTAGTCGAGCGCACACTCGGTCTGTACGTAGTCTGAACGCTGATCGAAGTACTTGTTTCTGCTGTTAGGGCCACCAACGACACAGCCGTAGAGGACGTGAGCCTCGACGGGAGGGTCGTTATCGATGCTACCTATGTCGGAGCCCCCGCTTGCGAATGCGCTATGCGGATTCTGTGCGCTATTGGGATGCTGACCGACGACATACACTGCATTCATCGGATTCTTGCCGAGCGTGTAGTCCAGCTGGGAGTCGGCAAAGTCGCGATAGTGCGCAGCCTTGTTGGGATCCGCGCAGAAGCCCTCGTAGAACTGCAGCAGGAAGGCAGCATTAAGAGCAGGGTTGAGCGAGTTGTCTTCGCTGTCGCCGGTGAACCAGAGCAGACCGCTGCTGTTGGACGAAGCAGGCGTCATATAGGTATGTGGCAGGCGTGCAGAGCTGACTAGGTCAAGATAGGCCTCTGCATCTGCGGAGAATCGATTCTGGTCAATGCCAAGAGCGGAGTTGAGTGTTGCAGCTGCGACGAACAGGGGAGCAGTGGCGGGCTGCTTCTGGTCCCAATTGAGCACTCCACCTAGTTTCCCTAATGCGACTTGCGTGGAGCTGTTGAGCATCTGCGTGTAGTAAGTCACTGCCTGGTCCGAATAGGTGCGGTTGCCCGTAGCGATGGCAAGCCAGAGGCCAGCCAAGACGAGGTCGTCAAGGTAATCTGTCGATGCGTACACTTGGTCGACCTCAGGGACCACCTTTTGGTACAACTGCATAGGCATCGACGTAGTCGCCAGAGTCCACATGGTGACAGCATGGCTCTGCAGAGTGGTCGCGTACGCCTCATTGCGGAGAGAAGCGAGCGGCGACGTGCCGCCGCCGATCTTGGGGCTGCTACCATTCACTGGCAGAACACCGCCGTTGTACAGGAAGCTGGCCGCAGCAAAGGCTGCGCTCGCAGCTGCAAAAACGTCTGTACCTGGACTTGTGTTCGTCACTTGGTACGCAGAACGTGGCTGTGGGATGCCCTGGTCGCCTCCCCAGTAAGCAGCATCTGCGCTCATATTGCCGACGAACACCCAGAGCGCATTGGGGGTTTCTGACGCCTTGATCATCCAATCCAACCCCCAGCGAAGCATCCCATCGAGATATTCTGCTTGTCCAGTCAGATTGTATCCTTGTCCGAACGCGGCAGCACCCCAAGCTGCCGATTGCAACGTCCAAGAGAGGGGCAAGGTGGCCTTGATCGTGTCACCGGCATCATAATAGCCACCGGACAGGTCTACGTGTGATACGGCTTGGCCGTCGTCGGTAAGGGAGCTGTTGCGCCACAGCACTCTGTTGTCCAGGGGTAGTGCACCTGAACGCTGTGCCTCGTAGAACCACAGCAGATTGCCCAGCAGGTTGGTGTACTGTGTATTGGTTTCCTTGGCCGGGTGGGACAGGACCGAGGCCGCTGTTGGGATGGTACCATTGTTCGCATCCGGAGGAAGGTAGACCTGGTTTTGTGCACGTGAGGCCGTTAGCAGGAGCGACCCTGCTATGAGCAGTGTTGTGATGAACCGCATGATTGTATGCACAGCACAGCCGTGTCAGAAGCGCGATATTCAAAGAACGACGAGCCCGGCCAGCAGGGGTAGAAGAGTATGTGTGTGAGGCGAACCAGAGGCAGGAGAGGAGAGAGAGATGTGTATACAGTCGTGACTCATCAAATGGAAGCCTCAAGAGATGGAGCCGGTCAATAGAATGCAGTACGAGGTCCAAAGATGCCAATGGAAAGAATGCGAGAGACTCGAGCGGACGATGATGTATTCAAAGCGTGGACTTTGGACAACTGCGGTGAATGCTATTTGGCTCTCGCTCGAAGTCAAAACCTCCTCTCGTGCCTTGTCTGATGTCGTCCATTCGGCATTCCCTCCTTGTTTCTTTTGTGTTGTTGTTGCTCGTCCGCTCAATCTCTATCTCCTCGCTTTCTCCATTCTTGCAAGTCACATCCGAAGTTAAATCAAAATCCCCATGTACTTTCAGCGGCCCATGCTTTTGTTCGACTTGTCCCGTGTCAATCATCAATGGTTCGTTCACATTTTACCCATCCACCAACGCAGCATGTGTGGTACAGATTCAAATGTTTGATGCCAAAATCAACAGAAGCTCTGACACTGATTGGGCGTCGGACCATAGGAGGACAAGCCGATGCAGAGGATGTAACACTGCCTCATAGAGGACTACCATCGAGAGCCACTTGTGTTGTGATTGACCTCAAGGTGTCACTACTTACAAATATAGGCCAGCATGCCCAACCAATAGCATCACAGATATGCAATTGTATGCTCGTATCATGCGTGTGTGCTGGCTTATCATTACAGCTCGATCTTGTCAGCGCTCCGCCGCTCCTTATCACGTGATGAGCGTTCTCATGATGCTCGATGCCCCGCTCTTGTATCCGTCCCCAAAGAGGTATGCGTTGTTGAGATGATGGTACAGCTCTACGAGCTGTATCCCCTGTTCGTGATGGGGTTGCGACCGCGGAAGAACTTCGTGGTACGCATATGGAAGCAGCCCTGCGTGAGCCCACCAAACATACGCATCATGCAGCGCTCCACCTCGCCGTGTCCGTAGTAGCTGGGTGTGTGAAAGATTTCAGGTTCGCCTGTCTTGCTGTTCGTGCCCGCATTTCCGGCCCACAAGTCACCGTGCAAGATGGCGGGCTTGATCTGAGGGGTAAGAAAGGAAGACAAGAGCAGAGAGTAAACCTTGCGGCGAAACTAGGACCCCAGTCGGACAAGAAACAGGTCTCCGATGCGCTTGATCCGGTCGGCAATGCGGCAGTCAGCCCAGAGTATAGACCACGTTGCTTCCCACATGTTGTCTTGTTTTCGTTCACCATACCAAATACGATGATCGCTTTTCAGACACCGAACGCTTGCAAACCGCATGATGAACCAGTGGACTTCAGCATCTCCACAGAATGTAGGCCTATCAAGGCCAAACTTTCCCGATTCACTGGTTCCGTACTTGTGTATGGGCACTAATTTGCGGGCCAAGGGCTTTTGTGCCTGCACACCATGCCTGCTACCCCCCATATCCTTCAAGTCTGTGAAAAGTTAAGCATGCTTCCCACCCTCAGACCTGCCAAACGAATATACCAAGGGGATGATGGCCCAGCTCGATGCACGCCTCCCTCTTCCGCTCTATCGCCTTCTTCGATCATATATGCCCTGCGAAGCGCTCGAGAGCTGTCATCCAAGCTAGCAGCTTCGCCGAAAGCTTGGCCAACAGGAGGGGAGCTTGTCCAACAGCAGCCGCGACAGCCACATTCTTTTGGCAGCGGTGTCGGTGGCCTTCCATTTATTTGACGATATCTGCGTGAAGGTTTCGGCGAGATTCGAGCATATTGACTGCAGAATGGAGATGAGAGCGTTCGAGGTTGAGACGGACACCCTTGCCTGGGGCGAGAGCATCCAACTGCAGCGCCTCCAGGTCAAATCTCCACGTTGAATGCTGGTTTGCCGTAACCTGTGTTAAAGAGAGAAGCCGTGAGTGCACCACTACGACCAACAAGCATGACATGCTCGCACCCAACCGACGTCGTGGCAGGGCCGGGTGACCGACCAATGGCCATTATCCCCTCCCAAGCCAACGCATCAAGCTTCATCAATCGTATGAGTCAAGTACATGTTTCTTGCGTGACGTCAAGACGCGTCGCGACTTTCGCAACTGGCCTCGCTACAGATGCTCTGTGTTGTATAAACTCTGGAGTACTGCGGTTGATCGCCCCTTGCGACCGAACTTTTAGCGCCAAAGCAGTCACGTGCGCCAGGGGTCCTAGCAATGACACATTGGAGGTCAATGATCAACACCAGGACACATTTGTCAAGATGTGCATCATTTCACCCTGCTTTCGCGGTTGCGCTTGTGCCATGTTGGGGCATTATATTGAGGCCTATGAGCATGTGAGAGACTGGGTATGTAGTGCAGGGGTGCGCCTTTTGTCCGAGGGTGGACCGCATACCCCACTGAAATAGATTGAAGGCGGTTTGGTACGTCTTGACACAGTGAACTCCAGTATCGCCTGTCTCCCTCGCACCGCCAGTCGACAGTCCGGTGCTCGTGGTCTGCTTCTCCTTTGCATGACCGCCGCCATGCACCGAGTTGCTCTTTCTGCGTTCTCTTGCTTTCCGACTATAGGTATGCTCATCCTGCTCAGTGCCACCCTCGCGACGACAGCCATTCTTCCATCACAACGCCCGCTTCCTGCTCGACACGAGTCGTGGAGTCGAGCCACATCGGACCCTAGGAATGTACAGAGCAACAGCGATGCCGCGTTCCAGCCGGACCCTTACCCGTACCTTCCCCAGCTTTCATTCAATAGTGATGGCAGCTTTAAGCTTGCAGTCGTCACCGACACACATCTGCTCGACGGGCAGAACAACTCGCAAATCCTCGCTGCTCAGTCAACTGCAGCCGTTGCAACGTGCCTCAAGTGGGAAAGGCCAAACTTTGTCGTCCACCTCGGCGATTTGGTCAGCGGGGAGGCTGCAAAAACGACTGAGGATGTCGAAGATGCCGTCGTGCAAATTCTCGGCCCTATGCGTGGGTCCGGAATGAGTCGATCGCCTGGTCCAATGTGCATTCCTGACACAGTCTTCCCTTATAAGGCGATGCTGGCGTGCCATTCAGTACAACGAAAGGGAACCACGACAATGATGTTTATTCTACCCATGCCATGATCACAGACTATGAACGGAACCATTTTCCCGCTCACAGTTACACCCGCAAGGCTCCTGCAGGTGTCGGCTCTGGCTCTGGGGCGGCACAAGCCGGTACAGGAAGCGACAATTACTGGGTCCCGATCTACGGCAACGCGTCAGCTCAAAGAGGTTCGAGACCGGAGCTGCTTCTCTGGTTCTTCGACTCTCGAAGCGGAAAGACAATGAAGAAGTTTAACAATACTCAGATCCCAGATTGGATCGACCAAAGCGTGGCCAAATGGGTCCACAGTCAAGTCGATGGCATGCAGACTGCGTGGACATCAGTGCCACCATCTCTCGTCTTCGTCCACATTCCGCCCCACGCTTCGGCTGAAACACAGCAGACCGAACCGTATTCTCTGCAAGTTGGTGGTGTAACAGACGAGACACCGCAAAACTACACGACGGAGAACAGAAAGTATCCTGGCCTTAACGATGATAGCGGGTTCGAAGGACAAGGCGGGGAGAGTCCGTACAACTACACAGGCCAGGATCTAGTTGCGCTCATATCATTTCTGCAGAGCGCTGCAGGTAATGCTAGGGTACATGCAATTGTCAGCGGCCACCAGCATGGAAATGATTGGGTGCGTCGCATGGGGATGTGGACAGTGTGGCATATCGTGCTCGGCTTGCTGCTGACAAAGCGCCATGATGGGTATCCGGAGCACCTGCAGTGCGCACCCTCCAACTTGCAGACGCGCCAGAAGCAGATCGTGCCGGTCTGTTTTGCAAAGCACAGTGGCTTTGGCGGGTGAGTCCAGCGAATTCATCCCTTCACACTTCGTCGACACCATTCTGACGACAGGACGAATGTTCGTTCATTGAAGATACGATTACGACAATTGGAATCATGGATCTCGAATTTTCCTATTTTCGCTTAAAGATGTTGGCAACAGCATGCAGACATACATTCGTTTCTTAACGGGTGAGGTTCGCTACAAGACCACCGTCGATGCTGCTTGGGCTATACCCTGAGCCATGTACTTAGCCCCCCCCTCCCACCCGGGGGCCCCTTCAGAACGTTTCACGTCTGCCACCTGCGTGTGCATGCTCGTATTCATGAGCGCTAGGCCCGACCGGAGCGAGTTCTCATACTTGTCTGGGAGTTCGATGATACATTTACGAATGAGTACATGATGCACCAGAGCCCAGACATGACTCGATTCCTAGGTAACACTGTGTAACTGTGGAATGGCGTATGCCCATGCCAACATGTGTAAAAGTGAAATTGCATTTAGGGTTCTGAGAGGTGCGCCCAGGCGGTCGGCAACACGCATGAGATCTGTGAGAGCAAGAGAGTGGTCATAGGTAAATTAATGACATGAAGCGACGCGAGGGGCGAGGATGTCTTTTTGTTGGTCATGCTCCTCGCGTTGGCAGGTTTCGTTGCTGCCTTCATGCGCATATGCAGATCAACATTGCATCATTGTCATCAAAAGTTGAGGTTCTGTGACTTCGAGAAACACATCACATTCCCGACGTGTTCTGTGTCGGTCGCGTGCAAACGCTTGCAAGGCGAGCTTCCCTTCGTGCCGAGATCATGCCGAGGTGAGCGGTTGACTTGCTCGGTGACCGCGTTTGAACACCTTGTCTCGCCGCTCACCTGCGTTCTTTGTAAACTCGTCACTCGTTCAGGCAGTACGGCAGCAACGAAGCGGGGGCGGGTGGTAGTAGCGGTGGTGGAAGCAATGGTGGAAACAGAGAAGGTGGCAGCGGGCAAGGATCTGCGCCAGGTGTGCCATTCATCGCAATGCCCAGTATTAGCGACTTGCTAGGATCTGCCCTCGCTGGTGGCTCCTTCGGCGGATCGAGTTTAGGGAGCAGTCAGGCGATATTGGGAAACGGCGGTATGGCCCTCATGCCAGCCCTCGTGTCCATCGGGGGGCCGCACCCGATTGGTGATGGCGGAGAAGAGGTCTCAACGGATGAGCTTCGTCCTTTTTTTACCGAATCAGATGCGATGTTGTATGCAAGAAGTTTGGGCACTGGCTCATCGTCACTGCGCCCTCCAAATGGACATGCGTCCAGCTCTGGCGCAGGCTCATCCAAGCAATCGAAAGCGGAGATTGAGGCGGCTCGAAAGCAAGCAGAAGAGAATGAGGCAAAGCTCGCGAAGATTTACGAGAGCTTCCAATTCGAACCGCTATGGGAAAAGCTCAGTGAGGCACTAACCAGGCTCGAGGATGACTCTAGTGCAGCTCAAATTCTGCTACCGCTGATTGAAGTGAGTCGCTACATGAGAGCACGCCTGGACGAATGCCACTGACATGCACTGGGCTCCGCTCAGAGCTTGATGGTGGTATCCAAGCACGTCGCAGCGGGTGAGACCCTAGCTGCGCAAAGAGCATTACGATCAGGCTCGATGTCACCATCTCTCGAGCGGCCACTAGAACCGAGGACAGCACGCGAGGTGATGGCCGACACGTTCTTCAATTTCACCGAAAAGCACCGCAAGATACTCAACGCGATGGTGCGGCAGAACCCATCGCTCATGTCGGGCTCTTTCTCCCTGATGGTACAGAACCCAAAGGGCCTGGACTTTGACAACAAGCGCACTTACTTTTCGCAGCAGTTGCACAAGGGGCGGCGAGAGCACTACACCACACTGAGCATGTCGATCAGGAGATCCGAGATCTTCTACGACTCCTATCGCTTCTTTTCGCGGTATACAGGTCCAGAAATTAAGCATGGCAAGCTCAACGTCAGGTTCCACGGGGAAGAGGGTGTAGATGCAGGAGGCGTCACGCGCGAATGGTTCTCTGTGCTTGCTCGCGCGATGTTCAACCCTGATTACGCATTGTTCGCTCCCTGCGCGGCAGACCGCACAACATTTCAGCCGAATCGCATGAGTTGGATCAACGAGCATCACCTGTCCTTCTTCAAGTTTGTTGGCAGGATCATAGGCAAGGCTATCTACGACGGCCGGCTGCTCGATGCATACTTTAGCCGCTCATTCTACAAGCACATCCTAGGCAAGGCAGTCGATTATCGGGATATCGAGGCAGTAGACCCAGAGTACTTCAAGTCGCTCGAGTGGATGCTCAACAATGACATCACCGGCGTACTCGACTTGACATTCAGCGTGGATGCAGAGGACTTTGGAGAAGCGAAGACGATCGAGCTCAAGCCCGGCGGCAAGGACATTGCTGTGACTGAGGAGAACAAGGTCGAATATGTGAAGTTGATTACAGAGCAGCGGCTCACGAAAAGCATCAGAAAGCAGGTGCGTAGTCAAGACTTGCTGGCACCGCGTACCATAAGTAATGAAGAGATCTTGTCCTACAGATCGACGCGTTCCTAGAAGGCTTCCACGACATTATTCCAGTCGATCTCATCCGCATATTCAACGAGCAAGAGCTTGAGTTGCTCATCTCTGGTCTTCCAGATATTAACGTGGACGACTGGAAGAACAACACAGAGCTGCACGGGTATTCGTCTGGTGATCCAGTTATCCAATGGTTCTGGAGGGCGGTGCGGTCCTTTGACCAGACGCAAAAGGCGAACCTACTACAGTTCATCACGGGTACCAGCAAGACGCCAATCGAGGGATTCAAGGCTCTGCAGGGTGTCCAGGGAAACCAGCGCTTCAACATCCACAAAGCGTACGGCGAGAATCGCTTGCCGACAGCGCATACCTGGTGAGCTATCGGGCCCTTGTGCGTACGCCGAAGCCGCAGATGACTAACAACGCCATACCCTTTAACCTTGGTAGTTTCAACCAGCTGGACCTGCCCGCTTATGAGACTTATGAAAAGCTTCGATCGCAGCTACTAACCGCCATGGTGGAGGGTGGCACTGGTTTCGGCTTTGCTTGAGCAAACGCTGCAATTCACGCGGCACGGCTTTCAGCGCAAACGGGGAGATGAGCGACCGGAGACCCATTCTAGACGTGTGCCATCATTTTCAATGTAGCAACGCGCATTTGAACCTGCATAACAAACCTCCGCCGAAACCTCCATAGCGGCCATGCATGCGAGCGCATATCATACGATCTATCTCGCGCAAAGGCCCAAGCGGGACGAGAGATGGAGCCAAGTTCGTACTGTTTGTGTCAAAACAAATACATTGGGGTCTATTACTGCCAAAAATGAGCGTTGTGGGCGTATCTTGACGAGGTACAAACGCAGTCCTAGGGTGCATTCGCGATATGTCGACTAAAAGGGTAAACTTGCCCAAGGAACGACTGGTAAATCTTTCCATCCCAAAACTATGCTGATGCTGGATGTGGAGCAGGAGGGGGGAAGGGATGAGGTTGTCGAGTCGAGTTCAAGCTGAGGGATATCGAGCCGTCCCAAGAACACGGAAGAACTACCGATAGTCCACGTGACCATTGTTCATGTGCGACGGATGGGCGTAGCCGTTTGATCCGCCTGGCGGATCTCCTCCCAATGGATTGACTTGAGGTTGTGAACGATTGCGTGCGTGCTGTTGCTGCCCGCCCGACGCGCCTCGGTTGACACCGGTGGTGTGTGCACGATAGTCCCCACCACCGCCATCCTGGTACCGGTCCTGCATGAGCGCGACCCGCTCCTCTCCGTCTGGCGCATAGTGCCCTGCAGGCGGCCCTCGTGATGGCGGCTGTCTGTAGCCGCCATTCCCCACCGGGCCGTACTGCGCAGGTAAGCGCGGCATGGGTGGATAAGGCGAGAAGGAATTTTCCTTGCGCCAGTCGTTTCCTCCCCATCCTCCTCCTCCTTGCTTTCCATCCTCGTCCCAGCCCTTCTCGAGCATCTCCTCCATGTCTTGCGCGCCAACGAGGGTGTTCTCACCATCGACAAAGACAGAATGCCGGACGATGGCGAGAGGCGGTGGCGGCTGCGACTCGTCGTAGCCGCCGATCTGTGCGCCCCACTTGTCCTCCTCAAAGTCGCTCGCTGCGTCACTCGAGTCGAAGCTGTTGCGCAACTGGCTCTTGGGGTCGAGATACTGGTCCTGATGGTCTTTCTCCTCGTTGTAGAAGCCCTTGCCAAACTGGCGCTCAAATTCTTGCCGCCTGCGCGCCTCGCGCGCGAGCTTCTTGAGGCGTGAGCGCTCCCAGTCCTCCCATCTGCGCAGCGGCACGCTGCTCGCGCTGAATGTGCCGTCATCGTCGCCGTGCCCTGTATCCTTGCCCTCACCCTCGACTTTGCGCGTCTCGCCCCAGGAAAAGTCGTCAAAGTGCCAGAAAGAGTAGATCGGGAGGATAAAGTTCCAGACGGGCAGCGCCAAGAGGTAGACGAGCATCCACAGCACGTAGACGACCTTACGCGTGGCGAGCAGGATCAGCACAGCCGGAAGACCAATGACGGCGACAAGCAGCATGAGCGGGATCGCCGTGCTAAAGTCATGGGGCGGGTGGAGGCAATAGGTGACGATGAGAGTGTAGGTCAGTCCGATGGCAACGGGCAGCGACGCTGTTCCAATCAAGTCCATGAACACGATGAACTGAAAAAGAGGGATCGAGAGCAATGTCAGCTGCTGAAGAAGGCAAGCTGTGGGCACAGCTCTCGAGGCAACACACCTGCATGGAGAAGCAGAACGTGCCGCAGAGGTCGCGGACCAGGACGAGCTCCATGAGGTTGTGGACGGTGGAGTTGATCCATCGCCTGCGTTGGGACAGGAGCATCTTGAACGTGTGTGGCACTTCTGTCCTGCACCTGGCCCTGGGGCAGAAGACCATCTTGCGGTTGGGGAAGGTGCGCAACAGGAGCGTGGTGAGGAAGCGGTCCTCGCCGAGCAGGAGCAGATTCTTCTGGTGTAGTGTCGTGACAGTCGACTGGCTGTACTCGCGCGTCACCTCTGGCTTGACGATGACGGGGACCCAGTCGTCGTCAGCCGCCTTGCGTGCCTTGATGCGGTACATGCTGAAGCAGCCAGGAAGGCAAGTGACGCCGCCAAAGACGCTCTCGAACGACTTGGTGAGATGATGAGAGATAAAGTACTCGTAAACCTGGATCATAGTGACCCAGCTGCTGAGCTTGTTCGCGATGCGCGTCTCGCCGCAAGCGCCCATGATGAGCGGATCGTGCATCATGCAGTCGGAGAGAATTCGCAGCGACTCGGGGTAGACCTTGGTGTCCGCGTCGACCATCATGCAGAGCTCGAAAAAGTCGGGCGTGACGCCCATGAGGGCATGGATCTTGCGGAAAAGGTCAAAGTCGAGCGGGGTCATGCGGTCGTTGTATGTGACGCGCTGAAGAAAGTTCATGAGGATCATCTGCGAGTCGCGCTTGCCCCGGTTGCCGGGCTTGGCGCTGCTGGCCTCCTCGGGCGTGCCGCACTTGACGACGATGATAAGGGGTGTGCGGTGGCCGCGGCCGCGCGAATAGTGGCCCGCGTAGACCATGGCCATGTTGTGCGCCTTGCGGCCCTGCGCGACGCTAATGAAGCTCATCGGGATCGGCGTGCCGAAGCGCGCGTCGGCGTCCAGCAGGCCCACGCACACGTCCGGCGTACTCTTCGTCTCTCCCGAGCCAGTCACCATGCCATCGGCGACGACGAAGAGCAGCTTGCGCTCGTCCGGGTAGTTGGTTTCGCTGAGCGAGGAGAGGGTGTTGGAGATGCCTTCCTCGTTCTCAGAGTAGCACGTGATCAGGTTGACTATGTACGGCGTGTCGCCAATGTCGGCGGCGTTAAGCGTGGCAGAGGAGGAGGAGCCGCGGGACGAACCATACTTGCCTGGTGCTGCGCCGGCGTCGGCGATGCGCGGCCCGCCGCCGGGCTTGCTCGCCCATGGCGCGGTGCCGTCCGAGTTGACGTAGGTCATTGCACCCTCGGGCATGTGGTTGAGCGCAACGCCGGTGCGGCCGCGTGCGTTCTTGGGTTTGCTTGTCATGCGCCAGCTGATAAACCAGCTAAAGTAGACCGCCATCAAGAAGCGAATGAAGACGAGGCCGAGGATGACGATGAGCGAGGCGTACAGAATCAGCTTGCTGAAGAAGCAACCGGGGGTAATCTTGTCGATCTGTCCGGCAAGGTACTTTTGGCGTAGGCAGTTGACCTCGGCACGGAAGTTACCCTGGGTGTAAAAGTAGCGCGTCGCGTCCTTGCCGTACTTGGAGTCCATCTGCTGCAGCTGCGAGCGGATGATGCTGTCGACCGGGTCGTTGGCGATCGGCTTTGGGAACTTCGCTATGTACGGGTTCATGTTGAGCACATCACCGTCGAGGACCTGCAATGCACAAAATTAGCATCATAAGAAAAGAAAGGGAGGAGGATCGTCAGCGCTGCCGTGGCTGTAGCCCATGCGGGCCGCCTGTGAGCGTGAACGCACCATAAAATTTTTAAAGGTGTCGTTAGAGACGGTGTCCCAGCCAAAGCCAACCTTGCGGCTGGTATTGACAAAGCTGGACGCGCGCAGGTTGTCGTCCGAGAGGTCGCCCTGGACGCAGCCAGCATTCTGGCCGTTAGGCAGGGCAACGCTGCACGGGTCGAGCGAGGCAAAGGCGCCAGAGATGCCCTGGCACGCGGGCGTCTGGCGCCTAAAGAGCGTGCTAATGTCGTAGCCGGGGACGCTATTGGCGAGCATGTAGAGGTTGACGCCGCTTTCCTGGGGGCTACGCAGATTTTCGCCGCTGTTGATTGTGAACATCCAGCCGTTGATGCCGAGAGTGCCGTGGGCGGTCGGGTCGCCGACGTGCGTATAGTCTTCCGCACCACTGGCGTCTGCGGCGGTGCAAAAGGCGGCGTTGAGGCCCATGGTGATGAAGCCAATAAAGCCGCCGACGAGCATGGCCAGGAAGACGAGTGCGACCTTCTCGCGCCAGGCCTGCTTTGACGCGCCATCCTTGAGTCCGCAGGCGGAGAGGAACACGCCGGGAGCCCAGAAGGTGACGAGGCGCGCAAAGACACGCCACCAGCTGAGGCCGCCTTGCTGTGTGCGCGCACCGGCAGGCGATGCAGGTGATGTGCCGGATGGGTTGATCAGTGGCTGCTGCGGCTGTGAGCGCTCTGGGCGTGTGAGCGTCTTGGCGCGCTGCACGCGTGTCGTCGGCTGCCGCAGCGGTGGCGGCATCTCGGTCCGCATCGGGATCGACGTGTCCAGGGGCCGCGTGCCGGGTTTGCGGATGAACGTCTTGGACGACAGGTCGTTGCGGCTCGGCATGCTGGGCGGCGTTCCCTTTACCTTTTCAGCGTGCGTGCGTACCGGATAAATCGCTGGCCGAGTGGAAAAGTGGAGAGTGTGGGCCCGGCTCGGCCGGGTAGGCTTACTAGAGCCGCTGAGTGGTGAGGAATCGCTCTAGGTCGATCTTCATATGCTCTCGCAAGGGCTTAGCGACACGCAATCCGTGCCCGAGCGCTATGGTTGGTGCTTGATAGAAGTAGCAGGGTATACAGTGGGCGTCCAACGGCAGCTTGTCCATTCGCTAGCTAGCTTGCTCGCACGCACTGGGCGGTGAATTCGAGACCAAGTAGCGCAGCCGTGGACTTGCAAGCAGGGCCAGAGTGATCGACGCTGTCGAGAATAAGGAAAAGGACGAGGAGATGCCTAGTAGATGCAAGAGAGAGCGAGAGAGAGAGAGGAGCAGGCGAAGAGGGATGAAGCCAGGATCAAGGTCAAAGCGGCTGCGGCCACCTGGGCCTGTTAGAGGAGGGTGGGGGGGGTTCGCTCGCAGTGCCATGCAGCGCTGTGCAGTGCTGTGCCAAGTAGCGTGTGAACAGCGGAATGGGGTTGCTAGAGGAAGAGGAGGAAGATGAAAGAGGAAAGGGAGATGGTTAGCAGCGCGAGAAGCAGGCAGGCAAGCAGGCAGCAGCGCACGCTCTCCTTTTGGGAGAGACGGGTATGTGTTTGCGGTGTCGGGGAGAGGAGCGGCGCAGACGGCGGACAGCAAGCCAAGGCAAATGCGCGCTTGTCACACATTCTTTGCTATTAAGGGAGAGGGTGTGAGTGTGTGTTGTGGGTCGCAACCCTATTTGCTCTCGCACACCGACACACACACCCACACACTCGCTCTCTCTCTCTCTCCCACTGCCTCTGCCGCCACAGGAGCAAGTGCTGCACGCCGCACAGACACTCATATGATGAGCCTAGCGGAACGCGGAATCGGCAGCTGCCACCGCCGCTAGCCATCAGGCACAGGCACCAGAGCAGAGTAGAGCAGAGCACTCGACTTGATCACATCGCTTCACATGGCATCGATAGAGCGCGCTGACTGACTCGCCCCGCCAATGCTAAACATACGCGCCGCCGCTCTCATCCAATTCGTCGCAGACCTACCGACACACACCACACACCAACCGCTCCTTTCTCCATCATCATCGTCGTCGTCGTCGCGGTTGTTGCAGCCCCCTCTCTTTCTTCCCGGCCATCTGTGCACCATCATCTGCTCCAGTCCAGCCTTTGGCTCCCTCTCTCTCTTCGCGTCTCGCATTACCGCCACCATCCACCCCTGCACCTCCGCTCGCACGCGCCTGGCCACGTCGCCCTATCCATCATCGCATACCACCGCCCCGACTCGCAAGGGTCAGCAGCCAGCTCGACGTGAATCCATTCCTCGACACACACCTGCGCGCTCCCCCTCCCATCCTATCGAACCACAGCCTGCAACGGGCCGGGCACACTACGCTTTATTCGCTTTCATCTACTTTATCTCATCAGCCTCCAAGCACATCACCCCGCCCCCTGTTGATATCCAGCACACTTGCAATAGCGCCCCCCACAGGCAAAGCAAAGCCTCCCGGACACGCAGAAGCACATCTTCATGGCTTTTTCGGCGTCAGCAGCTGCAGCACCCGGCGCTGCAGCACTTTCATCGCCACCACCCCTGCCTCCTCGCCCCTCCCCGTCGCCTTTGCCCTCCACACCAAGACCGACAGCGGCGGCGACGCACACAACGACCTTCACCCCACTGGAGACCCCAGTGCACTCGGCAGCCTCCGCAATGTCTGGACCGCACGTCGTCGCGCTGAGCACACTCCCCCTCCCATCGCGGTCCGCGCCGCCGCCCGCCTTGGTCGTCCCGCCGCTGACGCGCCTCGACACAATTCTCCCACCACCTGCAGTGCCGCCATTCTTGTCGCCACTATCTGCACCAGCATCCGCGCCCGTATCAGCAACAGCACTACTACCACGACAAGCAGCATCCTCGGAAGCGTCCCTGTTCTCAACTTCCGATTCCTCCGCTGCCGCGGCACCGCGCTCATCACGCGCGGGCGCGGCTGCAAGCGCGCTCCCGACGCTACCGTCGCACGCCAGACTTCTCTCGCTCCCCCCGACGCCGACCGGCGCAGGCACGTCCACGGCCACAGCGACAGAAGCAACAGCAGGAGTAGCCTCAGGGGGCGGAGGCGGAGGGGGAAGCCTGCTCGGCCTCGTGGGTACCACGACGCCCGTGACGCCCAGCGCGCCGTCCTGGACCTTCCACTTTCCGTTTGCGCCCAGTACCGGCGCAACCGCAGAGAACGGGAGTGCAAGTGGCCCAGGCGCTGCTCTTTCGCCCGTCCACCTGTCCATGCAGCCGCTTCCGTGGCCAGGGCCGACAGGCCTAGTCGTCGGCCAGGCGCCGACTCTACAAGACTACCTTCACCGCGACGCGATCGAGCGCGAGGCACACGAGGTCGCACGCCGTGCCTCGCACCCCGGAGAGGACCTCGTGCGCCTCACCGAGCTCGGCAGGCTCGCAAGCCAGCACCATCTCAGTCCGTACAGTATTCTCAAGTACGGCATCAATGGTGCGTTTGGCGTTTGCGCTTCCCTTTTTCTTTACCTTGCAGCTTTCTTTCCGGTCACGAGCGGCTGACAAACCTTCCTACCCTTCCCCCTTTCTCCTCTTGCGATCCGGCCACGCCTCTCGCCCATCGCTTCCTCCCGACAGGCTCTCCCTGGCCGTACATCCCGCTCACGCTGCAACAGCCGGCTGTCGCAGCGACGACGCTGCAGAACCAGCAGATCAACGAGCGCAGAGCCGGCGAGCGCCAGCTACGCAAGCCAAAAGTCGTACGCCGCGGGCCCGTCCCAGCCCTCGCGTTTTCCGCTGCGTCGACCACTCCGCGTCCCCCGCTCAGCGGGCGAACCAACGGCGCCGCATCCGGCTCCGACTCTAGCCCCTCCCTTGCAGCCAGCGCAGGTACCAAGCGCAGCCAGCAGGCCAAAGACGAGCTTGAGCAAGAGGCCGAGGCCAGCGGCGACCCTGCTGCCCCAGGGGGCGGGGACAGCGGTAGCAGCAGCGTAGGCAGTGAGATCCTCCTCGGCCGCCGCGACTCTGTCATGGCCGAGGCGCTTGCGCGCGCCAGTCCGCGCGCCAGGGCCGACGCCGATGGCGGTGGCTTTGCGCACGGAAATGCAAACATGGGTGCGAGCGCGAAGGAGGACGTCGTGATACACAGCGTCAGCGGCGACGCTCGCGCACTCGCGAACGGCACCGGCTCAGCCAACAGATACGGAAGCGCGAGCGGACAGCTCCACGGCGCCGACTCAGCTGCTGTAGGCCCGGCGGCCTCTCGCTCGCAAACGGACGATGAGGCCAAGCGCGCCGGGTCCGAGGTGGTCATCAGCAACGGACCGCTCAGCGAGGGGGTCATCCTCGCGAACGAGCTCGAGCCGACGCTTGCGCAAGCGCATCGCACCGCCACGGCGGTTGAGCCTGCCCTGGCGCATCCGACAACTGTAGCGCCCGCGTCGATCCCGCTGACGATCGGCGGTGCGGCGGTCAAGACGAGCGACACGCATCCAATCAACATCAGCCCGATCGTACCCGTGCAGTTGATGGACATCGTCGCCGCGGGTATCTACGACACGCTCCCGCAGCGCATCCGCCAGCAGCTGTGCTGCAGCGCTCCCGCCGCGCTCGCGGGCCCATCACAGGATGGCGTCGACGAGCACGTACAAGCGCAGCGTCGCGGCGACATGCTCATCCGCGCCGGTCCGACGATCAACCTTGTCGCTGTCTCCGCGTCCGCCGCGGCTGGTGCCGCGCCAGCCGAGGTGCCGCCGTGTCGCACAATCAGCACATCGTCCACCCCTGCAACGGCGCACAGTCTGACGAACGGTGCAAGCCAGGGCGCCGCCGCAGCGCCGCTGTCGCAAGCGCAGATCCAAGCGCAGGAGCTCGCGGCGCAAGCGCAAGCTAGCGTCTCGCTCGGCTCACAGACGTACGCAGCCGCGCCGGTCGGCAACTTGTTCCTCTCCTCGTGCCCGGGCAAGAAGGTACGTCTGACGGGCCCCGTGCGCGGCCGCGGCGCCATTTGCCGTGATCTCGGTTTGGACCTGAAGCGGATCCAGGATATCGGCGTCGGCGCGATCGTCTGCTGCCTCGACGACGAGGAACTCGCGTTCCTCGGCGCGCCGTGGCACGAGTACGAGCAGAGCGCCGACGCACTCGGCATCGACGTCGTGCGCTTCCCCGTCGCCGAGGGCTTTGCGCCGACATCGCACGTCGCGGTCGACCGCGCGATCACGAGCGTTGTCATGGACTACTCTCTCCGAGGCGTCTCGGTGCTCGTCCATTGCAGGGGCGGTGTCGGCCGCGCGGGGCTCATCGCATGCACATGGATGCTCAAGATGGGCCTCGTCCGCTCCGCCCTCGAGTCACCAGAGGGAGAGGGAGAGGGCATGCGGAAGCTTCCACAAGACAAACAGCAGCAGCGGATGGTCGTGCTCGACACGGTTGAGCGGCTCGTTGACACCATCCGGAGGCGCAGGAGCCCAAAGGCAATCGAGACGGCCGAGCAGGTCAAGTTCATCGTAGACGTGAGTGCACCATGCTGCTTGTTTCAGACTGCGGTGCTGATGCACCTCCTCCCCCGCTCCTCCGATTGCTGGATTACTTGCACGCCGCAGTACGTAAGTTATTTGCAAGAGCAGGAGGCTATGCATGCACGCCATCGCCACCGCCACCAAGAGCACGGCAGCAAGGATGGCAGTATCGGCAGCAGCCACATCATCAGCACCGGCACGGCCAGTTATGCAGGTCGTGTAAACTCCGTATTGCGTTTCAATGGATAACGGCCAACCTCGTCAAGGAGGCGCTCATCTAGCACCTAACCTCTTGCAGACTATCATTACTATTCATCAAAATTTGGATTGCATCGCATCGACTCGAATGGATCCATCACGGTGGAAGGATACCCAACATAGGAATGAGGGAGCGATGGAGCCGTCCTGTACTATATCTGTACTGCGTATTACGGGCATATTTGATGGATGATGAGAGCAACGATTCAACGGCATTTCGCTCGTTTCGCTTCCCAAACATTCCAGCCATTCTGGAGTGCTAATTTGACCCAAGGCAAGTGGGGAAGGGCGATGCCCATCACAAGACCGCCTCTGTGGAACGGCAAAGAACACGAGACCCTTGTGATCATGTACTCGGCTGCAAGACACTTGGAGTCATGTGCCACCGAGCTGAAGATAGTAATGAATGTAACGGCAATCAAGCTCACAGCCCCTCTTTGTTGCTTGACGATGAGCCAGCCTATTAGAGACACGACGTTTCCATGTATGAGACAAGCCGAGGACGAGGCGGTGAGTGGTCTTGTAGGAGAAATAGGGAAAATCACCGGAAACTATGTTGGTCGTGGCGTGACGGGGCGGGGCTCCCCGGGTTTCCAGCGAGTAGCGCATGGGTGGATTTGCATTTGTCAGGATTATCATAAGGAGGACAGCTGCTGACCATCCGCTTCTTCCTCTCCAAGGGACACCACCGGACACTCCTATGCTCTCGTCTGTCCAAAGCTCGGCGTAAGGAGAGATCGCCGAGTTGCCCTCCTCCCTCTGCGCCGGCGTTGGAAGCAGTCTGCGACCCCAGGCTTGTCAGGCAGCCAACTTTTCCCAACTCGTCTGCGCTAGCCATCCTCTTCCAGTCCCCCCCCCCACAATGGCCATGCTTGAGCAGCTCCCACCGCCTCCACCCCACCAGGGCTCGTCCACCAGTGGCAGCCGGCTCAAGCGCAGCAGCAACAGCAGCAGTAGCCAGCAGAGCGGGGGCAACTCGGCAGCCCGCAGTCCCAAGTCGAGCCCTTTGGCGCAAACTGCATCGGGTAAGATGCACTTTGCCACCCTGCAAGCACCCCAGTGCCCCGTCGTCCACCACGCTCCTTCGCAGCCCCTGCCGCCGGGTCACCCACCGACGCATTCAGCACCCGCCTCATCGCTCAAGCCACCGTTCGCCGAGCGCTGCGTCTTCTACCGCACGCCAGAAGACCTTGCGTCTACGCCACCCATCTCGCGCTCCGGCAGCGATACAGACCTCATCAAGAGCGCGCGCAACGGCCAGCTCGTCTCGCACGCCGAGTACCTCAAAGAGCACGCCAACGTGCGCCCGCTGAGGCAAGGCGAGTCGCTCGAACTCGACCCCCAGCACAGCTTGGTCCTCGCCAGTCGCAACTCCCAGCTGGCGCTCATCCAGTCGAGCCATGTGCACAGCATGCTTGAAGCCAGGTACGGCCGGTCTAGTCCGCTCTTCCATGCCGCCAGCACCAGCAGTAGTAAAGGTGTGCATAGCGAAGAGGCGCTCAAGGTGCTCTCACAAAATATCTCCGCACTGGAACTGCAGCAGCCGTGCCATTTCCCCATCACCTCCATGTCCACCGCCGGCGACCAGAACCAGCGCTCGCCGCTGTACGTCATTGGCGGAGAGGGCAAGGCGATCTGGACCAAAGAGCTCGAGGTGGCACTCAAGGCTGGTGCAGTCGATGCCATCGTGCACTGCTTGAAAGACGTACCCACAACCTTGCCCGACGGACTGGAGATCGCTGCTATTCTTGAGCGAGAGGATCCGAGGGATGCATTGGTCATGAAGGATGGTCTACCATACAGGGTGCGTGACAACTGCTCATTACAAGATGATCCCTTTCTTCATGGATCCTGGTGCTGAATATTGCAATTCTCTCTCAACTGCAGACCCTCGACGAGCTTCCACCAGGTTCTGTGATCGGCACATCTTCTGTGCGCCGCGTCGCGCAGCTGCGCAGTCGCTACCCCAAGTTGGTCTTCAGCGACGTGCGCGGCAACATCAACACCCGCCTCGCCAAGCTGGACTCGCCCACGGGCCCGTACACGGCGCTGATCCTCGCCGCGGCGGGCCTACACCGCCTGTCCTTCGAGACGCGCATCACCGCGTACCTCTGCCCGCCGGTGCTGTATTACTCGGTCGGCCAAGGCTCGCTCGCGATCGAGGTACGCTCCCCACCGCCCGGAGCAACTTCCGCGAACAATCGTGACAAGCGTATCGCGCAGATCATCGCCACCATTGGCTGCTGGAAGTCGACGTGGAGATGCGAGGCGGAGCGCGCGCTGCTCCGCACGCTAGAAGGAGGCTGCAGCATCCCCGTCGGCGTTGACACGTGGATCGGAGACGAGACGGAAGAGCAGAGGCGGATGGCTACGACGAGGATAGCGAAGAAGGAGAAGAGCAGCAGCGCCGATGATGAAGACGACCTGCTGGTGGAAGGACACCGCATGAATGAATTGGCGGTCCCAGCGACCACGAACGAGTCGTCTCGCTCAGGCATCGAGCGCCTCGAGACGAGTGCAAAAGAAGCTGCAGACGCCGAAGCCAGAGGTACAGACCCCGCCGATTCTGCGCCCTCGGACCTGCCGCGTCTGCCGACAACCGAGAGCGTCTCTCTCGACGACCTCGCGACACCCCCGCCTTCGACGACAGGCGCGCGGCTGCACCTCTCCGCAAACGTCGTCTCTCTCGACGGGACGCGCCGCTCACACGCGTACCTCTGCGCGGTCTGCCGCTCGTCCGCAGACGCCGCGCGACTCGGCGAACAGGTCGCGCAGGTGCTCATTGACGACCAGGGCGCGCGCGCGATCCTCGACGAGGTCGAGCGGCACCGCGCGCTCGCCGAGGCTGCAGACCAGCGCAGGCGCGCAGCGCGCGCAGAGCGCCTGCGCCAGATCGACGCTGATGCCGCCACCGCGCCGTTAGCGGTGGCCGACGGGGGCAGCGCGCTGCGCAATAATCCTGTCGGCGAGGAGCAGCACAAGCTTATGCACGTCATCGGTCTCTCGGACTTGAAGGGCAGCGGCAGCGAACGGCAGAACGGCAATGGCCCGCACCCGACGCTGCTGCCGCCGCTTATCAATGGCAACGGCGGGCTCGGCTACGGCGAAGGCATCGCCAGTGGCGAGGTGGACAGAAGGGGCGTCCAGCGCGACGATGGGCAGCCTAAGGCGTGGGAGGTATAATCGCGTTGTCCCCTCCCCCCCACACATCCTTGCCCCTCGTTTTCTGTCATTCGTGTCAAACTTGTACTTTGTGGCTCCTGCTTCCGCTACTTGGGAATTGAGTATATGTGCCTTTCGAATTGGTACAACTATTGGCTATGTGCGGGTCCTGTTTTACACGCTATGGTGTTCGCTGTTCTACTCATTGGTGAAAAGAGCCTGGGAGAAAAGGAAAGCGAGCGTCAGCGCTGTTCGTGCAGAAGTTGCGTGATATGGATACACTCAGCTCCACGAGAGAGCCGCGCTCACCTTGCGCTTCTCCGCAAAGGCGGACATCCCCTCCTTTTGGTCCTTGGTCGCGAACAGGCCTTGGAACAGTCTCCTCTCAAATCGGAGGCCTTCGTTGAGTGACAACTCGTAAGAAGCATTGACGGCCTCCTTGCCAGCCTGCACGGCGATCTGGCCCTTCTTTGCGATCGTCGCGCCAACTTTCACCGCCTCATCGACGACGCTGCCCTCCTTGACGATGCGGCTCGCGAGACCGTGCGCGACGGCCTCCTCTGCAGTGACGTTGCGTCCCGTCAGGATGATCTCCATGGCGAGCGACTTGCCGATTGCCTTAGTAAGACGCTGCGAGCCGCCTGCACCCGGAATTACGCCGAGGTTGATCTCCGGTTGACCAAAGTTGGCGTTTGGAGCAGCGAGGATGATGTCGCACCTACAGTGGAATATTATGACACGTGCATTCCTTGGATCAGTACCTGGAGCGCTTTAGAAACTGTCAAACACAGTTTCTGCTCACATCATCGCAAGCTCGCATCCGCCTCCAAGCTGGGTATCACCCGGACGTATCGCGGGTTCGTTAGAGTCAGTTTTACAACTTCCACGTCTATGGCTTTTCCAAGTTCTTCAGCGACCTACCGCATACCCGCTGACAGCTGCAATGATGGGCTTTCGGATTGAAGATATCTTTGTCCAATGGCCAAGGAAGTTGTTCTTGTATGCCTCACCATACTGCTTGTCCTTCATTTCCTTAATGTCCGCGCCGGCTGCAAGTCATAACGGGGGCTCAAGGAGACTCGTTAGCAATCACCACAGCAGCAATCCGGCGCAATACTAGCGCCAAGAGATGGCGCGCCCCTGAAGGAGGAAACGCACCAGCGAAGGCCTTGTCGCTGCCCGTGAGGACGATCGCGCCGACAGCCGGGTCATTGTCCGCCTTGTCGGTTGCATCGTTGAGCTCGTGGAAGAGCTCCGAGTTGAGCGCATTGAGCGCCTTGGGCCTGTTGAGCGTGATCAAGCGGACTTTTCCATCTGCAACGTCCGAGACGATGATGTTCTTGTAGTTGCAACTCCCCGCGGAGGAAAGGCGGACGGCAGAACCAGAGAGCGCACGCATGGAGACTGGTGCGGCCGATGCGACGGCCGACCTGCGGGCGCACAGACGCAAGGGAGCGATCATCTTTGCGAGTTCTGATCACCGTGGATAGAATTTCTCTCTGCGGGTCCGATACGAGCTGGCAACTGGTGTGGCGGTTGACGTGTCCTTTCACCACCGTCGTTGGGCGTGAAGATGAGGCGATCACTCTCTCGAGGGCAACACAATATAGGATCCCAGAATCTGAATCTGGTGGGTGTGAAGTGTGAGTACGAGAGGCGGAACCTCGGAACAAGCGGCTATAACAGGCCAGCGTCGGCCAGCAATTGGGGTAGATTAGGGTTGAAGGTATATGGGTGTTGCTTGACCATTAGTAGTCAGTATGGGGTGGTTATGGCGCTCATACGTATTTATTGGGTGGCTGCGGCCTGCGGCTGTCCTGTGGCTCGAGAGCGCACCCCGCAACGCGTTGACTGCTGGCTGACATGGTCCCCCGAGTCACTCGGACTCGTCAAATACGCCAGATCATCCCTCCCTCCGTATTGCATATGTTAGTCTGAGATGAAGCAACGCATCCGAGGCAGATGCATTCATGTGAAATCAGGGGAGAAACGGCCCACGAAGACGCCCCGGAGTCATGTTTGCAGCTGCTGAGAAAGCACACAAGATACCTGCCCGCCCTTGGTAGCTCGCGGGTGTGATCAGCAAGCCGGAGTTTAGCCATTGCTTGCGTGCATGCGAGTTCAAGGCATCCATGACGGCTCCACGAGAAAACACGATCGAAGCCACATGGTTGATAGTCAAGCGTGCTGCTTGTGCAGCGAGCTCCATAGTGGCCGCTGTACGCAAGACGAAGCATCTGGCATCCACATGTGGTTTGCCGAGTTATGGTAACTGTGCGTTGCGAAGTGTTCGTCTCAATTCCCACTGATACGAACGTGAGAGCCCAATAGGCTTGGAAGCCTTCTCGCAGAGTGGGGTCTGTTTGTATGCTCAAAGGCGCGAGACTCTCGTGCAATAGTCAATAGTCTTGTACTTTTACAAAGGGACTTGCTGGTATTCTTTCACTTGAATACTTTCCATGGCTTTTCGTATGCTCAACAGCGTGAAGCGTCAAGCTGATGTCCGCACACCTTTGACAGCCATGAAAAGCAAGGCCTCCAAACGATCAGGGCCCTCAGGTGGTAGCAGTGGCAGTCGCCCCAAAGCTTCAATCTCCGGCAAGGCTGCTAACTCTGCCTCTGAGCCTAGCTTGGGCATACAAGACTTACCGAAGTCTCTCTTCAATTGTGAGTCGGATTGCTTTAACATGCAGCGACTGTATCCGCCTGAACACGGTGCGAACTGGCTCTGATTGGTTAATGCCCGGCTTATGACTCCTTTCGTCAACCGAATAGACCTACTAGCGACTGTCATCCGTGCTGAGCCCAGTACGGCCGTACCGCTTCTCCTCGTCTCCAAACAATTCGCATATGCGACCTGTCAACAGCTGTACAGCACGTTGCTGGTGCCGGACGATGAAGCGGAGCTTCACAGGTTGCTCAGTGAAGGTGGTCCAAATGCAGATACTGATAATGAGGAGTCAATACCGAGTGCGCAGCGTTCATGCAGCGCGCTTGCCAACGCCTTCACTCGAGCGGACAAGTACGCCGAACATGTGGCTGGCATCATCATCCGTCAGGCACTTCGGCAGGCAGAGCTTCGTACCGACAGCGACTTGGATTTTGTACCTCTCTCACCTGCGAGTCTCAGCACGCTCTTATCTCGATTTCCAAATCTGCAAGGCTTCGTGTGGTGGGTACACGCTATGCGCGCTCTCTCGGTCGTGAAGCACATACACAACGCAAAGTGCCTTTTGACAAATGCATCTGATTTGCAGGGCGAGCAGACGAGAGCCTTCTCCTTCCTTGTGCGAAATCCTAAGCTCTGTGGCACCTAATCTTAGCATTCTCGCTTGTCGCGCTCATGCGGCTGACCAGGCAGCACCAGCAGCTCGTCAAAACAGTATTAGTCCAAGTCTCCCCACGCTCATGCACGATTTCGAGTACGATGGGACTACGATTCACGGTCTAGGCCTGTTTGGACCCGCACACGAGGATCTTCGCTTCGATCCCATCGCCACATCAGTGCTTGGCCTCGACTTTGTCGACACACTCGAAGAAGACGGTGAAGATGATTCGCAGCTCGCCCGTCAAACTCGAGCGCTGTCCATTTCTGACTTTGGAGGGGCTGAATGCGAGGACCTGTCCCACAGCTCGAGTGCATCTGTTCCATTGGCTGGATTCATGCATGGCTCCCCACTGCTGGACTTTGATCCGCCCGCTCGGTTCGAATGCCGCCAGCTGTATGAGCTGCACCACCTCTCCACCCTTGCTCTCGCAAACTTGACGCTTGACGGTGCGCGTATCCTTGCAGGCGCGCTGTCCGACCTGCCACTGCTTGAGTCTGTCACATTTGACTTCAAATTTGTCGAGGACTCATTGCTCAAGAGACTGGCTGAATGCTGTGGTGCACGCAAGCTGAAGGAATTGCGTTTGAAGAGCAGCGGCACCAAGGTCACCGACAAGGGCATCGTCGCGGTCATGCACGGCTGCAAGCGGTTGCAGACGCTTGAACTGTGCAAAGTCGAGGGACGCCTTTCGAAGCGGCTCTGGAGCAAGATCGACTGGGTGCACAAGGTTTCGCCGAGCTTTGAAAACCTCGTCGTCTCCTTCGACGAATCTTGCGCGCACCACAGCTGGATCACAGACCATCTCGACTCGATCAGCGAGGCCGTCCGAGTGCCACAAGGGCTCAGAAAGCTCGTCGTGTCGCGCGAGCTCCCCGCGCAGTTCCACATCACCCCGAATGTATTTGCGCAGGCCTCGTCGTCCGAGGAGGAACGTGCACACACGAACCTCTTCTCCGCAGCCCCGACCAAGACCGGCTTTGCGGCGCTTCCGCCTGTGGACGCTGTTACGATCCCGCGGCTACTGCCAGCGCAGCATCTGGACTTGCTGTGGCAACACGGTGCAACTCTTCGGCACCTGAGCGTGAGTGACGGACGGGCCTCCGCTACTCTTGCTACTTGACATATATTGATGATCTTCCACGGTGCATCACAGCTTGACTTCTTCTTGATTGACTCTGATCAGCTCAAGTTGATTTTTGACAGCTGCAGGACACTGAAAGAACTGCATGCATTCTTGGATGCGCCTTTTATGACTTTAGTGAGTGCAACTCATGTATGTTTTCGACAGGCTCGCTACACCCCATGCTCATACGCTATCTCCTTCTACTGAAGCTCAATCTGTCGCCGTCGCTGGTCCCACTCACGTGTCTGGACACGGTATCCCTTACGATCAAAGAAGAGCATTGTCCGCGTCCACTTGGTGTGCTCAGTGTTGACGCGACATCACTAGCGCCACAGTTGACTTCGAGCCCGTCGTTGGGCCCTTTCGCGCAGGACCCATCCTCAGTCCTCCCTGAAGTGCTTTCACCCGGCGTCGCTTCCACTTCAACCGCCAGCGATTCACCCGTCAGCAGCAGCACTCGGAGCTTCTCCATGATTCACAACAGCAGTCGGTCGAGCTTTGCTACGGTCGGCACGAGCCTCGGAAGCCCTTCGTGCAGCCCCTTGGCTTCGCTGCCCGCCATTAATGATTGGAGGCCTTCGCATGAGGCAAATTCCATCGGAAGCGCCGCGGCAGCCTCCCCTGCAAGGTCATCGCTCAACTACGCGCACGTCAGGAGCCGTAGTGCCACCACTGAGGCTGTACGCGCACCGTCTCAGACAAGCCCTATCAGGAAGCGGGGTAACTGCTCTGTATCGGTTTCGGCGAGCAGCCTCCCGCTCGGACGACAGCATGAGTCAGGCAGTCATCATGACACCATACCCGTGTATCCTGGCGCCGCAACGGCTCAAACGAACGCATTCAACTTGCTGATTCCTGGCAAGCGTGACATTCGAAAGTGAGCCGGCCAAGCACTTGACGCACACTGCCACGTCTTTCAAGCGCTGATGTCTTTCCTTGTCTCCCTCTAGGCTCTCACGACGCTGCCCTAGCTTGAGAGTCCTGCGTTGGACAGGAAGGCATGGTGTGGGAGAATGGCGGATGGATTCCGCGCACCACATCAGCTTCACCCCACAGGGACAGGTGGTCATGCCACCAAAAAATTTTGACGAGGTACCAGAGGAAGATCTGCTATACCGCCTGACACCCTATCCTGGCGCCGCTTCGTTGCGGGGTGCAGATGATGACGCTTCACTTAGCCTCACAGAAGAAGAGGATGAAGAGGGCAACGAAGAACAAATGTGGAGCGAGCCGTCCGAACAAGCTTTCTCGCCTGACAAGCGTGTTTCAGCGCACAGCAAAAGACAGCGCTCGCTAAGTCTTGCTGCGCTACGGGCACAGGAGGCTAAACAAGTCGAAGCGCCTTTCGGCCAAGCGCAGCATCCGCGTGTACAGTGCTCGAGTCTCCTTGCGGTTACTCTTGACCCTTCGCAAACAGTTGCGCTCGGCACCCGCACGATGTCCAGTGGCAGCGACGTGCCAATTATGCCTTTTCCGCGGACGTGCGACATTGGTGGCATACCATGCAAGCGGACTGACACACTTGCAGATCCGTCCATGAGCAGGACGACGGTAACCGGGAAGCAACTGTCGGGTAGCAGCTACATCAGCGCAGGAGCAAGCAAATCTACGTCTTCACCCGGCGGTGCGCGGTGCGCTTCAACGGCTTCGTCCTCAGCGCGCAGTAAGATCCGCTATAACGCTGCGGGCGCCGTCGTCATTGGCCATGGCGCTGGAAAGTCGAGCGGCAAGAGGAAAAACAGCGCGTGCGGCAACGGCAACACTAAAGGCAAAAATGATAGCTACAACGCAATTGGTAGCAATAGCAAGAAGGCTGGCGAGTTGTCAAGGGCGGACAAATGTCCTGGCGTGTAACCTCCACATGTTTTGGTTGGAAGCACGTTATTCACGTCTCGGGGCGAGAGGCTCGCAAGCAGATGCTCTCTGCACAACGGGGGTGCATACTTTCGACAGCAACTTCAAGTGACAAGGCATTAGGGGGAATGGAAGGCTAAATACGTTTCTGCATATATGCACTGATAATGTACCAATTGGATGTGATTTCCGACTGTGCAATTTGGACTGACGACATTCGAAGACACGGGGCTAGGTGTTGATGTGTGTGATGCTGAGGACGACGCTCACCTGGTGCTTCTAGAGAGGGTCAATCCAAGACGGAAGGCTCGAGTCGCGGGCCGCGATGACATTGGATTACCGGCTCCGACTCGAAGAGGGTCATGAATAACGTAAGAGTAACGCCTTCGACTGGGCATAAGAGAATTCGTTCTCTCCGTCGAGACGCTCCCAAGTGATACATAACGAGATCGAGAATGGAGGGAGACATTGACTCTCACCACAGGAAGAGTAGAGAAGACAGGTTGAGAGAGAATGAGAACTGACGCGCCCGTACTGAAGCGACAGCTCTGTAAGAGGTAAGACAACATGTATCGAGTATGATGGTGGTTGGCGAAAGTGAAGAACAAGTGAAACGTACGTGTCATGTGCGCGCCCCGCACAGCAAAAAGACGCGTCTTCGGTGGTGGACGCCGTTAAAGCTCTGCTGACTGTCCTTCTACGTGCCAGGTGCCTTGGTAGCGGAGAGATCGGAGAGAACTGTACCACAATCAGAGGTTTGCATGCATCGTGCTGCTACGTTAGCCATGGTTAACCACAGTTGTTATCTGGCCACCTCGCACCGCCTTGTGCAAGTTTGCTTTATCTCCTGTTTAACCTTTCAACAAATATGATGGGTGGCATCGGTGGCAAGCAGACGGCCCTCGACGGCGGACGGGCGGCGTACATCGCGCCATCCAAGCAGCTCCGGTATGGCAGCCTGTTTCGCAGCATTAAAGTCCTGCGAAACATCGATGAAACGATGCACCGGCATAGTAGCAAGCCGGAAGACTCGCATGCCGGGGAGTGTTCCAAGTCTTCGAGCACATCGACGGTTGGCCGTAGAGAAAAGAGCACTCGGAACGAACCTGGGACCGAATCTGGGTCGGCACCTGGATCACGATCGGGTTCTTGGATGTCAAATTTTAACGTGTTAGAAAAGCCGCTGAAAGTAACAGTCACACCCAACTCAAATGGTAAAGAAGGGCCAAAAGGCTTTGGTATTGCATCTTTCGCACATTCGAGCCACAGTTCGCGAAAGCACCCTCTAGGCTCTTCCGCATCCGCAGAGCCGTTAACATCAACATCCGCTATTATAAACACAAATGGTCTAAAGCGCAAGCACGGTTCGGCAGGAAGGAGTGATCTGTGCAGTCGTTCGCCAAAGCGAAGATCAGGAATAGATGATCAAGGAAGAAGATTTCAAAGCGTGGAGCCGGCAGCCTCCAGAACAGTCGAAGCAGGCTCATCCGAGTTCAACATGGCTGGGCCAAAGGATCTCCCACGACAACAACCACCGCCCGTGGCACTTTTCTCTGACAGTTCTGCCGTACAAATAAGAGCACTAACTTCCAAAGCTGGCCTCTGCAAGGCATCGAATCCGATCACGCATTCCGACATGTACACACGCACCCAGCACTATGTCAGCACGAGCACAGGACATCAGCAATCCAACCGCGCTGGCGGGTCGAATGAGGGCAGTACCCATTGGATGAAGATGAGAGCCAGAAAGCTGCAAGACCAGGCTGCAGCCAAGGTGAGCTCGCTGTACTCTGTCGCGAGACACTCTAAGAAATAAGTCGCTCACTTCAATCTTGTTTCCGTTTCGCATTCCTGTAGCAAACAAATCTATTCGACGGTGTGGTCGTCTACATCAATGGCTACACGGGCTCACTCATCACCAATCAAGAACTGATCCGGCTTTTGCAGCTGCACGGAGCCATCGTATCATATACACCATCATCCAAAGTAACGCACACTATCAGCACGATGTGCCTTTCGGGAAAGAAAACACAGAAAGAGCTGAAGCGTAAAGTTCTGAAGAGAGTCGCAAAGCTCGTCACTCCAGCATGGGTGCTGGACAGTATCGAGCGTGAGAGAAGGCAGCCTGAGAGGAAATATGCTGTCTTTGAGGATAACACGCAAGGGGACTTACAAAGCTTATGGGCCAAGAAGTGACAGCTAAAGCGGGAATCGCTTCACGTTCGCAACTGCATTTTCTTAACATCGCATCTATCGTGCTTCTCTGCACGCATTTCGCATCGCCATACCCTCCTCGCTCTTTCACACAAGCAAGCAGGCACCGCTTAACACTCTGCAAATAATGTACTCTCGCAAAAAGTCCGCAGAGACCTGCTAGCCAGCACGGCAGCTACTATGATACATGCGTTATCGTCGTTTCCCTTTCCTGCCGCCCTTGCTGGGCACCGTCCCGCCAGTCACACCAGCAGGCAGCCACTCCTCCTTCTCTATCTGCTCCTTAGGCTTATACCGGCCCGCCTTGACGTCCTCGAGCGCCTGCGTGATCTCCTCGGCACTAACGTCCTCCCCCGCGCGAATGCGCGCGGCGATGTCAGGTGGGATCGCCACTTTCGCCACGTTCGTCTGGAAGCCGGGGGCGCCGCGGCCAATGCCTGTGCGCGGGTCATACGCCTGTCGCGTGATTTTGTTGCGCCGCGAGGACTTGGAGGAGCCGAAGAAGGGTGTGAAGGATGTCAGGATGAATAGGACCGGGATAGCGGCGAGTGGGATGCTTTGATAAGAGAATCGGGTGAGGGGAAAGTGGCGGGAATTGGCGGAAGAGGTGTCAACGCTTGTGCGTTCTGAATCCAGACTCGCTTTGAATGGAGGACACCAGGCAATGTTCTACTCACAACCACCAATGTAGCTGCGTCTGCGTCTGCGCTTGTTGCGCTTGTGCGCTGCCGTATGATGACATCTTGTTACGGGCTAGGAAAAAGCGAGTTACAGAGACACTGACGGGAGCAGCCTGCAGCTGATGCGGCACTTGACGTCCAGGGTCTCCGTACCTACGAGTTGGCTCTGGCCTGTGGCTACTGCTGAACGCTGAATGTCTCCCCGGTCGTCCATGGGTTTTGGACACACTTGACTCGGGAACAGTTAGGACTTTTAACTTACCAGGGACTGCGAATCGCTGGACAGTCGACGTGGCGCTCTCGGCCGGAAGGCAATGCATGTGTATTATTATTGGGATCGGTGCAAATTAATCAGGCAAACACCAGCCGCCGTGCATCCGCCAACCGCCACAACTTTTTTTGCATCGAGAGTCGATGAGACGAAGTCCCCGCCAGCATGGGATGGATCGATTTTTGGCGCATGAGCCGTACAATGTACTGCTACACTACTGGCACTGATCTCGCCGTGGATCTCGCCTTGTAGAGGATCATACCGTAGCCAAGCGTGGGTCTATTCAAGCAAGCTCACTTGCAGATCGTCTTAGACAATGCGGTCAAAGACGCTTACGCCGGTACCTGGTCCAAGCAACGGCAGCGTCTTGCCTGACGGCGCGACTGTGATCAAACGCCTGCACATCTCGGGTCTGACACCTTCGTTGTCGCAGCACGATATCATCTCCCGGTTTTCCTCCTTTGGCCTGCAAGTTCTCAATATAGATACCTGGTCGCACGAGTCATCGTCATCGTTGCAACCATCTTCTGCGCCGTCTGGAGCGTCAACGAATCTGGACGGGAAACCGTATGCTTTCCTCGACGTCTCTATCCCTTCAGAAGACGCTCAAGCAACAGTGAAGCTCGAAAGGATCAAGCGTCTGCTGAGCGGAACCATTTGGAAAGGTGCCAAACTGAGGATCGGGGACGCGCGGCCGGACTTCAGGCAAAGGCTCGAAGCGGAAAGGATGGCCCAATCCGCGGATGGAAGTGCTGACCGGTCGAAGAAACGCAAGAGGAGCAAGGTGCCAGGCACAGTTGGGCTAGAAGCGAAGAATAAGGATGTACCTGTCACATCCGCGGACGTAGAAAATGGGCTTTGGGTGCGTGCAGCCTTACGCCAGAGTCTCTCTTTGCTTGCCGGGGCATTGGGCTGACTCGTTTCGCCGGGTTCACCTCGCTCCGCTTACAGGGATGGAAGAAGACACCAGCAGGCCACCTGATTCGACCCATGCACATGCGTCCCGCACACGGCCTGCCGCCTCCACAGCCGCTAAGGTCATTGGCCATCGCTGGCTCATCGAAACCTAATTCCAAGCCCAAGACTTCCAAGGGCAAAGACAAGGTGGCCAATGCTACCAGCGTCGCTGGCCGACCGGCTTCTTCGGGTGCCGGGAAGAAACGCAGCACGAAAAGAGTAAAGATCGTCACAATCGATCCTACGCGATACCCACGCTCGCATCTAACAGGGATGCTCCTTGAGCAGGATGCAGAGACGGTTGGCTCGGCTGGGGTCCCAGAAGGAGGCTACTGGGTCTGCGAAGCAACCGATGCCAGTGGCGGAGACGAAGGTGAAGGCGACAACGCCGAGATGGAGGGTATGGACGGTAAGGTAGAGGAAAGGCAAAGCCAAGCGCGCGTGAAGTGGATACTTAAGGATCGAGATGGGAGCATCGTGCGAATTGAGATCGTCGATGCGAAGTCGGGCAATCGGATGCATCGAACCCCTCGCCTCAACGGAAAGGCGCTCGTTGGCCGGGTGTTGGATGGAGACCAGGAGGCCACGTCATCTTGCGCATCATCAGCCGAAAGCACCTCCGAAGACGAAGCTGCAGGCGAAAGTACGGTCATCTCGTCCGATTTGGACGACAGCCAAGGACAAAACGGGAGCGTCGCGAAGCGCCCCACTGCCGCGGGTATTGCTAGCAGCATAGGCGATGCCCAAAAAAATGACACGTGGCGATTCAAAGCCTATGACCCAGACGCGGAGGCCGACTTTTCAGATGGCTATGACGAAGCTGCGGCCGGGGCGGTACCAGCAAACGCAGCATCAGCAGCGTCGGACTTTGACGCTGAAAGGTGCGGAACACTTGGACTCCTAGCTAAGATGTTCGGACAAGGTCTCAATCCAGAGGAAGCGACGGACGTGGGCCGCGCGACAGGGCCTTTCACGGAGGACTCGGAGGACGATGACGAGGAAGCTCCCCAAGAGAAGCGCGATGGATTTTCATCATATCAAGCAACGCAAAGCACAAGGCCACAGGTAGCGGGAGCAGAAGCCGCCATCGCTGCATTATCTGCTAACCAAACCCAAGCAGATACTGCGATCGCTAATAGCAGGAGCAGGCGTGCGGCGTTACTGGCTGCTGCAGCGCAGACTCAGACTCTGGAAGGCTCTAGCTCCTCTTATGAGCCTCCCTCTCGATTTGTCCCACCTGCAGAGCAATACGCCAACACGGTGACTGCTCCGGCTTCGGCTTTGCAGTCGCCTTCCGATCATAGCTCCGATAGCGAAGACTCAGACCTCAGCACCGAGGAGGCTAAACATGCAGTCATTGCTCAAAAGATTGACGGAGATAGCGTTGATGACAAAGAAAAACGGGGAACCTGCTACCAGCTCAACAGTCTTAAGGACATGTTTAAGCCAAAGGAAGCTGTTCCAGTCGGCGGTCAATTTTCCATCATGGCTGGACTTGACCTAGAGCTGGACGACGAGCTGGACTTTGAGCTCGATGCTGAAGCTGAGCAAGGTGTTGAGGGCTCGCCTATAGAGCTGTCGACTATGGACGCTGCGCAGACTCGGCCTGCAGACTCAGAAGCAGGCTATGTTCAAGGAACGACGCTGCAGCCCCACCCTTTCCCTGTGTTCGACCCAAGCAACTCGCGAGACATGATTCAACTTCTGCAGAAAACAGGATCGTTCATTCCATTCTGTCGTACAGACACTGAAGAGGAGATCGAGGCCCGTTGGGAGGAACACAAGGGTCGCCTGACGCAGGAGTACAAGCGCAGGCATCGAGAGGCTGTCAAGAAGAAAAAACGTCGCGTCACGGGAAGCCGAGCTGCGGGCAGTGCCGGACAGGGAGCTATGAGGTCGGCTACGAGAGATGGAGATGGCGATGTCTAAGATGTAAAGAACCACTTGGCCGCATAGAACATGCATATGTATCAAATGTGATTTCAAAATTATGGCCTAGGCGTAGTGCCTGAGATTGTACAACAGCACCTTGCCCCTGCTATTCCCAATAGCCACAAACCGGCAACTTGGACTGAAGTCGACGCCAGTGACATGCCCGAGCGGTGTGCCAGAAGTGGGCCAGTTTGAGAACACGCGCATAGAGGGGAAATGCACGAGGCGCATCGCGTCTTTCTTGTTCCGGCTCGCCATCGCCATCACTTGTCCGTCTGGGTTGAACCGCATCGTCGTCAGCGCAGTCGTCAAGTTCTCCAGAGTCTTGGACGCTGCAATTGAGATGGCGCCGTCAGACTTTCCGCGAATGACTTTCAAGCCCGCGTCGTCGGCGGCAGCAGAAGCAGTATTGAAGTCGACGGAGCCGGGGTTGCTCAGCAGGTCGGATCCATCGTACCTGCTCACGATGCCATTCTCGCTGCCGACAAGCCAGCTGCTCCCATCCGGGCTACACTCTAAGCCTTGTGCGCCGAAAATACCGTGATCGCGTTTCACCACCTCTGCGCGCAGGTTGCGCGTGTCCCAGATGCCGAATTCCCCGCCTGTGCTGAGCGTGACAAGCGTCCGCCCGTCTGGACTGCGGTCGTACGATCGATCCCACGCCAGCCCTGCAAGGGTGCCACTCGTGCGCAAGGAAGCGATGATCGAGGAGGAAGAGCCGCCCGACCGGCCCCAGTCTGCGAGGTGGACGATCCCCGCACGACCTCTGAATGCGACCAGCGAACCACCGGTATGTGCAGGCTGCGGCGTCGCCAGACTCAGATCCCGATCCCCACCATCGGCTGAGCCGCTCACCGCACCACCGCGCCAAGGGTTGCTGCGCATAACTTTACCACTCTGGAGATCCCAGGCGTACAGGTACGGCCGCTGGCCGCTTATCAGGACGCTGCTGCTGCTTGCTGTGCTCCATTCTGCTGAGCCTGCGCCACTGATGAACATGGCCGTTTTGACAGGCATGTCCGGTATGTGCAGCGTTTGTAACAAAGGGTTGCTGTTGCCGCCTGTGATGCTGAACAATCGCAACCGGCGGTCACGACTGGCGGTCATAAGGATCGATGTGCGGGACGAAGGATGGAATGCTAGCGATTCGATAGCTGCCTCGTCTGACAATGGCTGGGCTTCGTTTGCGTTCCTCAGGCGTTCGATCTCGATCGTGCCTGGTGCAAGCGTCGCTTTTGTCTTGGACTTGAGCTGTCGAAGAAGACCGGTATCCTCTTGCGATAAGAGATCCGCCAAAGATGGGCCAGACTGTTCTTGAATCTCCAGACCATTCGTAGGTGTTTCCGCTGTAGTTTTCTCGATCTCCGTCTGCCGAGCTGCTGGTTTTCGGAACATCCGCATCGCCCAGACCGGTTTCGGATGCAGCTTTTCGAACATCTCACGCAGCCGTCGCTCGTATTCGATTCCGTCCACCGACATCTCATCCGCACTCTTTCGCAGCCGTCTTAGCCGTTTTGTGCCAACGAATGTGCCATCGGCAGCCCTTGCGGAGGGACCGGCGAGCGGAATTTGCAAAGTGGCATCATCAGGGTCGCGCCATACGGACTTGAAGCGTCGTCTTTGAGCGTGGCCATCTAGTGACGCATTTGTGCCCACTTTGGCATCGTCGACATGACTCTCATCCTTCAAAGCGTCGACTTCAGCGTTTTCAACCTTTTCTTGCCCGGACATGCCATCGTCCATCTCATAGTCCACGCTTTCGTTGCCAGACTCTTCTGAGTCCGACATTATCTTTTCTTTTTCAGATGCGCTAGACGCAGATGCACCTGAACCGGGCAAGACATTTGCATCATTGTTGTCTCCGCCATCAATAACGAAAAGCTGCGAGGAGCAGCGTGCCAGATCAGCGTCGGAAGAAGTAGAGATGGACACTATTAAAGTGATAGCAACTCACCTCATCATCATCCATCTCTCCCATCTCTTCTTGCTCTAGCATCTCTCGACGGCTGCCGAGCTTGACATTGCTTCCAGCAGGCCCAGCGACAAAGTGGTCCTCATCATCTTGCTGCTCCGCATTGGCTTGCTTGCTTTTCCCCTTTGATACACTCGTAGTCGTAACGGGTATCTTGGAGACACCAAAGAGGCTGGCTTCGAGCGCCGCTTGCTCTGCGTGTTCTTGTGCGGAGAGAGGTCTGTTTGAATGTTTATTAGCCTTCTTTCTTTCCGACGTGCCTTCTCTATCGCGTTTGCCCTCAGAGGGGCGCTTCTTGGGACGACTGTTCGATATCATCAACATGATGAGGCACCGCTCGACCGATCACGGGAACCCAAAGAAAGTTATACTGTATGCCGGCCCTTCGTGAGCCCACTTTTGGAGGTGTGTGAGATGGTAACCCTCCGTCTAGCCGGGTGTGCACAAGCTGCAACAAAAGGAACGGCATGCATCCGTAAACCATACAGGTTGCCTCAATTAATTTCAACCTCAAGGGAGTCCACTATGAAGCAGCTTGGAGTCTCTCATCGAAAAAATGGGTCGTTTGTGTCCCGCGTTCCGAAATCCGAAATCCAGAGTTCCCCTGTATGAGAACGCGTCAGGCTTATAGGCTTCCTACTCCCGTTATCTCTAGCACTTGAGACCACATACCTTGAGTGCTTGCTAAAAGTGCTAATTGGCTGGCAATTCCAACCTCGCGCCTTTCCAACTCGGCTTGTGACGCGACGCGATAGGGGTCGGGGCCCACCGTCGCCTTGCGGCACACAATTGCGACCCTTGTCAGTGCCATGACAAGATGCATCTGGGCGCAGAGCATCTCGCCGGTATTGCGGCCATCCCCGGGGCAATCACCAGTCCGGGCCACCTTGCATCGAGCACGACTCGTCCCCATCCCCTCGGCCAGCCGCACCCTCTTCTCGGCGCCGAAGATCTTCGCGCGTACAAGGTTGTCAGTCATATACGATGACCTTCCCACAACTGCAGTTGATACGGAGGGTAGGCCGCTGGCACCGCTTGCCCCACTGCCCAAGGAATCCGAGGTTCGCGTTCGCAAGCGCAAAGCCCATAAGAAGACCTCACTGGTCGAGGCTGAGGCAGCGAGGCCCGACACCTCAGGTGATCCTGCACTCGCTCATGTAGACGAACTAGGAGGTGAATTGTCGCTTGATTCAAACCGTGACGTTTTGTTCAGAGCTGATCGTGAACCAACCGCTCGCAGTGGAGGGCAAGGCCTGGCCGCCTCTCGCCAAGGAAGTTCTGGCGAATCTGGCGCGTTTTCCTGGCTGCATTCTTTTGACGCGTGTCGGGAACTTTTATGAGGTAAGAATAATCATGTGGAACTGATGTGGAGAATCCTCTGACACCATGACTCTGGCAGTCGTATTTTGAACAAGCTCCGGACGTCGCGCAGATGCTTGGCATCAAGCTGGCCCGACGATGGTGGGGAGGGCGCGAAGTTGCCATGGCCGGCTTTCCCGTGCATCAAATGGAAAAGTACCTGAAGGTGCTCGTCCAAGACTACGGCAAGCTTGTGGCAATCTGCGACGAATTCAAGGAGTTTCACGCTTCCGGCGCGGAAAGTGGAGCGAACAACGATGATACCCTCAACGAGAGCGCCAGCTTTCACAGAAAAGTCACTAGAGTAGTATCGCCGGGGACGCTCATCGATGAAAAGTTTCTCGACCAATTCACCAGCAATTTCATTGTTTCTGTCGTTTCAGCAGATGACAACGCCGTTGGGACGCCAAAGTTCGGCTTGGCGTGGCTGGATATCGGCACAGCTAATTTTCATAGCATGCCTTGTTCGGATGGACAAAGCCTGCGAGATCAGATTGCCCGAATAGCGCCCAAGGAAGCCATACTGCAGCCAGGCGTTTTCAACGCAGCTCCTAGCGAAGATGACGGTCGGCATGGTGATGCCGATCGATATTCTCACCCTCTATGGGAAGCGCTCCCAGAAGGAAGCTGTATGGTGACGTATGCATCTGACCAGGCTTCCTCGCCTACGGCTTGCATGGATAATCCCTTTCCTGAGCTCAAGCTATCTACATCCGAATCAAAGGCCATCCAACAGCTTACACGGTACATCGAGACGCGGCTGATCGAGCTTCAGCAAAGCCCGTCTAATGCATCAGGCGTCTTTCCCTTGACACCAGAGCGCATGCTTGAACGAGAGTGCATGCAAATTGATGCTCACACACTCTCTGCGCTTGAAGTTCGCAGCTCGATGCGCGAGGGTGGCGTGCGAGGCAGCCTTATTAGTGCAGCAAGACGGACAGTGACGAGGGGTGGTACGCGGCTTCTCGAAGAATGGCTAAGTGGGTGTACTGAGATGCGAATCCATGCCGAACGTCACGATAATGCTGACCATACGCGATGCATCTTCGCAGCCTGCCCAAGTACATCGCTCAAAATCATACACTGGCGTCAACAACTCGTGTCTGCTCTTCATGCCAATGCTTTCCTTCGAGAAGATCTTCGCCTGCTGCTTCGACGCTCCGCTGGCGACATCTCTCGGACACTGCAGAAGATTTTGGCCCGGCGCAATGACGAGCAGGATCTTTTGGCTGTGCGTGACTTCGTTCATCTATGCGAAAAAGTGCAAAGCACTCTGCGAGAAGCCTTGGACCGGGGTCTATCACATGAGTATGCCGCTTCCGCACAGGAGATTGCCGGTAATTTCACCGCTCTAGGTCACCTTGCTCAGTCTCTCGAAGATGCAATTGATGAATCAGTGATGGAGAAGAGGCGACAATTACAAAGTGCGACCGCAGATGAGATCGAGTCTGTAATTACTCAGGGTGAACTGAAGCAGACACAGGTAGAGCACGGTACTATCCAAGTGTCGACTCCACGACGCGCCAGCAGGTCCAAAGGCAAAGCTGCAGAGCAAGAGGAAGAAAGCCCACTCTGGGGCCCGCCATTGGAGCACCTAATCAGGCCTGGGTGAGAGACGTTATACGATGGGCGTCGCAAGTCCTCAGCGTTGACACCGTGGCAAACTCCATTCTGAGCCACACAGATCTTCCAAAGCAATTGACATCTTGCTCAAAGAGTACAATATCTTGCGTCGCTCTGCTCGAAAATTGGAACAGCGTCTGAGGGACCGGTTGCCCAACCCGGAGCGGCGAAAGCTCACTCTCCGACAACTGCTAGGTCAAGGCTATGTCGTACATGTTGGGGACTTTAAGGATCGCATGACACCCCTGTTCCCATCCGACATGTCGTTCGCATACAAGAGTAAATCGACTCGCACGTACTACTTCGAAGAGTGGACGCGGATTGGCTCCAAGCTAACAAGACTCCAAAATGACCTGCGACAGAGGGAACAGCTTGCGCTCGAAGTCCTGCGCCAGATGGTTGCTCGAGAGGCGCCGGCATTACGTCATAATGCTAGGCAGATAGACCAGCTGGACGTGCTGCTCGGATTTGCCCAGCTTGCGCAAGAGTTGTCCCTCGTTCGGCCCATTGTCGATGACAGTTATGATTTCGAGGTCGTTGGCGGCAGGCACCTCAGTGTTGAAATGGGACTGTTCGAGAAGCAGCGCAGCTTTGTCAAGAACGACCTCAGTCTGAGGCCAGACTCCCGTTTGCACCTCATCACTGGGCCCAACATGGGTGGCAAGTCAACCTTCATTCGACAGAATGCAATCATCGCCATCCTTGCGCAGAGCGGGAGCTTCGTCCCTGCGGAATCTGCGAGGATTGGCGTCGTTGATCGTCTGTTCAGTCGCGTTGGCGCAAAAGACGACCTCTTCCGGGATCGCAGCACGTTTATGGTTGAGATGACAGAAATGTCAGAAATCCTGCATCGCGCGACTCCACGGAGCTTCGTCATTGCGGACGAGATCGGAAGGGGCACAGCGACGGCAGTGGGAACCTCGATTGCCTTCGCTACGCTGCTTCATCTTCTCCACACCAACCATTGCAGGGTACTCTTTGCCACGCACTTTCACGAGCTAGCAGACATGCTCGGTTTCCAAGACGTGGTAGGTGGATCGCCGGCCGATGGCAGTTCCGTTGAGGGCATCGCGTTCTTTTGCACCGACGTGATCGACACGAATAACGACGCAGTGGTGTACGATCACCGGTTACGACCAGGCGTCAACCGCGATTCTCATGGCTTGGAAGTCGCGAAGCTGGCGAACATGCCAAGGCATGTCGTAGATTATGCTCGACGAACGCTCACGTGGCTCAATGAGCAGAGCGCTAACGCCGCATCGGCAGCGACTCTACGCGATACGATGAGGTCACCTGTGTTACCTGCATATATCACCAGTCAGCATCGGAGCGATGCCATGTAAGAACATGGGCTTCTTTCTAATGGAGCCTGAAGAACATTTTTCGGGCGCCATCCATCCTTTGCGAGAAGATTCGCAGCTGTGCGTGCCGGATCAATCAATTGTACAAATGCATACAAAGAGGGAGGTCATGGAGGGGCGCGGCAGCGCGCGAGATGACAAAATGTTTAGCGGTTCTAAAAATAAAATGTAGAGGCACATCAGCATATACAGAAAGCAAGAGGAGAGTGACATGCGAGGCGACGTACCTTGACAAAGCCAATAGCGTCGGCCTTCTCCCTAAAGCACTGACGGCAGATGTCAAGCCCATACTTGCGAATGATACCACCTTGGTTGGCGCAGACGCGGCTGAAATCAAAACAAAGGTTAGCACAACGTACCAATTTCCCGAATTAAGTGGCTTTCGACTTGACATCGAAATACGGCTGCACCAAGTGCCTGTCCCAGGCCGCTCCGTCTCTCCCGGAAGACTTTTCCAAACCGCCGCCGCGCTTCCAACTCTAGCCCATATCCATGGGAAGTGGCAATCCGTCATCATTTCTTAAACTGATCTGCATCAAGGCTCACAGCCTCAAGCAATTGGACTTTCTCTTGGCTTCAGACACAAATCAATACTTTGTGATCATTCCCATCACCAGATCGCTGCATTGAGCCCTTGCGCTCACCACCAGAATGTACACCCTTCTCTGCCACCTCCCTTCATCCTTCCTTGTGAAAGATTCCTTTCATCCTGGGTGCAATCGGTTTGCCTGTGATAAGAGCTGAGGCAGGGTGGTCAAACTCACCATTGCCGAGAGCCCTTGCCGTACTTGCGAGGATGAGAGAACCAAATGTTTGAGTGCGCCATCTTGAATCTATAGCCCCAAGAAAGACGCTCGGGTCAGTTCGTGTACCATCCTCAGAGGTGACCAGCAATGCTAGTCGCAAAAATGATTGCTTGGCCACTGAGCTGCAAATCATAGTCCGGTTTCCCCATTCCGATTTTACTCGCGCTAGCCGGTCTTCCAGCAGCATTCAGGCTCATGCATGGAAGCCGGAAGAGTAAACTAGGACCTTTGAGCTTGAACTCGTCTTGTCAATCCAGCAAGATACCATGCACTTCGTCTTTGAGGTCCCCAGTTAGTACCACCACAATACCCCTCACACCGGAGCCTCTGTCCATCCGTCTGTCCATCGTTTACACCCACTCTGTAACCAGTATGACGTCCTGTTACGGTGTGTTGCTGTCAAATGTACTCACCAAGCGAGCATGTACTTAATAGCCAACCTGGAATGGATGATCTACCTGAGTCTGCGAAACTCAGAAGACACATGAGCGCTTTCAAGGCCAGTCGCGCCGATTGCTGATGGAGGTCTCGGCGCCCACGCGCCAAATCATCTGGCGGAAAGCTGCTGCGGCAAGCGCGGTGGGCGCAATAGAAGGTTCACCGCAAGGCGACATCCCTGTGTACCCCCAGCTTGGCTCCGACGCGCTCAACTTTTAGAAGCATGCCTACTTCGGCATAGACTTCCTCTTCGCTTTGAGCCAGACACCTCGATCGACATCCCAGCAATCGACAAGGGCTCGCCAAAAGTGAGTTTTGGTGACAGTCACACATTTGGAGAAGCATCAGCTGTGCGCCAGAAAGCGAGCTTGGCTCAGAAGGAGCGGCCGCGAGACGAGCACGCGAAAGCTTGTGGGCAGGCATTGGTCAAGTTTTAGCAAGATGGGTTTCTTGGAAGACCTCATGCATATGACGATGTGGGATGGGATTGGCAGGGTGCGCGCAATGCGCAGTCCTTCAAGTGGTCGTGTTGATTTGCTCTGGATGAGCTCAACTATAACGCAGTGACGGATGAACCCGGGCATTCCTCCTACATGGCTTGCGAATGACAGGGACTTGCGTGGATGTGTACTTGCAAATTGCTACTCTTCCATCATCCACGAGAAGGCTGCTGATACCCTCTCACCTTTCAGTGTCTCACTGCAAGTACGAGCACCCAAGGCACGGTCACACCGGTTTCTTGCCGCGCAAGCGTGCGGCTAGGCACCGCGGGAAGTGCAAGGCGTGAGTTTTGATGAGCTTTATTCTGTTGATCTGGCTTATCATATTGACATCTTTGCTGTCCGACAGCTTCCCCAAGGATGACGCCAAGAAGCCCGTGCATCTGACTGCCATGCTCGGCTACAAGGCAGGCATGACCCACGTTGTCCGTGACCTCGACCGTCCCGGTTCAAAGATGCACAAGCGTGAGATCGTCGAGGCCGTGACCGTCATCGAGACCCCTCCTATGGTCGTTGTCGGTGTCGTCGGATACGTCGAGACCCCCCGCGGTCTCCGTGCGCTCACCACCGTCTGGGCTGAGCACCTCTCGGACGAGGTTAAGCGTCGCTTCTACAAGAACTGGTACCGCAGCAAGAAGAAGGCTTTCACGAAGTACGTGAAGAAGCACTCGGAGAACGACGGCAAGTCCATCAACCGCGAGCTCGAGCGGATTCGCAAGTACTGCACCGTCGTCCGTGTTCTCGCCCACACTCAGATCCGCAAGACTGGCCTCAAGCAGAAGAAGGCACACCTCATGGAAATTCAAGTCAACGGTGGCTCAATCGCTGACAAGGTTGACTTTGCTAAGGAGCACTTCGAGAAGACCATCGACACCAAGAGCGTCTTTGAGGAGAACGAGATCATCGATGTCATCGGTGTTACCAAGGGTCATGGATACTCCGGTGTCGTCTCAAGGTGGGGCGTCAAGAAGCTGCCGCGCAAGACGCACCGTGGTCTGAGGAAGATTGCCTGCATTGGTGCATGGCACCCGGCGAACGTCCGTTTCACTGTTGCGCGTGCTGGTCAGCAAGGCTACCATCACCGTACCGAGCTTAACAAGAAGATTTACCGCATTGCCAACGGCAGCGACGAGACTTCTGGCTCGACCGAGTTCGACACCACCAAAAAGACGATCACCCCGATGGGCGGCTTCCCGCACTACGGTATCGTCAAGAACGACTTCGTCATGATCCTTGGCAGCTGCCCCGGTGTCAAGAAGCGCGTTCTCACCTTGCGCAAGTCTCTCACCACCCACACTTCCCGCAAGGCTCTCGAGCAGACCAGCCTCAAGTGGATCGACACCAGCTCCAAGATGGGCCACGGTCAATTCCAGACTCGCTCGGAGGCCGACAGCTTCCTCGGTCCGCGCAAGCTCAAGGCGCAGGTTGTTTAGATCGTCGACCCCGGCGGCTTGTATTTTTCTTTGCCATTCATGTCATGAATGCACCCACGACGATGCCATGTACAGTCTACTCTCCGCCAATGCACGCATGTACATGCTGCGTGTCCGTCCGTACATTGAGCAGCTACGGAACACTTGGGCAGCACCTCTAACCGCTAGCCGTTGATGGATATGACCGAAGTCGTTGCTGCTTGTTCCCCTTGCTCTTGTACAACACTTCTCGTCGACATGTCAAGTCCAGGTAGCATTGGGTTTCAGTCTCAAAATGGTCAATACATAGCAGTCCTGTACAGGCTTGTCGGTGTTTCAAGCGACTCGAAGACAATTCACAATGGGTGTGCAGATGTGCAGCAATTACAGACGTATGCATGTACTCTCGTCGACTCTGGCATATGGCAAAGAATCAAATATTGCTGCATGTCGACACGTCCACTCTTCCAGACTTCCAGGCAAATATTCCAGTATGGGACGACGCAGTGTACTGAGGGGTAATTGTGCGGGCGACGCCACTCGCCAGGTTAGCGGCCGCCCGGCTGCACGCTCCTGCGCCTGGTGGCACCCTGTAGTGTTGCTGATTGCCATTAATGGACTTCGAGCAACAGAAGTCAGATATTTACCAAACAAACATTCCGTAATTTAACTGGCACGCTTTCACTAGTCGTAAAATACTCCAGGTTTGTAGGCTGCTTGGTTAAAATAGACACGGAATACTGGTATGTCGAATCAAATTTATCGAGGATTCATTAGTTGAGATTTGCATGATTGGAATCATTCTGCTGAAGACTGTGGGAGATCTTGATTCTAGACAGTGGAAGGGACTTTGTTCACCTTCCAGTTTCCACCAAATCGGTAATTTCGCACCCAATTGCCGAATATGTCATCAATTTCGGAGCATGCTTAATCACCTGTTACATACTCATCTCGCGGATGGTTGCGATATTTTGTCGAGCATCGACGAGACTCGAGCGTAAAAATGTTACACAATATACCTTGTGTACAAATGTATATTTGTAGAATTTGGAAACAACCCCGATGTGGCGCCATCGGAGGCAGCAAGCCAGCTGTGCAGAGTATTTGATTGGCAAGGCAGCGGCAACGGCAACGCACTGCAGCAATGAATACTCCGCTGACCACTCCCATCCAGGCTCATGATCATGTACATGACCGGGCATCCCGCCCAAGTTCCCCAAGCGCGGGTGACAAATGTGACGAGCGACAAGCCCATGAAAGGGATTCGGTTAAATTCACTTCGGATTGAGTGTCGGACGCTGGGCAGAGTGTCAGAGGAAAAGAGTCAAGCCTCTAATGCACCCTTGGGCCGAGAGCCCAAGGGGCGCAACAAGGACCTGCAATCTGTGTCGCATGGAGAGAGTTTGCCGACCGCGGGACACAGGACTGAGGCAGGTACGAGCTGATACAATCAATAATTGGCAGGAGACGAGTGAGGGTTAGTGTCCGGTGTGCGTGTAGCTGGACTCGATTGGCGTGTTCAATTGACATTGAGCTGCAGTGCCTTGTAGCACCTCTCGGATCTCGGTGTCTGGCCTTTTTGCACTACGCAGAGTTGCAGCCTGCAGGCGCATCGCGCACGGCCCACACGGTGAGCACAACTCCAAGAAGCATCACAGGGCAGGGCCAGTGCCTCCTCCTTCCCTTCGCCTCACCCTCTCAACGCATCACCCCTGTGCTGATCACAGCCGTCGTTCGCATTCACTCCCGGTGCGGTCATCCGACGAGAGCTCTTCTTCCGAAAAGGGGTGGGAAGAAGGGCCACGGGCTGCCTTGGAGGAGCCCACTCACTGCCTCCCTAGCCAGTTGACTTGCGCAGTCCCATTGCGGCTTGCCCAGCTGCTCGTCTGAATTGGTCATCGGTCTGCTGCGCTCTTGTGCTTCATGATGAACACGGCCTCTCCCATTGGCCACTGTGTAGTATGATGTACTCTCTATCACACCCGTTCACCGGCCACAGCGCTCCAGTCGCACACACGCTACCACACCACTGTTGACTTTTGGAGTTTGAAATCAACGCGATAGATGCCATCGTCACTGACACCACCGCATTACCACACACAGACGTACGCGGGCCTCTCCGAACGAGACACCATCTCGCATCCGCAACGGTAGCAAGGGCATAGCCAATTGAAACTCACATCGCATCCATTCAGCTGCAGCTCCTTGAACACCATCAGAGAGCTCGCGCGACATATGACCAACCTGCGAAGCGTTCGCAGCCTCTCTGCGAAGTGTATCTGTACGCCCGCGGACTGTTTGTCGATTGTTCAGCACCGCTCGCAGCCTGCTTGACACCCCGGTTGTCGCTCCTCGAGTCGCCTTTGCAAAACCCGCGCCCATGGCTTCCACTTCGGGGTGAGTAAGCCGAATTCGCCTTACTGCAGAATCGAGCCAAGCAGCGCCCCAAAACAATCTTGCTTTGGGTGGCCCGAAGGAGGGAGGGTTAGAGGCCCGTGAAAATGAACCAGTCTTGTCTTCTGATAAGCTGGTGGTATCGTTTCGTTGCAAGATAGGCCCTGTGACCCGGAGAGAGACATGACGTTCAAACCATCTTCGATGCACCATGCACACTCTCTCTCATCCTGACTGCTGCGCACAAAGCATGGAAAGCTGACGACTCAAATGCCCTTGTCCTTGTCTCTCTTGCGGGCCACGATGATATCGGCGATGGACAGATACAACAGGATGGGGGTGACAAATGTTACTACATCAACCAACTCCCTCGGAGCGTCGCTCTCACCAGCCCCTGGGCATTCGACAGTGCAGCCGCTGCCTATGACCGGATCGTCCAGCGCCCATCATCCTCATGCTCAACAAGCATCGGCAGCGCCATCAACAGCCAGCACAGGCGCCAACGGCGCGGATGCCATGTCGACCAGCTTTGGGCCCTCGTCTGGAGGCAATGGAACCACGACCTCCAGCATGTCGGGCAGCGTCATGACAGAGGAGGAGGAGGACTATGATGACTACTGCAAGGGCGGTTATCATCCAGTGCATGTCGGAGATGCCTTCTCGGACGAGAGGTACTTGATAGTCAGAAAGCTCGGTTGGGGTCACTTCTCGACAGTGTGGCTCGCGCGGGATAACAAGTGAGTGCGCATATCCGATTCACAAGTCAAGGTGTGCTGACAGCTTCACACTCGCTCTCTTCGAAAGACTCAAGCGGCATGTGGCTCTCAAAGTGGTAAAATCAGCTCCACATTACACCGAGACGGCGCTCGACGAGATCAAACTTCTGCAACGATTGGTTGCTGCTAACCCCAATCACCCTGGTCGGCGGCATTGCGTCTCGCTGCTGGATCACTTCCGCCATCGAGGACCAAACGGATCGCACGTTTGCATGGTCTTTGAAGTGCTGGGGGAAAACCTTTTGGGCCTCATCAAGCGATATCAACATCGCGGCGTGCCTGCGCATATCGTCAAACAGATCGGAAAGCAGGTTCTGCTCGGCCTCGACTATATGCACTCTGAATGCGGCATCATCCACACCGATTTGAAGCCAGAGAATGTGCTGATTTGCATCGAGGATGTTGAGGCAGTCGTGCAAGCTGAGCTGCGCACGAACCCGGCTGCGGTGCCGACCAAGCTGGTCGGCGTGCCGCCAAGTCAAGGACGAGGCGGGACGCAGACGCCTCGCAAGGACGTGATATTCATCACGGGATCCCAACCGCTACCAAGCCCTAGCAGCAGTGTTGGGTCAAGTCCAATGTTCGACAAGTGGGCCTTTGGCATGTCAAAGATTGAAGGAGGAGACGGTTTCAAGAGCGGCGCTTCGAGCGAGCAGGGCGGATCGAAAGCCAACTCTGACCGCGAAAAATCGCCGCAGCTATCGCAGGGCATCTCACAAATGAGCACGGACGAGAAGCCGCAGTTTGGATTTAAAACTGTACCCCACGCCCCTGCTTCGAAAGGACCATCTTTGCTTTCGCAGCAAGCCCCTGGTGCAAAAGCGGCTGCTGCTGCCGCCGCAGGATCGAATTCTTTCTCTGTTGCTGGGCCGTCGAGCATACCTACCTCGGCCACCGCCAGCAGTGCTGGATCGCCAGAGTCAGCCTACCGACCCGAGATGGACCCTTCCTCTCTGCCAAATTTCAACGGCGCTCAGCAAGCGGGCAGCCCTGCATCTGACAGCGGATCTGCCATGTCGACAGACCCGCCAGCGAACGCAGACCAGGACCTCGGCTACCATCCGCCAGCTCCGGCTGCTGGCGATCCCAACACGCTTCCCCCTCCGCCGCCATATGATCCCAGCTCGCTGGAGAGGATCACAGTTAAAATTGCGGACCTGGGCAACGCTTGCTGGACTGATCACCACTTCACAAACGACATTCAGACGCGGCAATATAGGTGTCCGGAGGTCATCCTCGGTGCCAAGTGGGGGCCAAGCGCAGACATGTGGAGCGCCGCTGCGATGTTCTTCGAGCTGCTGACTGGCGATTACCTCTTCGACCCCACGCCTGGGTCCAAGTACAACAAGGACGATGATCACATTGCGCAGATCATAGAGCTCCTTGGTGACTTTCCCAAGAATCTGGCATTCTCTGGCAAATACTCGGCCGACATTTTCAATAGACGAGGTGAGGCATGTTCCATTACAAGTCCAGATGAGTACAGTGGGACTGACTCGATTATCTCCTTTGTGGGGGAAAACAGGCGAGCTTCGACACATTCATCGGTTGCGCTTTTGGCCGCTGATTTCTGTGCTACAAGAAAAGTACTTGCTTCCCTTCGAAGAGTCAAACAAGCTCTCCTCGTTCCTCCTTCCGATGCTCAGGCTGCACCCTGACCGCAGAGCGACAGCGAAAGAGCTCCTTGGGCATACTTGGCTTGAAGGTGTCATTGTACAGGGCGAGATTGAGGCGATGCAGCGGCAGCAGAGGCTGCAGGCTGGCGCGCCCGGGGATGCGGCGATGGGGGATCGTCCTGTTGGACAGCCGATAGGTGCGAATGAAGAGCTGGACACGACGGAGGACGCTCTCAAGCCTGTTGGGAGTCTGTCGACCACGCCTTCCAGCAGCACAGCAGCGTCTCCCATGCACCTCAACGAGGTTTCGATGATCGAAGCACAGCGGCGCGCTGCCTCCCATCTGCAGCAACAGAAGCAGCAACAGCAGCAGCATAGTGCGCCTCCGCCATCGACAGCGACAGCACAAGACATGACGATGACATCTGCAGGATCCGAGCGGGACACGAGAGACGCTTCCGGTGGCTCATCCGGCAGCAATGCTCATCGCTCGGCTTCGATCAACCAGCAACATGCCACGCCACGAGCGGTCGGTCAGCCAACAGCCAGTCGCGGTCAAAGTTCGCCTTCACCGCATGGCCTTCCCAGGCCTGTGGCAACCGCGACTGTTTCGTGAGCGCTGCGTCTTTCGCTGCTCAGGCCGCCTGATCGCGTACATGCACGCACGGACCACTGAAACCATCAACGACGATACCCATCTTCCGCCTCGCTCCTCGCACCCGACCCCACCTGGTCACAAAACCCGGACACCTTAGATGTATTGTGCAGCCTGGCCCCAATTGACCCCCTCCTTTCATCATGGCCGGACGGAGACGACCGCTGCCTCACAAGTTAGCCTCGTATTTCAATCCACGGCCATTTCACAACCATCACATATGTGCCCGCTCCTGCCAGCACAGATGTTGCGCCATCCCCTGTGGACTCGGCGCAAACCAACGCGACGACTTGCGGGCAAAGGCGATCCGGACTGATGAGGGGAACGCACATCGTAGAGAGAGACACGATCTCGCTTTTTGTCTTGTTTTCTTCGCCTTTCCATGCGCCTGTAATTTTACAGCTATAGTCGGCCCACTGTGTAGCCCAAGTGTAAATACCACTCCGTGCACCATTGCAACAAGAGCTCATATTCTCATCATCCCCTCATCTATCTCATACCTTCCTTCTCACTGTTCGTGCCTGCTCCTGTATTTGCTCGCTACTACCTTCTATATTATGCTGGTCTACACACTTTGACCTCCTTTGCCGCATCGGCACTCGGCCAGCCACTCCATTCCCTATTATCTGCTGCGACGCTGCCAGCTGACCGGTCGCCGGACCACATATATACCGCTCTACGGAAAAGGATTCTGCGCGCAGTCAAGCAATGGTCGAGGGACTTGGATGCTCGGGCGTCTTAGCAACACGATGCGTTGCCCCATTGCATGCTGAAGCTCTGAGGACTGAAGGCCTGCCGTGCGCCGCAACGTGAGCCGTGAGCTATATGAATGTGGGCTTTCCGCCCGTTTGGTGGAGCGTGACCAGGCCCACACACACGACAGAAGACAAAGGGCGCCACAGCAGGCTAAAGCCTAACCCACCAATCGGCACTGCAGCGCACGAAAGTTGGATCAATGCTCTGAGTGCCTAAGTAGCCCATTTCCCAAAGAGCCCTAGACATCAAAGGACCGCATCTTCAGCAACCTCCTTCCCTCGTCCTCTCCGCGTGCTAGTCTGCAAAGCGCCCTCAGCGATGGTCTTCTGGTAGCTTCGAGGTCGTCGGCGTGAAATTGTCAGAGGCTTGTTAGCAGGCTGCGGCAGCCTACATTGTGCGATCTAAACCTGGCTCACTGACTTAACTGCTGCCAGTGCTACCGCTGGAAGATCCACATTGAGTTTTTCGGCGCATCCGCGCGACATGTCACTCGTCCAAGGCGTCTGAGCCGTTCGCGACAGTAGCATTGCATAAGCGCCGCAGCTCAGCAAGGGTTCCAGTACCTCGCTCGTAGTGTGGCCAATTCAACACCATCAGCAGGGCTTCCCGCCCTGAGGATTGCAGCAGTTTGCACCTGCTTCGTGTTGTGCGCGGCGTCAACCCCTCCCTTTGAAGCCGACGCCTCCGAGCTATTGAGGGCGAAATGGCTCAGCTTGCGTTTCATTTGGCCGTGAGTTTTCCGTTCATGAAACCCAGCGAATGCATACCACTAACAAGGCTTGAATATCTCTACAGATCCCTGGCAACGCTCCAGGCAGCGCTGGCGGACCCTCCCCGACCTCGCAACCTGCCCAACGCTCCAACAGCTTCACCGGTCAAGGTAGCAGTCCATACGGTGGGCCACAGATGCAGCGCACTTCGTCCTTCGGAGGCGCCCCAGGATCTGCGCCATCTCTGAGGCCGTTCGCTACTCCATTCACACCTGGAGGTGGCACCCCACGGAGTGACTTCGATGCGGCGGGTCAGCCTGGTGGAGCCTTAGCCCCGCACGGATTTGGAGAACAGCAGGCTCAGTATGCGGTGCACAATGGGATGTTCTTGGCTCCTGGTCATGTGAGAGTCGGCTCTCTAGCACAATGCTACCTGACTTGCGTTTTCCCAATGCTGACATTCGTTACACTGCTTGGCTTACCCAGATGGCCAGGCAACTCTCGCACTCACCCATGAGCGCGCCTGCTTTTGGAAGTATGCCAATGCCAAACACTTCCCCTCAGCGTTCCCTCACACCTTTAGGATTGCATGCGGACGCTGTACCCTTTGCCCCGGGGCAGGCGAATGGCTCCGTCTCGCCAAGCGGCTACTTCATACCCGGCGCGTCCATTCGCGGCTCCTTCGCCTATCCTGATGCGGGCATTATACCCGTCAGCCCAAATGGTAGCAGTCTCTCCCATCCCACTGCGGGTGCACAAGCGAACGGCCTTCATATAGGCTCCGTAACGCTCGCTGCTCCAGTATTCAAGGGTCCGGGATTTCCATCGCCAGTGAATGATCCCGAGCATAGCCCATTTGGCTTCATTTCACGTGCAGATGCGCCGGTGAGAGGAGGCGGCTTGGCTCGGCGCGGGAGGGGTGGCCCTCCAGTGCATACACCTCTCAAGACGAGCGGACACAACAGCACGCCAAGCGTGCAGCTCAACCCAGCAGCGTTCGCAGCGATGCTCTCTGCAGGAACCGCAAGTTCAGGGACCCCAAGCACCGCAGCGGCGCCGGGCAAGCCGAAGCGGAAGAACATCGTCGCTGTACCCTTGGAGTGCAGTGAGGCAGATGCAGCCAAGCTGGATGAGATCAAAGAGCTTCAGGCTGAATGTGAAGCTGACGAAGAGGGCAACGATGCAGCCACCGAGGAGAACAAGCGGGAGGTTAAAGGCGCGGGGGAAACACAGTCGAGCGCAGTGGCAGCTCGGGCCGAGCGCCGTGCACGCTTGACGGCCCTTCAAGCGATCAGCCGCACACGCTCGCTATGGGTCCGTCGCATCCCGCTCGCTTTCAAGCTGATGCCCGAGCCGCCTCACCTACCTTCGGACAGCATGGCTTCTTGCGAAATCTACCCTGAGCCCTGGCCGTTCAAAGAGCTCGGCTTGCCAGACACAATCGATATCTACCTTCCTGGGCAGCCCGCTTGGTTGGAGTACATCGAGATTCGCAGGGAGGAGATTGCGGCAGAGAGGGAAAATCAAGAAGAGTCTGGACCGTCACATGCAAACGACGTGGTAGGCGGTGAGGACTTTGGTGATCCCGATGACGACGATGCAGCTTGGGATGAGACACAGCCTGTGAGTCAAGCCGTTGTGACTCTCTTTTCTTTATTTTCGCGAATATCTGACAAATTATCCTTGTTGCACTAGGTTGAAGCCGGTGATAAGACCATGGTGTTTTTCAAGATGCAAAAGTTCCTGCAGTCGCAGGCTGACGGGCTATCTGGGCCAGAGCACCATGATCCCAATGCACCATTGCCTGAAGAGGTGAAGGACCCCGCCACGCAAGGACTCTTCAGACGCATCAGCGGCGTCTTGCCTCCCCGACTACGCGATGCAGCTCTGACGCAGATCAGCAAGCGTGGTGGCGGTGGCAGTGGTGCACACAGCCACACCATGTCGCTCGGCCTGCCCTCCTCAGGTGGTCCGTTCGGTCCGGCGGTGCTGTCCGCCCTTGGGCTCAAGGCCGGATCCGACAAGGCTGCGTCGGATGCCGGAGACGACGCACCGGCGCTTGGGCCGCGGCCGTCTATTGCGAGGGGCAAATCGGTCGGCGACGTTGCTTCACCTAGCCAGGTTACACCCGCTTGGAAGTTGCTTTCACAAGGCTTCGGGTACGACATTGACGAGGAGGAAGAAGGAGAGGAGGGAGAGGAACATACCGAAGCGGCCGCAGGAGCGGAAGACAGCGTTCAAATCAAGCAGCTGGATGGCCACGATGAATCGCTAGCCATTGATGACGATCTGCGAACGAATCCTTCTGAGGATGCGGACACGTCGGATATGGATGAGAACGAAGAGGACGTAGAAGACGGAGAAGGCAAAAGATCGTACGACTCTGTTCGGAAGCACAACACTAGGCTGTCGGCATTCGGGACCTTACCGCAGGACGTCGAACTATACCCAGATTACAGCCACAAGGACCTCGACGAGCAATTCAGCAACCCGTCTGATGAGGACGCTGCGCGGCAGGACCGCTTGCAGCAGCCGCAGGTGAACGGCATCGAAGGTCATGCGAAACGGCGGCGCCGTGCTTTCACCAGCGGTACGCTCCCGAGCAGCAGTATCGGGGAAGGTGAAGGCAGTCCTGAGGATGGGGAGGCGGCGCATCGTAAGGATGTTGAGGATGTCATTTCCAATCCTTCAGACGAAGACAACCTGGAATACGGCACGTTTGGCGAGTCAGACGACCAGAAGAGCCGGGTTCAACCGGCAAATGTTACGCTTTCATCGGCATCCGGGCCGTCCTGTGATCCCACAAACCTCATGGCTTCCCTTGACCCTAGTATACAAGCGTGCGCCTTCAGCGTTTCTGGTCAGTCTGCGGTGCAGACGGCTTCGTCCAACTTAACGCAGGCAGCCGCTGGTCCCAGCTCAGGGCACTTCCGACTGCCAAGCATCCGGCATTCCAGCTTTGGCGGCTCTGCATTTGGCGGCAGCGAGAGGAACACTGAGCGCAAGTCGCTCAGTGCGAAAGCTCCCGCATTCACGCCTGGCGCATTCACCTTCCAAGCTCCGGGCGGCGCACCGAAGCTACCACCCATGCCAACCACTGCCCCGCCATTTGCACCTGCCAAGGACCCGCGCGGCGACCACGGGCGAGAGAAACGCCAACGCTTCAGCGGCGTACGTGGCCCTCTGGACGACTTCGCTGATACGCCAGCCCAAGATGTCCCGCACACCGCTCCTGAACCCGATACAGGGTTCGGACCAAATGCGCCAATATTTATCCCGACTTGGGGACATGCGAATGGCGCCACAGTTGCGCAGCTTCTCAATGGGCCGCCTGTAGACGCAACAGCGCCGTATATCCAGTCTAAGGTTCCTCCTAGCTTCCTCTCCCAACCCGTCAGCAAGCCGATCTCCATTCGCCGCCCAGATGATACCCACGATGTCACCACTACCCAGAATGCTGGCGCTTCCGAGTGTCCACGCATTCCTGCATTTGGAAGCGCTGCCAACTCTGCGTCCCCTTCCTTCGATTTCACTTTCTGTGCTGGGCACAAACCCACCGGGCCCAAGTCCGGTCTTTCTTCCATTTTCGGGGAAAGCGAAACGATGGCGGTAGCAGAGCCGGAGCTTTGTGCGAATGACGCGCATAAGAAGGCCCATCATCCGCGCGATGCTAGCATCTCCCTCTCGGACATCAATGGCGATGCAAATAAGACGCCCAAGGCGGACGATGAAGAAGAGTTGCAGGATATCATCGAGGAGCTCGGTCAACGCTTGGATCAGAGCCTGGAGGTCTGGGCTGGGAGAATCTTGCAGCAAGTCCAGAACAGCTCGTCCGCCTCTGGACCTGCGCCCCCTTTTCTCGCCGAGCCTAGCGCTGCACCAGCCACAGTCACTCTGCCGCAGACCGAACGCGATGCACTGTTGTCTGAGGTCGACGCAAGGGTGTCTGGCACGCTCGACACATTATTTGCACGTATGAAGGACCTAATCAGTGCAACCCGCTCGCCGACGATGTCGTCATCAGAGGTGAATCTTGCGAACGACAGCCAAATGACACTTAAGGTGACTGAAGAAGGAAAAGGCCGTGGGCATGGGCCCTTGGATGCACTGGGTGAATTCGACTTTGACTACGTGCAAGATATCTTGGACTCGAAGATTACCGGACTTCAAAAAGACGTCGAAGGCGTCATTCGCAGCTGCTTCTTTGAAAATGCAAGCAAAGAGGCTGCAGATGCGTCAGCCGCCAAGGCACCTGAGATGTCAGCAGAAGCCATTGGAAGACTCGCAGATACCCTTGGTTTCCGCGTGAGAAGCGCCTTGGACAATGTCCAAGCTGTCCTGCTGTCGGCAGTGCACGAGCCGCCTCCGGAGCTTCTGAAAGCTGTCGAAGAGAGCGAGAAGCGCATCAGGAACGAGCTCAGTGACTTTGTTCCTGCAAGGCAAGCCCTCGACGAGCTCGTCAACGAGCTCCCATCGCAGATGAACAACCTCAGCACCGCCTTGCACGAGGCCAAGACTGCCATTGCGGATCAGGTCGAAATGTCCTTAGTCAACGCCATCACACCGCACCTCGAATCACTCCGACAAGAAGCTCTGGATCCGGATGTGCTGGCCGCAAGAATCACCAGCAATCTTATTCCTCTGCTAGATGGTCAGCGTAGCGATGTGCCAGAAAAGCTTGCTGAAGCGGTCGTCGAGTACATTCGTCCGCACCTACAAGCAAGTCAGACGCCCGCCTCGGCTGACACCGCTTCCACACTGGCAGACGTACAGCAGTTGATTGGGCAGGAACTTCGCGAACATGCGTTGAACCTGGATCCAGTCGTTGCACTCATAGAGCCCCTTCTCTCAAAGCAAGAGGATGTGAAGATGCTCAGCAATCAGGTGTTGACTCGGCAGGGAGAGATGGAGAACACGCTTTCTGTGTTGCCGAGTACGATCAATGCGAAGACGGAGGTGTTCTTGTCTGCTGCTCAGCAAGCGCAAGAAGTGCAGAGGACAATCCTTGAGCGCTTGAAGGAGATTTCAGAGCAGAATGACGTGTCTCAGGTCCGCATCAGCAGTCTCAAAGAGGAGCGCAGCGCACTCCGCAGCAAGCTTGATGACGCGCAGACGCAAGCGGCTGATTACCGGAACGAAGCCACGCAAGCACGAGTCGAATTGGACGGGACAAACAACTACGTCTCGACCCTCAAAGACGAGGTCACGCGCCTCGAAAGTCGCTTGGAGGAAGGCGAGAAAGCAGCGGTGGAGGCGTCGGAGCAGATCACCGACTTGCGCTCACGGCACCGCGATGCTCTCGAGGCTCAACATACAGCTGAGCGGCGTGCAGATGAGGCATTGCATCGGGTAAACTCCATTGAGAGCGCGCTGACCAACGCTCAGTCGTCCAATACTGCTATTCATCAGCGATTGGATCAGGCGCTGGAGCAGATCCGTTTCGACCGCGAAGAACGGCAGCGAGAACGCGAGGCTTCGGCTCAAGCCACGGCCGAGCTCCTGGCCAGACTCGAACGAGCTCAAAGTGTGGCTGAAGAGGCGCAGCGGCGAGCTGATGCCTTTGCAAAACAGTCTGCAGCAGCCGATCACCAGGCTAAGGAGGATGCAGCGAGCAGCTTGGAGCGAGCGGCGAAAGCCGAGGGGGAGATCTCTGGGCTGGAGAAGCGCATCGCGGACCAGGATGCCAAGATTGCGAACCTGCAACAACTGACTGCCACGCAGAAGCAGAAAGCTGCGCAGAGCCAGCAGAAGCTGTCAGAGGCCGAAAAGAAGGGCAAGGAGCTCGAGGCGCTGGCACAGGAGTTTGCCGTCGCGCAGGCGCGCCTGGCAGATATGGAGTCCAGGCTTGTGGATCAGGATGTTCTCAGCAACAAGTTGCGTGTGGCTCAGGAAGTGGAGATGGTGCGTGTCGCAAAGTTGTACATCGTAAAGCGTGCTGGACTGCGGTTGCTGACGTTTCTACCTTGCCTGGAATGTGTAGGAGCTGCGCGAGAAGGTATCGGCATCGCAAGCATCGTTCTTCGAGTTTGAACGGGAGCTGATCAACATGAAGGAGACGCTGGTGGAACGTGATGAGCTGGACGCCGTGCAAGCCGAGCTGGCGACTAGTCGCGAAGAGATTGCCCGGCTGAAGGGCCAGTTGGCCGAACGCGAGAATGCGGCGATGGTAGCCGCGGCGACCGCACGTGCGAACGGACCTCTTACCAATTGCGGCAACGCAAGCACGGTGGCCATGAAATGCGGGCTAGACTCGGGCGCCGTCGGAACGTGGGCGTCGATGCATGCTCCTCGCATGGCCATGTCGCCTTCGGGCGAGGAGGTGGCCTACTACCCTGGCCCCGGCACGATGAGCCAGTACGGCGGTGCCAATGGCTCGTATGGGTCCGAGGCGGATTACTCGTCGTCTCAGCACCAACAGCCGTACGCGTATCAACGTCAAAATAAACAGCAGCACCAAGCGCATTCGACGACACAGGCTCCACCGGTGCGAATGAGCCAAACCGTGTCGCTCACGAGCACGGTGGCACTGAAGCAGGTCGAGCAGGACGACGGCGGCTGGTGGAGCTGAGCGTTACGCGACATTCCATAGCATCCATTAACCGTTAACTATGCATCATCAGAAAACGATACCCCACTTCTTTCCTGTTTTATTCGCCGTCATCCACCGTGTTAGACGAATACTAACGATACACTCTATTCCCGTCACATTCAATACTCAATTTTCACGGCCTAACGGCCCTTCCATTCAAGCCAACCATCATTTCATCATGTTATTCCCAGTGGCACGTGCTCCTAGGTCCGGAGGGGGGGGCGAGCCTGTAATCATCAGGGTATCCAGTTGTGTCAGACCACTATCAATCCATTCATTTCTCCATTCATTTTAGGGTCCCTGTAGTGCGTCTGCGAGCCAAGGTCATGTTCGCATACATAAATGGATGCCCACACATGTCGCAATATTAGGGTTGTGCAAGATCACGTCCCGACGCGATGAAGTCGAATGCAAGCGAGGACCCTTACGTAATGGCATTTGTCTCACACGCCGCGAAGCGCCACGCCACGCGCCGGCCAAGGCGCGACACGAAGCAGCACAGTCACGCGACGTGACACAGCAGAGACTCGAATCGTCAACTTCTTCGTCGTTGCCATAGGCATCCTCCCTCTCACAATAACATCCACGTCGGCATCACGCTCGGGGCTGGCAGTACAGCTCGGCTCACTCGCTCGCTCGCGCACACAAGGCACTCACCACCATACCTTCCGCCTAACATGCCCGTCACGCGCGCTGCGAGTACCGGTGCGCCCGCCAAGCGCGTCTCGCCTCGACGGCGCGGAGCAGCGGCTGCAACAGACCACCATGCGACCTTCACCTCTCCTGCTTCAACGAAAACGAGGGGCAGCAGCAGGGCCAGCAGTGGCAAGGCACTCAAGAGCGGCACCCCCGCGTCGGCAACCATGCACCGCAAGCCCACCACAGCTACGACCACCGCAAGCGCCACCCTCAGCTCTGACACGCCCTCGAAACACGCTTCCCCTCCCACCATTGCTCCTTCAGCCAGTGCACTCTCGTACGCGTGCAAGTTCACCGCACCGATTGTCGAAGATTCTGAGCCCGAGGATGTGGATGAGCACAAGGATGGCCAAGTAACCCGTGCAGTCTCAGACCGCGTACGAAACAGCGACGCGGGTAGCATAGGCGTCTCCTCCGCCGGTGAAGCCGGCGACGATAGCAACCGGCACAACTCAAACCTGCAGCAGCCCAAGGCCGAAAAGCAGCACAGCCACCACCACTACCACCACGACTGGGAGGCGAACAAGGAGAACATTGCACCTCAGCGACGCGCGTTGAGCCGCTCTGACCGTGAACGCGAGGCGAGCACACAGCAGGCTGAAGGCGTTGCGCGCAGGACGCGCAGCAGCCAGCAGCAGCATCACCATCAGCTTGACGGTGAATCACATTCCACCGCCGCGACCGGCACCGCCATCACAGTTAACATGACGGATGCTCCCGAGGACGATGATGCACGGAGCACCGTTTCCTCGCTGACCGCACGTCGGACGCGGTCGCAATACGAGGCAGATCGTGATCACGACTTCAGCGACACCGCTTCCATCGTTTCTTGCTCCACGTCCACGACGGCCACAATGACGACGCGTAGCACAAGGAGAGTAGTCAAGCTTCGTGAGTATCGCATACGAGTGATGATGCAAAAGTCACCAACTTGGATCGCTGAACGCTCCCACACTCTCCCCTCCCTCTCTCTCCTCCCAGCGGCGTCCTCGGCACCGACGATCAACTTCCGCCATACCGTCTTGTCGTCTTCTTCTTCTTCATCGGCGTCCGACACGACCACCGCAATGATGGCGACGCGTAAACGCAGGCGCGACGCGCCCGAGAGCAGCGGCAGCAAAGCCAGTTCATCCGACAACGGCGCGGGCAGCGTCAATTTGGCGCCTAGCTCGCGTGTGCGCGTCGCAATGGCACGCTCCATCTCTAACAACAGCTCTGTTTCAACGTCCTCGCCTTCCTCGTCCTCTTCCGCCTCCTCCTGCTCTTCGAGTGCCAACGTCCTCGCCACGCCGCAGGCCAGCAAGAGGAGCAGTGGCCGTCTCGGATCGGCTGGCGTTACCGCAAATGGCAGCACGCGCAGAAGCAGCAAGACGAGCCGTGTCAGCACCCTGTCGCCCCTCGGCTTCCATTCTCGTGCCAGCTCTCTCGTGCCAGCCTCGATGGCCACGTCCTCCGACGGCGACATGGTCTGCAACAATAACAATGATAATAATGACGAAGATAATGACAATGACGATGCGAGCAGCAGCTGCTGCTGCTTCTCCTCGCAAGCTTCCGCCATCACGTCCGTCAGCTCGCTGTTCGAGAGCCAGCTGTCGCGCGGTAGCGCCGCGACGCTCATGACGGCGCCGTCCAGCCTTGCCAGCTCGCCTGCTCGTCGTCACCATCATCATCACCACCACCAGCATGTGCTGGCTTCTCCCATCTCGAGCGCCGAGATGGGTGTGGGCGTCGAAGCACACGAGTCCGTCATGGATGCAGACACAGACATCGACATGGACGCATGCACGACGGTCGATCTCGATGGATTTCACATTGGCGGCGGAACCCAGCAAGCAGCATCAGGTGACGACTACACATCATCGGCGCTGCCAGCCTCGGCCGCGGCCGTAGTCTGTGCGCCGAAACAGCACACGAACGTCTACGCACATGCGCGCACGCTGCTGCGCTACGCTACGATGCAGGACGGGAACGAGACGCTGCTCCCACAGGCACAAGCGCTGTCGCAGGACCAGGATGCTTTTGGCGGTTGCGTGGGTTCGAGGCTGCCCTTCGGCAAGACGGGCGCGACGACGCAGATCGTCGGGCGGCAGCGTGAACGAGCGCAAGTCGCTGCTTTCCTCGCCGACCGTTTTCCGCAGCTGGACACTTCCACCTTGCAAGTACCCGGCGTTGCGGCACCCCCGGCTGTGTGCTCGCAGAGTGTCGCCGCTCTGTCTGCATCCAACAAGGTGGCCGCCGACACGGCTGTCGCTGTGGTGAAGCGACACGCCAACGGCGCGCTGTACATCTGCGGCACGCCTGGAACCGGCAAGACGGCGCTGCTGAAGGACATGCTCGCTTCGCTCAAGAGCGTCAACGATGGCGGCGAGGACGAGAAGAGGCTCAACGTTGCATACATCAACTGCGTCGCCGTTTCGCAGCCCAAAGATATCTTCCGCAAGCTCCTCGCTGCGCTCGGCCACGGTCAGACGCAAGACAAGGATGCCGGCGATGACGTGCAGCAAGAGCAGGAGCAGCAGGAAACCGATAGCGGAGATGAGGAGCAGCGACTTGCTGCTATGCTTCGGAGCCCTGCTACTAATTCGTGAGTTGCATATCTTGCATTGAGGGTCTGACGATATAGATTCAATGGCTGACTGATCACTCGCCGATGACACACTTTGTGCAACTGCAGTATTGTGGTACTTGATGAGATCGACAGCCTGTTGGAGAGCAGTGTCCACCAGAGCATCCTCTACCGTATATTCATGCTCGCCAGCGCTGGCGCTGTGACATCGCAACAGCGAAACTGCAACGCGACCGCCATCATTGGAATCGCCAACTCTCTCGACCTAACGGACAAATTTCTGCCCCTCCTCGCGAGCCAAGGCCGCTCACCCGCACTAGTCAACTTCCAGCCGTTCGGAACGGACGAGATCATCGCGATCGTCAAGGCCCGTCTTGAGGCGCTGCATCCCCGCTATGACCTCGACTACCTGCCCGGCTTCGTGCAACAGCAGATGAACATAGACATGGACGCGGACTCAGCCTTTGGTGTGTCCCCCCTCGATCCTGCGGCGGCCACAACGTCTGCGTCTGCCTCGGCCACTGCTACGAACGACGACATCCCGATCCTGATGCCTGCGGCGCTCAAGCTTGCCGCGATGAAGGTCGCTGCTGTCACAGGCGACATCCGCAAAGCGCTCGACGTCTGCCGGCTAGCCATCGAGCTGGTCGAGATGGAGCAGCGCGCCAAGGCCGTACAAGCAGTCGCTGCAGAGTGCTCTGGCGCCGCCGCAAACGGTACCAACGGCATCAGCAGCAACGTGCCAACTGACAGTCCCCAGCGTCTGCTCGCCGCCTGGACGCCATTGTCAGCGCCCAAGGTAACACCGCAACACGTGCTCAAGGTGCTCTCCTCCGTCATTGGCTCGACGAGCCTCAACAGGATCCGCACGCTGCCGCTGCACGCGAAGCTCTTGCTCGCTGCACACTACATTGCCTTGCAGCGCCTGCATTCGGGCCTGTCAGAGTGCAGCAGCGCCAACGCCCGCAGCAGCAGCGGTGTGAGTGTCATCGAATTGCAGGAGAATTACGAGCGCATGCTCCACCATGATGGCGCCTTCTCAGCGCTCGAGCCGTCCGAGGTGCTCGACGTGCTCGAATCGATGGAGACGCAAGGCCTCGTCGAGCTCAGCGGTCCGGTCGGTGCTCGCGGCACTGGCGCAGGCGGTAGGTCCATCTCGCAAGCCGCCAAGCGCTGCGGCAAGAGGCAGCTGCTCACCGGTCACCGCATTGTATACGTACGCATCGCCACGCAGGACGTGAAAAAGGCGCTGACGACGGCTGCACCAGCCTCCTCGAGCGCAGAGCACAGCACCTCTGCAGCTGCTACCGAGGCGCTCAAGCGGATCTTGGGCAGCGAAGAGCTGCGCATCGCGCGCTGCAAAGGATGGGAAGAGGTCGCGCGACAACAAGAAGAGGTGCGCGCCAACGAGCTTGGTGGTGGACGCATGGCGCACGCGCAGGGCCTGTGAATGTTGCCATGTGGTGGTGGTGGATGCCCTGATGTCCAATTTCTTATTCACAGCTCTTCCCTTCTCAATTTTATGCTATTTGTCTGTTAGTCCAATGAAATGCAGATGCTTGCTGGAGCAAGTCGGCCGTCTGAGATGCTTGAGCTTCATAGGATCCGTGGATACTGTCAATGGAAGATGGCTGGCGTATGATACAAATAATGGTGCTATGAGGCGGAGTGGTTATCGTGCAGTGCTTCAAGCGCGCTGGCGCTGACGGGCGCTGATGACTTTGAGCTACGTTGGCAATCGTAAAATGTCAGGCGCGGAAGGCAATTCCACTCCGGCCGAAATAGGAAGCACTCACGTTGTTGTACACTTTGCCAGGCGGGCTACCCATGATGAGTGCGACCACTGCATCTCTGGCAATCTTGATGTTTTGGAAAGATCCCAGAATGTGGATTTTTCTGGTGTCCGATCGAGGATCAGGGAATACATGTCAGCCTCCACACCTCCATGGAGTGATTGGGCCAGGAAATCACATACGTATCCGCAAGCACGACACGCGTCCTGCTGGCGTTCTCAATCGCAAACCTCGTTCGCCCGTCCTTGCCGGCGATACGACCGATGGCGCGGGCCAAATGATCTCCATGCAGCGTCTTGACGTCCTTGATCTCAAAAGTATCGACGAAAAGGTCGTCCATTCGGAGCAAGGCGATGGCATCGTCCGCCTCAAAGCCCAGCGCGAACGCCTTGACGAAATCGGCTCCCTTTTGCAGCATGCCGACTTCCTTGGTGTGCTTCGACGCCTTGATCTCGACCATTCTGCGCTTGACATTCATTCGAACTTGCAGCCCGGCCATCTCGACGAGCGGAGAGAAAATCTTGGCCCAGTCGTTCTTGAGCGGCGTCATGCGATGAGGCGGGATAGGTATCTTGCGCAACTGCCCGTTCGTCACTTGTGCTTGCTGCGTCGCGGCAGCCTGCGCAGCTTTGCTGATCGGTGCGAATTTGGGCACGTCTACATCCATCTCTCCGTCTCCTGCAATCGGGGCTGAGGATGCTGATGCTGCTGGAGGTTGTACTGCACTTGCAGAAGCGCTTGACGAACTGGCGCTTGCGTGAGCCAGGCCGTCATCTAGCATCAGGTCGTCATCATTGCCATCCTCCTTCTCATCTTCTTCTGCACCAGCTCCCAAGTGATCCCGCTCATCGAGTAGCTCGGCGTCTACCTTCTCCGCCGCTTTGCCCTTCTTGATCTTGGCGATGGGGTTCTCGGTCGAAGCGGAGGGTTGATTCCCCTTGCCTTTGCTTTTACGTCTAGAGACTGGGGTAAATCCTGCGTCTGCCATTTTTCTTATCAAAGGCTTACTCGGCACACAGTGGCGATCACGCAGCCTATGGAGTATATCAAGCGATGTCAGATACGAGCCGTGCCATTCAGAATGGGAGGCAAGGAGTACTTTGATTATGAGGTACATGGATGGGGTTCGCACAGAGACATGGCGAGCTGGTGGTCCTGCGGTCTAGTGCCTGCGAGGCTGCGACCCATTCATTGTGGCATGGACGAAAAATTCGCTGTGGCGGATGGCGACAAAAAATGATCGGCAACTAAAACCACAGTAGCTGAAGAGGAAGATGCCGAGCGTGGGCTTGCCGCTAGAGAGAGCTGAAGGGGCACACACCCATAGTAGCTGGCTGGCTACACCAGTGAAGACCTGCAACTGCTGGGATTCCTACGTGGAGCACATCGACTCATCGTGCAGCGTAGACTCGCCGTCATCAGCGCGTCAAACGTCCAACATCGTAGTCTGTGCAAGCATCGCGCTAAAACCCAGCAGCGTCGAAGCTGATACTCCGTTTAGGGCCATTAGTACAATCCATGCTTGAGCTTTACATCGTCTGCTGCCAGCGAGCAAAGAACCGAAACGTCATAGATGCTGTCCGTAATCCATATCGTCGTCCTTGCCTTTGCGGACGCTACCGCGGATTCGGAGCGGCAGAAGACCGCGCAGGATTTCTAGAGCCTGAAGACGAAGTGCAAACGCCCTGACGGAAAGCCGTACATCCAGAGCCTCAAATACGGACTGTAGAATACATCACTCAAAGTCTCTGCCGAAGCCTTTGACCATGCCGTTGCAGTAGAGTTTGAGAGCGAAGAGGACCGGGACTAATACCTGACCAATGACCCTGCACACCTCGCTTTCGTTGTGCGTCGGCGGCACAAGCCACACGCGCTCCTTTCCAGCGACGACCACAGCAGTAGAGACTGACGCAAGAACACTGTCTGCCTCCCTTGATGCTACTAGGACAACACCCGGCCGCATGTGCGAGACGCTTTCGTCTACAATTTCAAGTCATAGCTGTCTTCCCATCCCGCATCAAACCTTGCACCGCAGAACATAGATAAGTCAATACGATGGGGAGGGACCCGATGACGAAAATGGGAGAAGAGAATATTACATGAAGATGTGAAAAAGAAACGGGCGAAACCGGCGGTGAAAAAACTAGTAGGCATTGAAAAGACCTATTGCGATAGCGCAGCCGTTCCAAGGCGATCATGAGCTCTCGCGTGCTTGTGTGGCCCGTCACCAGGCGTGAACACAGTATCTGTGGGCCCACTGTCGTCGTCTTTGTCCCACGTCCCACGAGACTGTCATCGTCGCGGTTCGTGTGAGCGTGCGCTTGATCATGAATCCGCTGGTACGTCCTCCAGCATGCTGACAATTCGCTGAGCCAAGCTCGAAATCTCTCCCTCGGCTCCCTGACCATCGTCGCTACCCTCTCCGGCATCGCTTGCCGGTCGCGATGATTCCGGCTGGGCAACGGCGAGACGGTGAATGAGCGGCAGGAGCTCTTGGCTGCTTCGGATGTTCTCTTCGAGCTGCGCGTCGTTCGACTCGAGCAGCTGGACGATCGTCCACACGGCAATATGCTGGAACGTGCTATCCTGCGATTCGAGGAAACGCACGAGGTACTGGTGCAAACCGCCTTCAGGCTGCGACCAGACGGCGTTGAAGGGTGCGTAGTCTTCCGACTTGCTCGACAAGTTGCCCAACGCTGCTGCCGAGTTTCCCTGCACCTCGACAGAGGGCGACGCAGTGAGTGGGATGAGCACCTCGCAGATGCCCATCTCGAGCAGCTGCGGTTTCAGGTCCTCCGACAGCGCAAGCACGGCCGCGCAAGCGGTCATCTCGCTTTGCACGCTTAGCGGTACGGAGAGCACCAGCTCCTTGATCCGCTCGACGGCGCCGGCCTCCACAATAGCGCTCTTGTTCCGCTCGCTGCTGGCTGCCAGATTCCTAAGCGTGCTGATGGCGTGGCATTGTATCTCCTCGTTGTCTTCATGGCTGAGGAGGTCAATCAGGGGGTGCAGGAAGCCGGCCTCGATGATCGGGCTTTCGTTCAGAGGGTGGATGGAGACGTTGCGGACACAGGCGGCAGCAGACAGAATGAGGGGCAGGAAGGACGATCGCAGGAGTCGCAGAAGTGGCGGCAAACCGTTCGATCGCACGATCTCGATCTGATACTTTTCATCGCTTGCTAGATTCCGCAATGCTAGCGCCGACTGGCACTGGACCTTCAAGCTGGAGCTCTCCATCAAGCCGATGAGGTTTTGCACCAGACGTGGCTCTGTCTGCGCCAGCTTCTTGCGGTTGACTGCATCGACGGCGATGTTGCTCAGCGCTGTGGTGCAGTAGTACTGCACGTCTGTATCTGAGCTGCTGAGCAAGCCGACAAGAACGGGAATCGCACCTGCGTTGACCAGTTGCTGCCGGTTCTCATCGCTGTGAGTCATGTTGAGTAGAGCCCCGGTAGCGTTCCTTTGCACACGCATATCCTTTGATCGGGCGAGCCGTGTCAAGGGGACCAACGCGCCTGACTTGGCGATCTTGGTCTTGTTGTCATCTGTAGACCAATCGACTCTCGTCAGAAACATCGATCGGGTGTGCCGCAACAGTGGCACGCGACTCACCATGCGTTGCCAAGTTGGTGATGCATCCAACAGCGTTGCATTGGACCTCAACGTTCGGACTCAGCATCTGACGGATGAGAGGCTCCAGCCCGCCAAGCTTGACGATGAGCAGCTTGTTCTCGGCTGTAACATTATGGAACGACATGCACAATCAGCCTTTGTGCAAATGGAATCTGTAGCCAGGTCGACTACGCACCGTTCACAGCTAGGTTTCCCAAAGCAGCACTAGCAGCGCGCTGCACCTCGACATCATGGCTTTGCAGCAGGAACATGATCGGTTCGAGTGTGTCCCTTCCGACTTCCCGCACCTCCTTTTCTGTAATTTCTGCAAATGCCAATGCGGCGCTGCGTTGCAGGTCGACATTGTCGCTGAATGAGAGCGTGGACAGCGAACGCAGCGGATCGCCAGCGAAGAAGTTGGTCTCCGATCGGTCTGCAATGAGTGTTGAAGAGCACGAATGCCCAGGTAATCATGAGCGCGCTGCTCATCCCTGAGCAACATGGTGACTCGTCCACTCACTCTCGAGGTACTGCAGCAGGTCTGCTACAGCATCACGCTCGTTGTCCAACAGCAATGGCTCGTACGAAGCGCTCCGGGAGCGACCGCCTAAAGCGATGTAAGAAAGCAAATCGCTCTTGAGTTCAAACGCATCGTAATAAAAAAATCAAGCATAAACAACCATGCGACTCACAGCAGCTGCTGCAAATGTTGCCCATGATGCCTCGATGTGTCCCCTTCTCCGTTGTTTCTTACACCTAAGAAATGCTCGATTGAGCTTTGAACAGGTATGCAAGTTGGTTGGAGGGTGTTGCTTGGGGCAAGGCGGCGGCAAGCTAGCAACCGATTGAGCTTGTGAATGACGAGACAAGACCTGGCAAACTTGCACCTCTCGTTCGCCTCTCGCCCAGAACAAAACAGGCTTTATCTATCTCTCTCTATCGCTGGCCCCTGCTACGCTAGTTCAAGTGTGCAGGCCCAGAACATGCAAAGTCGCAGACCGCCGCTTAATCAGATGGACGCAGCTGAGATGCATCGACTTTGCAGGGAGGCAATGTATGAGCGCACGTCGGAAAATGGACCTCACTCGCACCCCGCGGTCGAGACTTGCGGGCGATGGAGCGCTCCATTCCTCCCTCATCGGATCAGTTGACAACACCAGCGGCGGCAGCGGGTCGTCAGCGCGGTCAGGGGTCTCTGCACTGACTTTATTTTGCACGTGACCACATTTTTCGCTCCCTCATCCCTCTACCACATTCTATGTGTATAACACTCACTTGACCCACGCTGGAAGTCTGGCATGGCAGCTGGCTCCATGGTCACTGCAGCATCTTCAGCGCTAAATACGCACGGCCGGGGAGTGGACATGTAAGTCAAAGGATGTGCTCTTATAATGCCCAAGCTTGAGATGCGCGCATCAGTCCAAATCGTTCATGAAGCACAGGTTTGCATATAGCTTGCAGCACGGACTGATGGTCGCTAGCCAAGCGTAGCCTCTCGGAAAGAGTAGCGGTACACAAGGAGATATGCATAGCACACAGCAGCAGATCGAGCAGAATGTGCGTGGTATCGAGTGTAAAGTGCTGTGAAGTAATCGCCATTGCCATTTCATAAGTACGAAGAAAGCAGGTGGAACCAGTAGTACAAAGCCGTTGAAAACCAAGCCGTGAAAGAGCCTATGGCTAGAAGTGTGACGGGGAGAGCCTAAAGTGCATAGAAGGTGGTGGATCTATCGCACCGGACTATTGCAAACCCACTTGCTCTCAAGCAGCGGTGGGCTCTGCGGCAGCGGGGGCCGTCTCGGACTGCTCGAACTCGCGCAGGACGTGGAGCGCCTCATCGACCTGTAAGAGCGTAAATATGTAAAAGGAGAGTCAAACGCCTGCACAAAGCAAAGAAACAATAACGCGGCGATAAGCTCTGAACGCACCTTGCTGTCGAGCGCAGCCTTGTCCTCCAGTAGGTGCAGAAGCTCGCTGACGGGAAGCTCGAGGATCATACCCGTAAGTTTGCCAGCAAGGTCTCCCTGCGTAGCCTGAATCTGGGGGTAGATCGCCTCTCCGAGGATCTGCTTCTGCTCCTCAGGCCCAGCGCTGGCGAGTGCAGCGGGGTTGAGCACCGCGGGGCCTGTGGCAGGGGCAGATGCACCAGCAGCGCCCGACGCAGCACCTGCTGCGCGGCCAGCGGGGCGAGCGCCAGGACCGCCAGGGCGCGGCAGCTGGCCGGGCATGGGCGGACGCGCACCAGCGCCAGCAGCGCCGTTGACGGGGCGCGCGCCGGGCGGGGCGCCGCTGGGACCAGCGGCACCGCGGGGGGGGCGCGGTGGGCGGCCGTAGCCCTGCGGCATGACGGCGCCGGGGAACTGGCCAGGCGCGGGCTGACCATAGGGGCCGGCCATGGGCATGCCCTGCGGCATCATACCGGCAGGGGCGTAGCGCGGGCGACCGGGCATGCCTCCGGGGCCGGGCTGGCCGGGGAAGGGCTGAGTGTAGTACATGCCCGGTGTAGTGCCGTAGGCCATGCCCTGCGTCGCCTGCTGCTGCAGACGGAGCTGGTTGCGCTGCATCATCTGTGCCTCAAGCTGCTGGCGGCGGACATCCTTGCGCTGCGCGAGCGCGACGTACAGCGGCTTGTTGTCCAACATCTTGCCGTTCATCTCGGTGACTGCCTTGTTGGCCTCGTCGGGGGCAGAGTAGCACACGAAGCCAAAGCCGCGCGAGACGCCGTTGGATGAGCGCATAACCTTGGCGCTGGTGATAGTGCCAAACGGTGCAAACTCCTCGCGCAGACGCTCATCGTCAAACTCCTCGGGAATGTTCTTGAGGTAGAGGTTCGTACCTTGGTACTGCGACAGCCTCTCGTTCTTGGCTGCCTCGTACGAGCGGCGCAGCTCCTGCTCACGCTCACCTTTCTTCTGCGCACGCGCAACGAAGAGCTTCTGGCCGTTGAAGTCCGAGTCGTTGAGCTCGTCGACGGCCTTCTGCGCAGCATCGTGATCGACGTAGTTGACAAACCCGAAGCCTTTGCTCTTTCCATCGTCGTCATGAGCCAGGATGATTGACGTGATCTCGCCATACTTTTTGAAGAGCTCCTCAAACTGCTCCTGCGTCACTGTCAGCTCGACGTTCTTGACGTAGACATTGGTGAAGCGAGACCTGGCCTCTTCGATCTTGGCCAACCGCTCCTTCTTGGGCATGTGATGGCCGACGTAGACCTTCTTGTCATTCAGCAGCATGCCATTGACGTGCTGAATGGCAGCATCGGCGGCCTCGGCGGTCTCGTAGTGGACAAAACCGTATCCGAGGGAGCCGTTCTCGCCGATGGCGACCTTGCACGAGAGAATCTTGCCAAAGGCGGCAAAGGTGTCGTGGAGTGCCTTGTTGTCGATGGCCTCGTCGAGGTTCTTGATGAAGATGTTGCCCTGTCCTGTCCTGCGCAGCGCTGGGTCACGCTGGGAGAACATGATGCGGCAAGGGCGGCCACGGATGAGGGAGTAGTTGAGCTGCTCCAGAGCCTTCTCGCCATCGCTGGCGCTAATGAAGTTGACGTAGGCGTAGCCGAGCGAGCGGCGCGTCACCGCGTCACGGCAGACGCGGATGCTGGCAACGGGCCCGATCATGTTGAAGATTTCGAACAGCATGGCCTCGGTAATGTTCGAGTCGAGCTCACCCACGTAGAGCGAGGTCGTGTTTCCCGAAGCCTGCTGCTGAGCACTGCTACTGCTCGAGGGAGCGGGGGCAGAGCCGCCGCTGGCTTGCGTGGAGGATGCAGCCGGTGCATCGCTCGACTTGCCGTTGGCAGCAGGGGCAGCCGTCTCGGTCTTGGCGACGCCATCAGCAGCCTGCTGCTCGGTGGCGGTGTTGTCAGTGGATGCAGAAGCATCTGCAGCGCCGTTGACAACGGGCTTCTGATCCTCGGCGGTGGTGGAAGACATTTTGAAAAATGGGGGTTTTGCTTTTCTTGGTAGAGGATGTGACAGCGGGAGAGATGAGCGGGGAAAGTTCAAAATCTCTTCTGCACTGTAGCGAGGAGAATTTGCGCGAAAAGCAGTAGTCTTTGTCTACTGCTTCTTCTGAACTTGACGATGGAAAGGCAGCAAACGGCCGATTACGTTTTTCGACTCGAGTGTGACAGTTGACCTTGAGTCGGTTTTTCTGTTATGTTTTCTCGTGAAGCTTTTTGTCTTTTTGAACTTTTTTTGGGCTCTGCAGGAGTTGTCGTTGATGGGAGCAGATGGATCAAATAGGATGATGCGCGGATGCAAGAGGAAAGCAAGGAGGTTAGCTTCTGATGTTATGATGTACGTTTGGCGAGGGGCCGCGAAGTGCGGACCGCAACGCACAGCTTCCAGCACAGGAAGCACGCATTCAGCCTCGTGGCGACACGACTCACTTTTTTGATATCAAAAGGCTTTGATCCAGAGATCTAGTCTTCTTGCACAAGGGCACAAGAGAGACGTTCAAGAAGCCTTGCAGATGATGGAAGAAGTATGGGTTTTAAAGAGGAGGAGAGAGGGAAAAGAGAGGAGAGGATGCGAGAGGCGATTGGGACGAGAAGGGGTATGGGAGGAAAAAAAAAAATAGGGCGGAGGAAGTGCCGCGCCTGCCGCGTGGAGTTAAAGGGAGAAAGAGGCAGCAGAAAGACACTGCCCCTGTGCTGCCATGATTGGAAATTGCCTTTCGCACCGTGTCGCCTGTTCTGCGGCTTAAGCCGCTGAGCTGTTAAGAGGCGAAGCGGGACTCCCCTGGTCTGCAACCCTACTCTTCCAAATCGTGGTAGCTGGTCATTCGGTTGGAGCCTTTTACAGTGAAGGAAAGGCGGGCCTGTGCACTGGATGCGAGTCACCACGAGACGCGCTTCAATGTCCCGGCGACGAGAATCACAGCGCACGGAGACTGCTGCAGTGCTGCTCGGCTGGCTGCTCCCCGAGAGAAAGGTATCAAGAGCCCGCCAGCTGCGCGGCGCGGCGCTTATCCCCAGGCTCTCAACCCAAGAGCAACTGCAGTCCGAAACTGAACTGAACTTCCTTCACATTATACAGTGATACACATACACTCACACACAGCCGTCGTGCTCTGCGCACACGCCACCTCACCACCGCCGCCCCCTTCCTCTTTGAGCCAGCGGAGCGGTCGCGCGTCTCGACTCGCCTCTCTTTCTCCCCCCTTCTCTCCCTTCTCTCTCTGATATCAATCCACCACTCAGCAACCACTCAGCTTGTTGAAGATTGGCTCGCCTTGTTCAGATACCGGTACATCCTACAGCAACAAGAACGATCACACTCCCCACCGTCGTCATCATGAGCGCACAACTTCAGCAGGTGCAACAGCGGGTAGACTACTTTGTCGCTCAGGTAAGCTCTTCCCGGTCCCCCTTCCTCTGAGCCTCGCTGTGCGTCGCTCGTCGACGCAGGCCTGCGAATGTCGGCAGAAGCATATTGACTGACAACCGGTCTGTCCGCCTTCCCCTCTTGCTTCTTTCATCTCTCCTCTGCACTGCTGCGGGCTGTTTTTCTATTTCGCAGATCGACAAAGAGGTGGGCATCTTTCACGCCCGAATCTTCGTGTGGTCAAGCACCTTTCCGCTGACCCTTTGTGAACGCTCCCATGCTTGTCCACTACTTCCGCACTCTTGCTTCTCCACTATTTATCGAATGATTGCTCGACAATAGCTGCAAAGGTACCCTACTCTCGTCAAGCTCGAGCAGACCGCCGGTGTGCCAAAGGCATATGCTGCCATTGGCGCTTTCTCGCTCTTCACTCTGGTGAGTCAACGCCGTCCCCGCGGCGCCATTGTCGGCTCAGCCAACACCCTTGAGACAAGGCGGGATGGCTGACTCCATCTATCTTTCTCACTACAACTACAACAAAATCCCTGGCATAGCTTGTCTTCTTCAATGTGTAGGTGTCCTCGCTCCCTCTCCCGCGCGAGAGCCGTACTTCGGCGCAGTCAGAAATAGGCTGACTTGCAGGCTGCTTTCTCCTTTCCCCTTTTCAGCTTCGCTGGCTTCCTGACCAACCTGGTTGGCTTCTTCCTTCCGGCCTACTTCTCCATGAGGGCCCTTGAGACTCCGCAGCCCCAAGATGATGTCCAATGGTGCGTCCAATCTCGAAATACAGAGCCTCATCGCTTTGCCCTTGACGGAAATCGGTATCCTGACAAGATCTGCCTTCCTCGCCGCATGAACCTTATTCAGGCTGACCTACTGGGTCGTCTACGGCTTCTTCACTTTCATCGAGACGTTCGTCGAAATTGTCCTCTACTGGTTCCCATTCTACTACACCTTCAAGACCCTCGCCATCGTCTGGCTCATGCTCCCCCAGACCCAGGGCGCAAAGCTAGTCTACCACAAGGCCATCCGGCCCATCTTCCTCCAGGGCCACGCAGCTGCCACTGCGCCGGCCACCAGTAGCACGAGCAGCAGCAGCATCCCTGCTGTTCCGCAGTAAATGGTACGCATGACTGTCAAACGGAGCAGAGCAGAGTGAAGTGGACGAGGAGGCCTCCGTGCGTCTGCTTCATCGAACATGCTTGGCCTGCTTGCGTCACTCGTTCAACAGCGGGGTGGAGCCCGAGGACGGTTACAAGAACGATGAGAAAGCAGCGGTCCGCCCGTGTATGCTCACTGCAAATGAAGGAAAGCGGGAGATTTGGGCCGAGGTCGTGTAGAGCGGGAGGGGTTTTTTCATGAATCATTTTGATCGGACGTATCACGAGGACAAGAGTCGTAGTGGCTGTAGCGCCAATGGTAATAGCCATGGACGCGGGAGGCGCACTCATGAACAACGATCACACAAACGCATCATTGAATTCTTTTCTGGCAACGAGCTTTCTTCCGCTTTTCATGCGCTTCTCCTGCAGAGGGCTGTGACGCCGCAATAAAATAAGTTCGTTCAGCGGCGATGAGAAAGAGCGAGAGGTGGCCGGTGGCTGCAGCCACTATGTGACGCCGATGTCATGCGAGGCGATAACAAGGGTACAAGCGCTTTGGAGGCTCCCTGCTGCGACCGCCTGCCGCTTGCTGCTGCGCCGCGTTCGCATCCGTGCCCACGCTCGCCCATTCTCGCATGGAATGCGCGCTGCTCTTCCTTTCCTCACGTCCAAGTCTCGCATTTGAGCAGTGCGAACCAAGTCGTTTAGGCCGCCCAGACGACTCGGCACGCACCATTGCCATCCAGCTTCTACACCGTCTGATACGCGCGTAACGCTGACAACGCTGTCATGTGTCGCGCCACAAGGATCCCCTTCGCACTTTCGCCCATATTCTTCCTTCCCCGATTCCCTCTTCTCCCCCAGCGTTGTCTCTTGATCCTGTCCTCCGCTATTCCATTCTGTATTTGTCCGCCTGTCCTTCTTCTTTCTCTTGTTTCTCCAATACTCGCCTACAACTTTTCATCCAAACACAGACACGATCACGTGCGCGAGCCATCAACTTCCATGCTTCCATTCCTCCGCGCTTGCATTGCACTGAGCCGGATTCAAGAGGGCCAACGCTTGTCTCCCGAGTCCTTCATGCATGCGCGTGAATGAAGAAGCAGAGCTGCGAAAACGCTGTTGTGCCCCAAAGATTTGTGGAAAGCATGCATTTAGTCAGCCTTCTTGGGCCGATGTGCTACATCCATCCACGACTGAAACGCATGGCCATTGGCAGCGGAGTCGGCGCCGGTCGCTCCTGGTAGGATCTGCGTCGGTGACTGCTCTGAAGTCCTTGCCACAGCAGCAGCCTGATCACGTGCCAGCCCTTGTGGTGGGGGCGCTAACGGGGCTTGCAGTGAGGGAGCAACGCCTGCTGAACTCGTCGCTGATGTCATTGCTGTTGTGGTAGCAGCCACAGCACCAAACGCCCCCGTCGCCGCGGTCCTCCGCGGCGGAGGCGCATTGCCTATCCGCGGTGTGGCGGGCGGCTGCGTTGCATTTGCGTATCCACAAGCAGCATTGTCTCCGGCGTTATGCTGTGCCGCGACGCTTATGCCGTGCGCTAAGAGCGCTTGCCCGTACGCGGCTTCGGTTTTCGGGCTATTCGCGCCACCGCCACCCCAACCATTTCGATATTGTTGCAGCTGTGGAGATCGCATGTAGCCGCCATGGGAAGTCTGTGTCGTGTCATTCCAGATCTGTCGCGCGAACCTTGCCGCGTTGCTCGTCTTCCCGACCGAGAATGCCCTGTGGAAGCTGCTGCCCAGCGCCGCAGCTGTCGCCGTGGCGGCCGAATCGGAAAGCCCCATCCGACCGTAGGTGGCTCGCGACACAATGTTACGCACAAGCCAGCGGTGCACACGCACCGTCGGCAAGAGCAGGCATAGGCGCCCTGGCAGCAAAGTCTGCAGAATTGTAGTGTCATGAGGGACTGGATCGGCTAGTAGTGCCAAAACAGAGCAGAACGGAAACACTGGTAGTAGCAAGCAGAGAAGACTGATGAGCACACCATTTTGCAAGCTGCCGCACATGCAATTTCAAGACTCACCAAGCATGAAGAGCATGAGATTGAGCAGGCCAGATGGGTGGAAGTACGAAACGAGCGTGGATGGAATGCCGAAAGCGACCATGTAGCTCCAACGCATTTCGGCAAACCGCGCTCGCTTCTCAAAGCCCCAGCCTTTTGCCATCCAGAGCAGCTCAAAGCAGTAATAGCTATCAACGAAGCTAATCTAAAGTGCAAATTATGCAGGAGATACGGTGAGCGAAGGGAAATGGAAGTGAGAACAACTTCAAGACGAAGTGTGACTCACTAGCCCAAAATTGACCGCCGCTCCGAGGTAAGAGATCCATGTGATCCCAAGAAGCGCGCAAATCTTATTGATGCCAAGACTCAGCAACGAATAGTTTGCAACCAGAACGAAGCGATATGCTTGGGACGCCATGCCAGCCACGGACAAGGCCGATGGACCGGCTGCTCCGGCAGACACTCCGTCTTGGCCGCGGCCTCCGTACGTCGCACTTGTCGGCGTGAACTCAGCTATCCCTTTGGCCATGGCCGACATGCGCTCGCCATCGCCCTTTTTGGCTTTTTCACGCTGCATGTCGTAGGCAGCCTGTGCCACCTCAGTCGTCCAAGAAGACGCGAGGAGATAGCACCCGCCAATGAGCGGGTAGAGGAAGAGTGTATTGACCCACGCCATTGGCGATGAGCCGGCTTCGTGTGCCGCCGACACGGCGGATGCTGCAGATTGCCGTTGAAAGAGCTGCGTCGGGAAGAAGGCCGACTCAAAAAAGAAAACAATTAATGACACTGCTGAGGAGAGTAGGAGACCTTTGACGACTCCAGTGCGAATTTGTGGAGAGCTGCAAAAGGTGAGAATCCGAGTGTATGTCAATAAAGGCAAATGTTCTCGTATAGGGTGAAGATTTCGTTGGACGCTCGACAGCCATCACACCTTGAAATCAATCGCCACGCGTCTGACCACCGATTTGCATCGCTCAATCCTTTGCGCGCCCACCGCAAATGACAGCCACATGACTGTAGGAGGGTCATGGCCAGACTACCAACATGCGTCGCATCGCGCGCATTGCGCACGACACTACCAGCGCGTCCCAAACGTGGCAGGGTAGCTGTAGCGTAGAAGTGAGCATCATAGTGTCGGGATGAGGGATGCTGCGATATGTAGTAGACCGGCCATGGGAGGTCCTGGTCATAGTAGAGCTGGTCCAAAGCCGAGGACGACGGATCGGTTCCGTATGCGTGAGCTATTGAGGATGCAGAGCTGGGCAGAAAGTCTTCGCCTGCGAATGTAGCGGCGTACAGCGCTGACGGGGTGTGCACGTGGCCGTACCCATGGCCTTCCAATGCGTCAAAGTCGACAGACGTGACGTGCGGCATTTCCAGCAAGTGCCGATGGACCGCTAGCGGTGTCTCTTGCAAGAAACGTACGTTGCACACGCTAGCCCGAACGACTTTACTGCGTGCACTTTGAGTCTCCCAGGTTGCATCTGACAAACTGAAGCGCTCTAGATCATCCGACAGAGGGAAACCAAATCGACGTCAAGTGTCCAGTAGAAGATCAACACAAACATCAAAGGATGATTGGGTCATGAGTGAGCCAACGGATGGAGGTTCAGTGGAGAGCAGGTGAGTCGTGGAGAGAAGTGGAGCCAAAAGGTGACAAGCAAGATTACGTAATTTTCTCCTTCAGTTCCTAGTGCAAAGTCTTATTATATCGTTTGATGTCTCAGTTCCAACACATTCAAAGAAAGGCCAGTGTCGCTTGTAGTTTGCACCTCTCGGCTCTCGAGCGAGAAACAAAAGAGCGTAAATACTGACAGCATGGTGATGATGACGATAACACAGGCTTGCATGAAAGCATTGATCGTGCAGAGACAAGGGGAAAGCCAAATCACTAGCAAATTTACAAGCCGCGATGTCCATCTCCATAATCAGGTTGTTCTCCACAGAGGTGCTCCTCGTAATTGTCAAGTCACAAGTCATCACAGTTCCCGCCCACTTTCTCGCATGTCTCTCCGTCACGTGCTGGCCTCCGGAGTCTCGTCAATAGTCAGCGAGTACATAGTGACTCGTGGACCTGATTGTTGCTGAAGTACATACATGGTGTTATGTACATGGACAATTGGGGCTATGGGACCTTCCCCCCCCCCCAAAACTGGCACACATTCTGTGTGAGCGAGCAGAGAAGCACGGGCCATCGCGAGATACTGCCGCCCCTTCTCCCAGCTCTGCACCCTGCTTCGTTCGTTGCAGTGCGGCGCACTTCTGGCTTCCCACCCTCAAAAACTGTGTGCATCGTCCTCATCTAAAAACATGAGCGCATCAGCAGACCCCTCTATGTATGTAATAATCAACTCAGGATTCGGCCACTGTCTCACACACCCCTTGGCACTCGGCAATCGGTATTATGAAGGAGCCGTGGGCCGCCCACACTCGACGCAATGTAACACGCATTCAAAATATATCATGTTTCACGAAGTCGCAACCCCACACATATTCACCACCTACCCACTGCTGCACTTTGGGCCCTCCACCCGGTGCGACTCCCTAAGCAACACCATATGTGTGGGCCTCCATCTTATCGCTCATCCATACAGCGCAACGTGGTCGGAGCTGGCTGATTCCCAGACCTTGAGTGAACAAAATGGCCGTCACGGTTAACAACATCCTTGCATCCGTCCTTGAGAGGACGGGAGTCGCACTCCCCAGTGCTATCCTCATCTTGGCCATTCTTGCCCTGCTCTACCCGGACAGGGTTATTGGTACCGCAGCGCCGCGTCCAGGTATCCCTCGAATGCCAGGAGGTAGGTCAACCGTCAGCAGTCTTCCGGGATGGCGCGAAATTGATTGATTGAACTGTGCCGACCGTTTCGCCCTCAGCGCTTCCGCTTATTGGCAACACTTGGGTCTTGATCAAGAATGGAACCGAGGTGCATAAACTTGCCGGAAGTGAAAATATTGCTTCATTGCTAAAGTCGGGGTGCACATACAGGAACAATTTCATCGACTCCAAGATTTCACCAAGGATAACAAGATCGGCGTGTTGCAGACGAGTGTGCTTGGGCTTGGTGTGTCTTTCTGCCCTCCCCGTCGAAGCGCCCGCTCTGCTGACTTCTCTCTGGCCTGGCCTTGCAGGCCGTCAATTCATCGTGGTCCGCCCCGAGTACATTGAGGCCGTTCAAAAGACATACTTTGATCATTTTGTCAAGGGTCGGATGTTCCGAGCTCGCTTCGAGGATGTTCTTGGCGTGCATGGCATTTTTGTCGCCGACGGAGAAAACTGGAAAGGCCAGCGAAAGCGTGCCAGTCACATCTTCAGTGCTGGTCAATTTCGTAACTGGGTGCAGACGACCGTGCACGGCGAGCTCAAGCAAGTGTTCAGCTTGCTCCAAGAGGTCGCTTCCCGCAAATCATCCGGCAGCAACAAGATCCTCCTTCCTGAGCTCTTCTTCCGGTACACGCTGTCATCGTTCAGCAAGATGGCCTTCTCGGCTGATCTTAAGTGCCTCAGCTCATCGCCAGATGTGCTCGAGACGCCAGTACCTTTCGCGACGGCTTTCGACTTTGCGCAATGCGTAATCAATGAGCGCTTCGTCTACCCCGGTTTCCAGATTTACGAACTCTTTAGTTCTAACGGGCGGAAGATGCGGCAGGCGATCCAGCAGCTGCGCAAAACGGGTCTCGAGATCATATCTGACCGCATCGAACGGCGTCAACAGGAGCAGAAACATGGCGCGGATGCTCCGAAGGAGAAGCGTGCGATCGAGAAGGACGGTAAGGACATGCTCGATCTCTTCATGGATATAACCACCGACCCGGAAGACCTGCTGGTGGTCGTCATGAACTTCCTCATCGCCGGACGCGACACGACGGCTCAGTCGCTCAGCTGGCTCTTCTTCGAGCTCTTCCAGCACCCAGAGCACGTCAAGGAGCTGATCACGGAGATCGAGTCTGTGTACGGTGCGCAAATGGCAGACAAGCCACACCTAATGGGCTACGACGACATGAAGAAGCTTCCATTTACGCAGGCTTGCTTTTCCGAGGCCGTACGCCTGCACCCCGCCGTGCCAAAGAACGGGAAAATCTGCTGCAAAGACGTCCTATTGAAGCCGGCGGGGCCGAATCCAGACAACTTGCCAGCGTTCGAAGTGAAGAAAGGAGAGTGGTGCGGCTGGTCCGACTGTGAGTAGGCTTGTCATGTGTGGCCATTTATAACTCCGGTGATCCGTTCCGCGGAATTCTGACGTTCCCCATGCTTCTAAATTACAAGGGGTCATGAACCGTCGCACGGATGTTTGGGGAGAGGATGCGGCTGAATACAACCCTTACCGGTTTATATCTGTCAATGAGACCACCGGCACGCGCACCTTCATCAGTCATAACCAGTGGAAGTTCCACTCGTTCAACGGAGGGCCCCGTCTGTGCCTCGGCCAGTGAGTGCTTCGCTCATTTTTTTCTTAGATGTGTTCCCGAAGTACCGGCTTACTTGCAAGACTCTGATACCGTGCGCGTTTCCAGGACACTCGCATACTACGAGGGTTGCGCTTTCCTCGTCGCCGTGGTCCCTAAGTTCAAGATCTCATGGGCTACCAAGGAGGAGGGGCAAGTGGCACACTGGCCACTCAGGTACCTCAGCTCGGTTACCCACCCGTGCGAACAGTACACCGTTACCATCGACCGCCTTGTTGCCTGAGGTAAGAGGTTGCTGGCACTACGCGAAAAGCAGACATTTTGCAGCCCGGCTCTTTTAGGTCGTACGCATCACCCGTCTGCCAGAGCACATACCGTGGCGTCCCCTTTCCATCCGCGTGTACTTCAAAGACGAGTTTCAGATCTACATAGGTAGCATTCATACTTTACGAACACCGTGGCAGGCGCTTTTACACCGTCATGCCTGTTTGTCATTATGTCGACACATCCAGCTCCAATGCCTCTTCCAACGTGGTATATCCGTGACGGGATCTGCCCGAGTTGCACCGAATGCCGATGGTTGCCGAAGTGCTGACGCCGCGCACGAGGGGAAGACCTGAACCGTGCGTGGTGCAACACAAGAATGAAAACAGGCCGAGCGGCGAGCGCTTTGCGCCACAAGATTCAGCATCAAGAAGGCACGAGCGCTCTGTGCAGCCGTCCACTATATTGGAAGTGTTGACTGTTGTGCACGCAGTGTGCGAGCGGCCGCGTCTCATCTCGTTCTGTGTTGCTGTTTGAGTTGCTTTGTAGGAGGTGCGAGGATGATGAGTTGTTGCTGCTAGTGACTGGCGTCTCAAGGTCATGGTCTGTGATCTGCACCGCCCTGAGACACTGTATGGCATACAGGCGATTCCGTGAACTGTAGCCATCACTGGATCTCTGAAGCAAAAGAAGTGAACCCGAGGCAGACTCAAGTCTCCGAGACGAAGGCAGAGAAGGAGCGAAGTAAGGGCGAAAGGTACAGTTGTTGGGCAGCGTCCAGCGCTCAGTTCGATGCTGAGGACACCAGGTGCGACTTGCCACGAACGCCGAACACTCAGTTAGAATAGTCTCGTCTTGAAGCTTCCTCTTTGGCGCAAGGGCCAGAAAGAGTAGCAGGCTTGGCTGGGTCAGTATACGCGAATCGCCTTGTGCTTTCCAAGCGAAGTGAAGATGGCCATGGCCAGCAGCAGCGCCGAGGAGCGTCCGGTAACACCGACAACAGCCCTCAACACCACCAGCAGTGATGACGAGGGCGAGCACGGCACACCGATCTTCAAAGACGCAGTAGAAGAGTCAGATCCAATCTCACAGTCTACAACGCAGGAATCGGGTTTTCACGCAGCAGGTGAGGCAAATGGAGAGGCATGCAAGGACATCGATGCTGGTAGAAAGGACAGCAAAGCGGGTTCTCCACCTTCAACGCCCACCATTGCCAGTACTATGGCTGTGGGATCTGGGATTGCAACGTCGCCTTCGACTGGGCCATCAGTGGTCGAGACTGCCGCAAGCAGAAACAACAGCACATCTGGTTCGCCTGGGAACACCATGGCTTTGTCACCTACTACGAGTGTCGCGTCGCTACGGCGGCGGTTCGAAATGCAAGATATGAGCAAACCACAGCTGCCGATGGGCAGCTCGAGCAACCTACTCAGCGATGCATCCAGGGGAGAATCTCGGCTGACATCGTCATGTTCGCCCAAGAATGCAGCTGCCATCGGCAAGCATGTGCCATCACCTCTTCTCGTCAAGGACAACAACATAATTCCAGAAGGGACAGATGCGCTGCTTTTGGAGCAGGAAAATGCTGCCAGCAAAGCCGTCATCGAGTCCGAGGCCGCCTCGCCCAGAGCGCCTATGTCTGCATCGCTGGGTGCAAAATCAATGACCGAGCCGGACTCCACTCTCATCAATCCGTTCTCCACACCAGTCGATGCATGGGCGCAAGAGAAAAACGGAGCGGAGACGGAAACAACTTCAGCGCTGGGTGCGATGAACTCATGGCAATCGGCACTTGACCCTCCTCCTGCCCCGGCGACAGACGGGTGGAGTGAAGTCGGAAGCTCACATGCTGAAGCGACCAATGGCCACTCTACAGGGATGGAGAGCAGCGCCGATCAGCGTTTCTCCTCCATCAGTCTTGGTGGCACAACAACGCAAGGTACGCCTCGTGTCGAACAGGCAGCCAAGATGGGATCCATTGAGGAAGCATTATCCGAGGCGCAGCGCGCCCCACTATCGCGCGAGAGCAAACGCTGGTCTGCCACCTCTGCCAGTGCCGCCGGCCGCGCAGGTCGCAGGTCTGCCATCCTCGGTTTCGCGGATGACCGCAAGGACACTGCCACTAGCACCGGCGGTGTGCGCGTCAGCATTGATGGGCTCGAGAAGCTCAGGGAGAATTTCGAGAGAGTGCAGAAGAGGGAGAAGAACAGACAGTCTGTCGTGCTGGGGAAACCGCCGCAATCGCAGAAGCCCGAGTCTGAAGTACCTGCAGCGCAATCGCTAGCCGACGGAGAGGAGGAGGCGCCCCAGACCGAACAGGCTCTCAATGGTGCAAGCAACGAGAATGAAGATGATACAGATGACCACATAGACTGGCCCTTTTGGGGTCGCGTCATGAGCGGTGAGTGTTCCCATAGTTAAGCGCTCGCACTTACGTCTATGCGCGTTGCCTCTGACTATGTGTAGCTCTTCCATTCCTGTAGACTACCAGAGCGTCGCTCGGAACAACCCACAGGAGCTGAGCCGCGCGATACAGCTCGGTATACCAGCCACATTACGGGGGATGATGTGGCAGCTGATGAGCGGCAGCAAGGACGAGGAGATGGAAATGATCTATGCTTGTGAGCCGAGTACCTGGCGTTTCAAGCATGTACAAGCTACTATGTACGAGTTCCAACGTTGCTGATCACGCTCCGCGCCACTCACAGTCTACCTCAAGCAGACAAGCCCGCACGAAAAGGCAATCAGAAGGGACCTGGCGCGGACATTTCCAGAGCAAGGCTACTTTCAGGAAGGGGCGGGTACAGGGCAAGAGAACCTTTTCAACGTAGTTAAAGCTTAGTGGGTTGCTTAGCTCTCTTGAGCACCTGCTCGGTGGGTGGCACGTGACGGGAGCGACTGGTGCTCATGCACTTTCTTCCTTCATCCGGCCAGCTCGTTGTATGATGAAGAGTGCGGTTATTGTCAAGGGATGCAATTCGTTGTTGGGCCGCTGCTATTGAACGTACGTTTATCCTCCTCATGATTGAGATGACTCGGCCAAAGACTGAATGGCTTGCTCTTCTGCTCTGACAGATGCCGGATGAGTGCGTTTTGACATGCGAAGCTGAACAAACCCTGCGGGACCTCACTGATCTTTCCAATTTGTGATGCAGGGAGGCATTCTCAACTCTCGTTCGACTCATGAAGGCGTACGACCTCCGAGGGCACTTCATTCGTGAGTCCTTCACTTTTAGCTTGACATTACCTGCCCGGTGCGCCTCACAACTGAAGCCACGTGCCCCGGGTGTACCTCCATACACCTCAGCGAACATGCCGTCTCTGCAGCTGCGACTTTACCAGTTCAATCGATTGCTTGAAGACACCCTTCCGCTCTTGCACATGCATCTCGTTCGGATCGGGATCAAGAGCAGCATGTATGCCAGCCAGTGGTTTATGACTCGTGAGTGTGGTTTTTGCAGGTATCATTGCAGGGGCTGAGAGCTGAAAACCCCTCATTTGCTGCATCTTCCAGTCTTGTGAGACAGGTAACACAAATGAATTAGAAGGCCTGATCGCAATGGACTGATCCCGATTTTGCCCCCTGCAGCTCCTACCGCTTTCCCTTGGATCTGGTCTACCGCATCTTGGACTCGGTCTTTGCGGAGGGGGTCGAAGCGCTATTTCGCTTCGCCCTGGCGCTGATGGAGAAGAACGAGGACACGTTGCTCAAGCTCAACTTTGAGAACTGCCTGACCTTTCTGAAGGAGAATCTGTTTGATCTGTATCAGGTAAGTCCTCGTCGCGTAACAACTGCTCAAGGTTGGCGTTCAAGCTGATGGCGGATCTTATTCTGTTTCGCTCGTTGCAGAAGGACGAATGGGACGAAAAGGGCAAAGCGCTTTACCGGACAAACGACTTTGTACAAGATGCGTTCCAGATTCGGGTCATGTCTTACAACCTGGACCAGTATGCGTCTGAATTCGAAGAACAAGTCCGCGCTGCGAACGCGCACCGCAGGGAGGTTGAGGCGCTGCGCCTTGTCAATCGCAACTTGGCGGCAAAGGTCAAAGAGCTTGAAGAGAATGCGGCAGCTCAGTCTGCGGAGCACGTCGAGCTGGTCAAACAAGTTGTGATGGCCAATGTAAGGGATGATTTGCAAGTTTTCTTTTTCTGGGACGGGTGGAATGCTTATGCACAAATGGTCACATTTCGCTCCTGTTTGCACATCATTACAGCTCGCAAAGGACGAGATGGCAGAGGAGCTGGTCAAGTACAAAGTCATGTATGCTGAGGCGGTACTGTCCAACGATCAAGGAAATGCGCGGGAGATGGGCTCGGTGCCGAACAGCTCCAGCTTTGACAGGATGAATCTGCTCTCTTTTGGTTCGCGATGACATTAGGGCACGCGCCACGACATGATGCCATAGACGAGGGCGTTTGAGGAGCTTGTATGCTAATAGTGGTAGCTACATATGATCCTACTTATTCACCGTGGACAATGATTTGACGGCACCGGCTCACCGCATCACTGCTGGTCACTACCGGTCATCTTGTCCACAATAGTGGCACAGGCGCGGGTCGGTCGGTGGCCAAGGGCACGTCGGCACTCGTCTGGAGACTGAACAGGACTGACTACGGCTGGCCACGCCCAGCGTGAAATATGGGGAAATGTTGAAATTACGTTGAATTATTGCACATCAATCACTGGGCCTCGACAATAGCCTGATGCTCGTCCATGACTCTGGCGCGACTTCGGGGGCTCACAGCATACTAATCCGCAGATGAGCAAAGTAATCTACGATGTCAGGGATAATGGCTAGCTTCATACAAATCTGAGCAGCATACATGTGCATATAGCCTAATCGAGCGTGAGCGACGAGTGGGGAAATACCAGTGGATGCGCGGATGATGGGACCAATGCCTCGGCAAGGCCTAGCGCTTGATCACGTGACCCTTTCGGTCCTTCACAACGACTTCACACGGCCCGCCTGGGCGACTGACGCCGACCCACCATTGCACTTGCATGCGACTCTTCGCCGCATCACCGTTGCTTAACCAAAAAATAGAGCATACCGATGGACCCCGCATTCCACCTTCGTCCCCACAAGGTTTTGCGTGCATCTTGGAGTGGATTCCATCCCGAGACGAAGCTGGAGATACGTAGCATACAAATCCTCTCGGCGTTGACGCTGAGACGGCGGACCAGGCGTAAACCGCAAGAGGCGAAGCGGACGCGACTCCCTCCGAATCCTCTCCCCCACCCCCGCATTCAACCACCAGTACACCACCGTGCACCAAATTGCGATCGCCGTTCGCAACCGCCCGACGGGAACGGCACACACGTTGGCTCCATCGTACAACCCGTCATCGAGTCACAGCACTCCTGACTCGCTCGCTTTCTTAAAGGCCTTTTCCATTGGGGCCGGTATACCCTTCGCTCGGATTCAGGGGCAGATTCCGGTAAAGGTCTTATCAGGTGTCGATCCTAGGTAGGACTGTCTTTTGAAAAGGGACGGCAGCGCATCAATTGTCAACATGGGCAACCCAAAGGGCCTCAACAAGTCCAATAGCCAAGCGGATATCAAGAGCTTGAATATTCTACATGAGGGATGGGTTCTCAAGAAGAAGCGCAAGAAGATGCAAGGTGAAGCAAGGGAAGGCTGCGGCCTCCAAACATTTGCAGCTGACACAGAGGTTGTTGATCGATTGGTTCAAATTATCCTTCAGGGTACGCAAAGCGGTACCTGATCCTTACGAAAGAAGGGATTCTCACGTACTCGATCTCGCCCGATAAGCCAACCCGCGACTCGATTGAGATTCCTCATGCCAGCGTCATCAGCAGTCAGCATCATGGTGAGATTTCTCTTCAATCGTGCGCCTAACCTCAGGGTGATGCGAAAGGCGATTGACCTTTGAAATACCCATTTCTCTTAATCAGGCACAATCCATGTGGACAGCGGATCATCCGTCTTTCGTGAGGCAAGAATACCATGGGATGCTTCATCAGCAGAGCATTGATCTCCAGTCTGCTCCCCTTGCTACAGACCTCAAGATGCTCAACCCGCAAGACTTTAGTGCATGGCGATCGCAGCTGAAAAGCTTCATCCCTGAGCGCTCATCTGGCCAGGCGAGGCGGATCTACGTCGTCACGGACGACAGCACAGACCTGATGAGCGTCGACCTCAACCCGCTCTTTACTGCTAGCGATTCCATGAACCGGCTCGTAGCGGAGATCAAGAAACAGTCCGCGCTACTTGCGCGCAAGCGTGCGGAAAAGGGAGTCACAGGAGAAGTCCTCAATATGTTCTCTTGGAAGAGTGAGCGCATGGCAGATGCGGCCGATTCGGAGCCATGCTTGACAATTTATGTTTTGACCTCTTACAGACGAGGAGGCCGAGCTAAATGCTACGCTGCAAACCCTCATCGACTCGCTCGCAGCAGAGCATGCCAACTTTCAACATGTGCTCGAGTCTCGTGTACCTCGCGTCTTTGGCGGCGAAGGCATGATGAGCTCCATTAAATCGAGGGTGCAGGGGGATGGCAGATATGCACAAAGCCGTCACAGCATCTCTAGCTTTGCGACCAATTTCGAAGATGATGCCATCTTCTACGACGCAGATGCGGCGGACAATACTGACATTGCCGATGAACCAGAGACATCGAGCCGAGACGTGTCGAGCGCCGCGAGCGATGCTTCTGCCAGCGAAGAGGGCGACGACGATGACAGTGGTGACGAGAATGCTACGGAGAAAGGAGTTGGGAATGGGAAATTCCGTACTCGACTTCCTGCCAAGGTATCCGGCGATGAGGTATCGCTCTTTTCGATGCTCAAGAAAAACGTCGGAAAGGACCTGTCCACCATCTCCTTCCCTGTCTCGTTCAACTGCCCGCTTTCGCTGCTGCAAGCCGCGGCGGAGGAATACGAATACGCTCCCAAGCTGCTCGAGAGAGCAGGGAAGACGGAAGACTGGATTCAGAGGCTGTGCTTAGTCGGCGCCTGGGCTGTGAGTAGCTATTCGAGCACCAAGCTGCGCGCAAGCCGCAAGCCGTTCAACCCACTCCTCGGCGAAACGTTCGAGCTTTATCGCAACGATGGCAAGCTCAAGTTCATTGCGGAAAAGGTCGTGCACCAGCCTCCGGTCGTGGCAACCTATGCCGAAGGCAATGGATGGAAGGCGTACGGCTGCAACTCGGTCAAGAACAAGTTCTGGGGCAAGTCCCTCGAGCTCATCCCCGACGGTTCGTTGAAGGTCGAGCTTGCCGATGGCGACATCTTCTCGTTCAAGAAGCCGTCGTCGTTTATGCGCAACTTGCTCGCCGGCAATAAGTACCTTGAGCATGTCGGCGAGCTCACCGTCACAAACGAGAGCACAGGTGCGCGGCTGGCCATCGATTTCAAAGAAGGCAACATGTGGGGTGGTTCCTCTTCGCGCAACCTGGTCGCCGGTTTCGTCTACAACAACAAGGGAGAGAAGGTGACCGAGGTCAAAGGTCGCTGGAGCGATAACTTTGCTATTCAGAAGGACAAGGAGAACTATCAGGTTCTGTGGGAGGCCAACGAGATGCCACCCAACTCGCAGGATCACTACGGCTTCACATACTTTGCCATGAGCCTCAACGAGATTACAAAGGACATGGAGCCTTTCCTCCCATGCACGGATTCGCGCTTGCGCCCGGACCAGCGCGCACTCGAGGAAGGCAAGGTGGACGAGGCCGAGGAGACCAAGTTGGCGGTCGAGGGTGCGCAGCGCGAGCGCCGCAAGAAGCGCGAGGCAGAGGGGAAAGTGTACAAGCCGCTCTGGTTCCACAAGCAGAACGACGATGTCGAATGGCAGTACGGAGCCCCAGGCGGCCACGAGTACTTCAAGAAGCGCGCAGAGGTCGTCGACGCTGGGCCCAAAAAGGCCAAAGATGTCTGGGGAGATTTGCCGGAAATTTTCACCATGCAAAAGTCTTAGTAGTGAGTTCCTTACCCCTTTAATTCAATGTCCACTTTTAGTCGTTGCTCCACTCTATCTGGTCCATTCCCCATTGATATACGGCTATCGCATGCCTTTTTGTACTCTAAAACGGAAAATCTCAGCGTACTGGATCATCGCTGCACAACATGGGCACATGGTGCGAGGTCCTGTACGTCTAGACATTCATGTCTTCAAATGCGAGCGTGAACAGAGCTGGAGGCACCCACGCCGACATTGCTCATATGGTCTGATGGAGGATGCGTTACAGTCGCTAGTCGGGTGATCAAAGAAATCCATGCACTCGTTCGATCGTCATTGTTTGCATCATTTTATCTGTCTCTTCTTGCTCAGAGCTTGAACTCGGACTTGGGATACTGTGCTTTTGCGCTGGCGGCATCGTCGGTAAAGTAGTAAATGTCGCCCGGTGGCGCTGGTCTAACGCGCGAAGCTGGCAGACCCTCTTCCGGATGGTCGAGGGTGCGCGCGAGGAGATCCTGCTTGCCCTCTCCAGCGAGGACGAACGCGGCGCGGTGGGCGTGGTTGAGAACAGGATAGGTGAAGGTAATTCTATTTGATGGTGGCTTGGGGCTGTCCTTGATGGGTGCCACCCAGCGATGCTGCTCGGCGAGCAGCTCATGCCCGGGGAAGAGAGAGCAGGTGTGGCCGTCGGGTCCCATGCCGAGGAGGATGAGATCGAAGACGGGCCTTCTCACAGCCTCCTTGCCTGCGAACGCTGCTACCAGGTCCTTCTCGTATGCATCTGCCAGCTCCTCTGCGTCGTCCAAGAGCTTTTCGTCGATCGTGTGGATCTGCGAGCGCTTCAGCTCGGGGACTTTGCTGAAAAATTCCCTATCACAGAGGTAGTAATTGGAGTCCTCGTGGTCAAGAGGAACCAGGCGCTCATCGCAGAAAAAGATCTCCCTGCAAGCACCCATGAGGTCAAAAGGCCGCTCAGCTACACAGAAACACAGAGAAGATGTGCCAGAGGATGGGAACGCACCACTTGTCCCATCGAAGCCGATTGTCATCACGGTTTACGAGGTATTTGGAGAGCATCTTGGGCAGACTCCCCCCTGAGGTAGCAAGTGTGAACTTGTTCCTGCGAGTGATGGCATCATCTTGCGCCTGCACGGGGATGGAAGGACACCCGACGGAGTAGGTTATTCAGCGCTAATGAACTCAGCTCCTCTAGTACCCTTGCCGTTGCTGCTACAGTTCAGCGCGCCGATCCTCAAGAACGCACCTTGATGACAAATTCTGCCAACCCTTTGCTCAGGTCATCCGGCGTCTTGAACGAGTAGAGGATGGGCTCTGCAGGTGTCGTTGATGGGTTGGTCGAAGAGAGAGGCGCCATATTGGCCACAGTGCGTAGGGTGGGCCCTGCGCAGACTCCAAAAGAAGTAGCGCCAAACAAGGCCAGCCAGCCAGCCAGCAAGAAAAAAAGCGAGCGAAAGTGATGTCGTGCTCGCCGGGGGTGCTTTGCACGCTACGACGACTCGGTCGCTGTTGGATCCTTCGCTTTTCGTTGGGCGAACAGTAGAACTCGTGCGAAGGAATGATGCCGACGGTGGTGGACTGCGGAATAGAGAGAATGGAAGAGAGTTATATAAGTGCAGTCAGCATCTCCACTCAACCCTCCAAGCCACAAGTGTCATTGAATGGATTTAATTGATAGGCGGAGTGTCTGTCTGAGCTGAGCGAAACGGGCGGCGGCTCTGCGCGGCAAACGGGCAAGGGCGAGAGAACAAGGGCGGGTGGCGCAGCCACACAGAAGAGTTGGAGGATACTGGCTGGCTGTGTTTTCGCTGCAGACTAGAGAAGAGGGTTAAGCGCGGCAGCACAGCACTCAATTGTGCGATCGGTGATGACGCAAACTCCAGTCAACTTCGCTTCATCGTAGATGAATAGAATATCGCCCACCGCCAGCGGGAGTGGAAACCCGGGGATTTCGGTATTCTCAGGAATTTCGATCGTCCACGGCCTGCGCACAGACCACCCACCGGTTCCACTCTGTGGTCCTTTTCTGATATATTCGGTGCAGCGTCAAAGTAACAATGACCACGCAGGCTCAGGCCTCCTGCTTAGATCGATCTCCTTGACGGGTCTAGCCGTTGATGAGCTCCAAGGCAAAAGGCTTCAGGGCCATGGCAGCAGCTCAGCTACGAACGGACTCGTGAGCCCTGAATTTTCGCAACCATGCGCGCCCCCTCGATCGACCCGGCACCCGTCTCCGGCACCTTCGGGTCTCGCTTCACGGTGCTTACGGGAGAGTCATCGACTTCAGAACCAGAGGGCTCGTCGTGCAATGCCGCCCGTACCACCCTATCGGAGCATGTGTAGACCAAGGTTTTGCTGTGTCTGCACAGAGAGTCGATATGTGGATTTCTGTATCGCAAGATGATCTCTGGATTCTTGCAGAGCGCCGCACCTCGAAAGCACGTGACCGAGTCGCCGGCCTTCCCCGCACCGTACCCATGCACGCTGAAGTCATGCGAGAGACTGATCAGGCAGGGACGAACTGCCCTCTCTTGCTCTCCTCTCCCCGTGCGTTTACAGGCTTCGTACCCGATCTCATCGGATTCGGACGCTCAGAAAAACCCATCAATGACGGATCCGATGCCCCCACCAGTCACCGTACATTGTTGGTCCATTGCATCCATGCGCACATTGTCGACATCCGAGTTTGTACACGGAAGGCGCACCCTACACGCTTGTCGTGCAGGACTAGGGCGGCATTTTCGGGTTAATCGCCCCATCCCTTTTCCCTGACCTCGTCACCTACTTGGTCATGAATCCTAGGCGAGGCCTTGGTGGTATTTCCCTCCGATGGATGGGCGGCCTTTCGCGATTGTCCAGCGTTCCCCGAATCTCAACATCGGGCCGTTCTGTAAGCGAGGTGCACCGTTGACGGACGCAAAGGTGCGCGCACATGATGTGCCCCCCTTTGAGGGCCTCGTGAGTAAGGTTTGCATGAGAAGATTCCCAGTGATTTTGGACACTGTTGTCACAGTTGCAGCATCATTGTCTCACACCCGGGCCCTTTCCTTGCGCGGTGCCGAAAGGAGCTCATGCCGGTACATCCGGCCATGCAGGATGTCGCAGAGTCCTTGCGGCAATAGCCTACTTTCAATATCTCGCAGTTCGCCACAAGTTTGTGGACAACAGCCTTGGCAAGTCGACACACTCGTCTTCCCTGCGCGTGTTTGTCTTTGTCCGCGCTGCGGACCCGGCGTTGGGCGTCCAAGTTTTGGAGAAGCTCTCAGCGTCTGCCTTTGGCCATCGCGGATCCTTTTGGGACATAATCTAAGCGGGGGCCACTTTTCAGTAATGGGCGGTGCATTTGCCTGACCCTGCTGAGCATGCGTGGGTCCCCCAGAAAGAGGATTGTACAGGAGCGATATGGGCGGCGCACAATCACACCTTGGCGTTTGGCGGAAGCTCAGCAGAGGAAAAGGTACACTCTGTAACATGGAAGGCGCCACGAGGTGCGAGGATGTCGTCTAGCCTAGAGCCCGCTGACTTTTTCCACGTTTCGACAGTCAGGATAGAAGGGTGTGCAATGAGCCGCTTTTGTGCCGTTTTCTGATGACCAGTACGCACTCGGTTGCCACACTGCTCGTGACTCTTTGGCCTTTGTGAGCCGTAGCAATACTGGCGCTCTCGATGCTATGTACTCAGTCTCATGCTTCGATTTCGTTTCTGCTTTCCAAAAGTTATCTGTTATGTCTGGCTGTGCTGGCATTGAATTTGATGGCAGAATCCAGCCGAAAGTTGAGCGTGTCTGGTCTTTGGGGGGGGCTGTGCCACCCTTTCTCTTGATCCAAATTGCGCCGACAGGGCGTTCGCATTTGTGCGATTTGTGCCATGTACCTGGAGAGCAAGCGTAGCAGAGGTGATTGCTGAGCGCTCTAATTTCACGTCTCGTTCTCACTCGACGCTCCAATTTCTCCAGACTCCATGCACATCTACCACAGCCCGGGGGATCTTGGGGACGTGGGCTTGAATGTACTCGCACGCATCGTTGAAATCTTGTGCCTTGTGAATGCCACATCGCTTCCAGGTAGTGGAGGGTTTAAGCACACAAGCACAGCGCATCACAATCGTCGCCACCATTCGTAGCAGCGGCCCACCAGCCGAATAAATCATTACGAGCATGTCGCATGACAACGAAACAGCAGGAGAGTCTGGCAGCGGACAAGTCAAGGAAAGCCTGCCGGAGGAGATACAACTGACTGCCGTGCAGATGGGCAAGCAGCTGGGACAGCCGTCCTCACCGAAGCATAGCATTGCTCAAGGAAACGACATCAGTCTCAACATCAATGTCGGGCCAAGCGCCTCGCTTCCCACGCACCATTATGCTCACATCATCGCCAAACACATGGAGACAGGTGGAAACCACGTCGACCTCCAACGAATGGGGTCTGTCGGCACATCGGCCGGCCTCGGGCCTGTCACACCCTCACATGAGGAGACCGATCCTCTGCTGCTTCGATCCCGCGTGGTCAATGAGCAAGAGATCCGAATGCGAGTCTCGGGCAAAGGTCGGAAGCTCGAGAAAGCCGTGTCAAGGTTCTATGAAACACAAAACTCTCACATCAACAACCTACTGAAGTCCATGGCCCAGCACGCGAGCGACGGTGCTGATGAGCGCAACAGGAACGCACTCAAGGTGCTTGCACTCGACAACGCTTGCCTACCTATCTCCACATTGCTTCAGTCACTAATTCCCATGCGTGCATCCATCCTCATGTCATTTCATTCACAGGTACGCATCGCAGTGTACACTTCCATCGCCGCCAACTTTGTCCTCGCAGGCCTTCAGCTGTATGCCGCAATATCCTCGCTGTCGCTCTCGCTATTTGCAACGGCAGCAGATAGTGTCTTTGATCCAGTGCGTTTGCTATACATTGCCTTTCAGTGTCAAGCGCCTGATTCACTGCGACGGAGCTGACCTGCATCTCATTTGGGGGGTGGGGGTGGAAGTTCGCGAACCTGGTTCTCAATTGGTTGCATCGCAAGGCTTCCAATGTTGACGAACGCAAGTGGCCCATTGGAGGGTCTCGTTTCGAATCGGTGCGTGTCACTAATGCTCTTAGACGATGCTGTAAACCGTGCCCGGTTGATCCCAAATTCTCCTTGCTGCTTCTGACAGATTGGCAACATTGTCTATGCGTTCCTCATGGGCTCCGTCTCGCTCATTCTGATCGTCGAGTCATTGCGAGACATCGCTACGCACAAGAGCGGCGGCCTCAATGATTTCTTCTTACCTTCGCTGATCGCGGTTGGCGTCGCTTTCTGTGTCAAATTGTCTCTCGCCATATACTGCTTCGGTCTTCGCAAATTCTCGTCTCAAGTGCAAGTCCTCTACGAGGACCACAGGAACGACCTCTTCATCAACGGCTTTGGTATTTTTACATCTGCCGCCGGCGCAAAGATTGCTTGGTGGTTGGATCCTATGGGAGCTGTGATGTGCGCATCCCAATTGGAGTCATATTCCAGGCAACCCAGTCTGACTTTCTTCCTCCCCTCGAGTATACAGCATCTCCTTCGCCATCATCTTCTCCTGGAGCAGGACGGCCTACCTGCAGTTCCGCGAGCTCGCGGGACAAGCAGCCCCCACAGAGTTTATGCAGCTTGTCACATATAATGCGATGCTGCATCATGCTAATATCGAGAAAATCGATAGCTGCAAAGCCTACCACTCTGGCCCAAAGGTAAGTTGGACGCATCCGGCGCTACGGCTCCACTTTGAAGGACGCCGATACTCACGCTGCGCTCCGCCGTCTCTCCTGTTCTAGTACATCGTGGAGGTGGACATCGTCATGAAGCCTGAAACTCCACTCTGGTTATCCCATGATGTATCCCAGGATCTTCAGGACCGGCTTGAAATGCTGCCAATGGTCGAAAGAGCTTTCATCCATGTCGATCATGAGAGCGATCACAAGCCTGAGGTGAGTTAGCGATTCGGTCCGGCCGTCAGCCTTAGTCTGCCGACCCACTGTTACATTTTCTGCAGCACTCCCGAAAGGACCGATAGAGTCGACAGGCCGATCTCGAGTAATAATTTCAATCTGACCAATCGCTGGCCGGTAGGATACAATGAACTATGATACACTTTGCTCTCCGACGTGTGCTTAGCTTACTCCTGGTCGCTCTGAAAGAATATTTTGAACCTGGCCTCATGCTGCAACAGCGGCTGCTCAATAATGACGGCATACACGTGCAAGAACAGTTTTGGAAAGCGCTGTGTGAAGTAATTCAAAAAGCCTTCCGGCAAAGGCCCCAAAATCTGTTGCAGACGGGGCTGCATATCTTGAAAGTGATGACTCTGCGGAACACTTGTGCATCAGCAAGAGAATGGTGGAAGATATACCATCAAAGGGCTGCACCTTGTTCCTCATCGCCCTCAATAGATCTTGCAACTTCTTAGGGTCGTAGCTCCTGAATTTGCCGAGGTCTTGGACAAAAGCCTGATCGAGTCGGCGCTGCCAATTTTTCCCAATGACATCCAGTGCTCCACTCTCTAGTGAGACGAGCGCTGGCGCTGGCGGATCACGCTCCATTGTGTCAAAGCGGTCGCTGGCATTCGTGAGAAATGACAGACGCTTGCTAGAATCCCAGAAATAAGGATGCGAGATGATGTCTTGGGCGGAGGCTCTTTGCGTCGGGTCCGAGTTGATGAGGTTGAAGATGAGATGTTTTGCCTCATTGCCTTCTTCGCCAAGAGTATCAAGACGGGTCAAGTCGACTCGACCTCGCAACACGTTCAGCTCGCGTTCGAATCGCGATCCGAAGGGGTGATCACCATTGGACAAAAGATAGCTAGCCGGGAAGGAGAATGGTTAACCAGCGACAAGTTCCAAACTGGATATCTGCATCCTCTCACTAGTATATGCATCCGAGAGCGAAAATATCCACCGCTCTAGTTAGTTTCGTCTTCTCCTCATTTGAGGGTTTTTCTACCGGCAATTCAGATGATGCCTCCGTGCTCTCGCTCCCCGCATCCATTGATACTTCGCCACGCAAGATCTCTGGCGCTCTCCAACCGACAGTCCCGCCGGGATTGTTTACGGTCTGAGAAAAGCTAGACTGCGCGAATCCATCAAGTTTCTTGGATAAGCCGAAATCTGAAAGCAGCATCTTCAGCTTGCCCTTCGTAGTCAGGGTGACGAGAATGTTCTGGGGCTTGAGATCACGATGCACAACTGTACCGATCGCATAAATTAGCGCTATCCCTTACAAGACGACTCGCGAGCACTCACTGGACAAGTTATGCAGATGAAGAAGGCCGTGGGTGATCTGTGAAAGTGCGCGCTTTGGTTCGAGCTGGTTTCCGAGGTCACGGTAGTCCAAAGGCTTCTCGATGACATCTGCCAGTGTCGCAGAGCACAATTCGAGCGCAATATATAGGAAGCTCTCTGTCATCTCCTTGTAGAAATATCGCACGACATTAGGACTGAGGACGGACAATAGATGAAAGGGGTGAAATGATCAGTATGTAGTCCTCCCTGCAAGCCGTCTAGGTAGCACGCACTGATCATCAGCAGACTCCAGCAGTGAAACCTCTTTGGATGCCACCGAAACAAAGTCCTTCAGAAGCCGTTTGACTGCCACCGCTCGCCCTTGAAAAGTACCCTTGAAGACCACAGTGCCAGAAGAGCCGTATCCTTCGAAGGTGGCAATGTCAGCTGCTACGCCAATGCCACCAATTTGAAACTGTACTTACCAAGCACTTCGTCTGAGAGAGTCAGTGTCGAATTTGACACTTCGGCGGGCTTCGTTGCCATGATTGCAGCCGCATCTGGTTGTGGAGGAGCTATCTGGGTAGCGGTCTTGACTGCGATTGTGTTGTCCGGGCTGCCGTTGGGGAGCGGTCTTGAGCGTGGGTCGTGCACTGCTGCTGGGTTTATGCGCCCCGATGTCTCATGCGGTTTCCGATCTGGCGGCGGCTCAATGTGTTCCTGGTGAACTTCTTCGAGACAAGTCTCTTTCACTTTGGCCAGCTTCGCAGCTACGGCTTGACCGGCGCGTTTTCCTCGCCGCCGCCGCTTCGCAACGCTGCTTTTCCCTGACTCAACCATCTCATGTTGATCTTGCACATTTGCCTGCGGCTGCTCACCAGCGTCCTGATTGTTGTCCTGCACTGCTTTCCCCTCAGCAATGACACGTTGACTTACTTTCCGGATTTCCGGCGAAGCTCCACTTGCTTCCAAAGGAAGTCGGGTGCCATCGGCACTGGGCGGGTGTATAGGGACGTAAATGACGGACTCTACGAAGGCCTTTGCTTCGATCGCTTTTTGGCGTTCCTGAAGCCGGAGACCCGTCCAGATGGCCCACGATACTAATGTGACGGAGATGATAAGGACGGCCTGGAGAAGCAAGGTTGAGAGCGTTGAATTAGGGCTGCGCCTGACGTCATCCGAACGAGCATCCGGAGCGCTTGATCCGGCTCGATCACTTGACGGAGGTGCATAAATAATGGGTGTAAAAGCCGTCCTTGACGATGCATGATCAACCTCTCTGCCCCCAATGCCAAGCAACGGTGCAGAGCCCAGCAGAGCCTCCCTCATGGCCCATTCGGCCACATCATCGTTCTGGACTCGATATGCACCCGTCCAGCAGGAGATGCCGCCGCAGCCTCTACGGCTCGGAGCATCATGCCAAGTCAAATCGTGCTGGTGACCATTCGCGCCTGACTTGGCCGACCCATCAAGAATGTGAGACAAGGGGGCCGGCGGCGACAAGACGACCAAAGGATATCTATCGGAACTCATTGCAAAGAGCGAGTCTCCAGAAAAGCCGAGAAAGATGTCTTTTGCATCTCCTTCGAGATGTGATCTCGCTGGGTGTTCGATAATAATGCTTGAGACATCGACGGTTGGATGCGGAATCAGCACAGGCCGAGACCTCGACGCACTGTGAGGCGTGGCGTTGCCGTCTTGGCCAGTGCTTGGTTCGACTTTGACGAAATCAAAGATAGATGCACTGTAAAAAAAGTCAGTGATTTTTGAAGGTTTTTTTGCCCACAAAAAGAGACAATTGCTTGCATGAGTCCAAGAATGAAACTCAGGAATCATCTTTTCGGAGACTCACACCGAACTCTCAAAGTTTGATGTCCATAGAGCACCTTCCGATTTAGTCTCGTGGGATCGACTTGACGACATGTCTAGACAGAGTAGGGAACTTTCTTCGGGCAGGCTCAGTAACCTACGAGAGTCCGGATAGTTCATACTGGACCATGCTGAAAGAATGTCGCGATCGGCCAAATTCGGCGTGTAGAGACTTAAGTGGAGCGTCTGTGTGTATGAGGGATCGTGCTTGGCATGGATGGACAGTGAGTAATCTTTGGAAGTGAACTTGGTCATTTCATGCTTGTTTGCTTTCAGTGTTCGACGGTGCCTTGACTCACCAGTCCGGCCGATCAACGCCCACTCGCCTTCAGAGGATGGATCTCCAGGGTTTACCCGTAATTGATGGTCTGACAGGCGATGATTCTGCTCATGATTTTGTCGCTCAGGGGAGGCTGGAAAAATTGCATCCCCTCCGTAGATGGCGCCTATCTCGCCTGTCCTTGCGTTGACTTCAACCAATCTTGATTCCTTCTTTCCGATGAAGACTCTCGAATCATCGCCGGGAAAGGAGAAGGGCGATAAAGTAATGAGTTGGGGTACGTTGAGTGGCAGTTTTCTGAGCTTCAGACCGCGTCTGGGCCCTTCCACATGGGGCGCGGCGTCGGCATCGTGAGTATCCCTGCCAGTGGCGACGAGAATGTAGATGTCACCATTGCCGGTGGGTTCTAGGACGTATAGTCCAGAATCCTCGGAAGCGCCCTTTGCAGGATCGAAAATTCGGGCCTCGCCCATCATTTCAGCAAAGGAGAGCTTCCGAGGGCCGTAGCTTGACCTGATCGACGGTCCGAAATCGCTTTGAATTTGCGACGCCTGTGATGTGATCGACCAGACTTTATTGCCAGTGTCGCGTTCAACGCCATGGAGAGAGCCATCAGTGCATGTCACCATGGCAATGTCCAGGAGCTTCAAGTCTCCGGCGTTGGAAATGGTAAGCGAAGGTATCAAGCCATGAGAAGGATCAGCGTCGCGCGATGCAGCGAGACCGGGCCGAGGGAGCGCCTGTGGTTCGTCATTGGAACCATCAACGCCGTGTTGCCCGTATGTTTGACTGACAGCGAAGGTCAGCAAACATATTACGCATAGCGTCGGGAAGAGTCCGAGCCGAAACGACCCCCTTCCAGGAGTGCTTTGTGCTCGAGCAGGCATTGCTTGGGATATTTCGAAGGCATGCCTGCAGCTGCGCTGAGCAGGGTCCCTTCAGAGGATGCCCTCACACATGCCCGTCCCGCCCGCAAAATCCGGGAAGCAAATTGTGCAACCCAGGAGATCCAGGAGGGATTCAGTATCTCGCTGCAGAAGGGCTTGCTACAAGGAGAATATCTTGTTGGCATGAGCTTTCTGTGGTGCAGAAGACGAAAGCCGTGCAGAACACCAGTGGGGGTGGTCGCAAGTTGATACGCTCATGAGAAGAAGTCACGAAGCCCAAGTGGCATTTAGGGCTTGAATGTCGGAAGTCGGAATTCACCATCGGGATTTAGTTCTAGGGACTAGGGAGTATTCCATTCGCATAGGGTCCACTCCATAGACCACCCTCAGTAGCCTGTAGTTGCGTTGGCTCAAAAATAACCGCTCATCGATCGCATCGGTCACCACCAACGGTACCAAATCCTCTTTTCCATTTCAAAGTCAACTCGCCTGTAATCTCGTACATCGCAGGACTTCATTGTCAACAGGACTGGGAATCCTCACACTCTGTGCATTGCAGAGCCCGTGTAGGTGGTGCTTGGTAACTCTGCTTGCTCTCAAAGTGCCGCAGCGCGCCCTCCACAAACGTCATGGACGTTCCCTTCGCTGCAGATGTCCTTGATGTGGATCTACTTCAGAGTGCTGTGCCGGAATCCGACCGTCAAATCGCGGTAGCGGCTCTTGTTTCCGGCAAGGTCTGCCTGATTGACTATTCGGATCTGCATCGCTCGGGCAGCAGCGGGACAAAGGTTGGCGAGCGCAACCACGTGGAAGATTCCGGACGGCCTGGGCACGATGCTGCGGCGGCGGGGAAGAGAAAACGGTCTGTGAACAGGTCGGACGAGCGTAATACTTCTCGACTGTACTCAAAAGCTTGGACTGTCAAGTCTGGCAGCAAGAGCTGTCGTGCTGCACGATTCAGCGTAGGTAAGCTCTGGGCTTCAGAGAGCAATGAGCTCTACCAAACATCTGATTTATTGTCTTCGGCTCGTGGCCAGATGGAACCTCAGTGTTTGCCATCGCCAAAGATATGAGCATCTCTCGAATCGATGTCCAGACCGGGTCCGTGCTACAGGAATGGAAAAAGGCACATGAGTGAGTGGAAGTCACCACATGGAAGAGTACCCAAACTCATGCAGGTGTTGCGCCTCCAGCGCCGCGCCTTCTTGCATCCTCCCTATCTCGTCCACAATGTTCGCTACAGGAGACGATGATGGCGTGGTAAAAATGTGGGACGCACGCGTGCCAACATCTTCTTTGCACAGCGGCATCGGCAATGCGGGCAGCCGGTCAAGTGTCCATAGCTGGTCACATCACTCGGACTGGGTGACAGACATGATGTGGAGATCTCACCTGAGAGCCCCCATGAAGCTGCGCAAAGATTCCAAACACAAGGCTCCTCCCCAGGACGAGGAAATACCTTCGGAGTCCAGAAGCCGCTTAATATGTGTCGGTGGCGACGGAATTCTCTCGGTCATCGATCCGCGAGCCGGAAAGAAAGGTGTGGAGTGCAGCGCAGATCAAGAGGACGAACTTCTATCCGTTCGAGCAATAAAAGGGTAGGTAGATCGCGGCGATATGTCCAGGTTCGTTCGGCTCACAGTCTCTTCTCCAGCGGTGACAAGATTGTCGTTGGCACGTCACTAGGCCCGCTGAGCATATGGGCCCCAAGCAAAGGCTTACTGGACCACGTCGATCGTCTGGCAGGTCATCCTGCCAGTGTCGATTCTCTTGATGTGCTCGATGAAGACACTGTCCTCACCGGTTCCAGCGATGGGTTGGTTCGCGTCGTACAAATTTAGTGGGTGTTACAGAACGTCCACGTGCAAAAAACAAGGCTCCAACACTGACAATACTCACATTCGTCGTAGTCCACACAAGCTGCTGGGTGTCGCCGCGGACCACGAGGGGTTTCCTGTTGAGCGTGCTTTACACGCTGGAGATTGGCTCGCAAGCATCGGGCACGAAAACTTTATACGCTTCACGAGCCTCAAGGACCTTCTAGATGGCAGCGAGGATGAAGGGACCGATGAGGATGCTGAAGTGCAGGGCTCAGGAGATGCAGCATCATCTTCAGGAGCCTCGGATGACTCAGATGCGGAGGTATCGAAATCGGCAAAGAAAGAAGCACGCGTCACAGCAACACTGAAACAGGCATCGATGCCAGAGGCATCAAGTAATTTTTTTGACGATCTATAAAGGTGTTTTGTGGACACAGCAGCCACTTCTAATGCATATCTATCAATCGAATGTGATCTTCCTGGAAGGGCCAGTGGAGTCAGCCAACGGCAAAATTTATATGAGACGCACCCCCTCCCCTCTACGCACTTTGCTTTCCCTGCCACGAATTCCTTGACGTGATCTCCATATGCGGCGTGAGACTTCTTCTTAATAGCTGTTATTGCAAAGGAGAATAAACTTTTAATGAGGACAGCCAGCGCGCTCCCATTGCAATTTTGGCGTGTCTCACTCTTTGGGAAACGATCCATTTCCTCTGGAACCGGTTGATCTGCGTCTTTCAAGATGCGAATCAATTCGCCTGCGTGGGCTTTGTCCTCGTCAGTGAAAAACGTGATCGATCGGCCGTCCTTCCCTCCTCTACCAGTACGGCCGATACGATGCACGTAGTCTTCCGCAGCTGTGGCGATGATATCAGCAGCAAGTATTGGTCAGATTCAGCGCTTTGCTTCGACCTGCCACCTTGCATGCATGTACGTACTCAATGGAAATGTGTAATTTATAACAAGCTCGACATTGGGGATGTCGAGCCCACGAGCAGCCACGTCTGCAGAAAAGCGCTTGACATCAGAGATATAATATCAAACACATGCAGCTTACTCACCTGTCGCAACAAGCAGAGGCGTCGCGGCAGATTTGAAGGTATTCAGACTTGAAATCCGATCATGCTGGCTGAGGTCCCCATGAATACCTGCAACCGAGTGGCCTTGTCTCCGTAGAGTGTTCTCCACCCTTTGGGCTTCCTAACGCGCATGATTGAACACACAAGTGGTCAGCCTTCCGCGGCGGCTCACTTGACGTAAGAGTGCTCTTACTTTCTTGTACAACGCAAAGATGAGTATTCTGTCATTCTTCGCGTTGGGTTTCGCTTTGTAGTAATTCCGCAATACGTCTTGTAGCTTCCACTCTTTCTCGCGACCCTCAAGCACGTACACAGTTTGCGTTATGCGCCTGTTCGCAGCCAGCTCATCGCTTCCCACAGTAACCTTGGCCGGATTGTGCATGAAGCTCTCTGCAAGCTTTCGAACTGCAGGTGGCCAAGTTGCAGAGAACATGCAAGTCAGACGCTTCTCAGCGTGAGACTTGGTCATCCCGATGAGCGCCCGAATGTCTGGCTCAAAGCCCTTGTCGAGCATTCGATCAGCTTCGTCCAGTACAAGGTAGGAGACACCACTGAGGTCTAGATGCCCATCACGAGCAAGATCTAGCAAACGACCCGGCGTTCCAACGATAGCCGAAGGCCGAAGCCTTTTCAGAGCCTTGATTTGCTCATCCTTCGAAACGCCGCCATAGACGCAGAAAGTGTCGACTTTGCATCCTTTCCCCAAGATGGACATCTGTTCTTGGGTCTGAATAGCAAGTTCTCGCGTTGGTGCGATGACAAGCGTGGAGACACCGTCCTTCTTATCCTTTTTGTTGTCGTTGCCGATGATTGCTTCGATCGCAGGAACTCCGAAAGCAAAAGTCTTACCAGAGCTTTGAATTTACTGTCAATGCCAACCAGGGCTTTCACGTTGAACCATGTCCCCATTCTCACCCTGTCTCTGCGATGCCCACAACGTCTCTTCCTTGTAGCAGCAGAGGCCAGCATGCAGCTTGAATCGGCGTAGGCTCTGTGAAGTTCTGCGATTGAATGACAGACATGATACTGCCATGGACGAGGGTTTGAAGAATTGCAAAGGAAGTGACAGCGGATGCCTGAATTGCGCTACCATCGTCCGCATTTTCGAGTGTGATCGATTTGTCTGCGAGATACTTCGCAGCCGTAAGCTCGCCGTCTTTGGCAGAAGACTTCAAAGATCGACTATCGAGGTTACTTGGTGTCTCGGGCAGCACTGTCTTCTCCACTTCACGCTTGGCTTTCTTGGCCGCTTTTCGAGCCTTCTTGGCCGCCCTTGACGCTTCTTTCGACTCTGCGCCGTCGTCATTGTCATGAACTCCTGGGGCCGGTGAGATCGAAGAATCGAGCTTCCGCTTCTTCTCTAAGTTCGCCTGCTCTGATATAACGTCTTGCGACGGCGTTGAGCTGACTTCGGAAGGAAGAATTGGCGCTGTCCCGTTCTGTTGCTCTTGTAGCAGCTTTTTTTGCGCTTTTCGCTGAAGCTTTCGCTGCTCCTTGTCGGACATGGCGCTGTTCTTTTACCTCTCAGCAGAAATGAAATGCAACAAAGTTCTTACGACACCCCACGTCTATTTCAGTGGGCTGCTGAACTACTGAGACGCGTGCGAAGGACGTGAGCTGCCGCGGGAATAGAGACGTATTATCGGTCATCCTAATGCCTTTGGACTATTGGAAGGGAGCTGTGTCAGATACCAAAAAATGATGATTATGCGAAAATTCTTCGGAATTCGGATCTGCGTTTGTCCTTTGTTCATTCATTCTTTTCGGGGTTCTTTTTTTAAAGCCGAGAAGGAAGTGAACGCCTGTGGACCACGGTTATGTTGGTAGGCGGGATTTACATAGAGATTGGCAAAGCCCCTTACCCTGCAACTCCGTTGGGATTGGATGTTCTCACGTGACACATGCCTCCAACTTTGGCAAGAAAGGTAACATGAGCATCAGCGTGGCACCAGCGGGCTCGAGAGGAGTTGCAACACAGCAACTGACGTGCAATGACTGAAAAGCCAGACGAGTTAATCGGCCTTGACCCGGAGACTACCATGGCGTTCAAGGGAAGATCGATCTCGCAGCTCAGAAGAACGGAAAGCCCATCAACGCGAATGCAACCTTTGGCGTATTGCAGGCGATCTTTACCAGCACAATGGGAAACAAGAAAGAAGATAGGAAAAGGAGGGACAAAGAGCCTGATGAGGGAACCAGAAATGGTGACCGTGAACATTTAACATCGGGTTCTCTCAAATGCTGGAGGTGCTTTGAAGAAGCCCGCCTACGTAGCGAGTGTCCCATGCCACCGATCACCAAGCTCCCCGAGATCTCAACGATCTTGAAGGACTACGCAGAACGGAACAGGAACCGCTCTGATCGAGCAGGAGCTGTAGAAGCGGGGAGTGGTAGCGGCAATGTTGGCCCGACTTCACAGAAGTTCGAGAGGCATCTGTGGCACACCGCGTTTCATAAAATTTTCGAATCATATAAGGTATGGACGTTTGGTCACGGAATGCAATGCGAAGTCTGAGATTGTTGGGTCTGCAGCTGAATATAGTCCGAACAGGCACAGTTGGCTGTTAGACACAGGGGCTTCCGTTTCTCTGGTCAACTCGTCGCACTGGTTTCTACCAAAGTGCGAAATGGCGGCCAATCACTCGGTGTTGTTGCCTGGTGGACCGCTGCGTACCACTACGGTTGGTGATGTTGCACTGAATATGGACATGAACGGACGGGAACAGAAGCTCGAGCTGAGGGAGGTCAGGCTCGCGCCGACCTGCCTAGTTAATATGTTGTTCATTGAGCACGCCAAGAGATTGTACCGCGGAAACAAGACAGTTTCGCTTGTCCGAGATGTTGCGGAGTTTTCATACGGTTTGAAGGGAGGTCTCAAACTCCTCACCTGTCATTGGCGGCAAGATGCACACTGATTGAACTTCCAGGGGAAGAGGGGATAGAGCATAAAGTATCGAGCATACCGAGCCTCCGATCCGCGTTGTCTGTGATCAGCAGGGACGACCCGTTCCTGCATGTTGATCAACCTGCCCTGTATCCAGAGCTGCATAAAGACATGTGCTATGGTGCAGCCATGGTGGCGATCACTAACACATGGCAACTCTGGCGCCTTTTTCCGTGTCTTCCTGGGATGCAGAACGAGACTGATGTTCGCACACAAGCCCAGACTTAAGGGTTGCGTCGACCTTCACGAGCACGGACTGGGAACAAGGAAGTGATCTCGTTGAAGTCAGTGTTGCAGCGGAAAAAGGAGGGCGAGGGGAGGGTCAGTCGATACAAGGCTCGTTTAGTGGCTCGCGGGTTCACGCAATTACAGGCTATTGATATGCATGTCACTCATGCGCCTGTTGTGGTGTAGGAGAGCTTCACAACGTTGGTGGCCTTCGCGGCAGCAAACGGCTTCGTCATGGTTTCCTGTGACATGCCCAACGCATACGTCTACTGACCACTGCGTCACACGGTATACGCGGATATTCCCAAGCACGCCCATGTTCAAGGTTTGCGTGATGGCCGGAAAGACAAGTGCTACGACTGAAGATGGCGCTGTATGGGATTTGCCAGAGCGGATATGAGTGGAACGAGGTGGCGGTCGAAGCCCTGAAGGAATTCGGGTTTCAGTTGTTCTACCTCGGTCTAGCGCTCTTATATATACCACTCACAGTTGAGGCCCATACTCGGTCTTGGGTCCATGGCCTCAACCTTCATAGGCCCATCAGCAAGAGTCGAGCATCTTCACGCCTTTCTCAAGGACAAGTTCTCGGTAATGCAGGAGCAGCGGCTGCTTCGTCGTGCTTCGCTTCATTGGCTCGCGTGTCCGCGCTCCCGCTGCTCCTGCATCACGTGGTCGCCATTAGCCATTGCTTTTATGGTGCCGTTATTGGGCAGCGGAAACGGCATGGAGATTATAAGACCAGGTTTAAACAACGATATCCTGCTCTCCCTGCAATGCAGGGAATCACAGCCGCAATGCCAAATATGTCGGCCAATGCAGGTCATGCAAATGTGGACAGTGAGCGGTGGCACTTACGCCTCGGCCATGGGGGATGACTTGCATACACGGTCTGCAAGGCAAAGGGCCTACCCGTCACCGAAGGTGACCAAACATGTGAAGCATGCGCGCTCGGAACAGAGGCCTACACCCCCATACGGGACCACAAGTGAAGAAAGCAGAGCACGAAATGTGCTTGAAAGGGTGAACACAACCATCGCTGGAATTATGCATATGGAGAGTGTAGATGGCGAGCTCTATTTCCCGACATTCACAGGTGAAAGCTCGGGCAAGCTCTAGGTTCACACTGGCAGATCGCAAGAATGCTGCCGAAGTCATCGGCATCTTGATCCGTTAAGTAGAGAATGATAAAGGTAAAGAGATCAAGACCCTTCCGCTCGGACAACGGCCGCGAGTACCTCAACATGCGGTTGCAGCAATTCCTCCGACGATATGTATCCAGCACGAAAGGTCAGCCCCATACACACTTCAATCTGGCTCTCCTCCACATGGTCCGAGCATGAATCAGCGAGTTGAAGGTGGGAAAGGTACACTGGGGTGACATAATCGCAGTAGCAGCCTACATGTACAACCACCGCGTACGCATCGTGAATTGCGATGGTCGCACGATAACCTAGATTTTAGAAGAAGCATACTGCAATCGCAACACATTGATCGATTACCTTCACGCAGTAGGCTTGGCAGCCTAAGTTGTGCGCGATGGAGCCCTACAAAGCACCAAATTGGACGAACACACAGTCAAGGACATCCTCGTTAGGTGTGGCAGCGCCACAACGTACCGTGTCTTGATTCCCAGCCTCAAGCAGCGCATGTAGCGTGGACACGTCAGGGTCATCGAGACGTCTGACAGGCCTGCATGTAGTGACGAGGAGCACGAAACTATCGGCTGTGAAAGAAACCACTACGAATGATGGTTCCGAAGTGACCGCGTGGAGTTCGGGTCAGGCAAATTTGGCGAAGAGTGGAACAGCGACGGGCGCTGCGGACACTAGCACAGCAAGTCGAAGAGGGGCGATCCTTGCAAGAGTACCAAGAACCCACTTGAGAATGCCGACTTGTACCAGCAAGACGCCTGTGTCTTCTGGCACGTAGCATCAACCTACTTATCAGCCACCATTTTTTTTGATCCAGCAGCGCCTCATACTTACACTGAAGCTCTTTGAAGCGATGGCGTCAGCAAGTGGGAAACTGCAAACAAGAGCGAGTTCGATAGCCGCAAGAACAACGAGACATGGATTGAGGCAAAACTGCAATCAGGCAGGCGAACTGTAGCGTGAAATTAGTAGTTAAGGACAAACATGATAGTAATAGTACCGTGCAGCAGTATAAAGAGAGTGTAGTCGCCAGGGGCTTCTAGCAGAGTGTGGGGCAAGGTTATCATAAGTTGTAGGCGCCTGCCTCCTGACTAACCACCTCCGTACAATACACACTTTAGCCGCCATGAACAATCAGTATTTCTATCATCTAGACGTTGAGCCGCCTACTATACGGGAAGTGCGAGGAGGAATTCTACCTCGAATATCCCCCAGGAGTGCAGTACTTGACCAGTACGCACGTGCGATTGCGCAAGAGCATTTACGGATTACGGCAAGCATTTCGGAACTGGCATATTAAGTTCGACGAGACCCTTCGACAGATCGGCAGTGGCGAAGGCGACCAGTGCTTATATACGGGTACGATCGATGGCAACTCCATGATCTTGATGGTTTATGTCAACCGGCTTGTTATTGCAACCGAGCATCAGGAGACGACCTTTCGACTTCGAGACCTGCTGCTGAAGGCCTTCCGCATCAAGGACCTTGTCTGCTTCAGCACTGTCTCGACCGATGGACCCGATGCAACATGCACACGAGCAGCATCTTCGTCGACCAGGTAGGCTCTGCAGTTTCGATACGTAGAGGGTTCGACGTGGCAGAGTGCAAGGGTGCCGCAACCCCTGCCTCAAATATGCAGGCGGATGTGGACCTTGACAAGATGATCAAGACCACGCATTTCAACCCTGCAGTCATCGGGTCTTTGCCCTACCTCGCACTCTGACAGGCCAGTGCGGAGGCGACGGTAGCAGTTTGACAGGCTGACAGGAGGATCATGCGGTACATCTAAAGTCCCTACAACTTTGGGATTAAGAACGATCGCGCCAGCGGAAGGAATCTAGTCAACTTCTGCAATTCAGACCAAGCCGCAATGGCAGCAAGTCTATGACGGGTTTCATGTCCTTCATCCCATCCGGCGTCATTAGCTGATTGTCTCGATAGCAGATTAAGGCCCTGCATTCTTCACAGGAGGCAGAGCAGATGGCAACATGTGAGGCGAGCCGCGAGGTCGTTTGGCTGCAGAAGGCTCTTCGGGAGAGCTGCGTACTCTAACGAGCATGGTTATCGAAAGCATACAGCAAGCACTGTGACGTCGAAATTAAGTATGCACAGAAAACACATAGTACCGACATCGTCAAGTTCAAGAGGGTCGATAGCAATGCCAATATCGCCGACCACATATCAAGCTATTACAGGGCAAGCAGTTGGAAACGAATCGCGCGGCAACCAGCATCCTCGACTGCATGAAACGAATCCCGTTGCCGAGGAGTGATACAGAGGTGGCGGCAGCACGAACGAGCGAGCCAACGGAGCGAAACACATCAAAGCAGCACAGCCGGTGTAACAACATCGAGTGCCATGGAAGGCTCGAGAACAAGGAACAACTTACAGCAGTTGCACGTAAAAAGCCAGCATCTTACGGATACATACAGGGCCATAAATAACGCCCAGAGCTCGTGTAGCATAGATTATAACAAGAGCCCAGAGCATCCTAACCTAGTCGCAATGAGCCATTCCTTCATGAAGCACAACGAGAATGTCAGAGTATGTTGTCTTGGTCGTATGGGCCACTCTCTTCCATACAATTGGCCCATTTAGAGAAATTGACGCATTGAATTAATGCATTTAGAAAACAAGGAGTAAGAAATGCCGTCATACTAGATACGTCTTCGCATAACTGTTAATTATGTCCCTTTTGACCGCGGCCGCCGCAGCTGTTTCTCCCCTCGTCTTCTTCACTATCGAGGCAGCGCCTGGCACGGCTGGTTCATTTATCAGACCACATGTGCCTCGCCCTTGGGACCTCTTTTCTTTTGCCAAGTGACAGCATGCGAGCATCGATGTCGGCTTTAAAATCATCCATCAGGACGGCTTGTATTGCCTCTGAATATTGCTCAACCCAAGCGTATGATATGGCCAAATCTTCAAATTAATCGGCATACACGTTCGATTGAGCCTTGGCATGATTTAGCGTTGCCAATGTGTGGTGGCAAGGCCTCCCTGACGCTATCCACCAAGTACGAGCGTAAGTACCCTCTCCCAAATCCACTAACGCCAATAGCCCAGACCCTGGGGCGCTCCAATTTGGGTCACCTTATACACATATTCGTCCCTGGGCGTAACGTGGTGAAGGGATATTGCCTTCTCCAGGTCCTTGCGAAATGTGTGATGGGTTCACGCGTCGCGTCGTAGTTGCCTATTGCAACTTTTTTTTTGCTTCCGTACAATCAATGCCAGGTCCACTATGACCAGCACTCATTGTGAATGGACACTCGGCATCGTAGGAGCCGAAGCGAAATATATTTTCCGTTACTCTCCTGTCTTAGAAACCTTATGATGCGTAGTGCACGGACTTACCCACTCCATCACGATGTGATATGTGTTAAGTTAGGACAACCAAATCAGCATACGGTGATAAGGCAGAAGCAGTAGAGTGCATGTAGTTAAGAGGGAAGAGCATAAAGGCGTAACCAAGCATAGCAAAGTATAGCGTGAGTTGGTAGGGGTGGTATGGCAGGGTATCGGCCGTATTTGGCGCCATGACAAGCCGTAGTAGCTGAACGCCCGACGGCCGAGCTATGAGCACAGAAAATGGAAGTTGGAGGTGCTGTGGGCACGCATTACGCATGCGACCTTCGCAATCATGGAAGCCATTGGAGCTTTGTGGGGTTGTGTTCAAGGTAGGGTCTAGACCTTCGTGGTTGTGCTAAGGCTTGCCAAGTGATTCGAGCTCACACGTCTTCCCAGTCAAGCCGCCGGCCTGCTCCATGAGATCTTTCGGCTGAGGGTGATGGCACATGGCAGGTGCGAATGGTGCAGAATACCCAGGTTTATGCGAAGGCGTGGAGCCCTTCCCGCGTGCGCAACAGCATGAGTAGCAACATTCCTGTCACTCATCAGCGTCTGTGCTACTCTTCGCAGAGGTTGATTCCTTCGTCCAGACGCTACACGTAGCTGCTGATCGAGCATATCGAGTTGTGGAGATAATCAAACTGTAAACCATTGAGTACCGGGCAAACATTTTGCACACATGCGCACACAGCTCGCTTAATTCTGTTGTAAGTCCACAATGCACTCTGCAACAAGGCCCGTGCCACGTTTCTCGGTGCTTGGAGAGCGAGAAACCGCACAGGCGTGGGCGAGCGCACCGCGCGGGTGAGCTTGAAGACGCCATGTGTTCTGCGAAGCAAAGGGGGTTTGCTAACACGAGGCCTTAGCCTGCTCCGGTCGTGCTTGACAAGATACTATATGGCAATGAAATATTCAAAGGCGCGAAGACGAGTGAAGTCCTTTGCCCCATCAATAACCACTTAGTAACCGGATCAATCCATGCGAGCATCTTATCACGCCTCTTAATGGGCGGCGCCGGAATCTGCTGCCGTGCTTCGTTTATTGATATGGCTGCGAGAGCTGCAGCTTGTATGCCCCTAGACAGAAATCTTAGTTGAATACAATCAGCAAAAATTGTACGGCCCTGCCTGAAGTGCGCCCCCTACTCCCTGCTCCCATGCCCTTTCGTTTAAGGCCGTAATCTATGCGAAAGTGCAAAAAATGCAGTGATGAAATGCGCCCTCGCTTGTGTGACGAGGCTCTAAAGGGGGTCCGTCCTGTTCCGTCAGCAATCAGTTGTGTCGCAATAGATGGCAGAAAGTGGAGCAAGGGACAAGCACGCACATTGCACGTCCCAATTTTACACCTCCTTTTTAGATACTGTCAAGTGAGCTCATTGGCTTCATTCGGGAGATAAAAAGTTTAGCCTGTAAAGTGCTGCGGAATCTGCGCGGTGATGCTCGTTTTTACGACAGGGATAGAGGCCCCGTCGAAAGATATGTCGAACTGGTGGGACGGTGCGTCCTCTCTTATCGAGAGGTCGAGCACGAAATCAGCTTTGTACGCACGTGAAGGTTGTCTTTGGTGTGACACGTCCGTCGCGTCGGAAAAGCAAGCCTCATAGAATGATATCAGGTTCGAAGACGAGGCAATTGCGCCAGGCGACGCTGGAACGTTGCTCATCAGCTTCTTGAGTCTGACGGATGGGCCCTTCTGATTCGCACGCGGCTGCTTGCGATGAAGAGTCGTGTGGATATTTTCACCGCACATGTGACCATATGACTAGCCTGGATGAAAAGGTGCCTTGAACAGCGCATCTAGTCGGTCAGCTCCCGCCCTCGTAGTCGGAACTCCACACACTGAGGGACCGATACAGCAGTGATCAAGATGGCCGGGTATCTCGCGGGCCTCTGATCGGCTCGACAGCAATCCCGCGCCTAGATGCACAGTTCTGCAGGACACTTCGACCAAGAATGACAAGATAGATCTCGCCTAGTCCGGTCTGAGGCTCTTGTCGCTTCGACTTGACGCGACGACGCCTTCGCAATGCCACAAGGAGGATCTGTGTGGTATGGTTTGAAAAGTCTACGGCATTGTGAATGCATAATTCTATGTAAAAGTCGCCGATCCACTTGTAATTATGTAGGTCTAGGTCTCGAAGAAGAGACTCCCATTGAGAACCAGCTGATTCGGTGCATCCGGCATCTTCTCTCTTTCCCTTGTAGTTTGTTGAATGAAGAAAAGAAGGAGCGAAAGGAGAGTTAATTTTCGGACACACGGCACTAGTAACTGATAATCCAAGTTTCTACACATTCCGACAAGAAGAACTTTAGAGTCACTCCTTGCTTAGTGCGGACACAAGCTGATTCGAGCTCATACTTATCACGCTCAGAGGCTTTGAGAACCCCACAAGACGTATCGTGCCGAGTGAGAACCTACGTTGGCCAAGATGCAGCCTTACTATGCACAAGACGTGGATGAAGAGGATGAAATTCTTGCCGATGGGGAGGTCGACTTCGGCGTCGACTATGTAGATGGTAACTTTGGTGATGGCGTAAACGCTGGTAAGTATTTTGAGCTGCTTAGAACGAGCTTCCCTAAGCTGAAACTCTTGCAATCAATAGCCCTCCTTGCAGAAGCTCAGCAACAGCAACAGCAGCAGCAGCAGCAAGCAGCTGCTTTGGCCGCGGTTCCAGACGCAGTCAAGAAGTACATCGTGGCATTCCATCAAGCTATTCAGAATAACTCCCTGGGGGAAATTTCAGCGGCATACGAGGGCTCTTGGAACCGTCTCACAGACAAATTCTACGCCAAGTCAGAGTGGCCAGAAGCGGAGGTTATTGCTCCTCTCGTGCAAGAAGGTGCAGTAGCTTTCCACACTGCCACCTGCTCAAGTCAACAGCTGATTCTTTTTTCTGGCAGATCAACAATTTCTGACTCTCTACCGCGAGCTTTGGTTCAGGTAGGTGTTTTGCATCTGGGTGCAGGAAGACGTGGCGACCGATACCTTTTCTCCTTCTTTAGGCATGTGTACTCCAGACTGTCTCCCGCGGGTGAAGACCGCTTCAACTCGTATGACAACTACTGCGACCTTTTCAACTTCGTCCTCAGTGAGTGCGGGCTTCGTGCATTAAGAAGGAATCGCCCTAATGGACGTATGTTTCCTCTTCTCAGACTCGGAGGGGCCGGTGCCTTTAGAGTTGCCTGCACAGTGGCTTTGGGACATTATCGACGAATTCATCTATCAATTCCAAAGTTACTCGCAATGGCGCAATCGTGTCTCAAACAAGTCGGAGGAAGAGCTCGCACTGCTACAGGATGGCGGTGTTTGGAGCAGCTACAGCGTGCTGAATGTTCTGTACTCACTCATTCAAAAGAGCAAAATCCTCGAGCAGCTGGCCGCTACCGAGGCAGGAGAGGATCCTGCGTGAGTGTTCTCGACCGAATTCTCAGAACAAAAAAGGATGATGATAAGGCTAACGTGTACATACTGTGGGGCGCAGCTCTGTTGCTGGCGACTTTGGTGAAAAACCGCTGTACAAGCTGCTTGGTTACTTCAGCATCATCGGCTTGCTGCGCGTCCACGTCCTTTTGGGGGATTATACGCTGGCGTTGAAGATGCTGGACCACGTGGAGCTCAACCGGAAAAACAGTTTGATCACAAGAGTTACCGCTTGCCACGTCGCGGCTTACTACTATATTGGCTTTGCGTACATGATGCTCGGACGCTATCCAGACGCTGTTAAGTCCTTCACCCACATACTCGTCTTCATCATGCGCCTTCGCCAGTATCACACGCGCAGTTACCAGTACGATCAAATCAACAAAACGGCAGACCGAATGTACGGGTTGCTCGCGATCTGCTGTGCCCTTTGCCCAACTCGCCTAGACGAAAACTTGCAGACCACGATGAAGGACAAGTATGGCGATCAATCTTCTCGCATGAGCAAAGGGTGAGCACACCATCCAACTGGTTGCGCTAAGGACTCATTTGCGTCAAGCTGACCACATGCCCATCTTCTAGCGACCGCACTGCCTTTGAAGAGCTTTTCATCTACGCCAGCCCAAAGTTCATCACCACCAGCTCGCCACCCTATCACGATTCGGAAGCCATGGCATCTTTCGACGAGAAGACCCTCGCCGACCCCGCTCAACACCAGCTGAAGGTCTTCATGGCCGACATCTCCACGCAATTACTCAACTCTGATGTCCAGTCTTTCATTCGGCTTTACAAGTCTCTAGGGACAGACAAGCTGGCAGATTTCCTTGCTGCGGACGAGGAAGATGTTATCGAAATGATGATGGTAACGAAGGGCAGCACCCGACGTCTCAAGTGGAGTGAAGGAGGGTTGCTGGAAGGTGAAGTGGTGAACACCAGCGACCTTGACTTCAACATTGATGGAGTGAGTGTCATGGAAGGCACATGTTGACATCTTCAGATGTGAACCTAAGCATTACAAATGACTGACAAAAGGACCTTTCGCACCAGAACATGATTAACGTGGCTGAGGTCAAAGTTGGACGCAGGTATGGTGATTGGTTCCTGCGGAACGGTACTCGTATGCACGAGGCTCTATTGAATATCAAGGCGAAGCCGCTCCCGGCCGGCACTCAAGGCTTACAACCGAGCGCTACTCGTCCTGGACCGCCCGGACGAGCTCCGCGCCAAGAGTTCAGACCTCAGGGCGCATGGAGCGCGAAGACACCAGCCACGGTTGCATAGATTGCCAATGGCACACCACCCTGCTCGCAAAGGACTAGCCTTCCTGTCGTCATCCGCAGAGACCGGGAGAAGCAGATGATGTATGTTACAAGAATGATGATGAGCCTCGACCAAATCGATCTGATAACCCTGCAGCCTGTTGAATAGTCTTCTTCCTGGCCCTCTCATCCACGAGCCTTCCCCCGATACTCATTGCTTTCTCCCAATCCCAAGAGCCGACGGTGGTCGCACTGCTCGAGCCAGGTCGATCATGAGAAGACACCGTTTCGTCTTTGCGGGAAGAATAGTCGATCGCCTTGGAACACCTCCTTGAAGACCTCTTGCGGGATCTTTCCTCCCCATCGTCGTCCCCAATTGGATCCTTACGTGAGCGGTGCTTGCGTTTGTGTCTCCGCGCCTCATCCCCGGCTTCATGTCCGAGTTTACCCGAGACGTCAGATTCATCCTCCCGCCCGCGCTTCTCTCTGTGCGAAGAGTCTTTCGTGAGCCTTTTTTCTCGGTCAGGCTGCTCATCTTTATTGCTGTCGTGCACACGTCGCTTGTCGCGATCGCGGGAGGAGGATGAAGAGTGACGATGAGAGCGATCACGCTGACGCTCTCTGTTCTGGGAGGAATATTCGTCTCTTCGTTTTTGCCGGTGAATCTCGAGGAGCGTTTGGGAACGTGATGGATCTCGCTCGATCGCTTCTGCCCTCTGATGCTCCCTGGAATTGCGCAGCTTCACTTCCCACGAAGCCTCGACGCCGAGAGTGGGCTGAGCCCCCTGAACGCTGCCCTGAGCCTCTCGATGGAGCCTCTCTGTCCGCTGCTGCGGAGTCTCCGTCCAGAGATTCGAGTCCTGGGCTGGTCCTGTAGCACTGCTGATGCCCGACCGCGCTTGCACCCGATTGTTCTGAGAGAAACCCCGTGACTTGAGTTTTAGTGGGTCGCCTACCAGGTCTTGAACGCTGGTGCGCTTTGGTAGCTGTAGCATCCATTCTGGACGGCTGGTCTGCTCTCGTGCTCTTGCTTCTTCTTCCTGTGGAATTGACTCCAGTCAATCATCAATCAAATGGTCGAGAATTGTGCACTGAATAACATGGCCTCTCGCACACACCTGCTCTCGCGCTTGCCGCATTCTCTCCTCTCGCTCGCGGAAAGATCTGATCGCTTCCGTATGGTCTCCCTTATTTACCTTTGCAGATAAAGGGGCTGGTCCGATCATGTCATTGTCGTCGCTCTCGCTCTGCGATTCGCTGCGCGTTCTGGCGCTCTGACTTCCATCGGAAAATCCGTGAGACCGACTGTCTTCACGATCAGACCTAGAGTCTCTGGCGGTGGGCTGAAGCCCATTTGCACGGTGCTGGGCTGTGAGCGTATCGGGAAGGCTTGGGCCGATCATCATTGCTGCTGGAATGTTGAGCTGCTGAATCATTGCCTCCGTCGAGCAGATTGCCCATCGCGCGAGCAGAACGACGGGAGAAGCGCGCGCCTCCGGGCAGAGAGCGTGTCAGCTGCGATTTTCATAGATGCCCTCGAATTCAGATGTCAGCATGAAGATGCATGGTTTGCCTTATGTATGCACGGCGTGTCGGTCAGTTCTTGTACTTGTATATACATACAACAATGGCGCTCTTGAAGTCTTTAAATGCTGGTTGTGCTCAAGGACGTCGGGAAGTCCGGTTCACAGTCGAAAGGAAGCTCGGACATTCGACAACCTCCTAACGACAAAACGTGTCACGTGACCACCCGCATACATATTTCTATTTCACACTTGCTGCGACCCGTTCGCCGCAACCGTGCAACAATCACAACCAGATCGAGGAACAACAACACCACCCCCTTGCAGCAAGGAAGCCTGGCCACGTCGGTATGAATGGCTGTATGTATGTATTTTTGTTCCATCTCCAGGGCTCTCCTAACAATGCTTCACGCCCCAGAATCACAGTCTGAGTCTGGCCGCTGGCATCTGCAGTCTTTCTGGGAAGCCAAAAAGGTACTTTTCCTCTTGGCCATCTGCAAAATGCAGAGAGAGCCCTCCCTTCCTCTTGCAGTACATAGAGGGAGCCACCGTCTCTCAAACAAACGGCGCCGAAAGGCTGACCCAACAGCACCACGCCTCGCTGTCAAGTCTGGCATATTATGATGGCATGGATGCATCATGATGACAATCAATCAATCATCTTCTTTCGCTCCCTGCCTCGAACTCATCGCTCTTGCGCCTCTCTTCCCTTTCTGGTTGGCTTTGATCCCTGCTTGATCCCCATTTTCCCCAGCAGCAGGTTCGTTTCATCTTCGCTCAGTTGATGACAGTGTCCCATCCAACAATCTCGTCTACCTAGGCACCGATTTCGGCTTTCAGCATCTCGCAATACCGTTTGGAACGATAGCTCCTTCTCCAACTAGACATCTCACATCAAACGCAGATTCGTTGCACGTCTTGCGCGACATCGGCCAGGGTTACACGATACCTGTACAGTACCCAAGTGAAGTGGCCGCTTTCACCCGATCCCACGCCGCACGCCATCATGATTGCCTTTCCGCACCGCGGCCCTATATTGGTTACCATCATGTCCATCTCAGCGCTAGCGAGTCAGGCTCAGCCAATGGCCTTCGAACTTTACACATCCCGCGAAGCACATCGAGCCATCGCTGCTCGCTCACCTAGCTCGCAGCGCCTCAATGTTCAAAGGGACCCCTTCCATTCACTTTTCGACCTTGACGAGGGCCTGCTGCTCCCAAATGTTGCCGCTGTGCTCAGTCCGAGATATCGCGTCTCGACACAGTCGCCGCACGAAAACCGTCATGGTGTGCTCTCACTCTCTTTGATGACCAGATCGGATCCCCACGCTCCGCACAGCAGGCGGAAGAGACATGCCGCGAAGACCAAGAGACTGCTGAGCACAGGTGCCAAATCGTTGGACGCGGCCTCGCTCTTCAAAGTCTCCAAGTTCATCAAAGACCAAGGCTGGGGAGTGTACACAGCACAGACCTCCAACACGGAGAATGACAATGAGGTGATTTAATGCGTGTGAGAGAGACAGTCTGTTGCCGCACCTGATTGATCATCTTTTGCCATTGTCTTACCGGCAGTGGCTCGTTGAAGTCGGATTCGGCACGCCGCCCCAGCACCTCAAAGTCGTCTTTGATACTGGGTCGCCAGACACTTGGACGTACTCCCCTGATTGCTGCTACCTCTCTAACCACGACTACTTCAATCCGTCCAGCTCTTCTACCTACACAAATCGTACTGTCGATGATGAAGGAAACGTCGAGAAAGCTGAAGCAGGGGCTCCGGGCGAGGCATGGAAAATTTCCTATGGTGGAGGGAGCACAACGCAAGGGTACATCGGTATGGACACCTTCACCTTCTCGGACGGTGCTTTGCAAGTTCCCTCTCTTCCTCTTGCCTTGGCCACCCAGATCACGGGCACGTCGCGAGCCAGTCGTGCGATGGAAGGCTTGGTCGGACTCTCCAACGGTGCCGCCAGCCCAGCTGCAGGAGGCTGGACGACACCACTTGAAGCCTTGGCCAGAGATGGTAAGCTGCAGCACCCATACTTGACGGCATCGCTTGTCAAGGGCGACCGACGCACCGGGCAAGGAGGCGGAGGCAGCTACATTCTCGGAGACTTGGACACTGTGTACCAGGACGGCCCTGTGATTTGGAGTGACGTGACATCCTCCATCTATTGGGGGACTTCTTACGATGACATGCGCATCGGCGGCCAATCCATCATCCCGTCAAACCAAACGCGTGCAATGATCATGGACACTGGCTCAGCCCTCATCAACCTCCCTCCAGCAGCTGCCCGACGCGCAAATGATCGTATCCAAGGGTCAACATACTCTGACACGCTCGGATATTGGCTCGTCCCCTGTGACACTGGTCTACCGGAGTACGAAAGCACTTTATCGACCAAGAACCAAGAATTCATTCTGGAGGTAAACTCTCATCCGTTTGCAGTTCCGACGGAAGACTTTGTCTTCTACCCCAATTTATCCGTCCCTGCAAAGAGCGCTGGCGGCCAGGATGGCATGTGCATCAGTGCCTTCCAACAAGGACCTGAGCAATTCTCCATCGTTGGGCTCACCTTCATCAAGAATCATGCAGTGAGTTGAAACTGGCTTCTAGGCTTCCTGTAATCCTTTGCTCAGACGTTTATGCTTGCCAGGTGACATTTGACATTGGAAACGGACAGAGAAGGGTCGGTATCGCGAACAGAACAGACACGGGTTTAGCTTGACGGGTTGCATTAGACTACATTGAATTTGCGTTTAGTTGTCACGGGAAATTGGGTCGATGTATCGATATCGTCTTCAAAGACGCCCAACGAAGCCTGCTTGCGTGACGCAGCTTGCGCCTGGGCATATCGCAACCCGCTCATATTGAAACCGACCAGAGTCTGTTAAAAAGGCAGATTGAGCATCACTGCCTTCGAGCGTAAGCAGAGCCAATCCTCACCTTGTTCTTGAGTAGTGCTGCGCGAAGGCTGGTGCGCAGTCTATTGATAGTGCCACGCAAAAGCTTGTTACTCGCGATCTGCTGGTGATGTGTTCTTAAGAGGAAGAAGAGAATGCGGGACGACAGCGGCAGGGACCATTCCTGAAAAGGGAGGGAGTGAGATTCAGTAAGTACATTTGGGTGGGGCCAACGCCAACATTCACCAACCTTTTGAAGCCACGTATCAATGTACTCGAATAGTGATGTCACATTGTGAAAGGGCAAGAGTAGCAGCACGTCCGTCAGTTGTGTCGATGGAATTTTCTCCACGACTCTGAAAACAAAGCGCGCTGGCATTTGTTCGTCGCCGTCCTGCAAACCAGCGAGCAGCGCGGCGCTGCGTGGAGGAGGCAAAGGATCGGCCTGTTCGTGCCTGTCGCGGTCGGCGACCTCAATTGCCTCGATGAGCCTTTCTCCTGTTGTGAGCGAGGTGTGTGCGGGTGCAGTCACGAGCGTTGCCTCGGGTTGGGCACTCGCCTTTGCCTGTCCATCCGCATCTGCCAGCTGGCCGATTTGCTTCTCGTCATCGGTGCGCGAGTTCCCAGCGTTCTGATAGACCATCTCCAACTGGCGCTCGCGCTCCTCTTCAAGAAAGAGAAGCTCGTCTGTCTTTTCCCATAATCGAATGCTTCTGTCGGCGCCTGCCGTCACCACTTTTGACCCTCGGCCGTCTACATCCATAGCCCAGATTTCACCGTGGTGACCCTGGAGTGTTTGCACAGACTCGAAGTTGTCGCCGTCCCAGAACTTGAGCAACCCATCTTTGCCCGCGCTCCAAAAGCGATGACTATCGCCTTCACGACCACCCGAGAGGCCGCCGCCTTGTTGACCCTTTTCGAATTGAACGCACATCACGCTGTCCGCATGCGCAATGAGGCTGCGATGACAGTCGCCGAAGTCGAGCCCCCATATTTTGACATTCTTGTCCGCACTGCCCGTGATGATCAACTTGGAGTCTAGGGAAATGTCCAAGGTAAGAACCGGCAGCTTGTGCCCGTAGAGAGAGATGAAGAATTTGAGAGAGTCGGCAAAGAAAACCTTGACAGTGCTGTCAAGCAAAGCCAGAGCCAGAAGCTTCCCATTGGGAGAAAAACAGGCGCAAAGAATGTCGTCGGTCATTTTGAGGGTGCGCACATGTTCGAGGGAGAGTTTATTAGGCGCCGGATTTGCCGACTCGCGCTCTTCCTCCATTTTGTCGTCATCCGCATCGCTTGAGAACTCCCAGAATTTGGCCGTCTTATCAGCGCTCACACTGACGAATCCGCTCCCATTAGGTTTCAGGGCTATCGACCATACTGGCCCGTCGTGTGCTTTTATAGCCTCCACCTCGTTGCCACTTGCGACCTCGTAACTGTGGATCGAGCCATCCTTGCAACCGACCAGAATATGAGAGTCGTCCGGGAGCCACGTCAAGCAGAGAGCATAGCCGCAAGGCATGGTCCGTAGACATCTTCCGACAGCGAGGTTCCAGACCTTCACAGAGCCACTCGAACAAGCGGAGGCGATAAGCTCACCATTGTGCGAAAGGGCGATGGCGCGGATGTCCGCTCGGTGCCCAGGTAGTTCGAGCCCAAATGAGGCGACAAGGCCCGCGTCCAAGCTTTCCGCCTCCTTTCCTTTGGCTTTGGTCGAGACTTTCCGGATCTCGAGAGCGTTGTTACTGAGCACGAAGAGCACGGGGTGGCTGTGCGATTTACTCTCAGCTGGTGTGTGACTGTCGCCAAAAGCAAAAGCGCGGATGCGACCATCCTGGGGCCGCACGATCTCGCCAACCTCTATGTGTGATAGCCATACAAGTTCTCCCTCTGGCGGTGGTTGTGCTAGCGAGTTCTTGTCTTCGCCGCCTTTCTGCTGTGCCTTCTCCTTTGCGCGCTTCAGTCTTCTCGCCATCTTTTTGCGAATATCGGTGGCAGACCGGAACGAGTAGGTTTGCAGCGTACGATCGGATGTCAAGGCTGCGATCTGACGACTGTCCGGCCTTTGCTGGGGGCGAGGAGCAAGCGCGATCTGCATGACCCTCTTCGATGAGCCATGAGGGAGAGTGCCCTGCAGTTGCACGGAAACAGGAAGCAACTGGTTTGCAGTAGAATCTGTAGGTGTTCCACTGGGTTTCGTTTCTGATGATTTCTGAGCTTGCAGTAGCGAACACTCCCACATCTTGATCTGCCCTTCGCTTCCACCTGTGAAAATCAGCGCTGACGAAGCGGATTGCTCTGCTTCTGGCAGATCAGAGGCGTGTACAGCGCAGACCGACCACAGCTCCCCATCCCCTGGCGCCACCGTTTCCACGCAGTGCTGCAGCTCAGTGTCCCAGAGCTTGAGAAGACCATCTTTTGAAACACTGGCCAAAAGGCGACCTGGGGCAGAGCGAGTTGCAGTGCTCGAAGACGAAGAGCTGCTCTCGTCAACATGGGAAATTTGTGGCATGAAAAGGATGTCTGTAACGCTGTCTCTATGTCCTTGCAGCCTTTGCCGAACAAAGAGCGATTGTGTATCAGTGCCGGAATGCCTTATCGTTCGGCAGATCATCAACTGCACTAACCGGAAAAGCCCTTGTTCAGCAATGGCGTCCCATAGTACGATCGTTGTGTCTTGCCCGGAGCTTGCGAGCCTCATTCCATTTGAGTCCCATGCGATACATGTGACGGTGCCCTTGTGGCCGTTGAAGGTGAGAAATGACGCACCAGTCGAGGCCCTCCAGAGGCGCACGGTACCATCTGCATAACCTACGGCGGAGACGTCGCTGTCGGCCGGGTTACGGGCGATAGCAGTGACAGGTGAGATGTGGCCGATTTCATGCCAAGTCGCGAGGAGTTCACCGCGCTTGACGTCCCAGACCAAGACATCTTCCAGGGCGGCGACGTAGGCGCGCTTGCCATCCGAGTCGAGGACCGGGCGGACGGCAGTGTTGGAGGCGATCAGGCCGAAGGCCGCCGTTGGCTCGTGACGGTTGTACGACCTTACCATACTGAAAAATCTAGCGGCAGCCCCAGTCCCGCTTCTATTCTTGTAACGCAGTATGCGAGTGCAAGGGGCCCGACCAGCTTTGGATGCTTCACGAGGACGAGCTCCAACGAGAAGTGATGTGATTGGCCAACAAAATCAGAAGGACGTCAGGAAATTTGGGCGGAACGATATCTTGGTCGATGAGAGCATTCCCAGCCCCTCTCGGCCGATAGAACGTGAATGGCGCAGCATGGACATTTGACTGCGCATGCTTAGTGGTCGTAGCATGCTCTGTCGTATAAGGATGAGGTGTGGTTGATATACGTGGCCACTGTACTTTGCCAAGAACGTACACCTTTGTCCCAGTCAGGGAATATCATGTGCCAGCCGAGAGCATTTTCGGTGGTAGCTGCCAATTTATCTTTGCATAACGACGCTCGTCTTGGCTCCTTCTGCCAACTGCGTTAACCGCCCACCGGTTCGACGCCGTTACACATCGCGATGACAGATGATCACACGAATGTAGATGCACCGGCTGCTGGGCCGTCTGAGCCGTCACAGCCTCATGCGATCGACCATAACATCTCATCGTCCTCAAGTTTAAAGCCGAGGCAGAAAGTGCAGATCATAGGTGACCTTCCGCCCGCACCTCGCTTCTCTGCAGACCAGCTCGCAGAAGCTGCCGCTGCCAAGCGCAATGGTGACCAAAGTGACGACGACGATGATTCGGACGATGAAGAAGAGAAAGAAGGCGCACAAAAAGACCGTCGGACGAACGGAGTGACTACGGAAGATTCAGATGGGGATGATGTCAACGGTGTAGAGGTACCAGATGCCGCCTTACTTGACCGCTATCCGTCTGATGAGACGGTGAGCACACTGATTGCCGGCCATGCTGACTGCGACCTTTTGCTGAAGCCTTTCGCTCCCTACTTGTCTCGTCCTTTCTCTAGCGCATTGATCTGACGCACCTAAGGCTTACGAGCAAGAGTCTCCGCAAACTCGGCCTTTCTCGCTTCCGAGATACCCTCGAGTACTTGGGCCTTCGGCAAAATGAGATTAGCCGCATCTCGAGCAAAGATATTGGGGCATTGAAAAAACTCAAGGATCTTGACCTATACGACAACCACATCGAAAAGCTAGGCAAGGCGTTAGAACAGTGTACCGAGCTTGAGTCAGTGCTTATCGAGTCAATTTCGTTTGCCTCCCCTGCCCCTCCGCTTGCGCAAGAACGCTGACCGTCATCTGCGCCGGAAAACAGGAGCCTTGATCTCTCGTTTAACAATTTCCGACATCTGCCGCACATATCGCATTTAGGAAAATGCCACACGCTCTATTTCGTTCAGAACAAGATCTCGCGGATACGACCCGACGACTTTATGCCGCCCCTGCAGACTACGTTACGTAGTCTCGAGCTAGGCGGGAATAAGCTTCGGGTGCGTGCAAGGTGGCAGCTATTTCGTCCTATCTGACACTTATCTGCTTTTGCTCTCTGAAATGCTGTATGCAGACGATGGAGAATCTGGGCGATCTGGTAAATTTGGAAGAATTGTGGCTTGGAAAGAACAAGATCACCAAATTGGAGGTCAGTGCCTCCCCAGTCGGTAGTTTCAGATGCAAAAGCAATGCTGACGGTCTTGGACTCCACATTTGTGACTCAAGAACTTGAACAAGTTCTCACGACTGCGAGTATTGTCAATCCAATCCAACCGCATCACCAAGCTTGAAAACCTCGAGAAGCTCGCGAACCTTGAAGAGCTGTACATATCGCACAATGGCCTCACAAAGCTGGAAGGCTTGGAGCACAATTCCAAGCTTACGACGCTCGATTTTGCGGGAAACAAGGTAAAAGTGATAGAAAATGTCAATCATCTGTCCCGATTAGAAGAATTTTGGGTGCGTGGATGATCTCAAGGGTGTTGTCAATGTTTCCAGTTGCTTAAAAGACGTGTTACACTGTCTCCCTCCGACACCGCAGGCAAACGACAACCAGATCGATGACATAAATCACATTACTGATCATCTGGGTCCATCACATATGCCACAATTGTCGACCATCTACTTGGAGGGCAACCCCGCATATCGCAAAGAAGGCCCAGCTTATCGGCGCAAGTTAATCTTGTCGCTGCCGCAGATCCAGCAAATTGATGCTACGTGAGTAAGGGCAAGGTCCCAAGCTGACGCGAGATTGCCTTCACTGACTGAAGCATACATACATTTACGCCACATAGGCTTATCCGCGCATAGAGAACCATCGATTTGTAGAGGTCATGCTCGTAATCCTATCGCATTCAAGAGCACCTGACGGCAGATAAACTACGTGCAGCTGCCCATAGTATGCGGGATTTCAAATATCATCACGTCCAGCGTCGACTGCATGCAGCCCGCACAGACGATTCGGATGCGCCCATCTCTTTCTCTATCTGCACAAGAGGTGTCATGCACATGCACGAGAGCAGGGTAGCTCCATCTTTCTCTTCTCGAGCATACGAAACGTACGATGCAAATAAACAATCAACGGGTGATCTCTTGGTAAATGAGCTCTTTCAGTCTGCAAGAAGGTGTGCACAGTGACAAGGGGGGCATCAGTGTCTTGATATCATTGCAACTTTGAGAGCACCAAGTGTAGGACACAGCAAAGAGGAAACTCACTGTGCGCGGCTCAGCTGCTCCTTGGGATAGTCAAAGTCGAAGAAGCTTGGGTCCAATGGCTCGGCTGTCGGTTCATCCCTGCAAGTGAAAAGGTCAGCGGGACAGATGTAGAGACAGACAAACATCATCAGCAAGTGTCGCATCAACATTCAAGAAAGAACAAAAATATCCCCGCTTCTAGAGTCACGCACGTAGGGTCATGATATGGCGCGAGGTACTCGTGTTGAAGGGCCTCCTCAACAGTGATACGTTTGCGAGGGCTGAAGGTTAGGCACTTCTCCATCAGATCTACGGCGAGCGGGTTGGCTTTCGGGAACATTTGGGAGAAATTCTTGCGCTTTCGGAAAGGCAGAGCGCGGATGTAGTCTCTCGATCGCGACGAGGTTATGGCGTAGAAGTCGTCCAGAGAAGGCGTACCAAGAATCTCCAATGTCAAAGAAAGTTGGTGGTGGTCTGCAGGGGTGATGAAGGCATCAGCCACAGTGCGTACTTTCGCTTGTCACGCGCGCTCGTAAGATCTCGATCGTTGCTCACAGTCCCTACCAGGGAATAATGGCTTTCCCGAAAGCATTTCTGCAAGGATGCACCCTACAGACCAAACGTCGATCGCTTTTGTATACTCTTTGAATCTGCAAGAAAGGAACTCGTTAAGTCGATTGCCCAAGCCTGAGAATTACCTGCCAGCTGGTTGCTCAAAAACCCACGTAAGCATGATTTCCGGTGCCCTGTACCACCGCGTGGCAACATATTCTGTCATGAAGCCTGTCCCCTCTGCCTCTGGCTGATTGGCCGAACGCGCTAAGCCAAAATCGCAGATCTTGAGATCGCAATTTGCATTCAATAGAAGATTAGATGGCTTGAGGTCTCTGTGCAAGACTTGCGCTGAGTGTAGCGCCTTCAGACCGCGGAGGGTCTGGTAGAGGAAGTATTGGCAGTGGTCATCAGAAAGCTGCTGCGTCCTGATGACCCTGTGCATATCTGTCTCCATCAACTCCTGAGGATGCCAAAAAGTCATGAGCATGTCAGAAGCCAGTCTGTGTCAAATACTCTCGCTTTTTGCAGAGAAATAATAGACCAAGACTGCGAGGGGTACTAACCTGAATCAGGTAGACCTCTTGGAAAGCCTCTAAGGACGCCGGCCGGACAATATCTAAAATGGAAATGATATTCTCATGATTGAAGTGACGGAGCAGCTTGATCTCTCGAAGTGTTCGGAGGCAGAACATGCTGTGATCGAAGGGTGTGATCCGCTTGATTGCCACTCTTGTTTGTGATGGGACGTGAACCGCAGAGCTGAAGGATGGGCGAGCAAGCCGAGCGCAAAGGTGCAATGGATCATGATAAGCTTGTGCTCTGCCGATCAGGCTTGACCGCTTGTGAAATCAGATTGGATGATGCTCACCATACGACGCCGTATGCGCCCTCTCCCACCACATCGACAACTTGATAGTTCTCTCCTACGTTGAAATTGGAAAGACCTACGGCTGTATTGGACCCCATCGTGGACGGGAAGTGGATGGATTACTGGTACGGCCGGCGCTTCCCAAGACGACCTCAGGTGGATCTGGATTCAGGGTGGAGCGAATGGCTTCGGCCCGACGTGATCGTCGTAGCGATTCCCAGCAAAGCCCGTGCGTTTCGGTGATCAATACCGCGTATACAGGTAGACGATGGCTCCAAGGGCACGATACAGTAGACCCCCAACGGTGAATAATTGCGATGAGGGCAACTGATGTGATGATGAACAATAGTAGCGGGAATGTCCAACCAGCCAGCCCGTAAGCCCGCCCGCCTGTCCTGAGAGCAGCACCCTATTTCTATCGCGCAGGGGTGTCGTCTGGCGCGCGCGTGCCGGTTCCGCCGGACGTCCGCGCGCGCGAGTTTCTGTGAACTACAAGAATCGAAGCAACTCGAGATTTCAGACTTTTCGCAAAAAAACCCTGAACCCGGGGCTTCACCGCTGTTTTCAAGACATCCAGTTGTTAACAAAATATTAATGTGGGTGAGCAGTCCAATTGGATGAGCGCCAGATTCATTGTAGGCGGTCAAGTGTGAAAGCAGATCACAGCGTCTTCGAGAGAAGAAAATATACAGTCGTGTCCCACGCCAGGGGTATGGACAAGGTGGTACTCGATTCAACTTTGGTTTAATAGATGCAGGCTTCACCGTGTCAGGCCATTCTCCCGGATATTGGATGTATAATTTGTTCAAACCGAGGGGTTTTAGATAAATCCCTGGAACCCTGCAACTATTTGCCAATCTTGCGACTAGTTGGAATCCGATGTGTAATGGCACCCCACATGAGCAATATGAGGATCGACTCTCACCAAAGGTGGCAATTGGCCCGCTTTCTCGCCTAGGCCAATGAATATTTGATTTGGGGTTCAGTCCACCTCACACCCGCCCATTCAACAAGTCATTTACGGACTATCCTTGGTCTAGCTCATACACTGAATCGACGGGCGCCGATGGCAATCACCGTCTACGACATTGGAGTTTGCCGTTGGGTCTTTGGAAAAGACGACAAGTACTTGAAGACTACATAAGTTGTACTTACTTGGGTCACCAAAGAGGCGAGTCCGCCCACCCCCTTGGGGATGTGAAGGAAGCGGGTATGTCCATCCTGGAACATGCATGCGGTCATCGGTGCAGCTTTGGATGTCAAAATCTCGATATAGACCATTTCACTTGATGATGTGCATGGCGCCTATAGGGTGACATCTAAAACATTGCTGTGCTACGAACAAGGAGGCAGGCTGGGGCGAGGGGGTATTCCGATCCCCGAGGCTTATCGAGGGTAGAAAAGGTTGAGGGAGGCTCGAAAGAAAGAAAGTCCTTTCATGGCGCTCCAGAGGTTCACAGAGTCCAAATGACGAGTAGGGAGCCACCAGTGCAAGGCCTGGCTGATATTGTTGTGCTTTGCAAAATGCGAAGTGAGTGTGAGCAAAAGCGGGCTGGTGGAAGGCAATGTTCTCGGTTTGGACCGGATTGAAAAATGGGATGTGGATAATCGACATGTAGTATCTTGAGATGTCCTGCGATGCATGCCAAATGCGACCTCATACAGCTTCGGATAGAATTTTTTCCACCGTGGCGTTGAGGAAGTCCTTTTTAGTCGTCAGAGACGTAGCATACTTGCTTTCGAGCTGCAGACGAATCTGTTTCTTGGTAATCTTTGAAAGGTCGGACTCAGCGATCACTGTTTGAGCGAGCCGGGATAATCGCGCGATCAGCGCAAGCAGACAAAAGGAAGCGGTTTGGCCCAGTGCACTTACGCCTGCGAACGTCAGCTTCAAGCACTGCGTCAGATGGCAAGGCACCGCTACCCGACCGCGAATGCACTGAAGTTTCCAAGCCATTCGTGGGTGTTGCGCGTCCGGAACCTCCTTGCGGAGAGTAGCCAAGTTGTGAACCTCCGTAAATGGACCCTGATGGGTGAGCGAACGGAATAGCGTAGGTAGGTGCGGGAACACCATAGAGCGAAGGCGGCCCTCCATACATGGTTATAGCTGGGGTCTGGTAGCCCATCGATGCCAGCGGGGCCATGGTGTAGGGTTGGCTCATCATCGACTGTCGGTGATCCTGCATGTACCCGCCCGTCTGAGAACCGCCGAATGCCGAATGAGTCGGGCTGTGACCAAAGCTTTGGGAGTGGGTCAGGACAGGCTGACCGTACAGCGAAGGTGTATACATCGAGCCTGCTCTCGAGCCTGCTTTAAGCTTGTTTTCCTCTCGCGCCGCCTGAATGATGGAGCCGATTGAGTGCGCCGAGTTCCGCTCCCAAAGCTCATTCTCGTAATCAGTCCAAGTCTTGAGAGGGATCTCGGCGGGATCAAAGGTTCCTTCATCGTGAATAACAACCTTCTTTCCTTTCTCTCCAGTGACGACACGAGTGTTTCCCCAGGAGAAGTCCTATGGACAATCAGATCAGCATCTTCCTCATCCAGAGCAAGTTGCTGCTTCGTACTCACGTCCATGTGCCAGAAAGCGTACAGCGGCAGGAAGAAGGACCAGATAGGGATGCCTATGATGTAGACGAACATCCAACCGATCATCTCGAATTTGCGATTCAGTAAAAAGATGACCGCTTGGAGACCGTAAATGGCCGCGAGCATGATCAGCGACGTCACGGGAACCGTAGCGTCCGAAGTCGAGACGAGCACAACAAGGTACACGATATATGCAACAGTGACAGGGCTAGGTTGGGAAAAGGGACGTCAGCTTCGAGCTTCGTTCATAATTAGTAATTCGAGGGCCTACGCACGCGATGATCGTCGACAGCAGATCAATTAAGACAATGAACCGCATGGAGAACTATAGAGCAAACAATTCAGTCCAGCACCGCGGCCAAAGGAGTTTGAGAGGACGCTCACCAAGCAGAACCCGCACAAACCTGGCGTCAGGATGAGTTCAAACAGATTGTGGACGGTTGAATTGATCCAGCGACGTCGCTGCGACAGCAACACGCCCCAGTCCTCGGGTGCTGCGGTTTGCGCTTTCGCATCTCGCACAAAGATGGTCTTGTAGTTGCCAAAGTGCTTGAGGACCAACGTTGTCAAGTACCGATCTTCACCAAGATGCAGCAGATTCTTCGTGTGAAGCGTGTCGACGCGATTCTCCGAGTAGTCATCAACGACCGCATTGGCGATGAATAGCGGACGGTGCGTGTCAGGAGTTCTACATTTACGCAGCCATATATTCAGCAGGGTGTCAAACAGAAAAGCTGGCTCTCACTCTGCTCACCTGATGCGGAACATCGAGAAACAGCCTGGAAGACACGTGACCGAACCAAACAGGCTTTCGAATGCCTTGGCCAGGTGATGCGAAATGTAGTATTCGTACACCTGAACGGAAGGGGGACGTGACAACAACTCAGCTCTGTTCTCGAACACACGTAACACAGAGAGCTCGAACGATTTACCTGCAACATAGTAATAAAGCTTTTCTTTGCGTTAGACAACGAAGTCTCACCACAGAGTCCGATAACCTTCTTGTCGTTCGTGAACGCCGAAATGAAGCGATTCAGCGAGTAGGCCTCGACTGTGGTATCGGCATCGACTTGGAGGATGTACTCGTAGAAGCTCGGGTTGACACCGATGACGTTCTTGATCTGGTGGTACATCTCCAGCTCCAAGGGATTCATCGGAAGACCAAAATGGACCTTGTTGAGGAAGCGCATGATGACCAGTTGCGAATCACGCTTTCCACGGTTTCCAGGCCGCTGCCGCTCTGTCGGCTTCCCGCACTTGACGATGACAATGTAAGGTACGACGTGGCCGGCGTTCTCGTAGAGACCGCTGTATACCTTGCCCATGTTATGCTGCTTGGCTCCCTCGCCGAGCGAGAGGAAGCTGAGCGGCTCCGGGTCCAGGTTAGGGTTGGAGCCCAAAACGTCGAGAACGATGCGTGGGGTGGGGCGATCGTTGCCTGAACCGACAATCATGCCGTCACAAATGATGACGATGAGTTTGCGCTTATCGTCGTACTTGAGCGCAGCAAGCGAGTTGATGGTCTTGCGCATCGACTCTTCGCCTTCCGTGTAACATGGGACCTGGCAAATAACGAACTTGTCGTGGTCTTCGGGAGCACGAACGCGCCCGAACTGCAGTGCGGCCAAGAATTTGAAACCTATGATGGCAACCATGACGATGCTAAGGGCCAGAAGAATGTAGCGTGAGAACAGGCACGCTGGGTTGTTGCGGTGATCGGGCTTGCCGATGAAGAAGAGATTGCGCAGGCAAACTCGCTGGCGCTGCTTAACCTCGCTAGACAGCGGCAAGGAGTCGAACTTCTTCGTAATGTCACCTCCCGGGTTTGCCTGGAACAGTTGGATAATGGAATCGTGCATGAACGACAATTGGGTATTGGGAGGAGCCTGCTGGCCTTCAGGAGCAACAGGCACGCCGCGATTGCCTTGCTTTACATAGTCAGAAACGTCGTAGACGCCGCCATTGTAGACAGCAACAGTGCGCCCACCAGTGAGAAGGTCGTTGAGACCGTCTGAGGTGTAGCCCATGAAGCCGACACGCGCAGTGCTTCGCATTCGCCACATCTGCTCATAGTACCAGTCCGGTCGCACATCGTCTGTTTTGAAGGCGCGGAAATCGTGATACTGTGCGTTGACGTCTGTGTTGTTGTCACCACTAAGCTGAACCCAAGGGCTGACAGTGCCCGTGATGCCGTTGCACAGTGCATTGACCTGCACAGGGAAAAGGTTGGTGGCATCCTCTCCGGCGTACTTGAGCACATTTTTGGCGGGCACAACGTCGATGGCGGCAAGATGGCTGGAGGCGATCTTGTTGAGGTTGAAAACCTCCCCGCGGATGGACGTCCAAGCGCTGTTCCCTTTGTGACCCGAGAATTCCTGCACGCTGTAGACGTATTCACGCGGGCAGATCAAGTTTCCGAGGATGGCGATGACAAACACGGCGCAGCCGCAGATGAACCAGACCATGAAGTTGATCGTGAGCTTCTCGCGCCAGGCCATGCGGACGTCGGAGCGCTTGAGACCAAAGAGCGAAAGGAGGGGAGAGGGGATCCAGAAAGTCAAGAGCCAGGTAATGAAGACCCACTTGCGACGAGCAGAAGTGGTCGGAACCTCTTCCGCAACCTGCCCTGCTTCGGGAGCGACGTTTGCCGCGCCGAGGGGGCTGCCCATCTTCTCGTTGGCACCTTGCGTAGCGACACCGGCGAACATGTTGCGCGATGGCGTGTACATCTCTGAACCAATGACGGACGGGGCGCCGCTAAGTCCCATCATGCTCCTACGAGGCGCTGTGAGTTCCGAGAAAGCGCTCTTCGCGTCGTCCATGTAGAGGTCGGAGCTGGCTCCGGCCGGGCCACCGCTACCGCCGACGAGCGGCACGCTCGCTGTTGACTGCTCCTTGAAGGGGTCACCAAAGACACCAACAAGCGGACTGAGCGGCGTTGCCGACTCGTCGAGCAGGCCCATCGGCGAGAAGGGGTCAGCATCGCCACGTGCGATAGCTTCGGCATCCTGCTGAGCCTTCTTTTCATTGACCCGGACCTCTTCTGGATCAACCGCCCTGAGTTCATCCTCGAGCTCACGGAAGGCACGATGGCTGAGGAAGACCTTGACACGGCCGGTGGCAGCCTCGGTGTCGGACCAGCCCATGACCTCCTTGGCGGCAGCAAACTTCTGCTTCGCCTCGCCTGACTGTGCGCCGCGCATTGAAATGGCGGCGAGCGAGAAGGAAGAGGCGTAGCGGTCGCAGAACTCCTCATAAGTCATGCTGACGCTAAAATCGGCTAGCATCTTGCGTGCCATTTCGGCGAGACCGAGGAACTTGATCTGCTGTTTGAGCACTTTCGCCTCGCATTGGTTCGGCAGCTGGTTGTCGTTCGGCCGCAGACAGAAGACGAACCAGGGCTTGGTGTCATCGAGCGTCCCGAAGAGCGTGTCCAGCGCATCGCGGAACTCGCCGACAAAGCCGCTGACCGCATTGTTCTTCTTTGTCCCGTCGGCATTCTCATCTTCCGAATCCTCATCCTCCTTGGCTTCCTTCTTCAAGGTCCCCGACCTTGCCAGGCCGCCGCCCGCGCCACGATTGGGACGACGGGTGGACGGGGCGCGCGTCGGCTTGACTGACTGCTGCGCGGCGACAATGGTCTGGTCGCTCTTGGGATGCGCCTGCGTCTTGAGCGCGCGAGTGCTGAAGAGGGTCTTGACAAAGGGGATAGAGGAGCCAGAGCTCTGAGAACCAGGGATTTCGGTTGCACTCTTGCCTGCCTCTGCCGGCTGCCCAAGCAGGAGGGAGACAAAGTCTGGACTGACGACCTCGGAGTTGCGTTCAAGTAAAGCCTCGCTGGTGTATGTCACGGGTCCGGCAAAGTGGGAGATGGTGAAGGAGGCAAAGCCACTGCGGTCGACCGGGCCAACCTTGAAAGAAGGATGATTTCCCCACCGCTTGCCGAACGCCTCTACCATCGTGTGATCTGTTTTCTTTGGCTGACGCCGCGCTTGGTCGTCGATGATGTGGACGAGGCCACCCGGTTGATTGGTGAGCAAACGCACACACTCAGCATTGTCAAAGAACGGCACATCGGGTGAAAGATGGCGGATGCCCTCGTCGGCATACTCGTCCTTCTTGCTCTCAAAGATGCTCTTGAGCATCCAGCGATGCATCGACTCGTTGGCAAAGTTGATGACGAACTGATCGAGGGAATTGCCCCTGCTGAGGTTCTCAAAGCCGGGCAGGTCAACGACGCCAATGTACGTGTCAAAGTCATCCCTGCAGAGCTTCTCGTTAATGTGCTCGTTGAGCCAAGAAAACAGGAGGCCGTACAATGATTTGGCGAGGTCATCCCTGTTGGCTGCCGCGCCATCAGCATCGAGAAGGATGGTGCAGACCTCATTTTTGATCATTTTGGTCCTGTAGGTGAGCGAGTCCTCAAGATCTTTGGCTTGTATTCCGAGGAAGGCAGCGATGAGATACAGCACCTCAGGATTGCGTACCGAGGCAGAGTCCTGCGTGCGGTGTCGGTCTTGGTAGAATTCGACATTTCCAAGGTGGAGGATGGCGGCAAGGACTTGGCAGATGGAGGCGACCTGACGTTTAGATAGGCCAATGTTCTTGAATGCCTGCTTCAGGCGCTGGAATCTGGCGGAGTCTTCTTTGATAGCCTCCTTGTGGGCGCGGCCCCCGCCGAGGTAGTTGAATTCACCATCGCCAAGGTGCAGAAACTCCTTCTCCTCGGCTGATGCACCAGCGATGAGGTAGTGGAAGATGTGGAACGTCCTTTCATTTGCTGCATGATGGACAACACGGTTCTTCTGCAGATAGTAGTCGAGTGTCTTGCAGCCCATCAGCTTGCCATTGTCATTGAATTGCAGCTCGCTGTAGGTCCCTATACGTGAAGCGTTGGCATTGTCCAGCGTTCGGCAATTGCCAAAAGAGTCGAGCACGAACTCGGCAGCTGGCACCTGGTACGCAAGCTTGGACCCCTTTTTACCAGGTGCCGACACGCTGAGGTTGACTAGCGCCTTGAGCGCCAATCGTCGTAGCTCTGACTTGCCCGAGCTCGTTTCGCCGCTGTATGCATTCATGCAGTCGTCAGTGCACGTTTCAAATGAATGCAACAGGATGGATATCCAACTCACTTCAAAAGAATGCTTTGGTCTTGGCCAGTCCTTCGCATGTAAAAGTACGCATTGCAGGCAGTTGCAAATATGTGTGGCGGGAGCTTGCGGACGCGCGCCTCTTTACTTGTATCCCGATAGTCTCTAGTGTATTCGCGAAGGGTGTCCGGGCTGTTGCGGTTGCCCGTGGAGCCGAACGGATTGACGGATACGAGGATAGAATCGGACAGGTCGGTGTAAGGTAGACCTGAGAAGAAGCGGTCTCTTAGGACCTGGAAAACGGTATCCGCTGTAAGGTTGGTCAGCTCGGAGAGCTTGACATTATCCTCTGCGGTCGCCATGGTGCCTGTCAGGCTGGAGACGAGGCCAACAAAAGCTGAACCGGTCAGCTGGTGAAATTCTTCTGAGGATGAAGCTGGGTTATTCGTAAGAGGTTTGCAGGCCCAAATCCTCCACTTGCTTGTCCGCGAGTGGCAACAAGGGGGCGATGACAGGAGCACGAACCGCGCCGAGCGCTTCTACCTGATCGAGGATTCCACAGCGACCGCGCCGCCGCCAACAACAACAACGATGGCTTGTGTTGAGGATGGGTTTGCCAGCTCGGTTGGGAATTGCATTCGCTGCACTTCTTCAATCCACTCTACCACCACAAGCGACACATTATCCCGTGCTGTAGAAAGGATACATGACTATTGTGGAAAAGAGAACTAGACCCAGAGAGGCAACTCAATCCTCAAAGGTTGCCCCTCGTGATCAGGATCGAACGATGGCTAGTGTGCGCTGCAGTGCGGCGCCTGTGTGGGTGTTTTGTCGCCGGTTTGTACAGGTTGGATCAAGTGAGCCCTCTCTTCCCAAATTCTCCCATCCATGCTCTCTAGTACATGCAAGGTTGGCTCTGGGACAGTCTGGGGGGAGGCTTCTGGGGCCCTGGCCTCCTGTGGATATGGAGTGAATCAAAATGGGTGACGGCATTCCGCGACACAGCAGCCGTGACAATTTGATTGAAATGTACGGCTCGGATTCATGGGCAGCACTGGGTGTATCACTCTCTTGCAGTCTCGCCTCTTCACTGAACCCACCATACGCCTACTATTCCTTTCGTTGAATTGGACCCATTTGTTCCTCTGTTTGTCTCTTCGCGCCATTGCCGTTTGCCTTTTGGTAGCGAAGGTAACTTTCGCCGTGCCATGATGCTGACGCGCGTAATCGGCCAGTATCTACAAGGATGCGAGTATGCATTTCCTATGCCAACTAGCTCCGATCTGGACCACCTCACAGCATTTCTTCTCGCTGGTGTCAGGTCCTCGGAAAAACATGTGACGCTGTTCATCTCTTCATTCATGGCAGCGACATTTGCATTCCCCGCATTCTGCTGTACGCGATGTTACCATCGATGATTGACTCAAGTAGTTTGCGAAACGTCGTATTCTCGCTATGCGCAAGTTCGCAACAACAAAAGAGAGTCGTATAGAGATCTACCAGGATCATTCACAGTGCTGCTCTTGTTTTGTGTGCGAGACACCTGACGACGAGACGCCTGTTTGGATTCATCATCCCCCTTTCGGCGCGCGAGGCTGCTCTATAGCCGAGTCTGCCCCCGCCCTGACAACAACCACCACACAAAAATGCGATGTGCTTTTGCTGTACTATATAGCACATGGCACAACCGCGCAAAGCCCTCATCTTCATCTTTCATCGACTCAGCGGCCTCATCACGTCATCCGTCACCGACTTTCGTCGCTGCAATAGGAAAGCCAGCTAGCTTCACAACAGGACTGGACGCTCGCTTGTGAGGCTTTCAATCGCTTGCCCTCGCGTGTGCAAGCAAAAACCTAGGATGGTAGAACGCGCAATTATGTCCACATCGTGGGGAATCACGCGCATGGGCCATCCGCCTCCGCAACGCAGAATCGGTCACATGTCATATTTCAGAGACCTGGTTGGGCCTTCGAGTGTTCGTTTGAAACTGATGGTGTGTTCGGCAAGATCGTTTGATGTGCGTGTTCGGAGAAGCCAGAGCAGCTTGCTTTTCGAAGGTTGACCTAGACATGGCAGGTAAAGATTGTTGTCTTATATGCGAACGCAAAATGGAAATGTCATTGCCTAGAAATACAAAGAATGCAAATGTAATGCAAACAGGATGCCGCTGTGATTAGGTATATGGAAGGATGCCCGAGCGGAGAGGATGGAATGTCGGAGGTCACCGACAAAGACGGTTGTGGCCCTATGCGTACCCTACCACAGATTTAGAGAGCCGCTGATGTCGTACTATAAGCGGAGGCGGCGGCGGTTGCTGACGACGCCAAAGCCGAAGCAACAGACGAAGCAGCAGCAGCCGCGCTGACGTGGCTCTCGTGCGCCGCGAGCAGCGCAGCCAAGCGGTCGCCGTGCCCTTGTGACATTGTCCCCGGCGCAGCGCGCAGCACCTTGAGCACGTTGGCAGTGAATGTGAAGACGAGCACCAATGCGCCCCAGACCGCCAGTGCTTGCGCAAAGCGTCGCATGCGCCGTTGCTCTGGCTCGTGCTGATGCAGGACGGCGTACAAGACGCCGGGCAGGATGAAGCTAATCGTCGTCGAGCCGATCGAGCCGACAAAGCCGAGCACGATCGAGAGGTCGTCGATGAAGAGGCTGATCGTGAATGTCGTGGAGAGGATCAGGCCGGTCAGGATGCACCATCTCCGAAGCGGAATATCGTGAATTGCGTCGGCTTTGCCCTCTGGTCGTCTAGCACCTGTGTCATCATCTAGTAGCACCTGAGTGTCCTCTTCGTCTCCCTCTCGATGAGAGTCGCCTTCATGCCCCCAATCCTCGTACAATGCGTCGACTGGGTCAGAAGGGAGGACAATACGCTCCCCCCTCGCCTTGGAAAAAACCTTGTCGAAAGAAGCACGGCAAGGGTGTATTTGCAGCGGATAGCAGCATAGCGTGAGCAGGACGATCGCAATGCGTCCTCCACAGACAAATACGCTGGTAGCTGGATACATTGCAATGATGTTACTGCCGATATTTGATCCGAAGCTGATGTAGCCCAAGACTGCCACAATCTTCACACAGAGAATGAAAGCCGTATTCAGTGAATCGTTCTGACGGTTAGTAAAATAGCTCTTGCTCACCTCGTAAATGACAGCTGCTGTCCCGATCGATGTCACGATTATAGCATTGACCCTACTCTCTGAATTGTTTGCCAGCTCGTTGTAGACCGGAAACATATTCTGTTCGGATTGATGCCATACGTTGAGCTCCCATGCTGCTTCCCGGCTGAAGACGGATACACTCACCTGAGCACATGTAAATGCAAAGACGAAGATTGGGAAGATGCTGACCAAGTGCCCATCAATCTTGATCAAGTCGACATCACCACGTGGTGGCAGGTGAGCTTTTGCATGGTCCATGAGGCCGTAGAAGACGACGATGATAACCAAGTACACAACTGCGATGAAGCTACCGAAAGAAAGTGGTTCAGGCTCTGCCACAATAGTAAAGTCCGTGTGCACCTACCTGACGTAGGATGTATGCCGTAGCGAGTCTAGCCGACGAAGGAAGCAGAGTGGAGCTTTGGAAAGAAATCGGTTCGTCGTCAGCATCGGCAAATCATCTATCAGTCTCGTGAACAGACTCGTACTGACTCAAAAAAACCATGAATATCAGGATCCAGAGGTCTCTATTGAGGAAAGAGCCAGGAATCTCGTGCGGGTCCTTGCCGAAAGCCTTGAAGAAGGATATCATCACCTGTGGCATGAGCTGGCCTCCGATGATGAGGTAGGAGATGGAGACGCCATAGCACTTGAGGGCGATAGCCAGGTCGAACCAGCGTGCGCCCGATGGAATGGTCTTTCTGGCCACCGAAAAGAAGCTTGTGCCCCTGCCTCCAACCTTGGCGGCGCAGCGCGTAAGCAGGTAGAGGCCCGATGCCGATGTGAAGCTGCAAAGAACGATGAGCCCGATCCCAGGTAGCAGGCCGGTGTACTTCATCGCATATGGCATGGCGCAGATTCCGGCGCCGATCAGCGTGTTAAGCAGATTGGCAACACTGCTGAGCATGGTCCCAGTGACGGCCGGTGAACTCGACCCAAGGCTAGCCGACGGCATTCTGGGTGATACAGGTGCGATGTCGTCATCATCCACGTGCGACCCGGCCTGGTCGCTCGGCTGTCGAGAGCTCATGGCGGCCAGCCAGTATTCTTTCAGGAGAATCGAACCCGACGAGGAACGCAGCAGGAGCAGGTTGGCAATGTCTTCTGTTTCATCAGTGCCTCCCGTGACCTCAAACCAACCGCTGTTGTGAAGTTGATTTTGTACGATATACGGCACAGCTTGCTACCCCTACCAGATAGGGAGGGTAGTGTTTGGCGGAACTCGGGACTGATAAAACAACCCTCCCCACAGAGAGAAGCATAGTTGAGAATTGGGAGGACCCACTGTGAGTCACCACAGCATGAATGAGAGCGAGAAAGCTCCTATCCAACTTTCCAACCTTCCAGCACCATCCTGACAAGAGCCTCGCAGGTCCATTCAGCGTGTGCAGCCTATATACACGAGCCGAAGTTGCGTATGACTTGCAGACTGCAGCACGTACATAGCATCTTATCAAAAGCCTCGCTCGCAAACACCGCACGAAGCTTTCCCTCTCTGACTGCTGTGCACTTGGTGAACACGCGTCGCCCGGCCACACCTGCTCACCCTGTCCAAGCGTTCTTCGTCGCGCAACGATTCGCGCACTCCAATTCCTCCGCCATGGCAGCACCAGCTCGCAATCCGGACGCTCCTGCATCCCCCACCGTCAAGAAGGACGCGCATGAATGGAGCAGGGCAGCGCTCGAAGGGGTCTTGGCGAAACGATTCTTCTACAACCAAGCGTTCGAGATCTACGGAGGTTAGCATATGGCCTGTGTTTGTTGCCGCTACTAATGTGATGGCTGAAAGAATTTATCTTCGCATATAGGAGTCGCTGGTCTGTACGACTACGGACCCACCGGTGCCGCCCTGCAAGCCAATATCATTGCAGCATGGCGGAATCACTTCATCCTCGAAGAAGAGATGCTCGAGCTCGACACGACCATCATGACACTATCAGACGTTCTCAAGACTTCCGGACACGTGGACAAGTTTGCAGACTTCATGTGCAAGGACCTGAAGAACGGAGAAATCTTCCGTGCGGATCACCTCGTTGAGGGCGTGCTAGAAGCGCGGTTGAAAGGCGACGAGCAGGCTCGCGAGGCCGAGGCCGGCACTACTTCCAAACCAAAAGAGGAAGTAGCTGCAGAGGGCAGCGAGGACAAGAAAACGGCCAAAAAGAAGAAGATCAAGAGCGCTGCCGTTAAGCTCGATGACGCCGTCAAAGCTGAGTACGAGAGCGTGCTGGCCCAGATCGACAATTACACAGGCGCAGAGCTCGGTCAGCTCATCAAGAAATTCGCCATCAAGTCTCCTGAGACTGGTAATGAGTTGAGCGAGCCGGTAGAGTTCAACCTGATGTTCGAGACTCAAATCGGACCAACAGGCTATGTCAAGGGCTACCTCCGACCGGAGACGGCGCAAGGACACTTTGTCAACTTTGCTAGACTTCTAGACTTTAACAACGGTAGGGTTCCTTTTGCAAGTGCGCATATTGGCAAGTCATTCAGGAACGAGATCAGCCCCAGAGCTGGTTTGCTTCGAGTGAGGGAGTTTGTCATGGCAGAGATCGAGCATTACGTAGACCCGCTCGACAAAAACCACGAGCGTTTCGACGAAGTCAAGCAGGTCAAGCTTCCTTTCTTGCCCAAAGGCATCCAGCAATCCGGAAAGACAGACATCACGACGACTACCATCGGCGAGGCAGTCGCTAGTGGTATGGTGGACAACCAGACGCTCGGTTATTTCTTGGCACGAATCTACCTATTCCTGCAGAAGATTGGCATCGACACACAGCGCGTGCGCTTCCGCCAGCACATGGCCAACGAGATGGCACACTACGCCTCGGACTGCTGGGATGCGGAGATCAAGACCAGCTACGGCTGGGTCGAATGCGTCGGCTGTGCGGACCGCAGTGCATATGACCTGACAGTCCACAGCAAGCGCACGCACAAGGAGCTGCACGTGCAGGTGCCTCTGAAGGAGCCTAAGGTATACGACAAGCTCATCCCCGAGCTTAACCGCAAGGCTCTTGGACCAAAGTTCAAGAAGGAGGCCAAGGCCGTTGAGGAGGCTATCGTCGAGATGGACCAGGATGCGCTCGGCTCGCTGCAGTCACAACTGCAGAATGGCTCGGCCAAGGTCAAGGTTGGATCGCAGGAATACGAGATTACACCAGACCTCGTTAAGGTAGAGCTGAAGGTAGTCAAGGAGACCGTTCGGACATACACACCAAATGTCATCGAGCCGTCCTTCGGTATTGGCCGTATCTTCTACTCCCTGCTCGAGCACTCGTTCTGGGCAAGGGAAGAGGATGCAGACCGTGGTGTTCTCAGCCTACCGCCCTTGGTCGCTCCGTTCAAGGCACTCATCGTCCCGATCTCCAACAGCAAGGAACTGGCGCCGCTCGTCAAGCAGGTCAGCCGGAAATTGCGTTCCGCCGGCGTCGCCGCTAGGGTGGACGACAGCAGCGCAACGATCGGTCGACGGTATGCACGAAATGACGAGCTCGGCACGCCTTTTGCTTGTACTTTAGACTTCGCGTCTCTCAGCAAGGGCACGGTAAGTTCGAAGCGTTGTGATGGTGCACCATTGTATATCTTGTTGATTTGCCCTCGGTTCCTCCCACAGATGACCCTTCGCGAAAGAGATACAACTTCCCAACTGATTGGCCCCATCGATGAAGTCATCTCCGTCATCAGGACTCTGTGCGATGGCGAGATTGACTGGCAGGGAGCGCAGAAGAGGTTGCCGGCCTACAGTGGGCAGCAGGCGCTCGATTAAAGTGCCCTGTCTGTAACGTATACGACATGAGCACCCATTCCATCCATCCTCTTGGGCGACATTAAGCGTTGGCAGAATGAGAATTAGGTCATGCGCAATTGAAGAGCAGGAAAGTGTTGTAGACAATTATACAAGACGTGGAGGATCCCAAAATACCGGCGAAACGTAGGTACAACAAAAGCTACTGCAAGCTTCCCACCGGGACCTTACATGCAGAAAAGTCTAGAGGAGTGCTTCTTGCGGGACACTTCCTCCAGCCGCGCCTCAAGCGCTTCCCTTGCCTTCTCCTTGGCTTGCCTCTCTTCTTGGATCTTACTTTCGTAGTCTTGCTTCTCGAGAATGACGCTGTTACGAACGCGCTCAACTTCGGCTGTCGCCTTCTTCACTTGCATCTGTAGCTCATCCGCTTGCGCCGAAAAGCGATCACGCTCCCGGGTAATTTCGGAGAGTTGCACTCGAGATTTGCGGAGCTGTCAGAGGGTACATGCAGTCAGTATATGGCTTGTAAGTAGTGTGGCTCGCTGCAAAGAAAAGGCTCACATTTCTCTCGCTATCATTTAGGGCTGCTTCTAATGTAGCAACCAAGTCAATGTTCGCCTGCAGATCTGCTTCACAGTGAGCAAGCTGCTTCGTGAGCTTCTGCAGCTCCTCGGCCTGTTCCGCCATGACCTTCGCGCTCCGCGGATCTGGCGCAACCGTTGACGAAGAGCCATTGCTGAGTGAGGCAGTGGAGCTCGAACGGGTCAGCGCGCCCTCGATCGAGTCGGGTCGCGCTGACGAGCTGGAACTTCTGGTGCCCGTCGAGCTTCTGGCATTGACATTGCCTCCGGTGGGCGTGGGAGGAGGAGGCATGTTTGGCGGCGGCGTAGGCGGAGGAGGCTTTGATCCTGCTTGACCTGCGCGGGCGAAGCTTCTCGATCCTCCGTCGGAAAGCTGCTCTATCTCCTGGCTCGTGCGCATTCCTGTACGCGATGCTGACCGGTGACCATTCACTAATCCATCCATGACGGGGCTGTGCTCCATCGTCAGCAACGCCAGAGAGTCCCTGGCCTTTCCAGCGCGAGATTCGGCAGCTGCGAGCTTCATTTGCGTATCTCGAAGTTGCATGTCCTGGCGTGTACGCTCCTCTGACAAAGCTTGTAAATCAGCCTTGCTACGCAGAAGGTCATTCCTCGCTTGTGACAATAGGCTGCGCTGCGTTTCGAGCTCCTTTGCAAGGGCGCTGCTGGCATTCGTAGTGTGAAGGCCGTTTTCCCGTTCCATGCTGTCCCGCAATACAGCGAGCTCAGTAGCGACTTGGTCCCGCTCTGCCTGCGCCTCAGTAAGGGCGGCCTCGAGAACGACGAGTGCATCACTGGTTTCAGCGAGCTCAGCTTTCAGCATGTCCATCTCGACAGGGTCAACTTCAAGCTGGCTTTGCAGAAGACGGTGTCGCTTCTCAAACTCGGTGTTAGCTTCGCGCAAGTTGTCGCGCTCCTTGGAGACAGTCTGCAACTCTTCCTGGATGCGAGTGAGCTTGTCCTCGTGCTCCGTTCGCAAGGCAGCTAGCTCCGTTTCGTGCGCCTGCGTCTTTTGCCCTAAACTTGCATGCAACTGCTTCATCTCTTCTTGATGGGCAGCAGCGATGGCAGACGCGTCCTCAGCAGCTTTCTGCGACTGCTGCGTTTTGAGTTCATTAAGGAACTGGTTGTGGGTGTCCTCCCATCCTTCGAGCTTAGTATTGTGCTCTTGCTCTAGGCGATCGATTGCGGCCTTGTGCGCTTCGACGAGCTCAGACTTCTCCCTCTCATGCGTAGCATTGGTCTCCGACAGCGCCTTCTCATGCTTTTCCTGGCGCGCAGCAAGCGCCTTGTCGTGCTGGTCCCGTAACTCGGACAACGCAGACTCGTGCTGCATACGTAGCTCTGTCTCCGCGGCTGTGGCGGCGCTTTCTGTGCGGGCGACAGCTTCGCGAAGCTCCTTATCTTTCTCTTCGAGTTGTGTCGCGTGGGCGGCCGTTGCATCTATGAGAGCTTCGGTGTGACTCAAAGTGAGCTCCTGAACATTAGCAGAATGTTCGCGGCTGAGCGAGGTCAATGCCTTGTTGAGCGCATCCTCGTACTGCGCGTCGCGAGCTAAAAGCGTTTCGGAGTGTTGACGCGAGAGATCGGTCAGGGTGCTGAGGTGCTCTTGCTCTTTCGCGTCCAGCACGGCAGCATACTCTTTGGCGCGGTCAGCCAGCGCGGCAGCGATGTCTTCCTTCTGGGCTGTAGAGTGCGACTCTGCTGCTGCAGCGAGCGAGCGTTGAGACAGGAGCTCGTACTCTGACTTTGTGCGCTCCAGCTGGCTGGCATGCTCTTCACGAAGACGTTTGAGGAGGCTTTCACGTTCTTCCTGGCCTTCGGCATCACGGCTCTCCTGCTCGAGATTGGCATTGCTCAAGGCAGACGCATGCTGCTCATCCTTCCAGGCCAGCGCACGCTCGTGCTCGTCTTTGAGGCGAGCGAGAGCCTGCTCGTGCTCAGCCTTGCGTGCGGAGAGCACGTCGGCATGCTCAGATGAGAGGCGCGCAAGTTCATTACTGTGTTTTTCCGCCAGAGCAGACAGCGCAGACTGGTGCTGAACGGACTTGTCTTCGAGCGCACGCGCTTGAATTGCGTTCTGTTCCTGGCTCGCTGCATCGTGCTTGGTAGAGAGAACGCTCAATGCGAGCTTGTGCTCATCCTGCAGACGCGCAGTGTCATGCTTGCTGGACTCCGCCACGGTGCTGACGTTCGCAAGAGTCGAGGCGTGCGCCTTTTCCGCTTCCTTGAGCTTGGCACGCAAAGCTTCCAGCTCGCTCGTCAGGCTTCCAACCATCTCGTGGGACGCAGCATCGAGCGCCTCTCGCTCCTTGTGCGCAGCCTCGAGTTCGCTCTTGAGGTACTCCGTCTGCTCGCGGTGAGAGTTCTCCTTCTTGGCGAAGGAGAGGAGAAGCTGCTGCACCTGTAGGGACTGCTGGTTGTTCCCGCTCTCTGCGAGTACCTGTTGCAAGGCCTCAAGCTGCGCCTCGACTGCCTGCGAGAGGGCGGGTGTCGATGCGCCTGCGGCAGGGGAGGACGTCGTCGTCGTCGTAGGTGCCTCTCCATCCACCAGCTGCGCCTCGCTGGCCGAAGCCAGCTCGGAGGAGAGTGACTTGCTCTCGGTGACAGTTTCTGCGGAAGCGGGTGCAGATGCGACGGATGAGGAGCGCTGGACGGCGTCTAGCTCATCTTCGCGCTCCTTCAGAATGGCTTGAAGTTGGTCCCTCTCTTTCTCAAGGGACAAGATCTTGCGCTCATAGTTCGCCGGCGAATCCGGCTCGATGGCCTTGAAGAAGGGCGAAGGCGGAACTGTGCCGGATAATGATAAGGGCCGCGGCCCCCGCGATAACTCCCCAACAAAAGACTGCCCCGACGACATGGAGCGAGTACGAACGTGATGATTGCCGTTTGTTTTGCTGATCATTCCGCCGCCCGACGCCTTCATCTCCCTTACTTCCGGTTGGCTGTCGGCCGGCTTGTACCCTAAAAAAGAGCCGGAGGACCTTCTCTGCAGCGTCTCGACAACGCTGCTGCCGCTGTCGAGGCGCAGGCTCTCGGGGCGGCGCATCGCGCCACCGCCCGCGCGTGACGGTGAAACCTGCCATGAATCGCGCCGACGCGAGGGGCTGAGCATCGTCGGTGACGAGCACGAGTCGTCACCGTCGGTGTGCGGATCGTGCACCGGGGGGGAGAGCTCCTCCATCTCCTCATCCGGTGCCGCCGCCGCGCGGGTCAGCTTGGCCTCGGCAATCTGGCCGCTGAGCTTCTCAATATCCTGCAGCGCTTCGCGGTGGCGGACCTGAACGGTGCTGAGCTCGGCGAGGGTCTTGGCGTGCGAGTCGCGCAGAAGCAGCATCTCCGACTGCAGCTCGGCGAAGTGCACGTCTCCCGCTACAGGGACGCCATTTCCGTCTGCAGCTACAGCCGCATTCGGATTCGCGGCCGCGTCGGCGACGGGGTCTGCTGCGTTCTTCTCGAGCTGGCGGATGCGGTCCTCGAGCTTGCCGCGCTCGAGCTGGTCGCGCGCGACGGCGTCGGTGAGGTTTCCCTTGTCGCGCGCAAGGGCTTCCTTCTCGGTGACAACGGTGTCGAGTCGTTTCTCGAGCTCGAGGACGCGCTGGTCGCGTGCGTCAAGCTCCTCGAGGAGCGCCTTGTTTTCGACGGTGATGTCGAGCGTGTCAAGGCGCTGCAGCAGCTCGCGGTACTGCTCATCGCGGCGCTCGAGATCGCGCTCGAGGCGCTCGACCTGCGCGGTGAGCTGCGCGAGGGAAGAGTCGGACGCGAGCAGGCGCTTCTCAAGCTCTTTGATGTACGCCTCGGCGGAGCTTTCGGCCTGGCGGAGGCGGACGACCTCCTTGCGTAGCTCGCTGGCCATGCCCGAGTCAGCGTCCTCCTTGTTCGAATACGACTGGAGACGCGCCTCGAGCTCGGTGGCGTAGGTGTTGGCCGAGCTCTCGCGATCCTGCAGCTGGCTGAGGCGCGTCTGCAGCTCGACGATGGTCGACTCTCGCGCGTCGAGCTGCTGCTCGACGAGGTTGATGCGCTCGTCCTGCTCGACGATCTTGCTCTCATGCTCGTTGATGATATCCTCCGAGTGGCCGAGCGCGGCCTTCATCAGGTTGATCTGGCCCTCGAGAACGTCAATGGCCTTTTCGTACTCGAGGATGATCGGCTCGGCAGCCTGTAGGAAGTCCGAGTCCTTCTTCTGGTGCTCTCGCGCCTTGAGCTCGCGCTTGAGCACGGCAATCTGCACCTGATCGGTGCTCTGCCGGTCGTTCAGCTGGCGCACGGTCGCCTCCAACTTCTTGACCTTGTCATCGTCGGCAATGCCGCGTAGCGCGGCGGTGGAGCCGCTGCCTTTAGAGCTCTTGAGCACAGCAAGCTCCTTGCGCAGCTTGGTCACCTGGCCCTGTAAGTAGTCTAGGTCGTCCCAGCCGATCTCCTGCTCGTTAAGCTCGGCCTTGTTCTTGATGTTGCGCGCGCGGTTGGCGTACTGCAGCGTGTTTACCGTCTCGCCGACGTTGTACTCGGTCGGGGAGACGCATGCGATCATGAGCGTGTGCGCGTTACCGCCAAGACTGTCCTGAAGCAGGCGCGTCAGCTTCGAGTCGCGGTACGGGATGTGCGTCGTCTTGCGCGCCTTGACCGGGTCGCCAAGCGCAGAGATGACGTTGCCGAGCGCGTGCAGGCCAGAGTTAATCGAGATACCCTCCTTGATGCGCTCGCCTTGCGCAGCGGTCCGCTTGAGCTGTCCGCGAGGCAAACGCGAAAAGAGAAAGAAAAAAGGAACGTAAAGAAACCGCAGCATCAGACAGATTGATCATAGGCCTCTACACACCCTTTGCAGCTACTCACCCGTTCAGATCCAGCCAAATCGACAAAGTGGAACTTGCTGACGACTGTCGTCCACTCACCTTCGCCGGTGCCCAGGACGCCGCTGAGGCCCCGCATGCGCTCCTCCGCGGCGAGGCCAGCCCCCCCGCCGGCGACAGGCGACTGGCTGCGGGAACCCGAGAGCAGCGTGTTGGGCGTGCGCAGGCCTGAGACGGACGCGCGGCCGGCGCTGGCGCTGGGAAAGCCTGTCGGCGTCGAGCGGCCGAGCGACGACGAAGGGCGCGGCAGGCCGGACGTCGAAGCGCGGCCCGTTGGCGTTGTCCGGCCGTTCAGCGCGGAGTTGGCGAGCGCCGCGGCGCCGCTGCCGCTGCTGGCGACGGGGGGCGGCGCGGGCCCGCTGCCGCCACACTTGCGCTGGGTCATTGTCAGGGAGAAGATGGCGTGGGAGCGAGAAGACTGGGCGTTCATGTCAGTCTCGTTGGTGCGGCGCACAGCGCTGCCCTGGACGAGGTAGTTCATGACGTCCGCAACGTTGTTCACCTTGACCTCGCGCAGGCCGCTCCAGAAGATGTGACCGGCCTTGTCCTCGCGGATCTGGACGAGTGGACGCGCATCGCCGTCGGCGTCGGCCAGCAGGTCGATTAGGTCCTCGTTGTAGATTTCGATGAAGCTCGCCTTGATGGTGTATTGGATGGCGCCGGAGCGTGCCTTTTGCGCGTTGACCGCGTCGAAGATCTGCGCCACGGCACGCGGGATGATGCCCATGTCGGGGTCGGGCGCCCGGCCGGCGACGAGGCCTTCAAAGTCGATCGAGTCGGAGGAGGACGTGCCCATGGTGTAGGATTTCCCGCTGGACGTCTGCCCATATGCGAGGATTGTGACGTTGTAGCCTTCGAGGAACTTTGGTATCAGGGCCGACGCCGAGCTCTTGTAGACTGCATCTTGCCCGTCGGCTGGACTGAGGACGCGATCAAAGGCGAATTGCAGCCGCTTGTCGCGTGCTGAACTCGTCGCCGCTGCCGGCGCGGACCCGGGTGGGGGCGGCCCTGATGCATCGACTGTGAGTGAGTTAGCCGAGTTGACTGTGATGACAGAGCGCTGCCAGCGCGCTGGGATCGACGCTTGATCATGTTCTGTGACAGGACGGATGCGAACCGCTGCAGAAGGAAAGATCAAATGGGCGGGGGAGGTCAGTGTATGCTCCTTTCCCACGAGCTTGAGCCGAGTATCCCTCCGGAGATACGATGGACACCCCGAATGCTCCGACTCACCAACTTGGACAGATGTGATATTGGTGCCAGAAGAGGACGCTGCTGCGGATGATGACGACGCTGCTCCATTTGATGATCCCAGCAACGCGCTGAGCGTGCTGCCTGTGCTCGGGCTGGCAGGCAAGCCTGATGCGCTGACGCGCTTGGCCGGCATCATGATGCCCTACCCTGTTCCGAATTGACTGGGGAGAGTGCGATGGCAACGAGCAACGTGGGGCTGGGGTTCGCGTGCTCGCTGGGCCCTCTTGAGAGCCTGAGAGGCGGCTCTTTTTCCCCTGATAGATGTGAGAAGAGGTGTAGATGCTGGTGAACAATAACTACGGCAGCGGCAGCGTCGCGGGGTGTGTGTTTGCGGTTCCCAGTATCCGCGACACCCAGCTCGGTTCTGTTACGGTACGCCTGGCACAGCTTGGCTACGCAACGCTACACAGCAGGGACCCGGCTTCGAGGGAGGGGGATAGGTATCAGGCATATAGGCCTGTGCTGGAATCGTCCCAGCTGGAACTCGCAGTCTTCTTGCGCAAGAAGACTGGGGAGGGATGGAGGGATGGGGATGGGCACAGAGGCGGATTATGCTCCAGCTCTTGTTTGCTGTGGTGGGTGGATATGTATTTTAATGTGGTGTAGAGAGCGGGAGAGAGCGATGCAGTGCAGTCGATACATATTCGAACATACAGCGAGTCGCGTGCATACACATACACGAGGGCGGGCACACCGCACACCGCCCTGACCCAGAGTGCCCAATGGGCGGAGTCCCCCGGCGGATACACACACAGTTCCGACGTGAACAGAGACTCTATATCCGCCAAAAACGAGAAGAGATCCACCTGAAAATGATGGATTTAGAAGAATCTGCCACGTATTTCCCCTACTTTTAACCCGCACAGGGCCCCTGCCGTCGTTTTCTCGTCCAAGGATGCCCACCCTTGAGCCTCTGTCCTGGTGGGTGCAGACTGATGGCTCTCTTCGCTCGGTCCCTCCGGGCGTTGCGCGGCTCTGTGTGTGTGACTGAGGCTTCCCCTTGAATTGGACAATCCCCTCCCCCCCGTCCGGCAGTTGGCAAGGGAGCAAAGAAGCACTCTTCGTACCTCTTTTCTACAATTCAGCTGGACTGGGCCCAGACTGGGCATCTGCAGCTGCCCTGGTAACGGACAGGCTGGCACTGGACTTGGCAGGCGTCGCCGCGCCAGACCCGCCGGCTGGAGCAGAGTCATTAAAGTGTGCAGTGCGGCACGCAATCAGCCAGCACACACGTGGCATCGCGAGAGCCGAACTTAGAATGTCACGGCCCTCTCCCCCAAGTCTCCAGCACCTCGCAGCATTCTAATCATTCTGAGTTCCTCAGAAGGATTGCTGCTTTGATGGTGGTGGGGGTTATGGAGACGCGCCAGCAGCATGTACGTAGAACGCTACATACGCACATTCTCGCAGCTGTATTTCACTCCTGTGCGAAATCTTTGTGCGAGGGTCGATGCAACAGGTGTGCAAAAAGACCAACCCAAAAGTGCTATAAAGCCAGGTACTCTCGGGCGACGACGATGTTAGTGTCCTTGAGGCGCGCTTACCAATGTCACCCCATCACCAGTAATGTTCTGCGATGTATTTGTTCTCATTTTCAGTATACACATCTCCATCCACATATTGCGCTGCACACACCCCTTTCATCACCGTCTGAAATCCGAAAGAGTAATTGCCGCAGCTGCGAGATGCTCGTAACATAAAGAGGACATGCCTCTGGCGACGGAGAAAACAACTAAGGGTCGAACGGCCGATGCATTGGAAAACTTATGGCGACCGTTATCTGCTCACCGCCCTTGACTACGGGGCGGGGTGGGCGTTTGCGGTGCATCTTCAGGCGGCAGGTGCGATCGGCCACTGCGGGCATCGGGCCGCTGACCAGTACACATAGTAGCATGCATGATTCCGCTTGCTGACCCACAGATGCGGTCCGACAATTGTCGGCCCAGCAGCCAGATGCACTCGTCCGGCGCCAGGTACACAGCGGCGCCACTTGCTCGGGCGCAACCAACTGGATATCAGCCAGGTGTTCATATCCGCTGGCCCTTACTCGAAGCCAGAGCCGCTGCCAAGGAGCAGCTTGGGCAGGGTCTGTAGGAGGACATGGCTCAGACGTTCGACTCGACCATTTGACTGGATGGTCAGCGGATATGCAGGCTTGATCCATTTCCAGCCACGGAATCGCCTCCAGCGCCTACCCTGACGAGGGCCCTGGCAGCCAGGGCTATACTCGCCTACATGCTACGACAGCACAACGATCATACGATCACGATGGGAGACCAACAATCGTGGTCGTCTTGCGCATCATTGGTTCTGACTATAAAAGGTTCTGAGAAAGCAGACATGCGTGTATTAGCATGCACTCATATGCCCTACCCAATGCCTGAAAACGTAACACAGGAACATTCAATAATACTCCTTGGTGGTACTGGACGAATGGGAATACAATCAAACATTCGGGTCAACAGTGGAATGGGTCTTGCGTTCTTTGTCTTCGAAGGCGAGACCGCCACTGCTTTTCAGCGCGGCTCTCTGTTGGGCCAGTTCGTTATAAATCCATAAGGTCCTCGGAATGGATCGCCGCATTCGGCAGCGCGCAGCGCAAACCGCACGCATTTGCATCCCAGCATCTAGAAGACCGGGTCATTTAAATCATCTACATAATTACTCCATGGTGAAGACACGATCATTTCACTTTTCCACACCGGCAGCGGCCTTTATGCGCCGCACCTGCCGTCCCTTGTCCTGCGCCGCGCACATGCTTGCGACGGTTGATGCGAGGAGGGAACGAGAGAGATAGCTCGATGCATGCGTCTCCTGCTGGGTCTACCGGCGGACGGAAGGGCAGCCGAACTATTTATCTCCTTGCGCAAAGCATCCTTGAAAAAGCATGTGATTCATGCATTCGAGCAAGAAAGTGTCTAAGCCCAGACGGGATCTTGGATCTCTGGGCCCTTACTGCAGGGGGGAAGGGAAAGAGTGAGATCGTGGGAAGGATGCTCGCTCAAAGTAATTCGGAACAGCAAGCAAGCGGCACGCACCCGACGCTGTGCACCTGGAAACCGATCTTGCGCAACGCAGCGGCATCGACGATGCTTCGGCCGTCGAACACGAACGCAGGCTTCTTCATGCTCTTGTACACCGTTGCCCAGTCCAGTGTCCTAAACTCGTCCCACTCGGTTGCGATGACAACCGCCTCGGCATCCTTGCAAGCTTCGATCGCAGACGCCGCGATCGTCACTTGCTGCTTAACTGTTTCCCGTCCAGTGTGCAGCGTTAGGATGAGGACGATGTCAGCGCAAGGAGTGGAATCCAATCGAGAGCAAGGGGTTTAAGACACACCTTTCTGCCCGTCGTCCACGACGCCAGGTTCGGTAAGGTCGAGCCAGATCTGCGCCTCGGGCACTTTGGGATCGTAGATCGACACGAGCGCATTCTCTGAGCGGAAGTCCTTGCAGAGCGAAATCGCAGCCGTCTCGCGCGTATCGCCAGTGTCTTTCTTGAACGCAAAGCCGAGCACGGCGATCTTCTTGTTCGTGATCGTGCTGAAGAGCGTTTGTACGACTTTTTGTGCAAAGCGCGCTTTCGAGTACTCATTCATAGTGATCACCTGCTTCCAGTACGCGGCCACCTGCGGCAGACCCAGGCTGTCCGAAAGCTGTACAATGCCAGCCGATGTGACGTCGGTCAGCACGATCACCAGCACGATGACTCGGTGGGAAGAGTACGATTCATCATCAAACGCACATAGACCAGATTCAGAATGTCCTTCTGGAAGCAGCTGCCGCCAAAGCCGACGGACGCCTTAAGGAACTTCGGGCCGATGCGCGCGTCGAGGCCGCATGCGTGCGCGACCTCGTCGACGTCTGCACCCGTCGCTTCGCAGATGGCCGCCATGGCGTTGATGGAGGAGATGCGCTGCGCCAGTAGTGCATTCGCTGCCTGCGTGCACATAACAGACGTGTGTGAATTGTAGTCCAGCTTCAAATCAAGCGGAAAAAGCAGAAGTGCGTCCAATACGTACCAGTTTGCTCAGCTCCGAGGACCACAGGCCAGTGGTGAAGATCTTCTCTGGTGGAACCCAGTTCTCGTACACAGCTGCGAGGGCGCGCGCGGCGGCCTTACCCTCTGGGGTGCTGAGGCTGCCGATCAAGACTCGGTCCGGTGCGCTCAGGTCCCTGATCGCTGTTCCCTCCGCGAGGAATTCTGGGTTGGACAGAATGTCGAAGCGCAGACCTGGACGCGAGTTAGCTTCGAGGATAACGCGCATCGACGACGCGGTGCGGCACGGCACGGTCGACTTTTCCACGATAATCTTGGGCGCATCGGATACGGAGGCGATGCGTCGCGTTGAAGCCTCTACGTAGCTTCGCGCGCGCCAAAAAGGGTGAATCAGCCCCAAGTTAAAAAAGACGACTTCCGAGGTTGCTCCTGGAATTATGGAAAACCGCGCTCACTGCAAGTCTGCGGCATAGCCTGCGCCGACACCGGATTTCTTGGTGGGGGTGTTGACGCTGACAAAGATGAGGTCCGCTTCACGGATGGCATCGTCAATGTCCGTGGAGAAGAAGAGGTTACGCCCCCTGCACTCCTTGACTACCTCGTCCAGCCCTGGTTCAAAGACGGGCAGCGTGTCCGAGTTCCACGCGGCGATGCGGACTGGGTTGACGTCGACGATGGTGACCTTGATGTGCGGGCAGCGCTGCGCGATGACTGAACATGTCGGCCCACCGACGTATCCGGCGCCAATGCAGCAGATGGCGCGCACTTTCGGTGCAGTTCTGTCTAACACCATCGTTGCTGCTGTTGCTGCCGTGTTCGAGGCAAGAGGGTGGATTGTCTTACGGTACGGGTGAGAGGAAGAAGGGAACCACGCGCAACGTTTAGAGGTCTATCGGCAGGTGCTGCTGGGGCACGAAGGAGTGAACGAGTGTGCACGTTGCAGGGCAATGACTGCTTGGAGATCTAGACTACGGCCCCTGAACACTCAAGTCAGTGGTCGACGAGGTGATCGATCGCATTGTTTCCCCCTTCGGGGTTTCCCTTGGCGGGTGCGTGCTCTGTTGCACGGGGCAGTGTCCTGCAGTGCCCTGTCTGTGCAGTTCCGCCTAGCCGGCGGATTTGGTTGATTTGGGTGCCGAGCGGGGGGCGTGCGGCGCGGCGTGTGGTGTGGCGAATGAGAATTAGTGTAAGTGTGGTCACGTGACTGCTGTTGAACTGACAGCGCGGGCCAGTCAATACTTCATGATTGTAGCGTTACAGACAGGGCACACGCATGGACACAGCTGCGAGGAAATAGATGGATCGCACTGCTTTATATAACTGGCTACATAACAATTAGCGCCTCGCTCTTCGTTGGGAGAGACGACGCCAGAGAGAAAGGGAACATACCGCCGGTCACTCTCTGCATTCTATCGACATATGTAGGTCGGGCCCCCTCCTCGCGCTTTCCCGCCACTATCAACCCTGCCCATGAGCTGATCGAAAGCAGCGGGTCATATCCAGCGCCAACGAAGCCAGATGGCCAAGACGCCGGGTGTGTATGCGCGTGTTCACTGCGACGTTCGGCCCCGCCCGAAAGCGCTGGAGACTTGGCTGGACAGACGATCAATCATTGACCGCAGGCTCGACATAACACGTGCCTTACACCCTGGAAGTCACTTGAGCACTGACCACGATCTGCTTGCTGTGGTGCACTTCACGCGGCCTGTTTCAGCTGAACGTGACGGGGCTCGTACGTATGTGCTTCTGACACATACACGGGCGCCGGCCCAACCGTTCACCCGCTCGCGTCTGGATCCGAGCGACCGTTGGGTTCCGCTGGCTGTTGGAGACGATGCATCATGCCTGTTAACGCGTGTGTGCCAGTTCATGTGACGCCTGTTTCTGGATCCATCTTGCCTTTCTCTGTGCGTACGGAACAAGTGTGGCTGCCTGATCAGGTAATCAAACATGATACATAACACAGCATCTACATGCTATGTATATGGAACTGTGCCGTGTGGCTCCAGCTTCCACTGTCCGCGGCCACGAGCTGGTCCCACGGTCGCCACGCGCTCCCGGCGGCCCCTTCCGTTAACAGGTGAAATGTTGAGACAGAGGGGAGCGCTGATTCACTGAGCACGGAGCCAGGCGAGTGCAGCTCAGATCCTCAGCCTATGTGAATAGTCCCAGATTCCCAGACACACAGAGGCGATGGCGACCACCCTCTTCTCGCGCCTACCTTGCATTTCTGGGGTTCTTTCTTTTTGTGCTGATGATTACGTGGTCCGGCGCGAACCCGCTGAAAGATGTTGTTCACTTGGAATGTTGCCAAGTAGGTGATAGCAGAGCGCTGAAAGGAGCGTCACCAGGGTGCCGAAGTCCGAATCCCGAGTTCCGAATCAGTGATTGGGTCAGCCACAATCGAGTCGGCATTTCATTAGCTAATGATGGTCGGCTTTCTTCGAAGCTTGGAGAACTCGAGCTTGTGACGTGGAGCACGCACTGGACCAAGCCCCAAGTCAGGTCAGAGTGTATATGTGTTGCCTCTTCAGCACCGTGCACTCCGCATGCGCAGCCTGCCTCTTCCCTTCAGTCGACTCATCATTCTTCCTGACCCCCAATCTGTCATTCAACACGTCCAAGGCTTCAGATCGAGCCGAGCGCTGCAGCCTCCATCGATTGTGCGCCGAACCGAGGGAAGTAAGGCGCTGTTCTTCGGCTTCCTTGTCGCTCCCAGCAGAACTCAAAGCCGCGTCCAAAATCATTTCACGTCAGCCCCTCTCAGTGGCTCTGTTCGGCAAACATGCCGTCCACAAGCGCGAGAAAGCGCAACAGAGCGGCGCTGACAGGCGAGGGCGGGTGGCGGCAGACAAACAAAGATTGCAGCAACAGCAGCAGCGAAGGGAACGTGCGGCTGCGCACGCTCTTGCTCGTTCTTCTCGCCACAACATGCAGCCTACTTGCACTGCAAGCCTACCGCTTCTACGCACGTGGAACGATGCCCTTCCAAATTGCTACGGCGTTGGACGGAGGCCGTGGGGGGCTGTCCAAGCTTACAGATTCGCTCACCGCGCTTCTGCAAAGCGACCGAGTGGAAGGTGATGCACTGCAGTACGACTCGTCGCAGTGGAAGGCGCGCGTCGCCAAGAAGGCAGCCACTGGGCACTCCGTCCCGCTCTCCAAGGACCAAAGCGCGGCGGAGAGGCTGAAGCGCGCTCGGGAGAAGCTGGTGGACCTTCGTACGGAACTGCGCGACGTCATCGGAGGGAATGAAGCGGAAGGCGGAAGCGGAGGCGACGGCCTACCCGTCGAGGATCTCAGCTCAGAGGACCTGCAGGCAATGTTCGACTTGCTGCAAGGGCGTGGAGCGTACTACAATATGCGAGACGGCAAGGATGAAAGCCACACGGACGATCCCAGCGCTGCTACTGCGGACGCACATGCGACGCGAGAAAAACGCTTCGGGCGACTGAGACAGGCCATGGGTGCCGCAACTGGTGGCGCTGACGACCTCTAATCGGGCCATGAAATACGTCAATACCGGCGCACACCTCACCGCTCCCCGCCGTCCAAGACCCAGGACGATGTAATGTAGCTATACGATGACCGACCCTTTGCAAATGCAATTTTAAGTACCTATATAATGTATCATAGTTTTCCCAATCTAGTTGCGCCATCCAATCGGATGTAGGATCCGTTCTGCAAAAAGACAATAGATCGCCAGCGATCGCACGATCAGCCGATGTCACAAGCTGGTCCATCCCCTTGGTCGCACGCCCACACACTCGACTCAGCAAGCACTCACCATCATTTCGTTTTCGATGATCGCCACTACGGCATGGGCGAATTCATCGGGTCTGAATGATGCCAGCGCGCATACCGCCAGGCATCGGTCAGCTCGGTTTCAAGACCGTCGCAATACCCACGCGAGCCGCGCACGATAGCAGAACAGGCATGGAAGACTCACCTTCCGAATCTGACGGGGAACTCTGCACTTTGCAGGATTTTGGCTTTGGCTGTTGAACGCAGGACGAAGATGGGTCAGAGGCATTGAAAAGGTTTTGCAGTGTAGTCAAACGCATACCCCTGTCTGGAAGTGTATCCGTCATGGCTGTTGAAAACTTTTGATGATAAGATACGGCTGCGTCAGGCTTCGAACCACACGGCCGGAGCATCGAAAGAAGCAAGTCAAACACACCAAAGCAGGTGCCAGAGTCATGACCCTGATCCCATACCACGCTAAGTCTCTTGCGAGCGGCAGGCCCATGGCGAGCACCCCACCTTTGGACGCTGAGTATGCCGCTTGGCCAGCTTGTCCTTCCAGTGCAGCGGCGGATGCTGTGTTGATGATGACGCCTCGATCTGACGTATGTTCATCCGCTTTCTGTATCGGCTTGCGCACGTCCCGGACAATACGCGCAGCTACAAGACGCGAGACGTTAAATGTCCCAATCAGCTGCGAAGGGCAATTGGAATGTGGTATGCGCTCAGCAATAGATACACTGGGACAGTTGCCAGGTAGCCTGCGGGGTGCTCACATTGATATCGATGACGGTCTTGTATGTATCGAGATCAAATGGCTCCCCATCCTGGTTGAGTATCTTGCCCGCTATTCCAACACCTCCGGCATTTAGTACACCACCAACTACGGGATTATTGTTCTTCCAGAATCTATCGCACTCGTCAATCGCATCCTGTACATCTTTCTCGCTACACACATCGACCTGCGCGGCGTGTGCACGGCCAGAGCCGAGCTCCCTTGCGAGCGCTTGCACGGCGGGCAGGTTGATGTCCAAGAGCGCGACGTACGCACCCTTGGAGTGCAACAAGCGGGCAGATGCAGCGCCTAGGCCTGATGCGGCGCCAGTGATGTAGAACAGTCGGTCTGGAAAGAAGAGCCGAGCGAAGCGAAGCGGCTCAGGTTAGTATGTGTCAACCGAGCGCCGCGCGAGGCATGGGAAGACGGACCCTTGATCTGCATCTTGCCAGGGGCTTTGTTAACGGAGCTGCTCGATCTAATTTAGCGAAGGATGTGGTTTGTCCACCATGCGATTTGAACCCAAGATATTGCGCCTCAATGCGGTCGCTTTGAGAGCCGATATTCACAGTCCAAGAGGAGACGTATCCGAGCCTGGTGTACCAGCTGCCCCAAGATTGCCGTCGAGATGAAAGCCGACAGCCGGTGCCGCGGGGCGTTCGAAGTGGGAGGATCTCGGCGACTTTCCGGCGACTTCCCTCCCTTGGCATACGAGGCTTATATAATCGACTCTCTTTGCTGCTACGTTGACATCATCACGTTCGTCGCTAACTCCCACCGTCCCGGGTCGTCTTAGGTAGCTGCGCTCCTCGGTGGGTCCAAGCCAACCCCTAAGTTGGTGAGGGTGGAGCGGATGGCTGGACGAAGAGCAATGAATACACCGCGCTGAGAGATGTGGCATGTGAGAAATCACGCCTGTGACTCTGTGCGATGTCGAGTGGTGATCAATTGCGTTGTGGCCGACGTTCTGTGGGTTGTGCTTCGTGCTGATCATCCCGTTGCCGTACCAGGTATGCACTCAGCCCCGCGCGCTCTCAGGTAACGGCGTGGCCATTATACAATAACCTTTCCCTCTTCAATGCCAAGGACCGGCTCATCTTCTCGACTTGCGAGGCTGACGGTGGGGACAACATATACACCATTTGAAGCAGCTTGCGAATGCGTCGATATATACATCTAGGTTCGACTCTGCTTGTCGTTCCGTCTTGCATCCATCTTCATCAGGCCGTTCGCTGCCTTTTAATTTACCCTTTTCAAACACGTTTTATTGACAGTGAAAACGCGCACGCATGTGTTTCTCCGTCGAGGTCCGCTCGTGCTCGCAGCACCATCGACGTCGTTCGCCGTATCGCTGGCTTCCAACAGCACCGTTCTCCTCGTTAGCTGCTTAAGGCTCAGCGTCATCAGCGCCAAGCAGTTGTCTCTTCAACATAAAATCATAAGCTACACTACGATGTCTTATGCAGCAGTAGCAAATGCTGCTGGCAGCGGTGTCAATGATAGCAAAGGGGATGCCATCGACGCCAAGACATGGCAATTGATCAAGGACGCCCAAGGCCTGTTCAGCGCCAAGTCAGCCTCGAAATTATGAAACGCCGCTGGGAAGTGGACGCTATTTTCGCGATCCGTACTCGTCGATGAAAGCAAGAGCATGTAGTTAAAGGAACTGGGAAGCTGATTACATCGTTAGCTCTCTAAGGGGCGGTGCAAAATAGACGAAGGAGTTCTGAGTGGAGCCCCGGAAGCCCGCGCCTGTTTTAAGCTCTTCGACCCCACTGTACGCTAGCCTACAGTCCCCAACGAGTTTTAATGCTTCACCGCAATTGCCTGCTCGAGAGCGTTGAGCGCGTCCCGGGACTAACAGGCACGCTCGAAGGTAGGCGAAATCAAACTTCAATGCTAATAGAAGCAAACAGGCGATGTGCTAGTAATACAGTGTCTGTTGTATAAAAAGGGTGTGCGACGAATGCCGTCTGTAATATGCATACACCAAAACCCAATCGTAGTGACTGCGGCTGGATGATTCGAGCGAAAATCGTGGAAGGAAATGGCACGAGTGGTGCGATGCAATTATCCGTCGCCCAAGACGGTCTGGCGCCTAGCGCCTAGCATACCTTGAATGATAAATGCAAGCCAAGATGAATGTACATCCGTGTACGATAAATGTTGTATGTCGATCGTAGCAATTGACCATCTTGCGTTAATCAGATTACCGATGCCTGACGCGTGGACATCATATTTTCTTGGTCCTGCGTGAATGAGAGCAAAAAGACGGTCAGATCTGTGTGGAGCCAAACGCGAGCGAGCCTTCCACCCACCTCGCTGATCATCAGATTGAATGCAGCGTTGACTTCGTCTCTGCTGCGCCGGCCACTTGCGCCGGCCGTCGTCGCCGCCACAGAGCCATTCTGGTCGGCCAATGAGCGCCGCTGCGCTTCGGCCAGGTCTGCTGCTTCGCGCTCAGTTGTCGGCGACGCGGCTGTGCCGTCTGGATTGTGCCTCCTTCGCCGACGTCTTCGGGGTAATGTGATAAATTTGGGCACTGGTGATGGTGCATAAGAAGAATGAGACTTTGAATCAGCACAAAAGGACAATGGTTGAGAGTCTCATTCACTGCAACATACTTGGCCTGGTCTCGAGATCCATCGCTACGTTGGTGGCGGCTTGCAAAGCCTCGATCCAATCCACGACGTGCCGGTCGTCCTTTGTCTGTAGCAAAAACTGCTCTCCTTCAGCTCGGACACGAACCACGTGTCGACGCTTGAGGTAATCCGCTGCAAGTCCTGATTCGGCGCCTTGCATCGTGTACGTCCGTAGCGGCTGATGCTTGAAGTGATTGGAATGACCGATGTGCAAACTCGACATGGCATCCCTGGCCGAGGCGAGCCCACCAGCTGGTGAGTCGTCCTCGTTAATGGGTTTTGGATGCACATGCACGCCGGACATATCGCCCCACTGCATACCTTTATGCACCGAAGAGAGATCCTGCCTGTAGACACGGAGCATGGTGCCATGGAGAACAAAGTAGAGTCGGCGCCAGCTGCGGTCTCTTGCCTGCACACCTGGCGAACTGAACTCCATCTTGCGCGGCAGATAGCCTTCGATGTGGACGTGGCAGCCATACTGCGGTAGTTTCTCCTTTCCTTCCTCCTCTCGTGGGTAGATGACCTGCGGACCTTCCGGCCGCCAATGCAGAATCGAGTATGGCGGAGGCTCCTGGCGAATTTCGAACATTGAGCAGCGACGCTGCAGCCCTGGCCTCTGGGCAATGATACCGCCTGGCGGGTTTTCGTTCGCAGGCGCAATGAGGGTTGTCTCGGGTATCTTGAGTTGAAAGTCTGCCTTCTTTACCATTTGCGGCTCCGCCACATCGATGTCCATTCGCCGGTCAGCAGCGGTGCTCAGGTCGATCAAGGAGCGGGACATCTGGTGGTACAAATTCAATCTCGATGTAGTGCTTGCTGGAGCTTCTGCAACGGACATCTCGCGGCGTTTGTCGGCACGCTTGTCTCCGCGAGACGCAAGTAGATTCCTTTGCTGTTGCAGCGTCATGGAAGTTGAAGAGTGGCTGATGAAGTCTGGACGAGAAGCAACCTCGCCAGACGTCGAGGGGCGACCCCGATTGATGGCAGCAGTAGAAGCAGCTAGCATGGTCACCTTCCCATTGGCAACCGACGGGCTCGGCGCTGTCACGGTGGGCTTGGTGATGCTGTCGAACGTCGAAGGTGGCATTGTGGACACGTCACTTGAGGACACACGCCAAATGGCGGGGGCGCCCGTACGCGATGCTGACCTTATCGTAGCCCAAGGAGGCGGGCGCGAGCGCGTGATGACGCTCGGCGAAGGGGGCGGGCCACCGTCCTCTGCCAATATTTTCGTCTGTGCTGATGGGGGCGGAGGAATGACAGAAAAGTAGGACTGGTTGCGGTTGGCAACCGGTGTGGCTTGTGATGGATATGGTGCTGCCATGTCCGGGGTAGGGGTGCCACAGAGACTAGGCGTGGCGCCGTTGAACGCGACCCAGCTTTCCCTGCCAAGATTGCCCGGAAACTGCACACCGCCGAAGCTTGCAAACCTGGGGGCGGGGGGGATAGACAAGTGTCCAGGTCTGACTTGCAAATCTCTCGCAGGTTCCCTGCTCTCGTCATGCTCGCTTTCGGAGACTTCTTCCTCATCATCGGTGGTAAGATCGCCGCTCTCGTCATAGTCGTAGCCGACGTTATTGCCGCTCTGATGCCCATCGTGGTCGCTGTCTTCGCCATCGCCACCAGAGGGCATAGAGCTTGGCCCGTTTGAAACAGCGCGCATCGAGTTGAGGCGCGGAAGGTGGCGAACCTCACTTTGACTCGCTCTGCCACTCAATTGCCGGCTGTTGATACTGTTGCCATTGCAAATACCATGGACATTCGCGCCAGCACTGCCGCTCAAAGCTTCGATTGGAGCTACTTCTGGTGCGCTCGCAGGCTGTGAAGCACCCGAAACTCCTGCAACAGATATGACGTCAGTTCGGGAATGTACATGCACATGTGCAGGCATGACATCTGGAGCGGCAGCCGATGCACCCAGAAGGCCCTCTGCGATGCTTCCGCTGCTGCTTCCCGCTCTCTGCACTAGCGCCTCATCCGCGGTGTCAGCCTTGGCGAGCGCAGGTGTGTTGGGCGATGTGGGGTGGAAAGCAGATGTCGGACTAGCGGGCGTGGCAGCCGAGTCAGACTGGGACGAAGCGTTGCTGCTGCCGGAAGCAGATTGTGATCGCTGTAAGTCCATATCATTCAGCGAGACGCGGTCGACCCAGGTCAGTGCCATCGAAGGGCGCGCAGCGCTCGCGCGCGGACGCGAACTGGCCTGCTCGGCCTCGAGAGAGGTAGCGGAAATGGCGGGCGGTCTAGTAGATGAGGCGATGGGTGCTTCACCTGGCACAAACGTGGCCGCAGGCGAAACCGTTGCCGCGGTCCTCACGGGCACAGCAACGTCGCCACGAAGCGAAGCATCGCAGCTCATCGGCGCACGGTTTCGTACCGGCGTAGGCGGCGAAGTCGACGGTGATGGCTGCTGCTGCTTCTGCTGCGGCCGCGGAGGCGAATGTACTGCGCGCGTGGGTCCACTCGCAGTACGCTTGCTCTTGAATGCACTGCGCATGAGCCCAGAGAAAGTGCCTTGCCCGGCCAATCCACTGCCGCCAATCCGCGCATTTGGCGCCTCCAGCCGTCCTCCATCTACTCCTGCCCCTACCGCTGCGTCACTACCTCCTGCGCTCGTACTCGCGCTGCGAGGCGTTGCCGCGGTGTCGGATGCCTTGTCCGAAGCCGAGGCCGGGTGCGCAAGTGGCGACCGGGGCAGGTGCTGCGAGGAGCGTTTGCCGAATGGCCAAAGCAGGAGCAAAGACGCGCGGCGATCGTGCTGGTCGATGGGCAGCTCTTCCGATTCACCCCCATTGCGGCACTGCTGACCGTTCCTCGCGCCCGAACCGCTGCCATCGAAACTCTTCCGGCCCGCTTGCCACACGTTGGCGCTAGCTCTGGCGTTGTTGCGACTAGCAAGCACGGATGGACCGCTGAGCGCGTCGGAGGACATGGCCCACTTCCTCATCCGGCTTCTGAGGCCAGAGCCAGAAACAGAGGGACAGGCGGGAGCGATCGAAGTTGATGCCCGGTGCTGCGCTTGCAGCGCCGCGCGGTGGATGGAGGAAGAGGGTACGCCGGCCTCGTGCATCGTGTGCTCGATGACGCTTCCCGTATCTCCGTATCCGTCTCCATTCCCCCCCTCATCCTCCTCCCGATCCCCGATAAGAATGCGCTCAGGGGCATCGCTCTCTGCATCATCCAAGTGCGCACCTGCCGCTTCCTCCTCGAGACTCGCCGCCATCGTGCTCGGAAGGCCCTCCCTGATCTCGTCGAGACTCGTGCCACCGCCTCCGCGCACGAACGACGGTCGCCTGGATGCCGGCGCCGCTGGTGTTGCTGCTGCTGCCGACAAGGCCAACGAAGGAGGCCCAAATGAGGAGGGCGCCGCAATCGAAGCGGCACCCCCACCACCAACCAGCGAATCGCGGCTCTGGTTGCCGGTGGCGAAGCGGCCGAGATCGGAGCTGGCGCGTGCAGCGCCGGTCGACGAGCCAGGCAGAAGGCGAGGAAGCGTAGGCGACATCGACGTCGATGTCGATGCGCCGCTTCCACTGCTTCTCCTGCCGCCGCCACCAGTGATAGTCCTAGAGGTTGAAGAGGGAGTAAAATCACTTCTGCCAGTTTCCTTCGACAATGTCGTTGTGAGCAGCTCCGCAGCAGCAGCACTACTCGCGCGCAGGTTGGCAATGGAAGCGCTTGTTCCACGATTGCTGTTGCTGCGCGACTTGCCTCCCGAAAGCAGCGACGGCAGCGACGGTCTTCGCATCGCGGCCCTCTCCCCGCTACTGTCGCCGACAGAAAGAGTGCTGTTCTTTCTGAGCCTCATACCAGTGAACGGAGACGTGAAGACGATGCCCTTGCTGCTGACACTCGGCGTCGTAGTTACTGACCATACACCGCCGCCACTCAGGGTGCGGCCGTCCATGGACGCCGCACGGACCTGGTACGGCGGCGGTTCCGAGTCTGGTGGCAGCCCTTCGCCTCCCCTACGGCCCTGCCCCTCTTCTGCTGCTGCTGATACTGATGTTCCAGATCCCGGGAGGAAGAGTAACGGTGCTGCACTGCGTGTGCGCTGCAAGCGCAGCCTCTCGGTATCGCAGCGGCCGCCGCCACCTGCTCCGCTGGTGACAGGGCCGAGCAGTTGCGATTGAGACGGTGCGTCCTTGGCCAGGTGCGAGACGCTTCGTAGGAGCGGATTGCGGCTGGATATGTCTAGCTCGGGTAAGCCTGGTACCAATCTGTTAGCGTTCATGCTCTCTCCATTGCCGAGGAGACTGTCTCCCACGGCAGCACCATTCGCCTCCGAAATCGACAGACCGGGCGATGATGCAGCAGCGCGTGTGCCACTAGGGTCGGCAGTCTCGTACGTAGATGCGGCAGGCGCCGAGCCTCTTCGGGCACTGCTGATAGCTCCTGTTTCTACAACTGATCCCGCACCTGCTCCTGCATTGCGGTTGTCACCATTGCCTGGAAAGGCGCCGGGTGGCGCGGGCGTGGGCGCGCGAGGAGTGTTCGAACCGCCCTGTCCGTCACCACCACCGCCAGAGAAAGAGCTTCGTATCCTCAAGCCCAGCGCAGAGAACGCCGATCCGGAGACTCGGCGTGGTCTTAACGGCGACTTGTGCGGGTGCGGCAAGTGAGGAGACGCCGTCGCTTTGGCGGCGGCTGTAGCGGTGTTCGTGGTTGGATTTCGCGCATCGGCCGCAGGATCTGCGGATGTCACCGCCGCGGCCGTCACCGCGCATGGTGACGGCCGAGTGATGAGCTGCGACTCCTTGATCTCCAAGTCCGCCTCTGTCGGCTCGCGCCATCCGCCCATACGTTGTGATGGCATTTTTGGGGATGTTTGCACTCCCTCACTCCACAATCTGCAACTGGCGGTCCTTGGACGTGGTTCAGATGTGAATGCTGTGGCGCCTAGGATGCTGATCGGTCAAGCAAGCAAGCATTCGAGGAGAGAGGTAGACAGTTTGGCGGCGTATTAGAGAGTGGAGAACGAGCGAGGATGGTGGCGACGACAATGACGACAATTGTCACTCACATGAACGCCAGTGTGTTGCGGGCTTGGTGTGGCGAACGACCTGTCTTGCCGTGCCAGCAAACTCAACCTGCACACGTGTCTAGCCTGCTACCTTGTCGCCATGTTCACGCAGCGAAAGGTGTTGACGTGATGCTCGCCCGTGTCATGTGCTGATATTGCAGTGTGTTATTTTGGTTGTGTAGGGATCCAAATGCTCGGGTTCTGGTGTTGTGTACACAGTACAAGAGAGTGTCGCAACGGTCGACGAAGATCAAGGCGAAGGGACTTGGGACCAGCTACGCTTTTCATCTCTGTGAGCACAGACGCCTGATCCAACAGCGCACGCAGTACAGAGCGCTCGTCGTCGTGGATGCGTTCACGCTTCGAATGATGGGCAGTACGAGGGGCGGGAGCGTTATCAGCGAGGAGGATGCTGAGATGAGAAGAAATGAGGTGGGACTGGCGTTGGTCAGTGCTATGGTACGCTCTGTAAGGCATATGATAATGCTATTATGCATTCGATTGCTTACTATAGCTGGGTATTATGATATGAGCGGCGGTGCACTGCGCCAGTGTATTGTGAATGTGTA